CGTACCGTGCATATCTTCACTAGAGGACTCGGAGCGGTCGTCGTCATCACGGTCGAGCGCAATGCCAGGACCCACGGAGAGCGTGCGGCGGCTGTTCCTGTACGGTGTCTCCGAGCCTGCACGAAAGAGGATGTATGACTGTGCGTAGATCTCGTGCTCCTCGGTGACTTCGACGCGGCGCGCGCCCACTCCTTTTTATTAAAGAAAGAGCGGTGAGAAACTCCCAGAGAACGGCGGCAGTTTTGCAACATACCTTCAGGCCAGGCCGTGCTCGTCTTTCCCACCAACTCGATTTCAATGCTGGAGATCTTCGTCGGCTTGACGAGCGTGAGCGTTAGCAGCCCACGAAGCATACCAGGAGGGGCGTCGGCCTGCATGTTGCGGGGTCTGCCGGTGGCATCTCCTGCGCGGAGGAACACCACGGACTCTGCGAGACGGATGTCGAAGGCATTCTTCTGGGGCTGTTTCGTCGGCGTAGGCATGTATACCGGAGACCAAGAGGCAAGGAGACAAGAGGCGGTGGCCCGAGGCGGCGGTCGTCCTAAAATACGGGGACTGGAGTTCCGCTCCGAGTGCCTGTCTGCACGGCCGATCAAGATCCGGCCAAAGCGGACGTCAGTCGCAGAAAATGGCAGAAAAAATCGATAGCGGTGCATGTGGACTCACCAACGTGTTACACCCGGTACTGTCGGTTCTCGGCCACGGTCGCAACAGAGCAACGAGCAACGTTTCTGGCTACAGCTCGTCCATGGGTTGTGAGAAAGAGGCTAGACAGGGGCGAGTCACGGCCCGATATCGTCACGGGATACTCACTGTTATGGTACTCTTCCGCGAATTGTGTTCTCTCTGCCAGCGTTGGCGCAATGTGAATGTGTTGGCGCAAGGGATGATGAAAGACTGCACCGTTATCACCGCATAAAACACGGATGCGAGACCTTGGCAGTCTGAAACTGAGCGGTGCTCGCCACAATGCTCACTTTGCTTGGAGAGAGAGGGAGAGTCAGGTCATCATACAAATACAGCATACCTCAACCACCTACCTGATGAGTGAGAGCCTGAGGGAGAGAGAGGGAGAGAGCGTATGTAGGCTCTGAAGACCGCTGCAGGCGAGTGCACGTGACTGGTATGATGGCGGCCTCGCGAGCGGGTTTCGCTATGAACTTCATTGGCCGCGCAACATACTTACATAGCTAACCTAGAGCAACTTGAACTGGAGCCCCGACCATATGTACAACAGACGAGGGGTGTCTAACGTTATGCAAATGGTTGTAAGTACAGATTGGACCTACCTTCGCCGTTTGCCCTCCGGATCGGCGCGGAGTCTGCGGACATGTTCGCATACGCAGTGCATACGCCTACACACGATGAAGCCCTTTCTGAGTGCCTGATCAACGGTCCAGGCCTCTGGTCCAGGCCAGTAGCTTCAAGTTACCACTTTGTCGGCGACTCGGCGCGCATCAGAACTTCGAATTCGAACACAGCTGCATGTCTCCGAGTACCCGCCACCGTCACCGTGACTTTGCATGAGGCAGTGCTGGACGGCCACATGTATCCTGGCTAGAGTGGTGTACCGTTGGCTCAGGCAGCGTAGTTAGTACTACGCAAGCAAGGGTATCGAGCTGTTTGGATGCCAGGATCTTACTGACCTCAGTGAGATCGATTTACTGCACGCAGCACTAATACGTGTTGGTAAAATGCTCACCAACAAATTCAATTATCCAAGGACAACCTAGGTGAGTATTTATCGATGTAGAGGCCATCAGCGTGTTTGACAATTCGACCCTAGTGATAAGTATGACGCTTCCGGATACCACTAGTTCGACTATCCCGGCAAGTGCTCATTGGCATACGTACCGTCTACGCTACGTATGCGTTCTGCGAGGATAGCTACCTTCACTACAATGTGGAGTGTCAAGCCGTGTTGGTACCCGTTATGCTTCACTCACTCTGCGCATATTTAGGTTGCAGCAGAGCATGGCAGCTCAACCGTTTATCGGCCTGACGAACAGCGTCAGTACGATTGGAAGAATGCCTTCTTCACTGAGAAGCCCATCGGTGGTCATGGACAGCCATGGTCAGTACTGAATCTGATACCTCGCAGTCTCGAGATGTTGACTCGGGACAATATCTTACTAACCTTGACGCCACAGTATGACAGAGCCTGCTTGTTTCGCCGAACCGGGGGACTGCGCGGAGCGCAGACCGCACCCGACCGTACACTGTACGGTCGCATGCGGGAGCGCTCCGTGCGAGTCGTACCACTAGACACTTTCTTCCGCCAACCTCAGGCTGCCAATTGTCGTTGAGGTTTTTGCTCCTGATGTATATTCTCCGAGATCGAGCTGAAGAATCCATGGTTTCCCTAGAAAACGGTCGTCATGCTAGACTCACCAAAATACCTGACGCGAGTGCGTCTCGTGGTAGGGTCGCCGCTCGTCAAGGCCGATTGAATAGATGGATCCTGCGACCGAAAGGCGCGCTTTCGTTCGCAGAAAGCAGAGGTCATTGTGCTCATCTGAATACGTGTACTGACCGCAAACAGCGATGCCACCGTATAGGCTCGATCCCTCCGTTCAAACGGGCAACTGCACAGAGCGCAGACCGCACCCGACCGTTATATACGGTCGGATGCGGGAGCGCGCTGTGCGAGTTGTGCCGTCTGACGCATCCTTTGGTTGGCAGGTCGGCTGTCGTCGGCGTTCAACAGGTCAGTGTAGCCTTGCTAATCGAGAGAGGAGCGAATGCCGTGCTGGGGTTCGTTGCCCTCACCGTCTACGTCTTAAATCCTCACGGTCTCGCATCGTAGCAGTACAACGACCCGGATGAATTCGACACATCAAGGGTGCCTTCGACCAGCACGGATCCTCGAGGCAAGTACAACAACTCCTCGTAGTTGGATTTCATCCATGCTAGCGGGAGAAGCTCTACTCCTGGTAGATGTCGCGGGGCTCGACGTCCCCGCCGCCGTACAAGCAAGCATCGCATCGCATCGTTTCATGCTCAATGCGGTGCCCGAAGCGGTGCCTTACATCCGATTCGGAGGTCATGCCAGGCGAGCACGCCCTTTGTCCTTCCCCGTGTCTGCGGAGCTCAACAGGGCCACAAAATCGATGTCGACGATCGCTAGCCTCTTCGGGGTACTGAGAACAGCCCCTTAGCGGTTCTGTCGAAGTTGTGTACCGCATGTTTCCCCAGCCTCATCTTGTCGGTATCGATGGCTCCTGTCATACACAGACTGTGTTCCCGCCGCATGCATTACAACTATCAGGGTCTATGGATTACATGAAGCATTGTCTAGTCTAGTTTACTGAAGAAGAAATGCATAGCCTTGATAAGGAAATTCCCGATGCCACAGCACCTTTATAGACGCCAGGCACCTGTAGCAGATGCTGGCTGTGTGCACTGGAGGACCGCAGAAGACATAGGATGCGACATATGTGATCACTAGACGTGTCAACTCTGCCATGCAATTGTCAACGACGCCTGAGTGCAGGTATTAACGTGGTTGGAGACAGCGGTGCCTTCGATGTTTGACGTTAGTTAGTATACTTAGAACTCCTCAGACCCTGGCTTCTGTCAATCTTAACGTTTCCTGGCCAGTGGGCCTTACGCATTTGCGCACGAGTACACAATTGTAATCGCAAGACATGAATGGGGCAGCATTTGGGCAACATGCATACTTCCCGCCCATAGCTGCCGTGCAGACAGAGGGCAACGTCAACCGAGTTGGAAATTCGCTCTCTGGGCGCGTTCAGCGAACGTTCAACGTTCAGCAGTCACACAGTTGGTTGCAGAGAAAACGAAGGAAGCTCTGAATTATGTATGACAGCGAGTTATGGATGTTGTACATCGTGATGCAGGACAGCCAGCGCAGACGTGCGTGGAATAATAACAAGATGCGGATGATGCACGAGGACGAACGAACCATGACCAGCGGGATGGGAACACAGAGAATGAAGCAGAAAACGTACTACTGTTCTATGATAGCAGGCTGATTAACTTATCACTGTCCATAGACTTGCTCGCAAGCCGGGTCCGTCGCTCCTCGTCAAGCTGCGCGCCCTTTATCATGCTCGCCATCAGGTTGAGTGCCATCGGCGCGTCAATGACAATGTCGTCAAGGATCTCGGTGGTCGGTGCGAAACCCTTCTCGAAGGCCTCTGGTGAACAGAGGTCCTTCGATACCGCTCGAGAGAAAAAGTCGCCTACGAGCCGCGCGTCGCTGTCCTTTGCCTCAATCGCAGAGGTAACAAGCTTGTCAACAAGCAGCCATCGGTGCTCTGAAGGAAGCTTGCTGAAGTACACCTCAGCCTCGTCCAGATCGCGGATGCTGAAGAACTCTTTCGAGTCTTCGCCAACGCGGGTCTTCGCTTCCTCCTCAGACATCGATGGTGCCGTAGACTCTTCGTCGTCCGAGTGGCCAGCCTCCGACTGTGCCGGCGTCGAGTCCGTCCGAGCCTCGTCGGGCTTGGCCACGGTTCGTGGAAGAAGATTGAGCTTCCTACGCTGTAACGGAGCCTCAGGTGCGCCAGCGGCGCCCAAGTCGACACTAGCCTTGCGGCTCGGAGGTCGGCTAGGCTGTGCGGCTACAGCCTCTGCAGCGAGCTCGGGGTTCTCCATCAACTTCGAGAACATATTCGAGCCCCGTGACAACGACGAGGATTCGCGCTTGCCCTTGTCCTTCGCGAACACACCCGTAGGACCAAAGGACATCGAGTTTGTTTTGCTGATCTTGCCGAAGTTAGACAGGTCACCCGCCTTCGGAGGCAGACGCGGAGGCGCATTGCCAGCAACGGCCCAACCATCGGGACCGACTTGCCCCAGCTCACCACGGTCACCGCCACGCTTGGAGCCACCGCGCGACATGCTATGTGTGCGCTGGTAGTCCTTCTGGTTTGCGGCGGTCTCCTTCGCAGCTTGTGCATGGACAGCAGCAATCGTGGTAGGAGCGGCAGCCAGGTTACGAGGTATCCACTTGCGTTCGCGGAACTCAAGAAGGTCCTATAGGGGATGTTAGACGCGAGCAATGAACTGATTTAGGATATACGCACGAGAAGCATAAACTGCATACGTGAGTTGACGTTCCCACTCTTCGTCAACTCCTTCATACGCGCAAAGTAGACATCCATGTGCGCACGGGCCTTCGGCGTGTCAAGAGACTGACCGACGGTCGCAAGGAGCTTGCAAAGACTCTCGATCTCCTCCTCCTCGGGATTCTCGACGTTACCCAGGAGCTTCTTGACACATTCGTGCATGATACGCTCCGTGAGCATCTGCAGCTTGAACAGCTCACCGATGAACTTGATAAGACCGAGACCTTGCCGCTTCGCCTTCTGCGCAGCATAGTATTCTTCTGAATACAGTGCAGCCTCGCCATCCTCGTCCTTGTCAGCGGCGTCCTTGGCGGCCCGGTCCTCGGTGGCCTTGGTGGCTGCGGCCGCGGCAGTACTTTCCTTCGCAGCCCATCCGTGCTCGAAGTCTTCCTGGCACCGGTTGAGGAGATATTTACGGAAGAGCTGACCACCCGCAATGGGTTTACCCTCCGCATTCTTGATACCCTCGTCCTGAACCTTCGGGCTAATCTGCTCCATCATCTTGCGGCACAGCCGCGCGTACATCTCCGACCAGTTAGCCTCATCTGTCGCCTTCTCGAATACGAGTCGGATGACCTGGATGAGTGTCCGCCCGTCTTGCTCGTTTTCTGACTTATTCGCCCATGCGATGATTTGGTCAGAGATCGAGTCGAAGCGCTCCATCGTAAGCTTGTTGAGCAGCGCGCGGACCTTGCGGTCGACGACATCCGGCGAGTCCGATTCGACCTGCGGCTTCTTGCCAATGCTCGCAGGTTGCCACCGGTTTGCAGAGCGCTCGAGCGGTGCCACCGGTTCGAGAGACATCATGCCAGGTTGCGAGAGTGACGAACTGCCAAAGGATGGACCTGGACCACCCCTGTTCACCTCACCACGGTCGACGCCCCGTTTGCTCCTGGTACGCTTGCTGCCCATAGCACTAGGGCCACCTTGACTGGACGAACGGACCATAGGAGATGGTCGCCCGCCAAACTGCATGCCAACGCCCGGAGGACCACCAGCCATCGAGGCTGAGCGACCCATGCTCGCCTCTTTGAAACGGTCCTCGCTGGTCTTTATGCCCGGCGTCGCGAACTTGCCCATGGTGAAGCTGCCACTCGGACCATTGAGATTTGAAAGACCAAGGCCCTGCAGCTGGCGCGCGGAGTTCGGAGGCGGCGGGCCCATGGCGGACGCCGAGCGCCGTTGCGAACCACCACGACTCATCGGGACACCAGCACCCTGCTCAGAGGGCTCGAGACCGATGGCATCGAGTGGCGGGAGGTTGTCAGGCTTGTCCTTGCAAATCTTCATGAACTGCATGAGGAAGTCACGGTCGTACCTGAGACCCAGTGTCAGTGATGCGTATATACATGCTGCAAGAAAGCTCTCACCTGAACTTGCCATGTTTGGCGTTCACGTTGAGCTCGACCTTGGGACTCTTGATACCCTCGGGATACGACACACTGCCAAGATCTTCAATGATCCGCGCGGTGGCCAGGGCGGAAGGGAGGGGCTGGGCGATGGACTGGTTGCGAGTAGAAGAAAGGTCGAGAGGGCCAGGATGCCGCTTCTTGGGTGTCTCCCCTGCTGCCACAGCAGTGTCAATTCTGAGAATTCCCTTGTCTTGCGGCTTTTCCTGAGTCTCCTTCTCTATGACCTCGGGCGTGGGGTTTGCCTCAGACTCGTCGAGCTCGCCGTCCTCCGGCTCTGCAGCTGATGGCGTCTCACCCGTCGTAGCGACCGTCTCCTCCTCCGCCTTGAGCCTCTCTTCCTCCTTGCGTAACCGCTCCTCCTCCTCCTTCGCCTTCTCCGCCTCCTTACGAGCCTCCTCCTCCTGCTGCTTCCGTCTCCGTTCCTCCTCTTCCCTTTCCTTCTCCTTCCGTGCACGATCCTCTTCAGCTTTCCTCCGCTCCTCGGCTTCCCTCTCCTTCTTCAGCTTCTCCTCCGCCTGCTGCTTGATCTTCTCCTCTGCCTGCTGCTTGATCTTCTCCTCTGCATCCCTCTTCGCCTTCTCCTCCGCTTCCCTCTTCTGACGCTCTCGCATCTCATCAGCCAAGCGCTTCGCCTTGTCCTCAGGCTTCTCCAGTCGCACCTGGGTCTTCCTCGCCGGCGACGGAGGTACGGCAGGCGAGAGCGGAGCGGAGCCCTTCTTGAAGCTGTCAAGTTGCACCTCCGTGCCGTCCGACGACGTGATCTTAACCTTCGATGCCCGTGGCTGGAACGTCGGTGCGAGAGTATTTAGGCGGTTGCCAGGTCCGGCAGATGATGGTGTAGGTGGGGGCGAGGACACAGAGGACAGAGAAGATGTATGCGTGTGTGGCGACGGGGTGGGATGTGGAGGATGGCCCGTGTTGGGCATGGCCGGCGCCATCGTCGGCGTGCCAGGGGCGTGCAGTTGATGAGGGGGATTGCGGGGCGACATTGACATACTAGGCTGGGGCGGACCAGGTAGGCCTTGCGGTTGTTGGTGAGGTGTGCCGACGTGCGGCTGCATCCACGGCGTGTAGGACATATAATGTTCCGATGGCATGCCGGGGTATGGTCCATACTGAAGAACGAGGAAGCAGGTTACTCAGCGTATTCAGCAAAAGGGATAGTGAGACTCACGTAGTAGCCGCCGTACCATCCTGGGGGCGGAACAGGCTGAGAAGTGGGTGGCATGCCTGCAGGGGGCTGCCCGCCATGCGGCGCACCCAGCCGCGGACTCGACATGCCCGCCGACACAGGCGTGGGCGCAGAGCCACCGTTCGGTCGTCCATTCACGCCATTCATCTGCCCATTAGGCATCTGCCGCGGGAACACTGGGGAACGGGGTGGCCCGCCCTGAGGAGGTGCGCCATTCTGCTGAGGTCTTAGCTGCCCGCCGCCGTAATGGGGGTATGGGTGAGCGCCCATCTGAGATGGCTGTGCCTGGGCATGTGTCGGTAAGGGTGAGGCGTGCGGCAGAGGTGAGGGGCGGGTCGATGGAGAGGCAACGTCAGAGGGCGCCTGCGAAGGCACACTGGATACGGGCGGCGCGCTGCTCGGGTTTTGGAAAAGCTTTTTGACATCAAACTTGGGCTGAGTCGTGGCAGACGTGGGAGGTTGTGTGGACGAGCCGGCTGACTTGCCGTTCGGGGCGGAGGTGGGTGTCGCTGGGACGGTGCCGAATGAAGAGACCGTCGCCGACTTAATCACAGGGACTGAGGCGGGGGAGGAAGAAATCGGCGCAGACACGTCGTTTATCGAACCGAATGTTACAGCAGATGCTGGCACCCTATCAGTACCGTCGCGAGAGACAATAGACGGTACCGTACCTGACTTCACAACGTTCGTCGGGCTTCGTGCACCTGCAACGCCATCTTTGAATGCTACGCCCTGGCCTAGGGCGCTTGGTCGTCTTGAGTGCGTCGGTTGCGGATGGCCCTGGTTCGGCGCGGGTGATGCGGAACGTGGCGAGGGGGCTGAGGCAGCCGACTGCGGTGGACCCTTTGCCCAAGCTGACTTGGACGGTAGCTGGGACGATGGTTTGGATGCCGTTGCTGTTGAGGATTTGCTCATTCTGAGCGAGGATCCATGGGTGAGTGTGGTGAGGATGTCAGGGATGAAAACGAAGACGTACCGTGACGATTGCGTGGAGATTCGAGGTGGGTCTTTTTGTTTTTCTTCGCGTGAAGGTCGGTCGTGAAAGATGACCTGCCTGCAGGCGAACGAATGTCGCGATGGAGGATCGAAGAAAGCACACAGGAAGCGGACGCTGGTCGTGCAGCAGTCCGGAGTGTCTGTCCTGTTGGAAGACTGAGGCAACCGCCGCGACGCACCGAACCCAAAAATCACTCAGCCGGCCGGCAGACCCCGAGCACCCGTGCCACCTCGTGCCACCCGCTACGCTCGCACGCCTCTCTGCCCGGTCCCGCTTCCACCATGACTTGACATACTCTACTGCGGTGATAGGATCCACTGGAACTGAAATCGAATAATGGGCATTGGCGCGACGCAATCCGTTATCCGAACGGTACGCGGAAGGTCCAACCGATGTACCTGGGGCTCAACGATAGTACTTCAACGATCAACAAGTTGCAGGACTATCGAGATGAATACTTAGGTGCAGATAACGAACCTCACAAGCGGTGAGAAGGCCTTTGCTTCACGGTTATGCCACTCTTTTCCCATCGTATACCATTTCCACCTAGGAACGCACGGTATTCTTTCCTTGAATGCCCTTGGTCTAGGTCACGTGCATGCATGACTGCTCGTCTGAAGACATCCCACCTATCACTGCCAAGACACTTACCATCATTTCCTCGGGTAGAAAAGGCTTCGAGAATGAAGAGCGCTCTTCACGATTTCCTCACGACGTAGGGGCATCTTGAAAAGACGCCGAAGGCCACACTGCGGTTCTTGTCCTTGGAGGTTTGTTTGCAGTGTGCTTCGTCAAGAAACGCACTTTCTGCGCTAAAAATTCCACTTCCAGGAAACGACTGGGCGTATGTCCATTGTCAGAAAGTCTAGGTATGGGTAGGTCGCCCAGGTCTATTGATTGCATGGTGTCAGTTCAATGCGTACTGAAGCGTCAATCATGGTCTGGCGTACAGAACACACTTCGAACTCTGCCATGTCTGTCGCACCGTTTTGGAGGCAGTGTCGTAAGTGATCCCGAGGCCTTCGCATCGTGCGCGGTGTCATGAAAGTAAGGGCATAACAGCGAACATGTTTGGCACTAGGCATCCTAGTTTGCGAAGGACGATTGGGGTATTGTGACACATATACGTCAATATTGGTTAGCATGGTCATAGCTGCCCCCTGGTACTGACATATCCTCCGATGATCAAGAGTAAACCACAAAGTACTCGCCTTAGGCTCATGATTCATGTTTCTTACGCAAATATGCGCATCTTCGCCACCAGGGGACAATGTGCAGAATCGTTCCATCTCTCGCGTGGCATTCTTGCCATCAGGGGGTACGGGTAGTGTCTTCCTGAGTGTATGCGTCGCTCGATGCTCTGAGTGGGAGAGAGGGGAGAGGGAGGACATGGGGAGGGGAGGTGATGGGGGTTAGGAAACATGTTCGTTCATGTGTCTTCACAAACTAACGCCTTATAAATCGCAGTGCAGTCCGGGATTTTCCTCCTTGTTCACTTACAGTACTGATTTTTAGGCACTGTACTACAGTCCGCACTGCGATATTCTCAATGCGGTTGCTCAAAATCGAATCTGAGATCTCGATCGTGGTGTACAACATGACGTCACACCATGGTCATCCAGTGGTCATCCTCACATTGGCTATTTATATATCAGCACGCGTGTTCACCCAATGTTCAACGCAACTGCACTCAATTCTGTCAACTCGGCGGCTCGATTGACAACTGCGTACAATGCCAGTGCGAGATATCAGAGTCACGTGTATAAACAGATATGGTATCAGTACATATATCTAGAGGACATGACGGTTTGTAATCCAAATTAACGCCAGTTACAGCAACCAACTTCGATTATATCTTGGACTTCAGGCGTGCTGACACCATGCTCTCGTCTAGAGAAAAAATGAACATCAGAACACGAGCCTCACTGGTGATGGGGCACGGTGACACTCACAGTTGCCAAAGTACAAGCTGTCACTGGGCACGGATACAATGTGCTGGTGAATAGACCCGGCATCGACCATCTCCGGGACGACCTCCTTGATCGTGCGAGCACCCAGCAGCCGCATGTTCATCTCGAACTCGTCCTTCACAGCGTTGGTCAACACACCGGACAGACGGCAAACTATGCAGGACGTACGTGAAGGATCTGCAGAGCGTGTTCGACACCGTCCTGGCCATACGAAGAGAACGCATACAAGAACGGCCGGCCAATGCCCACTGCCAACCACGACCCATCAGTCAGTCACCTCGACTTAGTACGCGGAAGAGCACGCACCCGCTGTGGCACCAAGCGCAATAGCCTTGAGCACATCCGATGCGCGGCGCACACCTCCGTCGACGAACAGCTGGAACTTTTCGTTGGGGAACGTCAGCCCGCGGCGGGCCTTAAGTTCCCGAACGACCTCAACCAGCGTCTCTACGCCCGAGCGCGAGAACTCGAGCTGCCGCCCACCGTGGTTCGAGAGCACAACGCCGGCTAGGCCCGCATCGTACGCCAACAGTGCGTCTTCCCAGCATTGCACGCCCTTCAGGATAATGGGCACTAGGAGCGTCTGTAAGTAACACGGCTGCTGTGCAGGAGAATGAGGGGCATACTCTTGGTAATCGACTGGAACCACGGAATGTCCTTCCAGTCGAGACCTGTGTCGATGAATGACTGGAATGAACACCGCGTTGAGGACATGTACTGGCATGACGAATGCACAAAAACATACACTGATAGCCCTCGCGGCACCCTGTGACCGATCAACCTTGTCCGACACCTTGTTGTCTGTAACCTCTGATGGGTCCTCCGCCTCGAACTTCATGCGCATATCCTGTCAATCCACGTGAGCCATCCCGAACGCACCCCAGAACTTTCGTGCCAACCTTTTCACGGCGTCCAAGCTGGGGCGCATCCACAGTGATGAACAAACCCTTGATCCCGCGCCTCTCCGCATGCTGCACGAACTTCTTCGTGATCTCTCTGTCCGAGTTGACGTACAGCTGGAGGAACTGCACTTGACCGGGCGCCGCGTTGTCGACGATCTCGTCGAACGAGCACGATGCCAGAGTCGGGATCTATTAGGGGAGGATCGGCGTGTCAGCGTGCGCTCGAAGGAAGATAATGTCGGCGCCGCTTACCATTTGGATGACGTTGTGTTTCGCCGCGGCTCTTGTCAGGTTGAGCTCGCCGTCCGGGTGTCCGAGCTTTCCGAGTGCTGTCGCAGTCTAACAAGAACCTCTGTCAGGCTGTCCAGAGTGGGTGTGATTCATGGCTCACGATGTATATTGGCATCTTGGTAGCATGTCCGAGAATCTTCGTCGACCAGTCCACGTTCGTGACACTGCGAAGAATGCGAGGTCGGAACCATATTCTACACATTCAAACATCAGTAACCCGCGCATATACCCCGCTCTATAGCAAAACATCACACCTGTGGTACGCAGCGTGGTTCTCACGCGTAGTGATTTCGTCGTCGGCGGCCGAGCTGTAATATGCCCACGCCTTCTCCGTCATCACCTGCCGCGCAATTGCCTGCGTGGAGTGGGTGGTGAGCGATAGCCAATGCACAGCTGAATCATCGCACCTCGAAGTCGTGCAGGTTGAGTATCTCGGTGAGCGGAGGCCGCTGTTGCATCCGTATCTGCCGCTCCTTTTCCTCGTCTGTGACCGTGATCTCAACCTTGAGTACGGTTTCAGGGTCGACAGGTCCTAGGCTGGGGAGGCGTTAACGGAAGCCGGACGGAGCGACGGCTAACTTACTGCTTCTCAGGCGGCAGGTTGTCATGGATGGCGTTTGGAGGGTGAATGGGGTCGTACTCGGCACTTGACCATACATAAGCATGGCACAATGTTTGATAGATGCCTACGACTCACGTAGCGTCCTTGCCCGCGTACTTCAGAATGATCTTGCTTCCTCCTATCATATTGAGCATTAGCCGCGGTTGTCTTGTTCGACGTCGGTTGAAGATTACCTGGGTGCTCTGCAAAGAAGATTGAGATCAATGAGAGAGCTTGGTAGCGGGTAGCACTGACCTGGCAGGAACTCCGTAACGTCGTACACCTTGCCTATACAAACAGAAGTGTTAGTCTCGTGCGCTCGACGTCTTTCGTGCAAACAACAGACTATGACTGCTATTGCATATACATACCCCGCGATGCCCCGCATCTCATACAACAAATCCGAAACAAAACTCACCATGCACAATGATCCAGCAACTCTCCGCCGTGTTATGCGCCGCGACCTCCTTTCCCGACAGGCTCTTGCTCATCTTGCGCTAACCAATCGAGTCTAATACAAATGGGAGGGGTCGTAGCACCGCGGGAGATGACACGGAAGTCCGAGAGTGACGAGGATGATATGGTGAGCGACGGACGTCCAACCCCATCCTACCCCGCATTTCTGCTCACGCCTGACCGGTGGCCCGTGACTCCGCAGGATGCCCATGCATGGACGGACTCCCGAGTCCGGATCCCCGAAAACGACCCGCGTGTTCAGTTGTGGCTATCGGCTTGCCGCCGGTGAAGACGCTGCCGACGACGGAGAGGATAAAAGACTATAAAAGCCAGGATGAGTGCGCCAGGGGTGCGCTGCAAATGGGCGAGTTGAGATTGGTGGTTCAGATGCAAGCCGATCGAAATTGTGGCACTGGCAGAGCGGAGATGGCTGTCGATTGCGTTCCGTCTTCGGTGATCTCGGCGGCGGTGGCCGCGGGGGGTATGGAAAGGAAGTATATACAACTTGAGGAATACAGCAATCCCTAGTAATATGGTCAACGCGAGTTAGGGACGCTTCCGTATTGAACTTGTACGCCAAGACCACCCACTACTGAATACCCGGGCCGAAGTCTTTTGCTCCCACTGTGCAGGATCACTCAGTGAGAAACGACATGCATATGCGCATAAATCTACAATGGGATAGTGACGTCTATGTGTGTGGTAGCAGCAAAATGTACAACATGTGGAGATACTATGCGGGAGTGTATACGGTACAAGATGCCGGTCTGCCAGGCCGTCCAAGCCCCCGATCCTTCCGATGCAAAGAAAGCGACATAAAGTTATACCTGCGCGAACGCTATACCACCCGCCTGGGCATCGAGCTCGATCACCTCGTCGAGACCGACGACCTTAAAGAACTCCTTCGGGTCCATGCCCCGCGCAGACGAGAAGTCGGTGCCCGTCTTCTTGAGCAGGTGCATCGCCTCCCGTACGGCGTGCACCATAGCGACGCAGGAGACGAGGGAGAAGACTGCGCGGTTATCGTCAGCTATATGCGTGGATCGCTGTGGAGGGAAAGACTCACTGATGATCTTCGCACCCAGCGCCTCAGCCTCCTGGCAAGTGAAGGACGGCGTGAGACCGCCAGAAATGACGTTGACGAGGACAGGCTTTGGCGCGAGAGCCTTGATCGTCGACGTAAGGAGGTCTGCCGTCTTCACGCCCTCGATGAAGCACACGTCGGCACCCGCGTCAGCCGCGAGCTTCAGACGCGTGACTGCCTCCTCCATGCCCAGCACCTGCGCAGAATCCGTGCGACCGATGATGACGAAGTCGGAGCCGCCGGGGATGGAGTCGCGGGCGATGACCGCCGCGCGGATGCGCTGGAGGAACTCCTCCCGGGAGACGACCTGCTTGCCCATGAGGTGGCCGCAGCGCTTGGTCTGGACCTGATCCTCGATGTGGAGGCCGGCAACGCCCGCCTTTGCGTACTTCGTTAGTGTGCGTGCGACCATGGCCGGGCCACCGAACCTGAGTAAAAATGTCAGACGTGTTTCGAGATGACATGGCGGCGATGACGCTTACCCGGTGTCCGCATCAGCAATGACGGGCATGGAGGGGTTGATGCCGCAGACCATCTCTGCGCTCTATAAACAGTGTGAGAATGAGTTCGAACGAGGTCGTGTGCAGGATTTACCTGAACGAAATCATTCAGCGTGGCGATGGCAACGTCGGGCATGCCCAGCCTCGATGCTGTGGTGGCAGCGCCGCTGTTCATAACAGATGAGCATTGGGCTTTCAAACGTATTGTGAATGAGACCGACCTCTGGTACAAGCATTCAAAGCCAGCTTCGATAGCGCAGCGAGCGCTGATACCATCGCAGATACCAGGTGCAACCTGTGATCGGTCGTGAGATAATGTAACTGCTAGCTCTCTAGAAGATACTCACCACGATACCCGGGCGGGCAAGCATCTGGCGGAGACGAGTAGCGGGGTTGGAGGAAAGAGGTCCCTCCAAGTAGTTCTTCGGGTCAAGGCGGGGGTTGTAGTAGACATCATGGCGGGGCGCATCGCCGCTGATGGGGGACGCGGGCTCAGACGAGGGAGGGGTGTCCGCAGAGGGAGCGGGTTGCGTCTGGATGGCGAACTGAGTCTGCTCAGACTCCCGGGTGAACTCGAATCCAGGCATGTTACAAAGAAGAGAGGGTTATATGGATAATCGGAGAGGATGTTGCAGGAGGGACTGTGCGAGTGCCCTGGTGTTGTAGAACGCTGTTGGGTTGGGCTGCAGCTTGGCGGCCCAGCTCGCTTTTATCCTCTCAGGAAAGCACCCGCCGAGCGGTCTGGCATGTCTGCATTCCACCCCACCGCCCAAAAACGTACCGCGAAGCGCGGATACCGTCACTAACAGCGCAGACAATCCGCGCCGAGACCAGAAGCCAACGCCACGAAGAAGACTGTCGGAGGTAATACGGTGTCCGATTTCCTGAGCGCCATGCAGAACGGTTGCACGGAGCGCGGGGAGTTAGAGTGGGGATAGACTGAACAGGAAGCTGAGATCGCTCGGACAGAGCAGCTGCACAGCTCGTGCTTCCGGGCTGTCACGGTCGTCCGAGGAGGCGTGTCGCTTAAGCATGTCTTCATGCATTCCGGATTCCCTGTTCGATGCCTGAGCATTCTTGGCGGTGGCGAAGATTTGGAGTACGTACAGGTCGAGGATCTACACTCCTCGGTGTTGCGCTCCTTCGCGGCTTGGGCACTTGGCAGCCAAGCACAGCTCGTCCAAAAAGGACAATTGAAGGACGTCTCTGATATCATAGCCCTATGTTTGGCCTATGTGTTCCTCTCCCGCGTGTGACTGCAAGTCTCTTTCTGTTCGCCTTCCGTGCTGTCAATTCAGATGCTCGCAACATCACAAGTCCGTATTGCCAAGACATACCTCTCATTCAGACTAAACGCACATTCCTTTCAAGCAACCTTCGAGCTTCAATTTTCTGACAACGCAACAGCACGGTGTGTACCACTCCGAGTCGGAGCGAGTGCCACGATTGCGGCAGCCACCGGTGGCGCGCCGCGGAGTGGCTGCAAGTGGCAACCGTGTGGCTGGAAAGTGATCTTGATGCGGCATGCGTGTTGTCTGCGATTCCAGGTCTGTCTGTCTGTCCTCTCTAGCCGCAACGATAAGGCATATCTTGTGACAAACATCTAGAGCGGCGCGGTTTCACTAGCAGTGCACTAAGACGTTTTCCTATCACGATCCATCCTCGTACGTCTCAGCAATCGTCCAATATGCCTGACTGTATTTGCACAAGCAGAAAACCTCCGCCGCCGTCTGTCGCACCGATAGTACGGACAATCTCCACAGCAGCAGGCTCGAACGCAATACATTCCATCAGGACGATATGTTGCAGTGCGTCTTGTCATTCTCATTCCGCCAGTCAAGCTGGGACGGGCACACGAGCTTCACGGCGTTAAAGAGGAGATTGCGTGACTTGGTGTATGTTTCAATCGCGCTCTGTCATTCCATTCCCACTCGTCTGACAAAGACGCCACTTCCAGAAGACAGGAAGACTGAATGTGCAAGATGCCAGTGTGAGCGCCGCATGAGCTCGGGGAAGAACGGGTGCCAGACCTCGTTCTTGTACCTGACTGTAGTGAACAATCATTTGGGGCCAATCCACCACGTTTAGCCAAGGCCGCGAAATTGGCAAGTGTCGCAAAGATCAACGTATCTTGGTTGCATTTGGCAAGGCGCTCAGTCGCCGAGGAATATCGGACTCGTATGGTTGCGATCCGTCTCGGGAGAAGTCCCTGAACCGTGCCTTTCATGATTCTTGGCTTCAAGTCAATTTCTTCATTCAGCAACGAAGAGTGGTTGTTTAGGACAAGGCAGGCGCGGACATCAAATCGAATTAGGAACGTCGAAGCTTGCCTCGCGCAAGGCCAGAGTCTGTGTCACTAAGAAATCAGCGCAACTTCTTGACTACATACCATTCAGCACACTGCATCCGGGCCGCCAACAGTTCTACGTGCATCGTGCGTACATCGCGCCGTTTTGTACGTCCGAGTTGCGTTTCCCTGTCCAAATGGCAAGAATTACGGTAAGCTTGCCGCCAGATATCTTTTTGAGAAGCGTGTCAGGACACTGACACTTCCTTGACATTTCTTCCAGGTGTGCCGATGGCATCCGCGTGCCTCCAGTCCGAGTCCACGGTGCAACGGCCAGACCGACAGTCCGCTTCCGGCGGAGCGAAGCTATGACCTGGCCGCCGCCGGGGAGGCGTAGGTTGTCCGATGCTGGCCACCTTCAAACCTCGTCGACTTCACAAACGCCCTCCCGATCTATCACCGACTCCATGGTCCCAACACCCTCTCCGCCTCCTCCCACCAGAGTACGTCCACAACCCCGCCTCCAGCTCCCTCTATTCGGTGTTGGGTGCCCCTGTGGGCCTTAGCCGACGCGGACTCCGCACATCCCGCCATGCCCACGTTGAAAAGAGACGGCCGTCTTGGAGGCGGCGTACCCACATAGCGCACCGTCCTGTGCTTGCTTATCGCCCGCGCGGCTAATCATGTCTGATATTCGCGTCCTTACTGGCCCTGAAGTCGCCGAACATGCTAGCAGGGAGAGCTGCTGGATCATTGTGCATGGTAAGCACTATTTCTTCCTATCGGCCGTCCGTGCGACTCAAGTTCCCTGCAGGGAAAGTGTACGATGTCACGCAGTTCCTACCAGGTATGAGCGACGATCTTCGATAGCCAGAGCGGGATACTGACAAGCATTCATCAGAACACCCTGGCGGCCAAGCAATCATCTTGAAGTACGCTGGGAAAGATGCGACGTGAGCTCATTCAGCTGTGCAAGTGTTGTCATCGTTTACCGAATCGGATGGCTGTCATTGCAGTGAGGCCTACGAACCAATCCATCCACCTGATGCGATCACGACCAACCTGCCGGTGGACAAACAGTAAGTCTCGCGCTCAACGCGGCAACATGACTCGCGACCGTCTCCCCTTAGCTTGGGTGCCATTGACGCTAGTACCGTCGCACAAGTCGTCAAGGAAATCACCGACGAAGAGAAGCAGCGTCAGAAGTACGTGGAAGCGAGACCTCCACTTGATACCATCATCAACTTGCACGACTTCGAGGTCCGTCTCATCTATCTGTCGCCTTGGAATGGCTAACACTGACGTACCGCCGCGACATAGACGGTAGCAAGAAAGGTCGTCTCAGAGAAGGCATGGGTGCGTGTCAACCTTAACAGCGACGTGGCGGCGGCACCACCGACGCTGATCATGTATAGGCCTACTATTCCTCCGCATCCGACGATGAAATCACCTTGCGCGAGAACCGCATGGCGTACCAACGGTGAGTTGCGTCATAATTGGGGCGAGGGTCAGGCCGCTCACAGTAACTGGCAGGGTGTGGTTTAGACCTCGCATCCTCCGTGACGTCACCAGTGTCGACTGGTCGACGACGATCCTTGGCCAGAAGTCGTCACTTCCCGTGTACATCGTGAGTACTGAAAATGGTGCTTGCGTTGTGCAACCCAGTCTAATTCACGATCCTGTGTAGTCGGCGACCGCACTCGGCAAGCTCGGACATCCCGAGGGCGAACTCTGTCTTACACGGGCGGCCCAAAATCACGGCGTCATCCAAATGGTACTATCTGCACTGAATGGGCTGACGCCAATTGAGTAACGCGTTTCTGTCTTTCAGGTCGCCACATTGGCATCGTGCTCGTTCGATGAAATAGTGGACGCGACCACACCAGATCAGACGCTGTTCCTCCAGCTGTAAGTCGCTTGCTGTCTGATCTACGTTTCAAAACTTCCGACACGTTGGTGCAGGTACGTGAATAGGGACCGGGAGATCACGAAGAAGTACGTCCAGCACGCGGAGGCGCGCGGCGTCAAGGGGCTCTTCATCACCGTCGACGCCCCGCAGCTCGGCCGGCGCGAGAAGGACATGCGCATGAAGTTCGTCGGCGACGACGGTGTCGCGAAAGTGCAAGACGGACAGTCTGACATCAAGAAAGATGAAGGGGTTGCCCGCGCTATCAGCGTGAGTCTTCCCGCTACCGAATAAGCATGGCGCTAATCCGGGCGTCCTGCAGTCTTTCATCGATCCGAGCCTCTCGTGGAAGGACATCCCGTGGTTCAGGAGCATCACGAAGAGCAAGTTTCTTTCTCTGGTGGGCGTTCTGGGGTGCTGGCTGACGTTGGCTTGGCAGTGCCCATTATCCTCAAGGGTATAGCGACCGCCGAAGACGCTATCTTGGCATACGAAGCTGGCGTCCAGGGCATCGTCCTCTCAAACCACGGCGGCCGCCAGCTCGACACGGCGCGCTCCGGTCTTGAGGTCCTCGTTGAGGTCGTGCCTGCTCTGCGGGCGCGCGGGTACTTCCCGGACCCCAACTTCGAGATCTTCGTCGACGGTGGTGTGCGCCGCGCGAGCGACGTGCTCAAGGCCCTCGCACTCGGCGCAAAGGCTGTCGGTGTCGGCCGGCCGTTCCTTTACGCGTTCTGTAGCTACGGCCAGGATGGCGTTGAGAAGGCTATCCAGATCTTCCGGGTATGTAACCTCTCTATGTCCTCGGGATATTAAAGTGACAGTGTATCAGGACGAGTTCGAGATGAACATGCGTCTGCTGGGTGCGCGCACTATCGATGAGCTGGTTCCCGAGATGGTCGACGCTAGCGCGCTGTCCTCGCACGTTGTCCTTACGCCGCAAGACACCCTGTTCCAGAACACCTGTGAGTGTATTGACCAAGTCCGCAAGCTCGACTCACTAACACCACTGTAGATCAACCTCTGGTGGGCGCGGCGTTCCAGGAGAGCAAGCTCTAGGCTCTACCTGCGCAGTTCTCTCGAGCCCAAGTATCATCCCACTCCTTCCGCAGTCCACGTGTACTCTCAATGTAACATACCTGAATTATATGGCTAGTTTCGCACTGTGACGAGCGGGAGATTCAGGTTACATCGAAGGTCATTGCATCATTGCTCGGGCATGAAACTCGTAAAACATTCCACGATCTACAAGACCAAGGCTACTGCACCAGCACCGGCAGTCCAACATGCTCCCAGGGAAACCGAAGCGACGATGCTGGCGCTCTGCGGCAAGCGCGCCCAGGAATAGCATAGTCCCCCGGCTATCGCAAGTAGGAAACCTGTGATAGAGAACCACATGCACAAGGTATGGCAGTGCTTCAATAGGTGCGTCGGCGGGCCACTGGCAGAGCGGAAAGGTCCGCATTGCTCCAAGTGTGGACTGGTCGTCCAATGGCCCCCGCGTAGCATGTTCGACGAGCGCCCCGATTCTAGTGAGGGCCTTGCTTCTGCTTGCCACTCCTCTTCTGTGGCTTCCTTGACGCGGTAGCCTATGAGGAAGAACGAGGCGAGGAAGGCGAGGATTGCTATTCTCGAAACGCGGTGCTGAGCTGAGTGTGTCCATGGTCGCACGAACGGCTTACCTGCGCTCAAATGTACAGTGAATGCACCGGCTAGTACGGTACATGCAGCAATCTGCAGATGGGTTGTCGGCTGATCTCGAGTCGGTGTAACGGAACCTAGCAATGTTGCCTCCATAGTCGCAAAGAAGGTCGTCTAGAAAGAGCAATACGTTGGATGTCCATCCTACTAAGTATCAACGAGCCCACGCACAATAACACTGATGAGCTGTAGCCCCGCCATCCAAGATTGGACAAGATCGTGTTCAGCTGCTTTGCGTTGTTTCTCGTTCAGCTGACACTGGTCCTCACGGTCTTGCGTCACTGCAGCGTCATATCTCAGTATACCACCATACTTCATGGGAAGGAAGGAGCATCGCATACTCGGTCTCTCAGTCTTGAATCCCTTCTCTGGCGCGTAGCCGCCGTCGCGCACCACTGGAGTGGCCCTGTTCACTAAGGTTTTATGTAGGTGAGCGTCGCCCGACAAAGCGGAAATGCCTCCGATCCCGACTCGGAGGAACGCTTGCACAGCATCGCGCCATGGCAGGAAACTGTGGTACTCACCATCGCCTTGTTGTGGCATACTGGATCGTAGCACCGGCAGAAGACTCGTGCCGCGGAGGCCACTATACTGCAAATGGCGTCCGACTCGAAGTCTTCGTTCCCAGTAGTCGTAGCGCGGGGCGCTGGGCGACCCCGACTCAGGCTTTAAGAGCGCAGGTTGACGTCGGTGACGGCTCTCCACGGACTCGGAGCCTTCACCCAACGTCGAGCGGTCGTGTGGTCAGCGACCACTCAAATCAGCAGCTACAGCATGGAAAAGAAGTACTAATATGGGCACTGGGATCATTCTTGCATGCTCCGGAGCGAAGCGGACGTTACTTCATCACGCCGCCTCGGCGGAATGCAGCGCCTTCGACCCGAGAATGGACAGAAACGTCGAATCATGGCGGCGCGCCGCTCACGAGCCACTGCGGCGGCGACTTATACCAGGTTTACCTAAATGAATGCGTCAGATGATGGAGGCCACGGCGTATCCGGATCTGTGCATCAGACTTGTGTGCAGCTGTTGTCAGTGCCACTGATAAATGGGGTACTGACCGGGGTTCAGTGGAAGAATAGCCTCGAGCGCAGGTCCGGAGAGCTGTGCACGTTTGTCAAAACGTTGAAGTTTGAACGACGAGTATTGCAGATAGTACTTAGTCGGTGTTTGCCAACGCGTTCGGTCAAACCGGGGCGTATATACGCCAATCGCTATTGTCTCCTGTGAGAGTGAGCTGGCATCATATATAGTAGAAACTGGTAACTTAGGAGTGACGGTACTGGTAAACAGTTCAGGAGAGACGTCCATATACGCCCATACCCGCGTCTAATCACGTGTTTTCATCATTGGTACTACTGTATCGTTCTGAATCTAAGGTGGCTCAGATTAATGTACAGTGACACAGAAAAAATCTGAGTGCATGGAATGAGTATACCAGCACATGTTCATTTCAAACAAGATACATAAATACTGACATCGATTGCTGAACACGAACCGCGAACCGGTCGTCGATTCAAGAAGGTATCAGGACTGTTACAGTACTACAGCACTGGATTCGAGTCAGGGATCATCGTGAACTCCAGTATTATCACGAGTATGTATGGTAGTAAGAATAATAGGGTGGTATGATAGTGAATGCATAATCCACTGCAGATAGAGAAGCATGGAGACTGGTGTTATAGATACATTGAAGTTGGTCGTAAGCAGGCGTCAACATACACGAAGAGTGGATGCCGTTGGGAGGGTCTGTGAGTGAAGTTCGTCGCATGTCACGAGCAATGTCTTTGTGGGGGTATGTAGCCTCATCGTCATACGGTCAGGCTCAGAGTGCAATGAACACTGCCCCTAAGGCCGCGAACCAGGACACTGCCATACACGCACTGGCGAAGATGCTCGCGCTCCGAGACAGACGTGCCCACGTGTAGCATAGTGCCCCTGCCAATGCAAGCGCAAAACCTACGACAGCCAGCCACATGCACAACGTATGCAGGTGCTCCAGCAAGCGCGTCGGCGGGCCTCCGCGACGGAACGGACCCATCTCCTCCAGATGTGGATTCGCCGTCCAGATGCCAGTCTTGAGCGCCGATTTGGACGACGTAGGCGTGATGCCGGTCTCGATCTTGATCTCTTCCTTGGCTGCCTCTTTGAGGCGGTAGCGCACTAGGAAGAAAGCTGCGAGGAATGATATGATCGCTGAAGAGGGTCCGCCTATCAGCTCGTGAACACGCAAAGGCTGGACGAATCCATACCTGCACACAGATGGATCACAAGAGCACCAGCTAGAATCGCGTTTGCGGCGGACCGAGTTCGCGATTCGGGCGTATCATCATCAACCGGCGTAGTGATGACCAGTAACTGCGTCTCTGTCGCAGCGAAGAAGGTAGTCTAGCATGTCGTCAGCACGCGTGTCATGGTCAAAGTCAAGCACCGTACGATGACACTGATCAGCTGCAGCCGATCCATCCACGACTTCACAAGTTCCTTCATAGCATTCTTCCGGTTTTCAGCATCTGTCTCATCCTGATCGGTTTGAGTCCCTGTGTACAGGAGCGTCGGTGAATGAGAGGAAGACAGTGTTTCGAATGAGCGAAGGGCCTCACAATTCCGCACAGGCTGCACGCCTGTTTGCATATGGACACCGTCCTGCCCCGGTGCACCATTCTGTGCGGGACTGTAGCCTGCTGAGCTGCGGATATCCGTGGTGCTCTTTGAGGTCGTAAGAGTCCGAAGGACGGCAGGGTCGATCAGCAGGAAAGGTGAACTGGCAGAGTTAAGAGGACGAGGCTCCTCTGTCATCCGCCTCGACTCTCTCAAGAATGACTTTCCTGGAATGACGATGTCACGTCTTGAGCTTCCCCATTTCTGAGCAACAAGAATCACTTACCATGAAGGTCACGGGCCATGATCTAGTAGCGTAAGTAAATGGGCACACGTCTGCTGTGGTCAGTGGCAACCGAGGTATATATGTATGACGTGGGACACAGCCGCTAGACGCATCAGCGCTACTCCGGTCGATTGCTTCGACAGCCGCGCTGTTAGATCCGCCAAGGTCGGCTGCTCGAGCTCCGCCAAGGTGGAGAAGGAAGAGTTCTTGTGGTCAAGAAAATGCAGCTGTAACACCATCGCACCGCCACCTTGTCGCGAACCTCGCTATGCTACAGACATCCTCAGTCGCAGCGGATTGGCCATCCTGTGTCTATCCTCATTGCAATCGTCAGACAAGAGTCACAACGAGCAGAAACGCGGCGAAATGTCCTACCAACCGAATAAGTCGACGCGAGCGCCTGAGCGAAGTGACCGGAGCCAAGCAAGAGAAGCTGATGCCTCACTCCGCAGACAGAGCGCTCGACGCGCCCGAACATTCCAAATTAGGACACCTCCCCCGCTTTGCTAGGCCCTTCGTGCGGTTCAAACACGCACTGTAACATCATGGCTACTCGGCAGCAGGAGTCGCAAAGAGTCTCCTGCGAGGCGGTGCGACGATGTGGTGGAGCATCGAGCGGAGGAACAATAGGAGAGGCCTCGTGGACCTATACCAAGCAGTGTCGACCTTTTGTCCGTGGGGCTTCTCAGTCCGAGGGCAGTCGGATTATGCGCACTGCGTGTGGAAGGTGTACGCAGTGGTAATCGCCGCAGCACCCATATACACCCATATAATCACGTGCGAGGCATTGCGGAAACAGATGCCGTAAGTAATGCTTGGATGAAAGAGTTTACATATTATATAGAGCTGAAGATACCTAGTAAGCATAATTCATAGTCGTTACAGAGCCAGAGCCAGAGCCAGAGTCCAGATGAGACGAGGTGTCCTGCGATGACGCACAACGAACACTCAGCACGAGCACAAGAACCACCAACGGACTGAGCCACACACCACAGCAAAAGGCGACCTGCGCCGTGTAGTGCCACACCCGCATCCACATGCCAACCTCATATAGTCGGTTGCGACCAGATACCGCTGCTCGCGATCACCCATGCCTCATGCCTGAACGCTGCGGCCGCCTCCGGGTCGCTCTCCCGATCCGGCCTCGTCTCCCGCCGCTCGATGTCCATGGCGATATCACTGAAGCCGATGGCGCATGTGCGGTGGCCGTCCGGGAAGGCATGGAACGCCTCGCGGTGCGTGAAGATGATCTCGAGGTAGTCGCCGCCCGTGGTTGCGTACTGCCCCGCCTGCAGCTGGCTTCTGAGCCACTGCAGCAGCGCGCAGCCGCAGGGCGGCGGCTCGTCGGCGGTCTTTGTGCAGTTTGAGGATGCCGACGGGCTTCTGGGCTGCGTACGTTGCTTGTGAGCGAGTTGTATGGGGCGACGGAAGGTGACGCACCTGGGATATCGAGTCTTCTGTGTCGGATGTGTCGGACATGGTCGCGTCTTGACGATCGTCCGTTAGTGACGTCGTTTGGTGCTCTTCGCTTGCCTTTCTCCAAACGACAACTGTCGGCATTCATATACGTTTCGCACAAAGAGATGGAACTCACAATGCCCGCGCTGCCCCACCTCGTAGCATCGAGCGTCATGTTACTCAAGAGTTGCGTCAAGTGCATGTCGATATCCATGTTCTGTGACAACAATTAACTTCAAGGCGTACACACAGCAATGCAGTGGCTCACCGCTGAGTGTTATTTTGCAGACGGGGGTCGCTGTAGCGTCGGGCCACAAATTATGTGAGCCCCCAGAGAATGTATGATGAGGGTGGCGAACAAAGAGGTCCTGAAGTAACCCCAGCCGACGCTACATACACCCCTAGCTCCCATGCGCCTCGTTGCACAGTGCAGGACGCATCAGGCGAGTCATGCACGATGTTATCGGATGGCTTGCTCGGGGCTCTTCCGAGTGTCGATCTGCAAAGTCAACGGCAGGCCTGATAGCAGTGATGCATCGGCCCCTAAATCAATCGTTCCAGCTGGGCTGCAGCATCGGGAGAACCTGGAGTCAACGACAAAGACGACCATATATGAAAGCCTTCATGAGTTGCATAGCGGTGCGAAGTATGTAGGAGGACGATCGCAAGCTGTGCGACAGCAACTGCATTCTTCCGCACGTCTAACACGAGGCAACGTTTGGGCAGCATCCCCTGGCATCCCACCACGAGGCTAGAGGAAGGTCACCGAGTCGGCCCGAACGGCCCGAATGCAACACCTGCAGAGTGCAACCTCGACCCAGTCGATCCAGTCGAATACGAATGATCCGCAAGTCCCTCTGTAGACGAGTGAGATACCTTCCAAGTAGAATTGATCTGTTTGAACTGGCCTCAGTACCTTGTGCAATCCCTGAATCAGTTGGTAATGCATGGGTACGCAGCGTCGTCGGCTCGGGAGCAACAGCAAAGCCCACACGAAGCGACCAGGTAACGCAGCTGCGGCGGGGGCAGCGTTCGCTGATCGACAGCAATAAGCAGTAGGAGTGCTATGATACAATGCATCACCAAAGCGAATAATGTGGAGCGCCGAACTCTGCGCACAGCAGGGAGCACTCAGTCTGAAAGCTCTATCCTGAGCATTTGGGTTCTAGATGGACGCAGAAGCTAGACCACGCACCAGATTGCTCATGACGAAGAGAGCGCCTCACAGTCTGCAAAGTTCTCTCCGTACTTCTCCATTGTCTCCCGCCACGCCACCGCCCACTCATTCAGCTCGTCAACGAAGATCCCGCCATGTTTGCCCATCTTGCTTTGAATGTTCTTCTCCAGCTTGTTGATGGGCACCTCCGCGTAGTCGCCCTGAAGAAACGGCTTCACGAGCGTATAATGTACGACGTGTACGTTCTTCTTCAGGCCTGCCCACATCGCTGCTGTGCGCTTCTTGATGGCGAGGTTCCCGTTGTACGTGAACGGCAGCCGCAGCGCCTCCTTCCCAAAGTAGTGGTTCAGGAACGACTGCTCCGCGTCTTCCGCCGGGTAGTTCGCCGTCGCGATCTTGGACACCATGTCCTTGAGGACCTCGCGCGACGGGCGCAAGAACAGCACGCCCGCGTTGAACCCCGACGAGAACCCGCGGTCGTCGAGTAACACGTCCGGCACCGCGGCGAAGCGGTACGGCAGGCTAAAGAGCTCGTCGAAGTTGCGGTACACGAGCGTGTCCGCGTCGAGGTACACGAGGCTCTTGATCCCGATCTTCTCGAGGTCCCACAGCTGCAGCTTCGAGTACTGGTCGAGGAAGTGGCGGTGCACGCCCTCGTGTGGCGGGGGGATGCGCGCGACGGGGTGCGGGGTGAACCCGCTCACGCTCGCGATGCAGACCGCGCGCGGGGACGTCTTCTCGGGGAGGTAGATCATGATTTTGCTCGCGGAGCTGTTGATTTTGTTGAGCGTGTGCCCGAGCGTGGCTACGGCGGTCGCGAACGCGTCCGTGTAGAGGCTCGTCACGATGGCGTTCTCGGAGCTCGCGGCGGAGATGGCGACGTCTGGGGCGAGTAAGGAGAATTCATTTCTGCGAAACACTGCCCAGTGAGTGGAAGACGTCTCTGGGGATGGGAGCGGACGAAATTGGTGGCAAGCTGCGAGGGTGGTCGGCCGTCGCCGCATACCGCACGCGTTCAAGTGCAGTCCATGGCCACAAGAGAAGCAGAACTCACAAAGGTTGATAGTTATCCAATGCCGTTGGTGTTGTTCCAACCCACCACCTCCAAAGGAATATAATGTTGAGGAATATTGACAAGCCTATAGCGATGCCACCTGGCGTCCACCGCCTCTTCGACTTTGCCGTCGAAACCTGCTCGTTCCACAGAGGCACATAGTCTCTATACCTCCGGAACATTGAGAATTGGCCCATGGCGTAGGACGCTTAGTAACACGAGCAGAAACCGCGTCAAGCTGGAGAGTGTGAAGTGCTGCGGCGGAGGCGCGGTGTGGTAACTGGCCAAGGTCACGAGCGTTAGGCAGACGATTTGATGGCGATTTAGAGCCTCAGTGAAGAAAACATCCAGGATATATATGAATTGTCGGAGAGGTGAATGTCAATGTCGTGGGCACCTCGGTAAAGAGCTGAGCGCTGAGGCTCTGCACTGGACAGCAGTGCAGCGGCGTCACGGCAGCTTGAGCGCGGGGTTTCCATTTTTAGCACCAAATACTTGCCTTTTCCGCACGAGCTATATTTAGATCGAAGGCAGCCAATCACAACATCCTTTCTATCTGTGCATGCCAGTGAGGATCTGTGAGTATAGTAAGATTAGTGCGTTGCAACAGTTGGAAAGCTACTGCTGAGTCTAAATGCGCACAGTTACTTTGCTTACGGGCGCCACCTCCGTCGGCAATTTCTATAACAGGAAGATGCCGCCTTCGCCAACGATCACGTGCGCCACTGTAACGGTAGGTACACCGTCACGCAGCCGAAGTTCTCAGATTCAATCCTTCATCGCGTTGTCCACCATCCCCGTGTTCAACGCACTGATGGCCATTACGCCACGGAACACGTATCTCCGAATGAAGCTCATGTCTTTCCTATTTATAGGGCTGGAACCGCCCGAGCGGCAATGGAAGACAGGCAGACTTGACCCGGACGCGGTCAAGCTTGCCCTCATGCCTTGTCCTTCACCTTCATGACCAAACACGCCCGCTGCGCCCTCCTCTGTCTCCTGCTCGCGGTGTGTGTGTGGGCGCAGGATGTACAACCCGACTACACAGTGTACGCGGACCCAGGGTGCGTAATCTACAATCGCTACCTCCTACGCCATCGCTGACTTGTACGAGCCCAGTTATCCAGACGATCCGATCCTGGACTTGAGGCCACCATTTCCTCGCTCGCTGCCCGTTCAGGTCGTGCTCAATGGCATCGTGCTCACCCTTTCATCGGTGCTGTTCATCCAGCTGCTATTTACTGCGCAGTACCATTGGCCACTGGCCCCCGTCAACTTCATCCTCCAGCTGTCTGCCGTGTTCACGCTGCTGGTCTGTGCGACCGTGACGACGCACATCGTCTTCAGGTCTGTCGACGCCCAGAGCCGCGCCTGGCCGTACATGCTCAACTATCTCGCCGTGGACATCCCGCCGAGCTCGCCTGTATATGTTAATTGGCCCACTGCAGACCTAGTCGCCTGGTTCCTCATGACCGCCACATGTGCCGGACTCATCCAGGCACGTCGGCGCACTTTCCTTCTCCGTAGCCTTTCTTACAGCCCTTCAGATCGCGCACATCCAGTTTCTTACCTTGCTATTCCCGTCCAAGCTCGAGAAGCGGCTTATTTATATCCTGTTGGCGCCGCTCGTCCTCATGTCTGCCGTCATGCAGCTGTTGCGTGTGACCGCCCGGCACACGCTACTCGAGTCCATAGTCGCAGTCCAGAACATCTGCAACGCGACGCTGTCCCTCCTCTTCACCGCCGCGCTCTTCACCTGGGGCTTCCTCGTCAACCGGAGGAACGCCTGGCGCATGGACGGTGGCACAGCAGCATTTGGGGTGGCGCACTCACTCTCGCGCCCACGTCCACGGCGATCGCATTCCTCTACGTGCCGACGAAGGAGCAGTACACGTGGATGCCCCAGCTCATGTGGGCGATCTTCCTCTGGCAGAGCTTCCTCGGCTGGTGGTGGTGGGTCGGCGCGGGCATGGGCGTCGGCGAGGTCGACGAGCTGCTCGGCCGCGAGGAGAAGCGCAAGCAGAAGCGCACGCAGCGCAGTACCCGCCGCCGCCAGCAGCGCGAGCGTGCAGAGACCGTCCTCCGGGGTGTCACCGGCGCGCTGCGCTTCCGGCGCACCGGGAGCGAGGAGCGGCCCATTTTGGGCCGGACGACTACCGTCTCCACGACCGACTCCACGAGCGGCACGATTTCTTCGAGGCCCGCGCTGGGGAGGCAGCTGTATGACTGGTTCCTGTATTGGCGGAGCGAGCACCTGGAGGCGACGCGCGCGCAGGCTGTCGAACGTTCAGAGCGGACTCGGCGGGATCGGTGATCGGCTGGGGCATGGGCAGTTCGGCTTCCACGACACGCGAAAACGCCAGACCGAAGCGAGAGACGACGAGACCGTCGTCGCATCCGACTCGGACGTGGATGCAGAGTCACCGACACAAGTGGTGGTCGATTCCAAGCTGGACGGGACGTCTGGTGTCGAGGTGGTGTCAAAAGACGCAGGATTGCATGTACGACATCCGGCACACGAGGATGCTCCTCTTCCTGTGGCGAGACGGTCGTTGAAAGCCGGAGATACAATGATTCCGGCGGAGCAGGCGTCGTCGTTCTGGTGGTTAGGTCCATTACGGCGGTGGCGAAGACAGGACTCGACTGTGTATTGATATGGTACGTTCCGCATCTGAATGCTTTGTAGCGATGTTGTCTCTTGCTGTCTGTAGACGCTCTCTTGTGGCTGTTGCGCAATGATTGTTTGTACGCTATATACAGGTGGACGGAGCCGCCGTTGATCGTTCGTCAGCGTCTCGTCGTAGGCTTCGCGACGAATATTCCAGGACTAACAGCAGCGTCGTCGTACAAGCAAAGTTTTCATTTCCGGGATTAACGTACATGTTCAATCATGCTAGGACGCAACGGACGAGACAAGATGGCTCCCATCCGTACGGCTGTCATCATCCCCGATGGGCGGCCGACCCATCTGGGGGTACAACACCGTATCTCCCTCCTCCCCTTCTTCCTCTACGGGCTGCGTCCTGTGGTCAATGGCTGTGCGCAACCCTTCTGGCACGGCGTGGCCATCAGTTACGGTGTGTATCGAGTCTGTTTGAGGCATTGCGACGAAGTGCTGACTCGTAGTAGCATGTCGAGGTATCACTGAGTCCAGAGGGCGAACATCGTCTGTGATATCCGGGGTTTCGACAGCGGCATGCTTCTCTGCGCTCGTGGTATGTTCCTCCTCTGTGCCACCGGCTTGCCTACGATGTACTCCTCTCGACCAAGGCGTTGCGTTGGCTGCTCGGGCAGGGTCTGGGACGTTCCGAGGCATCATCGCATGTCGGCTTCTCGCCGAGTCGAGGGAGGAGGATGAGGAGTCCTTGAGGTCTGGTGGGATGATAACAACATGTCTCTCCGCACGGCCGGTGTAGTGTCCGGCCGCGACATCGCCATGCATATGCTCCGCTCTCCTTAACCTCGGGGTTGCTTGGGTAGAGTCCGGGAGTTGATGAGGCACGACCGCATCATGCGGCAGTTCCACGTTTCCAACTCTCTCCACATTGGAAGCCTGTTCGTGCTCTATGATCCTGCCAGTCATGTCAACTGGTCTCCATGTGCCCAAGAGCATACTTGTCTGGATTCCACCTATGAGTATGAATCATTAATGGGTTGTCTAGACTTTGTCCTCAGCAAGGTGCTTTACCTTGGTTGTAGTCACCAGAAACCCAATTGCTGGGTTTTGGCTGCACAGATGGCTCTCCAAAGTCCTGACTTAATGTATAATGTTAGTTAACTGATGATGGCATGTATATTACAGATCTGACAACTCACAAGAGCTTTCCAGCAGCACGACCAAATTCCTTCACTTGTAGTGCATATGGATATGTCTCCCATAGTTGAATGGCCCAACTTGCTCTGTGCTGGGTTGCAATGGTATGGATGCTATGTCCAGCATTTGTGATTTGTCCTGAGAAGCCTGGGTGGGGGTTCTCCTCCAATATGGGGCATAAAGTCTGCAGTATCTTCCTGAAGCATCTCTGGGAAACTGCAGTCTGTTGATTCTCCAAGTAGGTCAAGTCTGGGTGCTGTGGGTCTACTGGTGAGAAGAGGGGATATTCACTACTAGCAACCACACATTCTGGAAGGAGCTGCAACAGGTTTTGTGCCAGATCTATGTTGTCAAGAGGAGAGGCTGCCTGAGACACTTTGAGAATTGTGTCACAGAGTGTGTTCTGTATCTCATAGATTGGTAGTTCCATTTTTCTCTTCTTCTGAAGTGACAGCTTCAGGCATGATACAAGTTGCTGGAAAGTATGTGTTGCTGTTCTCACTGTAAGCTAAAGTGGAAATAATGTACAATTATGACTTACCATCCCCTGCAGGAATTTTTGAAGCAACAGCCTCCAACAGCATTTGTGCCATTGGTTTGATTGTATCACAAAGAGTCAATGTTGGAGCATGGCATGGTCCTATCCTAGTGTTGAAGTCCCTGGGAGTTCTCAGAGCACCCTCCAAGCAGGATGTCAAGCTACTGACAACTGTTGCTTCTCAGTCCTCTGTAAGTCAGTGAGGAATTGATCAGCTCACCATCTTTGCACTCTTGTATTGAGAGAGATTCAGAGAGGCTCATTGACAGTCTTTGGATCCCCTCAGCAAGATCCAATGTATAGTTGCGCTCCTTGTCTCCACCACTGTGAGCTGTTGATAGCATGATTTCTAAGCATGAAGCCAGCCTTGTCACAGCTTACAAATTGAAGGGGTTAGAGCTTGTATAAAGAAGGTTAATCTCTGACTCACTATGACTTGGGACAATGAAATGTTCTGCAAAGGAACAGACTAGTTGTGATAACTTTGTGACACCTTTGCCTTTCAACAGATGATTGGTATTTGCTTCAAGAGCATGACACATTACACCATAGACAGGCAAGAACTGGTGCATATCTTTCAATTTTGTATGCCCAAGGATGTTCTCCAACAACTGCAAAAGGTTTTGCTGATCTGTGTAGGCTAACCACTGATCTTCTTGAAGCAGGGTCCCTTCAAGAATGAGTGTTGTCATGTATGCCAGAGTAATACATTCTTCAACTGTGATTCATCAGTAAAGGATTGATTATGAGAGCAACAATGACATACTTTTGAGTCTTTGAATGCCAGACTGAAAATGCCCAGTATGATGACATAGTATCTCAACTGCATCTGACCATATACATCTCTCAGACAGAGCTACATTTGGAGGACCATTGACCTGCACTATGCTTATGTAGCTCTGATGAAGCCACTGTGCAAGTTGTGCATATAGTGACAACTGAGAGGATGGGATGACTGGAAAAAGACTGTTGATGAGGGATAATGTGTGCATAGGCTTCACATCCTTTGCTGTCATGATAGATGAAGCAGACAATGGGTCTTGGAACTTTGCAACACTCCATCTGTTCAGTATATCAAGAGCAAGCTTGCCCAGCTCAACAACTGCCCTACCATCTGTACTAGCATGCCATCTCAACTGTGGAAAGGCTTCTCCATGGGGAGAAGGAAGAGCTGCAGGTGCTCTGACCTTTGCAAACTCAATCAGAGCAATCAACTCTTCTTCAGTTGATGCATGTACTGAATTCTCACTGTCTGACACTTGTAACTTCTTTACATCCAAATCCACCCAAGTATGTGCTGAGATATCTTTGACAGCATTTATGGATTTCCTGTGGATAAAAGGCATTCTAGCCTGTCTCAGCTTTTCTAACAGGTAGGAAATCCACCATGCTTGTGGTGACCTGTATGGACAATCTGCAGCAAGTGCTGGAATGGCAAGTGTGGCCCCAGAGAATGATAGCAATGCTGCCACTGGCACAGCAACACAACAGGCAACAGCAATGTCCAGGGTCCAAAGAAGGACCAAGAGCCCTGCCAAGAAAAAGGTCAGAGCTGACTGCAGAAGTAATGGTAAGAGTGCAATGATCTCTGGGACATTCCATGCCATTAGGCCATGGTGACGAAGTGACCATAACCGTACCCGTTGATAAGCATCAACAGTGTCCGGGGCGACGTAATTCGTGAGCCACTGCTTCACATTGATGGCAATGGACGCCGCGCCTAGACTGAGCACTAGCGCGACAAACCATAATGCGTTGATTGTAATTGCCGAAGCTTTGGGTGGGGTCGAGGTCTGGAGCTGCGGATAATACTGGACATTGAAGGATGTGACCACCGCGGAGAAAAGACCAGCCTAGGCAAGTACTATTGACGGCTAGCACATAAGACGATGCAGGTGTCCGGCTTACGAAGACGAGGAGAGTATCGATCTCCCGGTTCCACTTGTCTACCATATCCTTGTCGCGATTCCAAACATCTGTAGCGCATGCCGTCCATGCATTTGAATACCCGCTCTGCCCGGTCGCGTGTCACTGAAGGGCATTATACCTGTGGAATTTAGGCGACATACCTCGGCACTGTCCGTGTAGGATTCCGATGGACCACGCATCTTCGAGTCCTCGCGAACAGCGGAGAACTGTGCTTCGGGATCCACGTCTAATGAAACGGTACGAAAGGCCATAACAAGACGATGTTGACGAGTTGCGGCTTTAGGAGGAACACACGCACAATGAATCGTCTCGAAACAGACAACGTAGGCGAGACTCACCTCTGAGGGCGACTGGAAGATGGTAGGATCAGAGAGCTTGAGCCGAGAGTGCTCAAGATGATATGTCCGTCTATTAGTACGGCGACAATCTTAACGCGCGTACCACACACTGCCATGTCAGCGCCTTTGGAAGGGCCACGAATGACTGAAGCCATCAGACGGACCAGAACCGTGATTCCAGGCTTGCAACTCAGACCAAGCCCGCGGTGACCTCTTGACATTTGGGGACATGCGACTTTATTGTTAAGAGCGCTGTGTGGTTCAGGTGTGAACACGGACGGCATGGCTCCTAGTCATACGGATACGTCAATCGATCAAATCAACCTACGAGAAAAGGAACAAACCCTGCCTTGACCGAAAGATTGAGCCGATACGGGTGGGAACGAGGGATGTGTCTATGGCGGCGCAATGCATGGCAAGTATGACTGTTGTCGCATTGGCCTCTGGCCCAAAGCGTTCCATGCAGTGTCGCGACGACAGCATATATATATGGTTAGCAACATGTCCTCTTGATGCACCGCCAAACTGAATACACGGTGTGGTTCATCATCATCATCAGAACAAGAAGCTGTGTGGTTGATATGTACGTACGGCGTCGACAAGAGAACGTTGCGCTGCTCATGAGGTTCTCTACATGCATGCTGACAGTGTATTCGGATGATGAGTCTAAAGGGAATTTGAGTTTGCCCTCGCGCTGAGTTGGCGGTCAACGCTGGCCAGTCGCCAGCAAATATAGAGAAGGGAGCCAATTAATAGGCAATCAAAAACTGCCGTCCAGTTTTACATTGTGATGTATTGCAACCCGAACGCGGAAATACGGACCTGCGAGCGAGACGGCGTAAGCAATTGGACAGACATAGCTTCAAGGGTAAGATGCAAAGTCAGAGAGAAGATAACGTCCCTGCTCGCGCAGGCGACGTAGTCATTCGGGAGCTCCGCGCATCCAGAGGCACGCGGCCTCCCGTCGGACGAAATATGTCGACACTTTGTTTTCAATCCCGAGCGAGCGAAGTAGTGGCCAGCCGAAAACTCACCTACAACACTTTCCTCCATCTATAACTCCGTAGCCTAAGGGTATCGTGTCCACTGCGGAGATGCACCGTAGTCGACTTGCACAAGGTCCACAATGATCCAGAATGAGAACAACAAGAGGTCGCCTTGGTCGTATAATCGCATGTCATGTCGTGTCCGTGCCGTGAGAGTCGTCAGGAGCCCAAGGAAAGATGAACCCTAAATGATAGCAAAGACCATGGTCGCAAGACAGACACCAAGGCAGACAGTCGTGAAGATGCTGACAGCCGCCGGCGTCGCGACCCACGCATACGCCAGGATGCCGACCACGCCCAGAATAAACCCGATCGCCGACATCCAGACTGCCAGCGAATGGCAGCGGGATAGCAGTTGGATAGGCGGGTTCAAGATCGCGTCCGCTACATCGTTGGGGTTCGCCGGGGACATCACTCCCTTCGAGCCCTTCACGAAGGTAGTGTACGTCGAGAGCGGGCGGAAGCAGCTCACGGTGATGCGGGCGTAGACGGGGTTGCTCGGGTTGCTGGACGTGTCGGAGAGTGTCGTGGTGTCTGCCACGGGTGCAGAAGAGGTGGACGGTCGGTGTACGTGCTTGTCCTTTTCGCCAACCTGCTCGAGGTCTCGGACCGTGGCTTTCATGGTCGACCTACTCGTGCTCGCGGGCGTGCCGTCGGCTACCTGGTCCTCTTGGTCGTCTGCGTCGATAAGCTCGAGGCGCACGAGGATGAAGGAGGCGACAAAGGCGAGGATTGCGGAACAGACGTGGAAGATAAGGGCTCCCGCGAAGCTAGCTGTCGTCAACTTGTCAGTGGCGCTCCAAGGTGCGTCCGGATCGCCTAGGTGGGTGGATGTGCTCGCTAGAGAGAAGAGGAGCGAGTCTATGGACGAGAAGAATGATGCCTAGCAGGATGACGAACACGAGCTCAGGGAGAGGCTGTATGGCTAACCAGGCATGACTCACGATCCCGCTGACGAGCGACAGCCTATTCAGCCATATCGACACGACCTGCAGAATCGCCTCCCTGAACGCGCTTTCGTCGCTGCCTGAGCTCGCCGATACTAGGAGCAATCGTTATCAGTAAGTATATAACTTACAGTTACAACTGTCAGTTAGATCGTCAGGCTCACGTTGCTGCGCTGTTTCAATACGCGTTGGTCGTAATTTGAAGACGTTCGTGAACATGGTGGTCATATGCAGTCCTCTGTGAAGCTACTGCACGATTATGAGCCGCTGGTGCAACGGCCCCGAGCTCGACATATTCGGCGCAAGGTTCTGATGAACAGGCGGTGTTCGAAATGGACCAGTAGACTGAAGCCCACCACCTGCGAGTCGGAACACTCGGAACACTTCCATCTTGTTCGCATCCTTGACGCCAGACCCATACCGACCATTATCTATGCAGGAGGAGCAATGCAAACATCTGGAGGCCAGTGATTATGAAGTGCAAGGAAAGCCAGGAGTAACAGCGACCTTCAGGAAACAGAAAGTCTCCGAACAGTCTCGCCGCCTCACAGTGTCCCGTGACGGTCACACATGTCACACTCGTAACTGTGTGCGTAACTCTCAACTAATGCGATTTCTGCGTATTGATATCTCTGGAACGAGCTATAGAGTCTGTACAAATATATCGTGGAGAAATCGGTGTCGAGAACACAGTTCAGCTCTGCCCCTGCACATAGCTGAGAGATCGTAGGCAATCGGTGTAGCCAACGCGGTCATGTGACTGTAATATCCTCAGGCTAGCATCCCGCCCTACTCAAAGTCTCAGCTGCGAACACTTCATAGCGTTCGCTCAGCGCCGATGAGCAACCGTCATCACGTTGATTGAAAACGCAACCACCCTCAGTTGAAGTCAACGAGCGGGTATGGCGGGGGCTCGGCTGGATGGATCACCACCAGTCTGGAGTCGGTGAATGCATCCACGGTAAACTTGCCGTATCCAGACGCCCCGCTGAACGTCATGGTGAGCGATTTGCTACCATGACGCTGATATGTTCTTACCTGAGGCCACCATGCTCTCTGGTGTCTTCGACGTGTATTGTCGGTCCGTTGACATTGACGCATCCTGCAGAGCTGTCAGCATTCGAAGCCACTACAGGCTCGACAGCTTACCGTATCGGATGCGACTTGAGACGTTCAGAGCCAAATTAAGGTCTCTGGTCCAAACACTTCCTACGAGAGAATATGTCGTCGCGTTGGCGAGCTCAACAGCCTCGTCACTGTATCCACCTCTACAACGACCGTCACTATACGAGCGAGGTAAGTGCGATTGGCGACCGCAACGCAGCGTCATGCTCACGGGGCCCGAAGCTTTCCCGCTCCCACAATCGCATCCCAGGCTTCACGCCGGTGACGATGTGCGGCTGAATAACCGCTCCCTCTCTGCTCCCATCGCCGAGGAGGAATCCCGCGCCATCCTGCTTCGCCTCTCGCAGCATGTTCTGGACGTTCTCAGCGGAATCCTCCCTGAACTGCGCGGAGAGCACCTCCCCCGGCCCGCCGGACTTAAACTTGCGGAACTGCGTCACGAGCGCTGCCTTCAGAGCGGCCGCCACTCCGCGCTGGACGATGACACGCTCGGTCGACATGCATATCTGGCCGGAATGGACGAGCGCCGAGGACGTGATGGCGCGTGCTGCCCGAGGGACGTCTGCGTCGTTCAGGACCTACCAAGGGATCGTGAGCTCTGACGACGAAGTGTGCGATAGCTTGGAACGTACGACTGCAGGTGCCTTTCCGCCAAGCTCGAGCACGCATGGCTTGAGATACTTCCCAGCCTCGGAGGCAATGATCTTTCCGACACGATCACTCCCGGTGAACTGGAAAAACGGTTGGTCCGCGGCCTTGGGAGACTTGCTAGAAAACGACTCACATTGATCTTGCGCACGGCGGGATGTGCGATGATTTCAGCAGTCCTTGCGGGAGCTGACTCGCGGGAGGTGTGGATGAAGTTGAGAACACCGTTCGGTAACCCAGACTACAATCCCTGTGAGTAAATTGACCTTGATAATCTCACCAGTTCGTTACCTCGTGAAATAATTCAGCGATGACGTACTGGATACGCGGGCTGACCTCGGAGGTCTTCAAGACCACCGTGTTTCCGCAGACGATAGGGTACCCGGCTGCACGTATCGTCAGGATAACCGGCGAATTCCACGGCGCGATAGAGAACCTGCAGACCCATGAACATCAGGTGAGTTGAGAGGCCATTTGAGACTCTTACACAACGCCCTGTGCCCTCCGTTGGACGAGTACTTGACCTCCGGGGATGTGCGACGGGAACGTCTCCCCTTTCAGTTCCGTGACCAGCGTAGCGAGCGTGCGCAGCATCTCCGCGGCCATGTTCAAGTTCAAGTTCACGATAAAATCCGTGGCGGCGATCTCGGCCTTGATGGCTTCCTCCACCTTCGCCCTGTATTTGTCTGTTTCTAGGAGCGCGGCGGCCCTCATGAAGAAGTCTCTTCTCTGTCCGAAGGACGACTTCTCCCAGGCGGGGAACGCACGGACCGCGGCGTCGACGGCATCCCTGCAGTCCTTGCTGGACGCACTTGCGGCGTACGAAACGAGCTCTCCGGAATAGGGGTTGTGGACCTCGTACTTAGCATCGCCGCTTGCGGGACGAGCTTGGCCGTCGATGAAGAGAGGGGCGAAGGGCGTGGTCTGAGCAGATGTAGACATGTCCTGCGCTCGAAATGAGTTCAGGGGGAGACGTCAGGGAGCAAACCTTCGAGCGATTAGTACATCGCCCGGCCGAGTAGCTTTAAAGTTCGATCAACGACTGCAGTGGTCCCCTATGATTTGTCATCTTCGTGGAGATCCTATTTGCGCCCGTGGCAAAGGAAGACGGGCCGTGGTTCGATAGATGTGAAGGACGTGGTGAAAATGAGTGAGTGTACTCTCTGGGGCCCGATTAGGCCGAAGGACGCCAGAATGAATAGGCAACGGCGGACTCGGAGGTGCATCCATCTTGGCTCGCCCTCCTGCACCAGCTTTCGCTGCTCCGCAGTACCATCGGCAACATGGCCACTGCGTTTTATCAGATAGCCTCCTATCCTTGTCCGCCGATTCATCGTCCAGTCAGAAAAGCAATCCAGTCCGAATCGGCAGCACTTGGACAGAACATTATCCTAGTAGTACGTCGCGCCGCTCATCTAGAGATCGGACTTCTGGCGGTGGTCAAGTGGATCCCGGGAACCATCATCGTCTGGACGACTCTGCGTCGATACTGTAGCATGCGACGTCCATCAATGCTCCAAGGACCACCTCTCCAAGCAGGGTCTAGCTTGACTTCACTGGCAGCCACATATGTAGTAGGGTATCGATGTTTCGATCGAGGAATCACCGAGAATTGCGATGCCATAAGGTCTGGCAACACCCTGCGTCAGGTAGCTACATACCGGCGGACCAGTGAAGGTCAAGTTCGGGCTCGATTACACGAACCCCGAGGGAGTCGCACCGCCGTGACGCTGCGGGGCAGAGAGGACCATAACAACGATTTGAGACATCTACAAGCTCCGATGATATCCGTGAGGGCAGTGTCAAGAGTTCAAACGTCTAGATGTTGAATTTAGGCAGCAATATTGAAGCAGGACGGACTCGGAGGACGGTCAAAGACGGTAGGCGCGCCGCGCTGGTGGCTGGCGCGCTTGAACCGCCGCGCGCGTTGCGCGAAAACTCGAATTCCCCTCTTCGGACTCCCGTCGTGTTCTGTCAAGTTACGATTCTGTCAGTTCCAAGACTCGGTAGCTTCCGGTTACCCTTGCAGTACTATAATATGTGCTAACGACGTTCCAGAGTAGTTGACATGAGAAACTGATAAGTATTTCCGTTTGTCAGGATTCGGCCCGGTCTGCCGGTGGACAGCCCGAGTGCTAAGTAGCATCGTGGTACGCAGAGATCTCCCCCTCCGAGTAAATACCTAGTATACCGCCGTTTCCCTGCAAGTTCAGCCTGGATATGAGCCGTGCATGATGGCGGGTGCCCACGACGTGAAGGATACGTTCAAGAAATCACAAGATGAGCGCTATGCACGGCTCTACCCTCACGAGCTTGCCTGGAGGGACAAACAACCGTTCCTCGAATCTCGCGGCTATATGCTACGACCTAGGTTAAGGGCAGGATGGATTCCATCTTGGAGGGTTACAGGTGCTCGCCCACTGGACTGTGAGGATGTCAGTCAACTACGCGTACGTGGCACGACAGACATCGTCCCAATGTAACGTATTGATTGAGCTGCAAATAGATGTTTCCCCACACAGTAGATGCTACGCGCATGTCAGATGGGAAACTTGTTTCCATCAAGCGCATCCGTACTGGCAGCACGGAGTCGCGTATCGCCACGATACTGTGCAGCCCGCCTCTGAACGACGACCCGACCAATCATTGTGTACCAATCTTGGACATGTTCGAAGATGACGAGGATGCGGTAGCGTCCTATATGGTTATGCCGTTTCTGCGCCATTTCGATGATCCTCCCTTCGAGTGTGTCGACGATGTTCTCGACTTCGGTGAACAGATGCTTGAGGTAGGGAGAACTTCACCGCTGCACATTGCACTACTAAATCGAGCCTTTCACTGCCTCGAAGGGACTGTCTTTTCTTCACAAAAACGGGGTGGCGCATCGGTGAGTGTCAAGCTCATGGCATGTCGGCTCGGCTGACCATGTACAGAGATGGCTCTTACGCTAACCTGATGATGGACGGCGGCCCATTACTTCCTCAAGGCTTTCATCCCACGAGAACCGCGTTTCTCCCTGACTGTCGGACGGTCGCGTGGCCATTGTCGCGCTCACACAATCCAGTCAAATACTACTTCATCGACTTCGGCCTCTCTGTGTATATCCCGTCGGATGTGCAGCCTAAGCTTACGACCGGCTGCTATGGCCGCGATCAGGAGCCGCCCGAGCTATCCGACATGAATCCCTATGATCCCTTCAAACTCGACATATACACCATGGGCAATGTCTTCTGCAAGGACTTCTACGATGTATGTTCTCTGTGGCTTCCGCGCACTTCTTGCTCACGCCATTTGACCAGAAATTCAACAATGTCGGCTTCTTACATCAAATAATTGAAGCAATGGCGCGCGAAAACCCGGGAAAGCGGCCCAGCGCTGCCGAAGCCTTGGAGCAGTGGCAGCATATGCGCAAGCAGGTGCCATATGTCCAGCGTCGTTGGCGACTGCGGCGTCGTGAGGAGCCACTCGCGGCTGCGCTGCTAAATGACAACGTCTACATATTGACGTTGGCCGCTCACTTGATAACGGGCTCGAAGACGACAACGAACATCCTACAAAACTAATGCCCCACGGAACTCGTTTCCGAGCTAACATCTTGGCTTGCCATCTTTGTTATGATATCGCTGTATGTTCTGCATGCATTGTTATACTCTGTATCACTTGCGATCCCATATTGCATCCAGGAATTGACAGAGGAGCCACCATTCGGAGTGACTTGGGTACGGCTTGACAAATATTGTTCACTTTGTGTGGCTCTGTCGCCGTCCCCTTCGACAGCTCCAGACCGCAGCTCCAGATAAGAGCCTCCTTGTTCCGAAGGTCAGTCGGCCCTTCTTGTGCTAGACTATATCGGTGCGATACTGACTGACCACCGCACATGTATCGCGGGTACAATCTCTCCGTCAGAGTCCACGATACACGTACCGGGTGTCCCACGGTGAGTCATGATGTCCTGCTCGGTTGTGGCTGTGACTGAGAAGCCTGCAAAGCGAATATGTCCGCACTGTTCTCACGGCAGGACTCTGAAGGCGAACTCCGATGTATGCAGGCTGCCATGGGCCCGTGGTCAGCGCTTCAGCCCCGGCATCCATGTAAGTAGGACGCTTCTTTCCGCAGAACTTCGGAGGCATGACACTATGGCGTGTGCGGTGCACGTTGCCAGCGATCTCCGTATGACGCTTATCATCGGTGGACTCGTGCCGTGGTCGTGCGTCGCCCTTGTGTCGTTAGGTGACTACCCAACCACGTCAGCATGGCATCCAATCACTCCGTTCAATTAACCGACACCATTTGCATACCGAATCATACGCATGTAAGTCGTCGCTGCAATATGTGGCATTGTCATCTGCTGCAGTGTGCAGTGTGAAGAAGTCAAACGCTTGAACACTAGAGTTGCGCTGAAAATTGATATAACATTTCTGTTTTCCTAACAAACAAGGCGACGACTAATTTCTGTGCGTGTATCTGTCGTAATTCTATCGTACACAATCACAATCACAACATAGAGACAATTGCTAGCAGTAGTCGTAAGAGGTTTACATGAGATGTATCGAAGGTCGGGATTCACAGAGAAGGGCAACGGAGACAAGTCTTTGCACGTACCGTGCATGTATTCACAGGCCGGCGATGTCATTGAGGATGTCACAACGCGCGCCCGATATCGCTAGGGTTCGTGGCGAATGAGCCCTGCGAGCCTGACTGGACCGAGGAGCCTGAACCTCCATGATAGGATGGAGGGGGTGACATCGTGAAGCCTGCATGATAAGACGGAGGGGGCGACGTCGTGAAGCCTTGTTGTTGGCCATACCCGTAAGGGTTGAAAACCTGGCTAGAACCTGAGCATGAGATGGGGATGGGTCATTCAGTCTCATTCATTCTATGTACACATCGTTACTCCTCTGGTAGGGGGGAAGGTAGCCATGTACATTGATTGCTGTTGGCAAGGGCAGATGCATTGGTCGAGGACGCGATGGAAGCGAGACGCCAACTTACTAGTAGGGTCACCGCCTACTGTGGCATGAGCAGCATGAGTTTGATTTCCAAGATGAGATGCTGATACACGGTAGCCATGAGTTTCTGGCAATTCATGCAGGACTTTCGAGACGTACAACTTGAATGACCTTGACTGCCGGAATGATGTGAAGAGGCATATGTGTGGCCCGGGACTGGAGGCACACCGTGGGGGAATCTCTCACGAGCTCTAGCAGTCGATGTCTAGCATCATGATCAGTACGCGAACGAGAGTATAGCAGCACTGACACCTGCCTTCACCGCAACTCTAAGCCCCACACATCCCATCACAAGTGTCCTAATACTACGTGAAAGATCTGTCCAAGGAAATCTCATGAGGGGGTGCGCTGCCCACGTAGCAGAAAGCTGTTGTCGTCGTTGCATAGCCCTGCTGATCCCGTTAGAAGTCCCTTGATGCATCAAGGTAAGACGTACTGGTCAAGGTTGGAGAGCATTTGCTGGATGCTCATTAGGGTTTGGGCATCACTGGCATTCTCCGTAGACACGTCAGCGATACTGGCATCCACCTTCACTTTGTCTTCGTCGGACAAGTTGCGGAGGAACGCATCTATGTCCTGCAGTATCTCCTCGGCTTCCCGTAGTTGAGTAGTAGGCGGTGTTAGGAAGTACCGCCATGACGGGAGGCCTCTGCGCGTACAGAAATCGAGTATGTTGGATAGAGTCGAGGCATTTCTGATGATGTTGTGTTCGGGCTGTTGCATGATGTCTGCCTTTGCTCGGTCTGTCTACGTGGCACGGACGCGGACTTGTTCCTGGATAACCGGTAAGTACTAGCAGTGTGTGGCGCTATTATGCTCGATACAATAGCGCTGTAGAGTTTAGGACGTACCTCGGGAATGAATACGATAGCAGAGTTGGTTGAGCTGGTCCGTTCCGTGGTGCATAACTTGTGTCTTTTTATACAACGACGTACACAAACCCCGCAGGCTACGAGGCCTGCGGGCCCGATGTAGCACCGCAACATCTTCGACCGCATATGCTCCGGAAGTTCGCAAGTATCCTGACGAAGAAGGAGGAGGAGGTATGGTACTAGGCTTGGCATAATGAGCGGCCATCGATATCGATAGAAGGCGGTTGTGGGTCCACTTGATCAGAGCGTGGGACACTCGTTCGGAGTGGCAATGGCATGCGTGACTACAGTCACTGAGTAAGGCTGTGTTAGTGTTACTGCGAGACTTGCCAACCTGCTCTCACACACAAGTCGTCGTTGGCGCAATATCTCTACTCTTAGCGAGCTGTCCCCCCGTAGACTTCTGCCAGTCGCGCTTCTTGACTATGGACGTTGTGGACAGCTCGCCAGCCTCAAGACCGACAGCAGACGAACAATGCTCCACCCTATACCCTCATGAGCTCGCATGGAGAGACAGACAACCATTTCTGGAATCGCATGGTTATATGCTCAGGCCCAGATTGCGACCCGGATGGGTACCGTCATGGAGAGTCTCGGGAGATAATCCTTGGTTCTGCGAAGACTCTCATTCCCTTCGCGTAAGCTACGTCTCCTAGCAGATGTCTGATTAGCCGTTTCTGAAGACCCCTATACCCCCATAGATGTTTCCACATATCGTAGACGCCACGCGCATGTCAGATGGGAAATTAGTGTCCATCAAACTAGTGCGCACTGGCAGCCTCGAAATGAGAATCGCGTTGTATCTGTGTACTCCTCCGCTTTGCGAAGACATCAAAAATCACTGTGTACCTCTCCTCGATCTCTTTGAAGACAATAAGGACGCATCGAGGTCATATATGGTCACGCCATTCCTCCGTGACTTCGACGATCCGCTATTCGACTGTGTTAATGATGTCCTTGATCTCGGCGAACAGTATCTTGAGGTAAGTAACACTTCGTTGACTCGCATGAACGGATATGTGCTACTGCTGATGGATCGCAGGGACTTGTGTTTCTTCACCGCAGCGGCGTGGCACACAGGTCAGCCGTCTCGGATGCATTAGCAAATGTCGGACTTTGACCGGATTGCAGAGACTGCACCAATGCCAATATGATGATGGACGCGGGCCCGCTATATCCTCGAGGCTTTCATCCCCTCCTAGGTGAATTCCTTCCCGACGGCAAAACTGGTACATGGCCGAATTCAAGGACCCGTTGTCCAGTGAAGTACTACTTCATTGACTTCGGTATATCGAGATATTTTCCGCCGGACGTCCAGTCCAAGCTAGTGATCGGTGGCGATGGTCGAGACCAGGAGCCGCCCGAGCTATCTGACGACATCCCTTACGACCCGTTCAAGCTCGACGTGTTCATTTTGGGTAATTTCTTGCGCAAAAATTTCTACGATGTACGTGGACTAGAAACTATCGGATCCGTCGACTCACATTCTTGCAGAGATTCAGCAATGTCGAGTTCATGCGACCGATATGGGAAGCGATGACGCGGGCGAACCCGGACGAGAGACCCTCCGCTGCTGACGCGCTCCAACAGTGGCAGCGCATGCGCAAAGCAGTATCGTACTGTCACAGGAGTTGGAGACTCAAACGGCGCGAGGAATCGCGCGGCTGGACCTTGTTCCTCGGTCTTGTCCATGTCATCATGGTTGTTCACTGCGCGGTGACAAGGTCAAAGGTGACCAGAAATCTCTTTTTCGCTTGATTCTATGGTAATGACCGTCGTTTGACTTATGTTGTGCGCCTGCTATCGATCCTTACTATCCAGTGTCATGTAGCTTTCTGCCTTGTTATGTATAACAGACGTCAGGGAGATGTCTTGTGGCTGCGAAGTTGCCGATATAGTGCTTTTCCGGGCGACGTTGCCCACCATGGTGCGTTCAAGTTGCTTATGAATTGAGTACTTAAGCGAACAGGTTCAGTGTCCAGGAGCATTTCACGAACTCAACATCTTTCAGTCGCAGACTACATGCTGTGCGCGGCATCGTGCCATATAGCCAACATCTTTTGCGACTTGGGAATACAAGGACTCAACCAGAGTAACCGTCATGCTATTTGTCAAGCTGTTCAGCCTTTCACCGTGACTTCGGGCTTCAAACTGTCAGTAACGCGCAAGAAAGTCCTTTTCCACTCGTGACATGGCTATATCCGACCTTTCGCCATCACTCTGCCTATCGATGCGACGTGCGAGTTATATTGCATGATGTGCGGTCGTGCGGCATGCTTCGATCGATGTGGCTTCTCAGAACGCGACTACTCAAGCCAAAAAGGCCCCGAGGTGTGCGGTACGTTAGCGGAGTTACCAACAGCCTGAGTACAGCTTCTCTCTGTTTTCCCAGAGCTTTGTTCTGAAGGTGAGTCATAATGTTCCATAGAAATACAGTAATGTCGAGTTTATGCGACCAATCTGGCAAGCTATGATGCAGGCAAAGCGGGATGACAGACCCACTACTACCGATGCGCTCCAGCAGTTGCAGCGCACACGCAAAGCACTGGGGTACTTCCGCCGGCATGGAAGGCTTCGACGACCCGCGGAAATCTGTCCTGGTTTCTCAGCCTTCTTCACGGTTCTATGACGGTACATAACATAGTGAGAAGATCGAAGACGACTAAGAACTTATTCGATTGGTAGCCCCGGAGCTTGCTCATGTTTATGTGTTCAGTTCAGTCTTTGTGTCGTATCGTACATGTTAGCCCTGTTTTCTTTCGGATGTATCACGACTCACGCCAATACGAATGTACAGTTGTATGACAGCGGAGTTGTGGGACAGCACATCCTTGTGAGTGTGCCATATGGGGGACTCCGGTATGATCAGCGACGAAGGAAGCAGGGTCTCCATACTCAATTGTCCATGGGGTGCTCAACTGTGCATGCCTGTGCATGCGGTTCGATTGCGATAGGCTCGGGGAACCATCCCCAGAAATCAGCGATGTCCGCTTCTTCCGCCGTTCGCGATGACTCCTCAAAATACATGTAATCACGGTACCCAGCCTAGCCCTGTTGGGTGTGCTGGGAATGTCTCATAGTACCCATAATGGCAGCTGCGCCACGGGAAGTCACGGCGAATGTAGATGTGACTACACTCTTACCCCCATCGTGTACGGCGCACGCTCCGGGTCAGCCTCTGAACAACACGTTTTTAGATCTGACGGTCGATGTTCTCAAGTGCGACATATGAAGGTGGCAATCGCCTCGAGGACTGAGTACTCACTAAGCGCGAAGGTGTGGATCATGTTCGACCATCTAGATACTGTACGCTTCAGGAGATCAGCGCGAGGTCAGCAAGTTTCTCCGTTCACAATACTCGTTGTATTTGACAGCAGGACCCCGGGCAAGGCGCTTATACGTCCGATCCTGGTGCGGCCATAACCAGCCCAAATAGGGCGCTCATGTCCGATCCTGGTGCGGCCATAGACCTGCCAGAGCTCGCGCCATGTCCGATCCATATGCGGCCATAGATGCTGTCACGTTCGCATGTCCTATCCGTATGCGGCCATAAATTGACCTCGTGGTCGCCTTTGACGGCGAAGCCAGTATCGCGAGATTGGTACGTAGCATACTTCACGTCGTGGATCTCTCAGCTAAGCAATGCTACTAACTTCTGTGGATGGCATCGCGGGTGATGGTATCTGCTCGGGCCTGGAAGATAACTTACTGATTCGCTACGATAATCGCATGCAGCTGCTTGTTATGATTGGGACCCCGGAATTGCAGATTCTCTGAATGCGTCCGTCATGTGGGACTTGGTAGACTGGCCAAGCTTGTATTGTACTACAATGTGAGTCTCGCCTCCTGTTTACAGAATACTATACATAGCTGTATTCACGCTGAATTCATGCACCGCAGTGTAGGATTTACGCGCACAACGCGTCTCATTAGCCTCTCTCGCAGATCACGCGCCGATGGCTCGACACGGACACATGAAGATTGCTAGTAGGGTGCGTTCGACCTGGTTTGGCTGACCAAGATACAGGAGACTAAAGCATCTCGTTCTTCGAAGGCTACCACTCGTCCGGAGACACGTACGCGTTCTTCAAGGCGGGGGCCACTCAATCATTGTGCCTGACATGCTTGGCTACGGCGGCATGGACAAGCCGGCGGAGACAACAAACACAGCGCGATATGCGCGGACGTGAGAACGTGAGCAAGGCGATCGTGACAGAACACCAGAACACCACTGGTGAGTGCTTCAGTAGCTGGGAAAGGGCATCCGACGCTGCACGTCTCATTGAGACGCGATGTGGTCGTAGTGGTACCGCTTGGGCCAGGTTCAGCCAGAGCAACTGGCCCGTAGGATGTTGGCTACCCAGGCATACTGGCCAAGTGTTTGACTCGCAGGGGCGCATTTCTCGTACTCTACCGAGAGCGTTTTCTCGCATTCGCATTCGTCTCGGTCGGCTACACGCCATTGTTCGCGAGCTTCAAATATGCGACTGCCATCGCCGCGGTCAAGCAAGCCATCGGTCACGAGCCTTAGGGCCACTGGCAGTGACCAGCTACAAACAATCTCACAGTCGACCTCATTCTAAAGATGCGCCAGGTTCTTCGTCGACCTCGAGTACCAACCAAGTCATGAAGGACCATATCAGTACTCCTGACCTCCCATGTTCGCTATCATCTCGCAACCGACTGGCTTGCCCGCTTGATTGTCTCTCACCATCCGTGTCAATTAGCGACTACTCTTGTGACGTGCCACCTAGAGTACATTCGTACTTACGAATGTTGGGCGCTCGAGATATGGTACTCGGCGCTTATGCGTATGTGCTACTCATGCAACCGTTTTGACGATAAAGGGGGACAAATGTGGGCGTTTTCCTTGGTAGTCTACTCCGACGCAATGTGTAGGGCATGCAGCGATTTTTTGGGCATTTTCTCCGATTTTACCGCATTTTTGAGAGGTCCGATCCGTCATGCGGCCATAAAGCACCCCTACAGGTAGGTCCTATCCTGATGCGGACATAACAGGGGTCAAAATCGTGCGGACATAAGGGCCCAAAATCCGGGGTTTTCGGATCGGACCTATAAGCGCCTTGCCCGGGGTCCTTTGACAGCTTACCTTGATCGACCGCAAATTTCCCATGGAAAACGTGCCTCAGGTGACGCTCGAGCGGGTATCCTAGATGAGATCGCGACGGTTAAGTCTAGAAGGTGTTTAGCAACACACGCAGATCTTGGCCAGCGGTGTACTAATTCGTCGAACACTCCTCATGTTAGGCTGACACAGCCTCATCGTCGATATTTGAGACAGGAACGTCCAGGGAGCCACACAGAAGCCTTCGTGGGCGCTGGGGTCTAGCAGGAAGGCCACCCACAACATGCCTGTCCCTGAGCAGATCGCAGAGTCATCATACTGGATGCGCACCGGTCCGATGGAGACTATCAGCCAGGAGCCTGCAGAACCCAGGTCTTCTATGATGACAGTGTTACTTCAGTGGAAGGCAACGCCGGGTGGCGTTTCGATATCGGCCAGAAGCGATACATCCCCGAAACTGAGGTTTGGACAACTTCATACGCGCCTGAATAGGTATGTATGTCAGTCATGCGTTTCTCGAACACGACACCTGAAATTTTCTGCCGGGTGCGACCCGGACTCACGCGAACCCCGAGGTCCTGGCATTCGGATTTACAATAAGCTAAATCATGTAGGGAGCGCATGTGTTACAACGTATCTCAAATACGTACTATACCATGTAATTGTTATATGCTGCATACGACCCATTGCAGTCGGAATGACCGGAGACCGGCGTAGCTTGAGCGTTCAGCTAGCACTTCCTTCGCCAACACTGACACGGGAAAGCAAATTATGACAACCACCTGTCATATAGTGTAGTTCGTCAATAACAAACGAATGGCGAGACTCAACAATCCATACCATATTCACTCGCTGCATCTGCTTGCGAATGCCGTAACACACCCGGTCAGAAGTGGACTGTCCCATGAGGCTCGGGGAAAGGATCGGCCATCGGGTAAGCACTGGTAGTAATCCTCCTGACGACGCTTGCAGGCCGCTGGGGATGAAGAGCCACTCCGAGTCGATTCTTGTAGGTTTGCGCGCGGTCGCCTCGTATATATAAGAAGGCAGATTGATACCATGTAAGCCAACAAACCAGCGACGAAGATGGGTTCTCACCCACAGAGCTACAAGGCGTATGCCTTCCTTGAGAAAGGCGGAGCTCTCAAGCGGGTCAACGTCCCTTGGAATGACCCAGACGCGGGACAGGTTGTCCTCAAGGTTCTCGCATGCGGCATCTGTGCCAGGTGAGTCCGTAAGGGAGCGTCATGTCTTTGAGCACGCAAGCTAATCAGGCCATGGATGCAGTGACGAGATGGTCAAATACCAGATCTTACCGGGTGTCGACCATCGTGATTCAGCCAGGTTTAGGGCTGTCCTTATCCCATAACTTAGGACGAATCACTCACCCTGCGACGAGCGAACAATGTATTGACAAGTTTTCTATGGTTTCTCAATGATATCAGCATGCGACGTTGAAAAACATCCACACGCTCGATGCATCTTCCCGGTGTGTGGCTGTTGCGCTATTTCTGGATGTCCATCGTAAGCAAACGGAGGCCAGCATGCGAGGTATGACTTACCCACGCCTTTGAGAACGTACCCGCCAAGCACCTTTATTGCGGTGAGCCTTGACATGAGAGTAGAACAATGCGTGAATGACGTCGAGAGCCGGATGATCAAACGGCCTTCAAACACGGAGCAGTCTAGAGAACCTTTCTATCAGACCACAACACTGGTATCAATACACTGGGGCTATTCAGTCTTGTTGAAGCAGGCTCCGAACTCGATGGGATGTGAGATTATAATACAAAACAATTCCTCCCTCACAGCGACTGCGAACGTCCACGCACGTACCCCAATGATGTGCCCACCGCTACCTTAGCCATCTTGAACGGCGAAGTAGGCAGCCGCCTCATCGGGGTACGACTGGGCTCCGGAGGCGGCGATGGCGTCGGCGAAAGCATACCCGTCTCCGAGCGTTTCATGGGCGGCTTCTCTTTTTCCTGCGCCGCCTTCCGCCTGCGCTCAACGGCATTGTCGACGGCGCTCTTGAGCGGCCCACCATCCGCGAGCTGGCCTTCGATGACCATATGCTCCATCTCGCTGGCGAGCATGTCCATGATTTCGTCTGCGGGGCGGTCGCAGGGCGTTGGGACGGCGAATGTGGCGTTCGAGGGTGTGGTGTGCGTTTGTGGGCCGTGTACGGAGTGGAGCTCGGTATGGATTTGCTGAGTAGCTAGATATGGGACGTCAGCGGTGATAAGAGGGCAAGCAAACTGATGCTCACCATCGCGGTTGATCATCGAAGCCAAGAAATATATTCGCTGGAGCAGCGCTTGGAATTGCGCAGAGTCGATATCTTCTCGCGAAGAAGGGAATAGCACGGGAGCCACCTGAGACAACGCAGCCGACGAGAAGATGAATAGTGAGTGCAGGAAGCGGACATGCTGCCATGCGACGCGACGAGGCCAAAGGACGGCGAGGAAGCCTACACGGGACGTTGAGCCAGGCTCAGACAGGAAGACAGATGAGAGTGAGTCCGGAGGCGACAACGATGGGCCCAGTATGCACTTCAGTTCATAGGCGAGCATTCCAGCAAACAGTAGGTAGCGCCACTAAGAGGCCGTGTGAGTCAGCGAAAAGGGCCCCGGTGAATAAGTGACGTACGAATGCGACATCACTCGGTTTGCCTATGGACGAGTAGAGCAACAAGCTGCAGGCAGAAACGATGTAGAATCCCGCCGATTGCATGAGCCCTTGTCGAACATACTCGCGCAGCGTTGTACAATGAGACCATTGCAGAACATCCGGACCGAACCTGTAATACATAGCATGAGCTGAGCCCCATCTCTATAACGTTGAAGTCGACTAACCTATCATATGCAAATCGTGTCGTGGGGTTCTTCAGCGCCTCGAATGCGTCACGCACGTTGATAAACAGCGCTTCGCCTTGAGGACCCACACGATCTGGATGATACCTCCGTGCAAACTGTCGGAAGGCCAACTTCAAAGCATTCTCGTCCGCGCCGGGGTCCACGGCAAGCATTTCATAGTAATTCGGAGGCAGAGACGATGCGGCTTGGTGGAAGGTGTAGAAGAGGTAGCTGATGACTGTAATGGCGTATACATAGCGATAATGGCGGAAATACAGCGGGGAATTGGGAGGAGGTGCAGGGCGACCGGAAAGGGCAGGGTAGAATCGATGGAAAATGGGCAACAACTTGCTGGTTGCGAGATGCGGCAGGTATGACCAGCCAATCAGGTAGAGTATTGCTGAAAGCATGGCAATCTAAATGAGAGTCAGTATACGAGAAACTCTTTGATGCTCATACGAGAATGAGGGAACGCTCAGGATGGGCAATACCCATATGCTTGTGATCTCTTGCCTCCGTCTCCGAGCATGCTCCTGCATATGCATCCGTGCCTGCCACTTTTATGCACCGCACCACACACATGGGCATATATCTCGAGCCCAGGTGCTTGTAGCAGTGCAACCACTAATGAGTGGAAGTCTCGCTCGTGAGATAACCACATCTGAAGACCGCTCAGCACAGAGTAAGTCTCGTCTGTGAAAGCTTGGCTTCCAGAGCGCGGCCACGCCGTCGTGACTCGTCCATGGACAATGGCCACACGGCGGGCCCTTTGTAGACTCGGCCTTTGCTCGCGGGCCTTGAATCTTTCGACCGCACAAGCCAATATGGGAGTCTTGTCTACATATGATGTAGGTCCGGCCTTAAGGCGTGCTACGGTGACCTCGTGAGGTAGCACGTCGGGTTTCGAACACATCGGGGGCTCAGATGCATGCGGTAGCACCACGCTCGAATGCGGAGTCGACCCTTTTACTTGGACATCTTTGCGCTTAAGACCCGATGCCAGACTCACCTGTGTGGACACTACCACGTCGTTCCCGAGTACCTACTCTCCAGGTGAATTTGCGGGCAACGATGATAGACCTTGCACGTCGATTTGCGTCGCTCAAGCGGCACTAGTCTTCATGACAGCTTTGATAGACTTCAAGCGTGGACAGGCGTGGGAGGTCTGTGGGGGTGGTTCAAAGCTGGGCGGTGTACTGGAGACTGGGATTATAACATGGAGAATCAAGTAGAGTGTGGAGAGACCCAGAGGCCCGGGGTTGGTGGCAGACGGTGTGGCGCGAGGTCGCGCGCCTCAAGTATTCAAGTACAGTAACGCAGTTACGTAAATAAGAACTTAAGTAGTTCCGATATACTTATGTGCTTAAGCCTTACTTACATAATAGAACGCTGATTTAGGTGTTACGCATATCACGTGAGCTCGCATGCACAGCCTCGTCCGTAACCTCGAAGTTCACAAGTCCTTACGGCGACGAGCAGGGTCACGAACAGAAGTACAAGATCGCTGTATAGTTGATTTTGCAGTGAGGCAAGTGATATCCAGCGTGCTCTCCGCAGAACCCATACATTCGGGACCCATACATATATGGTAAGTACGCAACGCCAGGCCGACTCATCTGCAGAAAGGCACACTATCTGACAGTATGAAACCGAACAGCGAGCTGCGCGGTGCAGATGAGATATGCCCTGGGTGGCATCCAGGCGAACCGAACTCATGCTACAAGAAGCCGAGGTGAGCACGTCTGAGAGCTTGAAGTCTGCATGTGGCTCATGTCCCACAAACTCACACAGACAACATATTCCAAGGCCGCCAAGAGTGAATTGCATGGCGACTTTGATCGGGCATTTGGACTCTACGTGAAGGCGGCCGAAGCCTTCCTGCACTTGGGTCAGATCAGTGATGATGCACGACAACGTTCTCGCTGCAAAGACCACGCTGCAAAGGCGTTAGAACGTGCAGAGAAGATTAGGCAGGCTCGGCCGGAATTGAGACCGCCCACAAGACATCATTTCGCCGAGCGTATGTCCGTACTTCTGTGACTCCATCGTGAGTATTGACGATCCGATGCGGTTGCAGAAGAACAATTGTATGTGTTGAGGAAGTCGTCCCTTGTGAATAATGTTCGCTTCTCCCTGTGGGACGAAGACGCAACTATGACGCGCGACACAAGGTAAATCCTCACGTCAATGTATCGGAGGTCGTTCGCTGATCCGGCGGCATGGCATCTCTAGGCACCCCGCGCTATCGCCTGACCAACGGCGACATTCAGCGGTCTGGAACAAGGTTGATATCAGCCAAGTGGGTCTGGCAAGCTCACCTCTCGAGCCGCAAGATATCGCCCAACATATCGTCACGGATTGCTCCGTATGTGGTGCAATAGCCGTGTGTATATGTCATAATCAGCGCTTTCAAACCGAGGTGAATCTCAATGTGTGGTCTTGGCATGCAGCTTCTGACTTCCCCTGGCGTCTCAAGCTCGGTCAGTCATGTTTGCATCCGGAGGAAGGCAGCCAGTCAGCCCAGGAATCGAGCTCTGTCATCTATCACGTTCGTCTGCTATTCAATGGAGCATACCGACGCGTAGGTACCCGCTGTTCGGAACATTTGCACCCCACTCATCATAGGTCGATTAGATATGTAGGGAAGATCCCGTAGATCCTCCTCAGCCGTTCCTGACCGCAATCAATGCCAGCTATCGACGACCAGCTCCCCCAATATCCTGACAGAACCCTCTTGTGTCTATCTACGGGTAACAAACGACAAACTTGGCCATCACTCCTGGAGAAGGCGGTGCGTGGTTCTTCACGAACTCTAGCGAGCTGTAGTCCTGATGCAAGACGTAGTACATGAAGCTCATGGGTGGCTATGACTTCCCTGGCTCGTAAGTCGTTTCTGCCGCCCATGAGAACCATTGCCTATATCGATTATATTTCCAGTGATTCATGTGTAGACCTACAGTAAGGCCCGAGCGTGAGAGGAGTTCCCATTGAACCTAACTGCGTCTTGGCAGCGCGCTCGCGGGATGGGTACCCGAACATGTGAATCTGAGATCGTAAGTAGGCGTCTCATCCGGGGTCCTCGGTTGACAGTACGTTCTTAATTGCAGCTCGACTTCTCAACGGGAGCGCTTGTGGGCCCGCATCTCACAGGGCTTTTATAACGGTATGGAAAAGTTGCCTCCGGGATTGTCGCTCATGATATTCGCTCAGGCTCATGCATGCTCACCCTGGGAACTGGCGAGAATGCCAGTGGTCTATGTTGGGACGATATTTGCCTACTTCCTGCTCACTGCTATGCCATCATTGGTAGCGAAAATCGTCTGTGGCCTTTACGTATGCTGATTAGTCCTCCCAGACGTTTCATCAAGCCCCAGCAAGCGGGAGATGACCATTCTAGACTCCTGGGCTCACTCGGGGTCCGGCCTTATGAACGGGCATGACTCTGATCCTAAGCGGGAATCGACAAGTCAGCGTACATCCAGCGTGTCTCAGAACACCTTGTTGATGATATCATCTATACGCAGACACCTTCAAGCTTTCGTGGGACGCAGTATGCAACATCTTCGACGGTGTCTATCTTAGTTGGGATCCAGGTATATTGAACGCCAAATTACGTTCCATGGAACATGGACAGCCGGAACCATGTCCCTCAAAGAAGATGCTGCGTACTGTGCGCACCTATTTGACCTGGTTTCAAATCAAACCGACTTATCCTGTCCCTATCCAGCATGCCACTTTCAGCTGCAGTTGCGAACAGGGATCAGTAAGGCCCAACGAGGTGACGAAGACATCTGGGTGCAGTTGACGCGCCATGTCTCGGATACCCGGCGCACCTCCGAGTACATTTCTCTGCTTGTAATGGCGATGAAGAGCCGAGTCGATCGTCTCTGGAAATCAACCCCTCGACGTTGAAGGTGAGTACGTTGACATTACGTCGAGGACACTGGATCATATGATCCCGCAGGGTGAATATACCAACAACCTTCATACCCTCGTAAGTTATACTTCAGATCAACATGACTAACATTGACGATAACTCAGGTGCGATACACCGCGTCGCAAGCCGATCAGGTGTTGCATCTAGTGGCTGCTTACGAAGGACGACTGAGCGAAGTCGGCTTCACTATCACTGTGTATCTAATACGGATGTGTCTGGATAGAGAGATACCAAGGCGATGTACTCGAAGGAGGTTAGTCGAATAATCGCGCCCGTCCTCGACCATGCTCACGAGATAACACAGTTTGACGGAGAGTTCGGCTCCAGAATGCTGGCGGCCACCATGGTCATCCGACGTTCATGGACAATCCTCAGTATACCTACGAATATACCCGGGAGAGTCACCATCGGCCGCAAATACCAAAGCCGCCACGTCAATCGTCCTGCAAAGCTCCAGACATATCCCAATCAACGTCTCGCTAGTGTGGTCAAGGGAGAGCGTATTGCCGAGTGAGTGACAGTGTACTCGGCGTTGATCGAGCTAACGATCATCCTAAGGATGGGTCACAATGAGTTGGCTGCGCACTCCGGTCCATATGGCTTCGGGTACGCGAACGTGGCGCGTGACCTGTCGGGTGTGTCCTATCACTTCGGGTCCCAGTTCACTCTAACATGGTTCCTCGCTAGCGGGCGACTACACTCTCGTCTTATCCTCTTTTGAACCGCAGCAACTTGGATCGTTCAAGCTACGCGTGGAGAGCCAATCACGTTTCGAGCTCACGCCCATATCTCAGGAAGGCGCCGGCATGTTCAACAAGGTCATACGTGGGGCGTGGTATGTGGAAATGCGGCATATGGTATCGTTGTTGTACAAAGCTCAACTGTGAGTTCGCAGGACCACGGAGACCGCCGGCGGGGGTCCAAGCTCGAGTCGGTACGCAACAAACCCGCTCTACGAAGTGCAGGTCGACACAACCACACAACTCAAGTACGCCTTCCTGCATATCCCTCCAGATCCTCACTCACCCCGCCCGCACTCCAGAGTACGGCTGCAACTCTTGGAGACCACCCCGCCCGCCTCTATCAATGTCTCCCTCTTCGAGCACAAGGCGCCTCGCAACTCGCTGAAAACAACGTCGGGGACCGTACTCCGATGGCGTCGCAGGCGTAGCCACGCCGCAGGTCGCGCTGCAGCCAGGCACATACCACGTCGTGCCTCGACGTATAACCCTGGGCTGCTTCGCGCGTTCAAGCTCATATTCTACAGCAGCGCCGCGGTCAAGGTCTCTGCGGTCACGCGTGCCTGATGTGACTTACGTTGGCTGCAGTCATTCCACACCTCGCTGGCGGCGGAAGGAGGGCGACGTGAGGATGTATTCGTTCACACGTTTGAGTGTAGCTCGAGAAGGGTTGGCCTCCGGCCTGCTCGATATGATCCACTGTAGCTTTGTACTGATGGACCGTTTCGTCGCCGTATTTCCTAGTCAAGAATTGTAACTCAGTTGCGACATGCATTGTGCCGATAGACCTACGCAATGTATCCCGTTCCCCGGTGTAGCCACAAACGCGCCTTTGTCGTCGAAGAAGAGCTGGAGCGCCGCGAGAGCGACGCCCACGCTTGCGTCCTGGCCGTTGTCGCAGCAGACGCAGACGCAGTCTCCTCTGGATAGGCAGCCTCGATGAACGCCATGGATCGAGAAGGATAGTCTGCAGGTAGAGTATCTGCTCCTTCCTGCCCTCTGCCATATGCAGCCTGAGGACGTTGTCTGCCTCGGTAGCATCCCCTTGCGATACCGGAGAGGCGCTAACGATCAGGAAGAAGAGCTGGATAGCTGAGCCTGGCAGGGAACGAGGGAAGTCACAGGGTATATCCGCCATTGAACTGATCAGGATGCGCCCGCCGACTTGCACGATAGGTGTGGGCTTGTTTGACCACTGCTGCTGCGACTGCTTCGCGCCGATCGGCCTCAGGAGTGAGCTGATCAGCTCTGGCAACTCCGATCGACTGCTCTGCATTAGTTCGTCTTTGGTGTCCAAAACAGCTTCGGCGTAAGCCCCTGTGTCCATGGGTCAGCCCTTATCGGGACTCCTCCGTCGGCCGTGCTTACCAGTCCCCATAGCTCGTGATCGTCGCCTGAGCCTTGCACGTAGATGAACCCGTTCGAACGCCGTTCCATACCCTCTTGGATCTGTTTGGATGCGGAGACGCATATACGGGGTAGAATGGTTGAGTGGGACTGGCATCCAGGCTCGGAAAAACGGATGTCGACGGTGTGATCCACAATGGGTGCAACGGGCGTTGCAGATCCGACAAGATGTACGAGGAATTCTGTTTGCTCGCCGTCAGATCTCGTACATCAACAGAGGACAGGGGACATTACCACTAGCGAATCCACCCATCCGTCCAATCGAGCTTCGATCTGTGACTCTCTTGTGCGCTAACGGTCCCGAATGGGCAGTACAGCTCCAGATCCCAGTCGACTTTGTGTCTGTCTGGATACTCCGCTGGACGGCGCGATTGATGACTGCACACCAGATCGGGACCGTCTTCGACAGCGCATCGGGAATACGCTTTCCGGAACGTGTTGAGTCGACCAATATCATCCTGTCACAGGCGTCCATATCGGTAAAGCTTCTCCTATAGGGGATGGTCGGCTCACCCTCCTTCCGACACGATCATGGAAGCAGATGGAGATTTGGTCGCCTCAAGTTGAAGCTCCAGTTCCCAAAGTGTCCATCGTGGACTTGAAGTAGGCTGGCTCTTGTCTGGCCTTTGGATTTCAGTCATAATGTATTCCGCCGGCAACCCGAAGGAGCAACACGCACCATCTGTGGGTCAACATACCAGAGCCCACAGCGTTGATTGGCTGATCTCGGCGTCAACAATCATGTTTGGAGGCATTAGAGTTGCAGGAGCTGGGACGCACGCAAGATCGGCAGATGGGGATAGGTGATCGTACTGTCTTCACGAAGTCGATGTCTTCTGAAATTGAGTGTAGACGGTTATGGATGTCCAGCGATTCCTTCCTGAGGTGATTCAACGCTACAGATTTTCCTCCATGGAGGCCGAGAACCTCCTCTGTTTCGCCCTGGGGTGACGAGAGTTTGTTTGTCCAGTCAGTCATGACGAAGTGCCCCCGAAGGCACAGCTCTATATCAGAGTTCGTCGTGGTGACTCGCTCACGTCGGCAAGTCAGCACACTTCACAGGACGAAGATTGTGGCGGGATACCTTACCAAGATCAAGTATCAAGAATCCGAATAGTAGAAACACGGCAGAGACGTTTTGAACGTGAGGAAGCGCGATTAGTTGAACTTGGGATGCTACTCTGGACCTGAATTACGAGTTGGGCGTCAGACCAGCGCACTTTGCGTGACGATACACAGGTGGCCAAGAATTAATACATACCTGAAACGGCGTATAGTCAGTTTCTTGAATGGCGACTTATAATCCTGGAAATATCTCTGTTCAATCCAAGATCGGTATCAAGCGAGTTGAGCGATGGAGTTCAACGTTTGGCAATGAGACGCTCTGGATCGAGATGGACGCCACAGGCGCTGGCGGATCTCGATCCTAATTATCGGTGCCTGCTGCGCTCGGTGATTATCAAATTGGACTTGTCGTCGACGTCTAGCTACTTATGGCAACATTTATCGCTGCTGGTATCGACGAAACCCTGTTCACTTACAAACGAATGTCGGTCTCGAGCATACAATTCCATACCAATGATTCCGTCCACTAGTACTCCTTCAATTTAAATTCTCAAGAAATGATCAAGCACGCCACATATGACCATAGGTGGGCGCGAATCCCTTCCCCGACACCGCGGCTGCACTGAGTAACAGAGTCGTCTTATCAATTCGTGGACATACTCAGACAGCTTTGGTCCCAGTCGTTGCTCATCTATGGTTAGCGGAAACATTGAGGTTAGTACATGCTGTAGATGCCTCACAGATGGCCCTCTCTACTAGTATGCATTGTAGGCTTGACATATCGACGTCGCGGCCGACTCGGGTCATTCTGCACCGTGAGGCTGTGCAGAAAATTAGAAGAGCACCCTCGGCCGCGGTATGTATGCCTGCCACGGGCAGGGATACTGATCACTTGCTCATGTCTTGCCAAGTGAACCAATATCCAGGCTCTAACTTGAATGCACTAGATGCTAAGTAATCCACATGAGGCTACCGCTTTTCCGCGAGTACATGGGCAGTGTCGAGCATTCCATCAAAATTCAGGACTACATATACAGAACCTACTAGGCTACCAGTAAATTATTCTGGCAGTGGTCACCATCCATCCGGGATCTCGGCTGCCCATGGTACTCGGTCAGTCGAGCACCATTGGCTCAATTCAGGGCCTTACCATAATATACGCACACTCATTGACTCATGCAATTTGCATCTACTCAATGGTATCCTTGCCTTGTGATGAATTGCAGACTTCAGCCCATGGTGCTCGACTGACCGAGTGCCATGGGCGGCCGAGATCCCGGCCCGATACAGTAGCATAACCCGGCACAGAGTACAAGTGTCAGTAACCAATACGCTCAGTCTCTCCCTAGTAATCACCCACGCTTGCTGCGAGCACGTCTCAAGGACGGATATTAGAGTAATCCATCACCTAATCAGTGCATATTGAATAACGGCTAGAGGCTCGAGACGCCGAGTCAGAACCAGGCTGTGAAGAGAAACGTGAAGTGTTGAAGGGCGTATGTAGATCGTAGGCCCAGGATCAAAGTAAATGAGGAGGATGCCATGTGCCTTGGATTGCTTGTCAGCTTTCCCAGACCACCCGAATTCGGACTTCTGCTGCCGTCCTGTGGCCGCCCATACCAAAGGTGCGGCCCAAATCAACCAACGAGACGCGTGCTACCCTCCATGTCAAACAATTAGTCCGAGAGAAATGGACTATGACACGCATGACGCAAGAGCGATGACCTCGCCTCGCACGCTGCGACGATCTGTATATTAAGCGGCACGGATCTGGAGATGCGAAACCCCGCGCACGATCTCAGGTCCTAACCGTTGCCTCGGAAGCGAGCCCTCGCCACTCGGCTCTCGATCACCATGTCCCCCGCCTCTGAAGTCGATATCCCCGTCTTAATAGTCGGTGCTCGGTCTATGTTCTCGCTGGAATGCCCGTTGAATTTTTGCTAGGTCGGAGCAGGGCCCGTCGGGCTCGTGCTAGCCCTAACGTTGATCAAGAATGGCATCAAAGTGCGCGTCGTCGAGAAGGAAGCAGGAACTCACAAGGGGCAGCGCGGGACAGGCATCATGGTAGCTTCTTGCGTCGTAAGCCGTTTGACTGAATACTTGAGCTGTTCATATATAGCCTCGCTCGCTCGAATTGTACCACTTCCTGGGTCTTCTCCCAGAAATGCTGGAACGTGGTCGGCCATTGATCCCCACGCGGGTCTACAAGCTGCCTGGGGGCAACGAGGTGTTGAAGGAGTTCTACTTGGCGGAACTGAAAGAATCGACACCATCCACGCCTTTGGTATGTCCTGCCACGGGTTTTGTGCGCGCCAGCACTCACCCGTGCGCCGTAGATCAACATTCGTTCGCTTGGGCAAGATAGACTCGAGAAACTGTTGCAGGAACACCTGGAGAAGCTCGGGTGTCCCGTCGAGTTCAAGACGACGATGACTGACTTCAGCCAGCTCGAGGACCACGTCGAAGCACAGATAGTCAAGTCGGGAATCGACCAGGATATCACCGAGACCGTTAAATGCAAGTGGATGATAGGTGCTGATGGCGCGAAAGGTATGTCGCCCGCCTGTGTGTTTCCGTCGCTAGCGTCCTCTTACGTAAGTATGAGCAGGCTCTATACGCAAGCAGCTGGGCCTACAATTTAGCGGCGAAACTCGGGGTGTCGAACAACGGTTCGTATCGGGCGACCTCGAAGTCAAGAACCTATCCGACGAGGTAAGCGATTCGAAGCGACCGTTTGCACCAGCTCACGCTCTATTAGTACTGGCACGTCTGGGGGGATCCCATGACCATCCTGTGCGCCGTTTTTTCTTCCTTCTCGATGGACATCGCCTCACCGGCCAGCTTGACAGAGTGTCACTACGGGCCACCGAGACGCCCGGCACCTTTCATCTGATCATGGGCGGGGAGATTGACCATGAGAAGGCTGTCTCGGATCGCGAGGAGCTGGCAAAGGCCGTAAAGGCTGGCACACACAGAGAGGACCTAGAGATCGGCGAGCCTACGTGGCTGTACGAAACAACGTGAGTCCCGCCTGGTAGCTGAGTCGGCGTATGCACTGAAGTGAGCAGGCCAAATATTCGGATGACGGAGAAATTCAGTAAAGGGAGGGTATTCCTTGTGGGAGGTACGTCGCTGTGTGTCACCTGCTGGCCGAATGATACAAGAGCAACGATGTCCAGATGCTTGCCATGCCCACCCGTTCTTTGGCGCGCAGGTGAGGGTCGTTACGACCGTGGCGTCGACAACGCTGACCTCGATGCACTCGGCACTGACAGGGCTCCAACTCCGGTGTGCAGGACGCAGTACGTTCTCTCTCCAGCTTCTCCATCGGGCGGCCATAAATGACGTTGCCCGACTGCTGCCCGCTCGTATAGTTTAACCTCGCCTGGAAACTCGCGCTCGTCGAGAAAGGGCTCGCCGGACCGTCCCTCCTCTCGAGCTACACCGCTGAGCGCGTGCCTGTCATCGCGGAAGTTCTGAAACGCACGACAAGCATCCACGATAAGACCCAATTCATGCGGAACGACGGGAGCGGGCTCGCTGCCTGGGGCCGCGACGGCCCGCTAAAGATGCTCGGGATCAACTACCGCTGGAGCAGCATCGTCCTTGACGAACGTAATCCCTACATGGAGAACTGCCCGCAGGATCCCTATGGCGTCGAAGCGGGCGATATGGTGCGCGCAGGCGATAGGGCACCCGACGCACCTGGCCTGGTCCCGATCGAGGGCGGAGAGACGTCTCTGTTCAAGATCTTCGGACCAACGCGCCACGCGGTACTGCTCTTCGCAGGCAGGGATTCCGCAGAGGAGGTCGTGCGAGTACTCGGGAAGATCAAGGAGTATCCGGCGGACGCTGTACGCTCGGTTGTAATATACCCGCGCGGCGCACTTCCAGAAGTTATAGACGACGCTGACATGGTCGTGTTTGACTCTGAGCAGCACGCCTTCGTGGACTACTGTTGCTCGGATGACGACCTCACCGTCGTCATTGTCAGACCTGATGGTGTTGTCGGGGCATCGTCTTCGGCGCGCCTGGCCTGAGGCGGTACTTCAGAGCTGTCTTCTCTGCACTCAGTATGTGATATTTGGACACGTAATTTCATTTGTCGGGCTCTTCAGGAACAATATGGCTGTGGGACTATTAGGATAGATACCATTATGATTTGATTATGATTGTTGTTTGTATTGGCTTACCGGATGATCGATTATTACATTCCTTGAATGCGACTAACGAGTCCACTTCTCGACAAACGCCGTCAGCTTTCGTTTGTCCCGGTCGCTCAGCTGTGTTTCCTGCGAAGAAAAGAGACGTTGAGTATGAAATGAATTTGGTATACTAGAACAGAGTCCAACCTTCCGCAACCGCTTCACCATAGAGTTAAGGTGCTCAGTCGTCTGCTTTGTTGACTCCTCGACAGCGTGCACGTCGGGGGGCAGACCAAAGGGCGGTGACGTATTTACTGGGGCGTTATCGTACACAACAGAGAGTAAGTCAGCATGGCTGGCCGATCTGACATAGATACACCGTCAGTTACTAACGATGCCAGGGAGGAAAATGAACCCACAGTTCAGCTAGCGCTGACGCAAGTTTCGAGCACCATGCCGCCTCGTCCTCGTCGGCGACTCGCGCGCGCTCACATACGGCGTCCAGCTCCTTCACAATATCGTCTCGTTCCAGCAGCACCAAGGGTCCAGCATCACGCGGTCTGAGGCCTACATATCCACCGAGAAGTACACACTCAGACCTCGCGGATAATGACAGCCTGAGATAAACTGACCCTGGGTTCGCTTCAGCAGCTCAGTCAGCTCTTCCTCGAGCAACGCGTGCCCACGCTTCTTTCGTGCGTCCCCGTCGGCGTCGGCACTAGCGCAGGCCTGGGCTGTCTGCTGCTTGACGTTGACTACCTCAACATCATCTGTGATCTCCTCGAGCTCCTCAAGCAGGACGCTGACGAGCGCCTCTGCTTCAAGGGTGCATGCACCGCGTGCCGCTAGTGCACGATGGAGAGCACCGAGCGGGGGAAAGAGGTCTTCAGCAAGACGCTTAGTTGTCTTGTTGTGGGATGATTAGGCGAAACCAGATAGGAATCATAGGGCGACGAGACTCACCTCGTCGATGATGTGCTCTCGGGCCTCTAGAATTGCTGCTTGGTCCAGATGCCACGCACGCAATACTTCCTCCCTTACATCAACATCGGCATTGCCAAACCCGTGCGCAGGAGGGGTGTCAGCCACAAGCTCGTTAATAATGTTTTGCTTGCTCTCCTCATCCGAGGAAGACTCGAGCAGATGTGATATCCTGTCTAGCTCCGCACAGTACGCGTCTGTCGACATGCCCGGAGTGCCGTTGGTACGGCCCCGTCTGCCTTGCAGAGCCTCAAGGGACGCATGTAGCCTGGCTGTCTCCTGCTTCACCTCAGTGGGCGTTGGTAATGAAGTCGTTGCCTCGTCGACAGTTCGGAGCTGTCGTGATGCGATTGAGGCTATACTTTCGTGTAAACGTGATATATTTGCGAGGGATCCTGGCATCGATGGGGCCCCCGGCTGGTTCGCCTTGCCAGTATCTGTCATGCCCCAGTTTCAGTACGCCGCCTAGCTTGCTATCAATGAATTACTTGATCTCTCTGCCCCTGTGGAATCTAGCAATCTGCTAGCAGTACGAGCGGATCTGGACACGATCGTGTCGGTCTGTGAAGTGGCGTCAGTTGACAGTGACATACCACTACTTCAGTCATTGGAGGCTCACACTTATGCATAACTCGCTGACCTTCGCATCTTGCTGCAGTATCTCTCTTCCTATTGCTTCCACGTCAAGTTGCAAGGTCTTCCCTGTTTGGGCTAGATTTTTAGCCGCGATCCTGGTACCAATCTCAGCCATAACCACTGTGCGAACCGAAATCCTGCACGCACTTCGAACTTTTCGACCTATGTCTTAACAATCGTGCCTCACTCTCAAGTAGCTCGGACTCTTGATCCATAGAATCTGAGCGTATGCTATGGATACGCTTAAACCAGTGTCCGGTATGTCGCATCAGAATATCTCACCTGAGAGTAGCTGGACTGAGGTACCCCCCAGGCGCAGTGACGGCCAGGTTGCGACTCTTCATGCTGTATGCGGGTCGTTCCTGCCTTTCGGCCGAGCACAGTCTAGAAATCGGTTGGTTCAGCCCAACGACGTCAACACTGGTTCAACCCAGGTATGCGACAACTCACTCGCGTACCTCTTGCTCATGCAAAGCAATTGGGTCCAATCCGGACTGATAGTAGATTTCGCCTCCACTCTGTGGTACGTCCGAGGGTGCGCTCCCGCATTGTACTTGTGATGCTAGCCATTCGAAGAGAATCTTGCCTTGAGGCACACTGCTTGCCCAAGCCACATCCTCCGCCGCATAGGTCGGGCCACCCAGGGTGCTGATGCATTGAACGAACGTGTCTGCAATATCTAAGGGCTCGGTCATCCTGTTGTAGATCACAGATTATTGTAAGCTGTCGCCTTGTCGTAGGTGTTCGTGGTAAGTGGTAAGGGTCATCGTCAACGAGCGCTCAGTGCTCAGGAGATTTGAGAACGCGATCGACAGCAAGTACATAACACGGTCAGTCACAAAGCACGTGCAATGAGTCACACCTGTGATTTTCCAAAATGAATCGTTCATACCGATCCAATCTGCGAATAACCCAGCCGTAGCGAGAACTTCATCAGTACTCTCGGCATACATTACAAGGAGGGGTGAGAGACCTACGGCCTATGGCAAAAAGTCACTTATGTTATGTTGACTCCACGTTATTTGGTATCGAACAAACAATGCTCAACACTAGTACTACTACGTAGGGGCAGCCTTTCCATCCTTGTATGGCTCTCGCCAACTGCTCAAGCTCGCTGCATCCCTTTCGGAGACAGTACAGCCTGAATAAGGATAGATTATGCAGCCAAAACTATCGATCACACACCCAGGCTACGGCCTTGCTTTAGTATTGTTGGCTCCATACCCATATAGCTCCCATAGGTACGCTATACATTGCTCGCCTTCGATGTCGTCAATGCTACAGCTTACAAGCTTCGCCGCGATTCAGCGGAGGGCATATTGATGCCTCCGCCATACCAGCGATAACATCGAAGCGAGAAAGTGTGTTGCTCGCTATCCGAACTTACTGATAACGTTCCGTAGAATTTCTGAAGCCTACACGAGTTAGTTATCGACGCACTAATTGTGGGAGTCGTCTTGTGAGCCGAACCGTCCGAGCTTCTCATTTTTCACCGTGGATGGCAGCGATATGTTCCAATCATCACACGGACGGCGGCACTGTTCGGCGTGCCATCTGCATCCGCTCTCATGCGAAAGTCCTATTGTTGGTTTACAGGTGAGGCCAATCGGACGGTGTTTTCGTGAGTTTAAGACCTATGCTGAAGACATTGCGCAACGCCGAGATGTATCACGCCGAGCTTTGTATGAAAGAAGACAGAAGATATGTTTGCTACATGGTCACATGATCACTGCCGGTACGCGTTGCTAGCGGCGATGGCGCGAGTCGCGCGACAGATTCCTGTCAGGAAGATGCGGGAAGATGCAACGTGTGTACTACCTTCGCGATAAGTCCGCTTGCTCATGAGCCAATCTTCATATTTCTCAGTCTATCTTGTCCGCCATGATTCTGTGCCGCGCGCACATCTGAGCCATCACCGTGCTCGCACGTTTCACGTTATCGCGCACCGGCTATCCCGAGCAAAGTTCCGAAGCATGGCGGCTCTGGTGGGCCTTATGAAGGCGGCGATATGAGCGAGCCTCCCCCAGAGTGACTCTCTGGTCCTCCACCACCCCTGGGTTCCGTGTCTGCCATGGTCGCTGCAGCCCGCCTCCTTGCCGCCCTGGCATGGCTCTTCCTGTCCGCTGCTAGCCCCGTGCACGGTGTCCCAGCTACCCTACCAGGACTGCACGTCCTCTCACCCCGCGCAGATCTGCAAGTCAACGTCTCGAGTAACGGGACGGTCACTGTCTCGAATGGCAATGAGACCATCGCGCAAGGATTTGCGACAGACGGAGGAGGATCCGGATTCGATGCGTCTGCCGTGCTGTGGATCGTCTACTGCTTCCTGCTCGGTGTCCCCCTCGCCTTTGGTGGGGTGAGGCTGCCGCGCCTGACGACGGGGATCGGCATTGGGCTGACCATCACAGTCTGCAGTACGTCCGCGCTGTACGAGTTCCCTTGACATGTGTTCACAGTGGTCATGTACAGTGTGGGCGGCGTTCGTCAGTACCGAGTCGGCTAAGGACCTGCCGGAGCTCGTCATCACGCTGATCCCCATGCTTCTCTTTGTTCCCGGGTTCCTGTTCGGAGCATACGAGTATGGCCGCCTTGCTGGCGTCATCCTTCTCGTTGTGGCGAGCGGCTTCTCCTGGGGCGTGCGGATCTGCCTGTTCGGTACGAACTTGGCCGTGAAGGAGATCTGGGGCGCCTGGTTGATCGGCACGGCCTTCGCGCTTGTCCATGTCATCTTGATTCCGTATTTCGAGCGGCTAGCAGTGGTTTGTAGCTTTGCACATTATCAAGCGAGTTGTCAGGTCTGACATGCTATTCAGGCAATTTCTGCCTCATCCGTCGGGACATTCTTCCTTGCGTTGGGTATCGACCTGATTGTCAACAAACAATCCGGCATGAGCCTCGGTCTGCGGTATGCATTCGACCGCAACCCGCGCCACTACTATGTACGTCATTCATAGTTCCCTAGCGGCTCCAGTAGCCTTGACATCAAGTATAGGCCATTGTGTACGCCGGGTGGAAGCCGCCCACATCGACAATCATCATCATGGCTGTCTCCCTCGGGGTCATGTGAGTACATACTGTCTTCCTGCTCTCCGCCTACTCATGCCATGTCAGTCCCATTCTCGCGTTCGTCCAATACCGCTTATACCCACGCCTGTCTTTCTGGCGGCGCCCGGGTAACGAGCACGGCGAGACTGCCTCCTTCCTCGAGGAGAAGGAGGCCGTGCAGATCAATGTGCACAATGTGCCGACACCGTCGGCAACGCCCAGCAAGGAGAGTCTTCCTGCCACCGACTCGAACTGGGCGTCGCGACGCCAGTCCGTCATGACCGACTACGAGAGTAGGCCGCGGTCCGCATATCTGTGAGCGCTAGGCGGCGCACCAGGTCCGGCGCTCATCGCTTTGGTGCTGTATATGATTAGGCTTTCATGATTGTCACGACGATTTCGCTGCTTGATACTGCTTTGTGTTAGGGACTTGCTTGCTTTCGTCCATGCCCTTCACGTCCACATTGCCTAATAGAAGTCAGACATACCTGACGCACATACCATACTTCATAGACTCGGAACACTCCGTCGCATTTGCCTATTCCGCTTGTATCAGGATCATTCATCGGGGGATACTTACGGTACGATTTGTGCAGCCACTCGGGCACGTAGGCGGTAACATCTGGAAATTCTGGTAGCAATACAGAATAGATTGAAACATCATCAAAGTCGAGCGTGTCTGATCATCAGCCTAGGCATGTACAGATGCACTAAAGACAGCGTCGAAGTACCGCCTCGCCCACTCCGTCCCGCTAGCTATCCCGCCGATATAACCATCAGGTCGAATAATGACAATCATGCACTCGTTCTTCTGCACTTGGTAGCCCTCATGTGCGTGTCCATCGCGATCCACGAGCGTCATGTCGGTACCATCGAGAATCGGCAGGGAAGCTGCGCCATCGCTGTGGATGAGCACCTTGCACAGGAGCTCCGATGGGTATTGCTGCAGAGCCGACACGATCTGCAGAGGCTTGTCGGTCCCATCGCTGAAGATGAGTACAGTATGATACGACGGCTGGAATATGTCGAACAACGAGGTCGTCTGAACGCCGTCCGCGTCTCCCGCCGTAAAAACAAGGCCCGTTGCCTCAGGAGCACGCTCTCCCGCCCGCACGACATCCGTGAGGGACTGCAGCACGCCGTACGGGTCAACGGGTGTTCCCTCCTTGGGCGTGCGCTCGTCGAGTACGATGGGGCTCCAGCGGTAGTTGACGCCGAACATGTGCAGGTCGCCGCCACGCTTCCATGCCTTCTCGGTATCCACGCCGTCGCCTTTGGCATCTACAGCCATGTCAAAGAGCTCGGTGGACTTCCTGAGCAATTCGGCGATTACTGGGAGGCGCTCGTCGGTGTAGGAGTCTAGTAGGGAGGGAGCTGCGATGCCCTTCGCAACCAAGGCGAGTTTCCAGCCGAGGTTCACCTGCGTATGGTTGAATTAGACATGCACAGTAACTTGTGTGTGACAGACCTACCGCATCCTGAATACTCGAGTTGAGGCCTTGTCCGCCAAATGGACTGTGAACATGAGCCGCATCTGAGCAAGTAAATGAGCATGACCTCCTGGCAGCCTAAACAGTTAATTAAGCTTACCACCGACGACGAAGACCAGGCCTTTGCGGAACGTCTCGGCCATGCGGACATGAGGCCTATAATGATTACTTCAAGAGCTGCGGCAATGAGAAGCAATAAGTGAGCCTACCTGTAGTCCGCGATAACATGGACTGCCTCTAGCTCAATGTCTGTGCGGCCGGTACCGACTCTGAGGACCCTTTGCAGTTCGGCTGGTTCCGCGACAATCTTCGCGTGGTCGACGTGGCCGCCCACGAACATGGCGTGGATATGAGGGTCTTCTGTCGGGCGAAGCAAGATCCTGTTATACATTAATCTTTGACGTATACCTTGGAGAAGAGGAGGGAACACTTACAAAGTAGTATGCATGTCTCCCCAAGAATGCCAGTGCTACATGAGGTCAATAACGGATGGACGTCAAAACACAGGGTATGACTTACATCTGCGTCGAGTCCCTTGATTTGTACGTCGCCGATGACCATGCGATGGGTAGCTCCTAAGGTTTCCCCATCGAAGGTGAGACCCAGCTGCTTCCGGACAATGCCTACAATCACAAGATTGATTAGTATAATGCACACTAGTGCACATTTCTCAGATGAGATATGTGGGAGCAAACCTTTTGCTCCATCTGCGCCAATCAGCCAGCGACACTTGATAGTCTCGATTACTTCTCGGTCCCCGTCCTGTCTCAGGACATATGCGACGACGTGATCGACTTCTGTCTGGAAGCTACACAGAGCTACGCCCGATTCGACTTCGCAACCAAGGCGTTCGAGGTGGCTCCGCATGATCGCTTGCGTCTGGTTCTGTCCCAGCAAGGATGTATTTCCCTGCGGTTGATGATGAGCCACATGGAACCGGAGCACAGCACTGATAAACGATGCACGTACATACGGCTTGTAGGGTGTCGGCTCTACAATCGGTTCTAGTGGAAAAGTGGCGATGGCTTCATCACCCTCCGGAAGCTTGTACACTCGCATAGGGTGCATTGGTATGGAGTGCGCGTGTATATCATCCAGTATACCCAATATCTTGAATATTTCTTGCGAACGAGGCTGACGGACACAAAAAAATCGTTAATTCTAATGATGCGACAATCATCAACGGGTATACTGACCATGAGTGCTGCCCCGCGCTGCCCGACGTTCACTCTCAGCTCTTTCTCGATTATTCGCACTGGTATGCCATTCTTGCGCAGGGTGAGCGCGGCAATGAGTCCTGCAGGCCCGGCTCCGACCTGCCTCACCCTTCGGTCAGCACAACGATCACAGCGTTAATGGTTGCACTTACGATCAAGACCGGCATTTCCAAATTAGCAGACATGTTTGTCAGAGAGCTGTATGAGAAGTGGCACGAGGAAGATGCAGCGGAGACGAGGCTTTTAAGGACTTGGGCTACCAGTAGATATTTCGACCTGAGGCGTCTCCCCTTGATGTCGCAACACCTGAGGAAACCCCTAATTGTAAGCCATCTGACGCATACACGCAAAATGATCGTGGTGACGACGGTCCATTGACTTACGGCACACGGATTCCCATGCATCTACCGCAGTGACTCAGTCGGTTGAATAGGATGCGTCGGGTAGTACGGAGAAGCAGAGCGTCACTCTGATCCCTGCGTTCCGCATAGCCGCTGTGATTGGACGGTGGGCAGTAACTTGTCGTACGTGGCTCGGCCGGGATGACTTCGAGTCGAGACCTTCAGGACTAGAACTCTTAGTCTTGTCGCGATGAGGCGCACATACAATGATGAGTAGACTGCAAAGTCCGAAAGTCGTCAATGTGAGGTAATAGCTGATTCAGACGGACCAGTAGCTCGTCTTCGTCGTCTTCGTCAGGCCGCCTGAGGGTATCAGACCAGAACGCTGGGGCGGTCGACATCGTGCGGGTTTGTATCATCAAACTTTCCAAATGGAATTGTGGTCGGCCTGGTCGTCATCGGGTCTGGGACTCCACGACGCCGATACCGCCGAACCATGCATCTAGAGAGGCAGCGAGTCTCGAAACGAGCCAAATATACGTCAGAGTCATTGAGGAACCTATATGTTCGCGATCCACTGATATGTGATGCTCAGTGAATTTGAAGCACCTGTGGAATTCATTGTTCGCGAGAAAATGGGCGTGCGTCAGTGCAGTGTCTTCGGCGACAGGGCAGCCGACTTACTCACTACTTCGATGGCTTGTTGATGACTCGATGACCTGTCGGGTTGAGGCGCTGCAGGTACAGTAGGTATCTGCTTCTTCACTCCAGCATTCGTCCGAGTCGTACTCCGAGTCGTGCGACGGCGGAGCGGCCGACATTGGTCCGTCTGGATCATTTTGCCGACCTTGAATCCCTGAGGCCGCTGAGCCTCGTGCTCTTGAATAAACTATCCTAGGGCATAAGCCCTGGATGGCCTGGAACCATGCCTGTGATGCGGCACGCTTGGGGCGAGTGGCAACGGTTGACTCAACAGTCGTTCGATGTACTTGGTATCTGTTTGTAAGGAGACAACTTGAAGACGTTCACCGTGTACTAGTTGCACAAGAATATCTTCATGAAAGCGAAAGCAAGTCGCCCGTGTCTGTCAGTGTCGAGCGTGCAGCTGCCGTGATCAGCCTGAGTGCTCATCCGAACTTGAACGACACTTCACCGTCAACGGCGGCACTTGCCAAATTCGTCGTAACATGATATTTTCGAAAGCGGAAGCGCCCGTGTCCAAAAGCGGAATCACTCAAGAACTACTCATAGAAAACATTGTAGTGAATCTGTATCGGCCACAAAACCTGGTGTCTATGTCAGAGGGTCTATAGCTGAGTTAGATGATAGCGACACGTCTCCCGCGTCTTGGCAGCTTTCATTTTTGTAAGTCCAGGTACTTACTACCGTCCAAGCCTGGTTCTGGTAGGGCCGGGCGTTGCCGAGCCTCGTTCCTTGTGCCACAACGCCTTAAACACAGCGCCATGGCCTTTCAATCCACAAATTACGGACCGGAAAAAGCTGTCTCTGGTGTGCAGACTGCGTTCACCGTCACAGTAAATTTCCAAAGGAGGACTAACTTGAATTATTTACTCAGGTGACTAGTCGATACTAGTACGCTTGGCAGCGCATCTGCCAGTGGTCAGACAAGAATGTCCGGAGCGCGCAGAGGATGAGATCGAGAATGAAGGGTCTACATTTCGAATTTGAACGCCAACACCGTGACACCCTGACGCACATAAACAGAACTTAGTACGAAACAGAGTGTCGGAACACTACTCTGCGGCCTGCCGCAATTGCCCATCCGCGCTGAAACGCTATCAGACTATGCCCAGTAAGGACTTAGATCCATATTGAAACTAGTACTGACACGACATGCATAGTAACAATGTAGAATGAACCCCGACGCCGAGCGCAGATTTCATCCAACGCGTGGTGAGTCTGTCTATGTAGCGAAGACGCCGCCGAAGTAACGCACAGCCCCTTCAGTGCCGCGGACTATTCCTCCGATTGCACCGTCCGGCCGTACGATAACAACCAGGAATTCATCCCTCCGCACCTGATAGCCTCCGTGCGCTTGCCCATCTCGGTCGACCACGGACACATCGGCATTATCGAAAGTCGCCTGAGAAGGTATGTCATCGGCGTAAACCAGAACCGTGCGCAGGAGCTCTGGCGGATACGCTCCCAGATGTGACACTACTTGCTCGGCCTTCTCGGTACCGTCGCTGAAGATTAGCGCGGTATGGTAGGACGGCCCGAAAATGTTGAACAGCGAGGTCGACGTTGTCTCCTGCTGGCCTCCAGCGCCTCCGCCGGAACGGAGCACAACGAGCCCAGGCGCGTCAGGAGCACGCTCGCCCGCTCGCACGATATCACCTACGCAGGACTTGAGCACGCCGTACGGGTCGACGGGCGTATCCTCCTTTGGAATGCGTTCATCGACCACGATGGAGCTCCAGCGATAGTTGACGCCCAACATGTGCAGCTCGCCGCCGCGGTACCAGGCCTTTTCGCTGTTTGTCCCGTCGCCTTTAGCGCGAGCCGCTTCATTCAAGAGCCTGGTAGATTTCTTGAGCATCTCAGCGATGACCGGGAGACGCTCTTCGGTGTAGGAGTCGAGTAGGGAGGGGGCTGCGACGCCTTTCTCGACCAGGGCGAGCTTCCACCCGAGGTTCACCTGCAGAGAGCTCTGTCGGTAACGAAAAAAATGAACATTCCCTTGAGAGAAACTCACGGCGTCCTGTATGCTCGAGTTTAGGCCTTGTCCGCCGAATGGGCTGTGGATGTGCGCGGCATCTATATGCCATGGTGTATTGAGCACTACTCTGTGACACACTGTAAGCATAGTAGTCGGCGACTCACCACCAGCCACGAACACCCGGCCTTTACGGAAAGTCTCGGCCATTCGCACATGCGGCCTACACGTAGACTGTGTCAGAATGTCCAAATAAGAAGAGCAGAGCGTCGGTACCTATATTCCGCAACGTAGCGGATTTTACCCAACTCAATGTCAGTGCGGCCAGTACCGACTCTGAGGACTCTCTCCAGTTCCGCCCGCTCCGCAACGATCTTCGCGAGGTCTAGGCGGCCCCCCAACATCAAGAAGTAGATCGCGTCATCCTCCGTTGCACGGAGCATGACCCTGTCGTACATTTCAGCCCGACGAAGGTTCTGCAGGGCACAGTACTCTCACAGGATAGTGTCCATGTCCCCCCAGTAGTGCCAGTGCTATGCGAGGTCATCAACCGAGCGAAATTGGACGACATATCACGTACTTTGCGGTCGAGCCCTTTGATTTCGATGTCACCGATGACCAGGTGCTGTGTGACGCCCAATGTCTCGCCGTCGAAGAGAAGACCTAGCTGTTTGCGGACGACACCTGCGTCGGGTACATGACGATCAGACTGGGTACGGTGATCCTTCAGCCAAACACCAAGGTGACTACTGACCTCTGGCTCCATCAGTGCCGATCAACCAGCGGCACTTGATGGTTTCTATCGCTTCTTGATCGCCATCCTTCTTCAGGACATGCGCTAGGACATGGTCGACCTGTGGCTGAATGCTGTACAGCGCCATTCCCAATTCGACCTGGCATGCATCTTGGTCAAGATGGTCACGCAAGATCTCTTCTGTGTGGTTTTGTCCCAACACGACTGCGTTACTCTGCGACGCAGTCATTAGTAATCCAACCGAATTTGTGAATGACGTTCGATTGATCGACGCACGTAGGGCTTGGACGGAGTCGGCGCCACCGCAGGATCTAGCGAAAAGGTCATGATGGGCTCAGTGCCCCCCGGAAGTCTGTACACCCGTATCGGGACCACCCCCATGGACTTCGCGCGAATATCATCTAGCACGCCTAAGAAATTCAGGAGCTCCTGCGAGCGAGGCTGGCAGAGACATCCAGGTCACCCAGAAATCAGAAATCACAGCCCAACGGACATTATCCACGCCTACCATAATGCCTGCCCCGCGCTGTCCGACGTGGGCCCTCGGCTCTTTCTCGATGATACGGACTGGTATGCCATTCTTCCGCAGCGTAAGCGCGGTAACGAGCCCTGCAGGCCCAGCTCCAACCTACGTAGTCATCGGGGGTGAGTGACGGTCATCAAACGAGTATTCGTACTCACTATCAGCACTGGCACTATCGATTCGTCGGGCATGCTGAATGCGGTGTGGTGGATAGTGGGACAGCAATGAAGCCAGGCTTTTTAATGTGAGTTGTAGACCGAGCTGATGACATGCCCCCGTACGGAGCGTACAGACCAAGGCGTGGTGGTAAGCCTCCTGACGCAGAAGAATGCAGACCTGACCGAAAGAATGACACACCATCTCATCACTTCGCGGGGTTTCCCATGGCATCGGCTGCGGCGGTTGGTGCCCGTCTAAATCGATGGGAACCGCTTGTGACTCGGATGGGCATGCATCCGTTGCTTTGGAGAATGAGTTGCGGGATTAGGCGGCGACTTATGCAAAAGAAGATGATAGCTGACTCACACAAGCCTCCGATCGACTGATACAGAATGAAAGGTTGAGAAATCGAGCCGCCCGGATGACACGCGTCCCTGGGGCATTGGGACTACTCATCCTGCGAATTTGTTAGACTTCCACAGGTGCATCGAGACGGCATAGCTTCCGACCGGACATAGAGGACACACACGTGAGGCGTCCGCCGTTGGACTTGAAGACTCAGTATTTACCGAGCCTTGCATTCGTCGGTAATCGGAGTCCTGGTTCGGTCTCACTGAAGACGACGTTCAGCTGTTTCACAGTGGCAGCTGACTACATACTCGTAAGTTACAAGCATCTTCATCTCCTGTGTAGAGCACAAAGCACATACCCATATAGTTGTATTAGTTCCGAAGCTTACATCTCGCTTGCACAGCTGACAGCACGTAGACGCAATCTTTTGCGTCGGTGCTGCGATAACAAGCCTCGTCAGCTTAACCGCTACACCGACCGTCCACTCCTCCAGAGTCGCTTTAGGCGACTACCTCTAGTTCACAGAGGCAGTACGGGCAGAGGCAGTAGTACCCTCGCAGTGACGCTGCCCAAACCGGATACGCCCATTGCTTCGCGCGCGCTCGCGGGGCTTACCACCCTGACCCATTGGAACCAGCTGTGGGGATGGTGCACCTAGACGGTGCGTGGGTGGGAAATGGAGGGTTCACCGGATTCACCTCTTCTTGTGCCACGTCCATGCACGGCCGCGGTCCGTCGTTTGAACTCGTTTCCGAACGGGCTATGGACCTCCTCAACGCCTTGGCGACGGGCCAACCATAGAATGTGACTGTAGGCACCGTAGAGTCGTAGAGTCCAGTAGAGCAACTTCAAGAATTCATATTCTGGCCATGGACCTGGGCGGAAGTCTTCTGCAAGCTACTAGAGTACTTAGCTGCATGCCAACTGCCATCCCTACGCCACTCGATATTGTTCGGACCACAGCGCGATCACGTGATGCACCACACCGCGACCTTGCCAGTGCCCGGCTCACGGACACTTCGTCCATCTAGTACCCATCGCGATATACCTCTGCTGCTAGTTCCGGCCCAAAGATATCCTACGCGGGACGACGCACCCTCAAGGGAGTGCACAGTGGCTATAACTTGACGACCTCCGGCGGCGCGTCGACGCCCGGGTGTTCCCCCTCGCGTGATTGAGCGGATATTCGACCTCTCCTGTCCAAGAATTGCGCGGACCTCCATGCATGTAGGGAGCAGCTCAAATATCACATGGCGATACTTATACAAGAAGTGCGTCGCGGACGGGACAACAGGGTGGACCGTCGTAGGACGATGGCTGTCGTATGCGTGGTTCAAGGACTACTCGTTGGAGAGAAGCTATGGCGAGCCCCTGTTGTGTGCACAACGTATAGCACGGCCGTTTGCGGCACTGCGGAGTGTGCGAAGATTTGACAAGAGTTGTCTAGGCATCGTGACCTGGAAATATCGGAGTAGGGATGGCGTTGTATATCAACGAAGACTTTGTGAGTGCAGCATCCTGCTTCTCGCGTCGGTATCTCACGAGGTGAAGCAGGGAGGAGACCATGATGTAAACTATCCGAGATTGCCGCTCAGCAATACTCTTCATCAAAATCATCGTCGTTCTCAGCCACACGAAAGTCTGTCGTCATACGCCTGGTGTCATATGCGCTCTCACTTGCCGCTCATATTGTTCACCAGATAACTCCGAGAGGCGATGCAGCAACCAAAGGTATACTTCGAGAAGTGCAATCCCTTGTACACCCTCACGGCGTTACAATGCGCATACAGTGACGTGTTCTGAAACAAATACAGCAAAAAGGACCTCCGACTGCGTCACTGTGGTTAGAACCGAGTACCCATTAGGGTTCCGCTTCCACCTCCAATGGAAGCTCAAGACGTACCGGATGCTTGGACGCCACGACTATCTCGAGCCGTTTACTTGCTCTTCGGGGGCTCAGCGCAGCCGCACGCGGGGTAGGTGCAGGAGCCGCCGTTGGCCTGGACGTTTGCGCAGGTAGCCTTGTCCTGTCGTGCCATCCACCGTCAGTCCCTGCCCGTGCATCAAGGTCAATGCCAGGAGATGATAACTCACAGACATGTCGATTCGATGATGTGGTGTGCGAGGTGGGTGGTGAGATGTGGTGGTCGTGGACTGGGGCTTGACGGTGCGTCAGCGTTCCTTTTATACCCTCTTGGCTTTGGATTGGGATGACCGATGTCCGTGTTCTGTATAGTGTTGTGTTATACGACAGTTACTATTGGGCGACTGGCGCCGCCAATGGTTACGAGCGGAACAGTCACGTCGACGGGAAAGCGGAGAGGCTCGACGCATGGTAGTCTCGGCCGGCCGAGTGTAGGTAACTGCCGCTTCCCCGTTCGCTCGATGGTCCGCGATAGAAGCTATCTCCACCTGCGCTGGGATCTCTTCATGGTGGCGCTTTATCTGCGGTCAGGTTCACACCGGAAACCATCTTCCTCGATCTTCCATCACAGATAGCACCACTCTTCCACCAGCACCAAAAGCCCGACTTGCAAAATGGGATGCTTGTGGCTGTGCCCTAGGCATAGTACTGGCATGAGTCTCACTGTTGAGAAGGACCTAGTCCGGGACGCAACATGACGTGACCGCGCAATACGGTCGCATTGCGATTGCGATTGTAAAATTATGCCACGGCCCACAGCGGTGTTCACTGTGCATAGTACACATACAGCGTGAGTCTCACAGCGCATCCATGTTTATAGACACATGATCCCAGTCACACGCGGCGATGCGTACAAAATGGCGAGCACCAATGGCTGTGTCTGGCGTTCATCAGATCATTATGGTACGCCGCTGTACTGCAGAGCAATTGTACTCGGTCATTGTACTTGAGATCCAGTGTACTGACTGTTTGCCGCACAGGATCCATGTGAGAATGGACAGAGCGAAAGTGTAGAGCCACATATAACACACCTGTTCTGCTCTGCCGCGCCTGCTCATGCAGTCCATTGAACCTCGACGACCCCTATCACTCTTTCGTTGGTGGCCTTTACACAATCTTTGTGCACGTTACAGGTCTGACTCACCTTCTCCTCCAGCTGCTTTGCCATGGACGACGTCGAGGCCAAGGGCCGTAAACGCATACGCGACCTGGAGTCGGAAGGTCCCCCGGACCTTCACACAGCGAATCAATCAGAGGAGCCTAAGTCCAAGTCGCTAACCCTGTCCGAAGCGCGGTGCGTGAAATCTATAGCAAAAGACTCCTGCTCTAATCGTCAATATTTTGACCCACAATATCAGAAGCCGCACCAAACTAGCGAAGCTGTCTTTTCTTTTTCTTTTTCCTTTCTTTCTGAATCCCTTTATTGTCCGCGAGGGCCGAGCCCTATGTAGACAAGTGAAGCTGTCTACAGGAGGCGAGCCTCATTCCTTGGCGGCTGGAATGGCGGTAGATCGTCAGGGGCCTCCTCACGAGTCGGAGCTGATGGCACTGCGGTCGGACCGGGCACTCGAGCAGTCTGTCGACTTGGACATCGGTTTGGATCCGTCTGTAGGGGCTGGGGAGCCTTCTGCCACGGACTCTAGGATCGCCAGCCATCAGGTTCAGGACGATAGGGACACGACCACCACTGGAGCCCCGACTGCCGAGACTATGACAGACAGAGAGTGCCATCAGTGCCACAAGAGGGCAGCGCAGAGATGGGCCCTTCTGCGGCGGTACATAAATTTATGGTATGTTGTAAGTGGTGGTCGTTATCCGTATATGGCTCATTGATCCTTATGCATATTTTAGCCTTGGCCAAGGGACCAGCTATTGTGAAAGGAGTGGGGGCAGCTAGTACGAACTGTAAGAGACACGGAGTGACTCAGTCTCGACGCTGTATGTTCGAGTACTTGTATTATTGACAAACCTGTAAGAGACACGGAGTGACTACAATATGTGAGTCAAGAACGACGTAAGGTATCGGGATACTACTCACCTCAGTCTCGACGCTGTATGTTCGAGTACTGAGGTGTACGGAGCGAATGCGAGTGAAAACGCGCGCGTTGGCGCTTACGTAAGGAAGCGCCGGAGCGATCGTACACTAAAGGTCCTTAGGTATTCTACTGGTACTCTATTACGAGAGTCCGTCCATTCTCCAACACCAGCCGCGTGTGATGGAGAGGGCAAGAAGGTCATTTCGTTCGGATCTTCTCGAAATTAGCAAACACACCTGATTCCGCATCGCTTCCGTAGCGGAGAGCAGTTTTGTCAATCAGCACTCGTGGACATGGCGGGCGCTGCAGTCCGTGCCGCAACGGTTACATCCTCCAGTGACAGCGACTTGCCTAATATGAGGACAAGCACTAGTAGCAGCGTGGACACCGAACCGCCGCCATCTCAAGTTCATTTCAGCGATTCCAAGTGGAGGCATACTAGTAGTACAGAGGTCAGGCCGTCAAACTCGCAGAGGATGGACTCTCCTCAATCTCATTCGGAAAGAAGCGAGCTCCCAGGCCCGCCAGATCATAGGTTGGCGCATATAAGCACCTTCGTAATACACGTCAAGGTGCGTGAAGTCACCCGGTGTCATCATACCACACGGGATGCATCGTGCCCTATCACTCTATGCCAGATGAGACATATCTTCATAGGTGCTGAACGACAGTTTGTAGCTCTACTACCAAGGCGCTGTGCGTGGAATGCCAATCAGATCGGACCTCTCCTGGGAGGATTTCCATACAGCGGTCCTTGCGAAGTTCGGACATCCGCCCACTGGATTGCGCATGCAGTTCGAGGACGAGGATAATGAACGGGTGAGTCGCACAGTAGTCTCTGTATATCATGACAATGTGAACTGCACGGGCTGATCGGGTGTGCACAGGTTGATCTGCAAGATCTGACGGACTATGAGCTTGCCATCTCGATGGCTCATGCAAATATTCCACAGGGCAGGAAAGAAGGGAAATTGAAGATATGGTGTACCGACGAGCACCATTGATCACGGCGTCCTGCACCGTCATTGCCACCACCACGAACGAGGCATCGCCTCGTCAAGATGGACCGACGTACAAAATTGTAGCAAAAGGCTTCAAAGTCTCTCCCGTTGAGTATGTCATTGTACACTTTCCGAAGGCTGCAGAATTAGACCCTGCTACCGCTTGTAACATATAAAAGCGATCTAGGACAAACCAATGCATACACCGAAAAAACCTACGCCCAGGGTTTCGATGGCCAATGTTCTAGTCTTCCCGTCTTCGATGCTCATCTCCTTCAGGCCCGACAGCACAAACTTTTCACCATCACCGGAAGCGGTCCACACATGAACGTAGCCACACCAACACTGGCGTCGGGGTAGAGGGTAGACGTGTTCTGTCACAGTGTACTAGTCACTTCCTTTTTAGCCTTGCGTATACCATCGTAGGCGTGCGATGTGGGCTTGACGTATGCGACTCGGACCACGGCAGGCGCGGGGGAAACTACGCGGGCATCGTGCGTAGGAGATGGGGTTCCAAAATTCGACCGGTTGACCACGGAATTTAAACACTTACTGATGACTTACTGTACCCAATGCGCACACTACAGTAATAGCTCGCTATCGTTCAGTAATGTCAACACTCCCGGATTTGGCGTGACGTCATGGTCATCCCAAGTCGCCTCATGGAGTTCTCCAGTCCATCCCAGAGATCGTCTTGCTGCTCATGCTCTTGCTCTCAACCGCCATCTTGTCCATCCCCCCTGATTCCTCATTTTTCTCTTCAGAAAATCACATGGGCATTGGCAAGTGAGTGTGCAGTGGCTTTAAGTTTAATGGTGAGTAGTAGTAGTTGATCCTGAATCATAGAGCACAAAAGTGCGAGAAGGGAGAGCTTGGGCCCGAGGGTGTACTCGGATAGTCGCATGATAGTTTACAGTACTCGTTGGCTATGCCACCTGCCAGCTGCAGTGCCCGAGTGCCTCGACTTGCGCATAGGCGCTTGAACTTCAAGGAGTTACAGCGGTTTTCAGAACTATGCGGAATCGCGAGAAAAACGAAAACGCACCTCGGGCACTGGGCCAGCGCCCCGAGCCACGATTAGATTAGATGCAGTCCGAGTTAGGAAGCCATTAGATTGATACGACGCTGCGCGTCCCGCCTCTCCGAGCGAGCGATGTAACAAGCTTCAGGGTGAAGTCGACTGTGAACAAAAATGGGAAGGGTATGTAAATAAGGCATGCAGAGGTCTGGTATCTTTTCCCCATCCAATGACCATTCACTTTAGCCTCGGATGGAACCACTTGATCAAATTTATTATTTACTCAAAAAACCAACAGAGCTCATCTAGCAATGGTCCTCGCGCTGCACCGTAATTTTGACAGCCAAAGATGTGTGTAAATCTGTTTGTGCTCCACATTTACCCTCGTCATAACACCCAATGTGCACAACATTGCCCTTGCCATGAACAACAATATAGTATACTTACATTAATTATCAATTCATCACAGAATGGGTCCTGCTTGATGTGCTGCTTCACTCCGGATTTCATTCATTCATGTCTGAAAGTCAAAAGATCTTGTTCGCGGACTGAATGTATATGTACTACTTACATTAGAGCAACTGAGTCGTTCGTACTTACTGTATGTTGTTCACATAATCAGCTACCCATACTTTGTATATATGCTATATTATATACATTGCGCGCCGCGTATTGTGAGCTCTACTTTTCCACCGTTTTTTCTGCTGCATTGGTGCATCAGCGTAGCTCGCTGCCATCTTGTTGTCATTTACATGTAACGACTGTGATTTCGTATGCCTGCTGACCGAAATGGCCTAGCTTATCAGTTCCAGATTTGGCCACTATCTAATCTAATCGTGGCTCGGGGCGCTGGCCCACTGCCGCCCAGTGCCCGAGGTGCGTTTTCGTTTTTCTCGCGATTCCGCATAGTTCTGAAAACCGCTGTAAAGTTGACGTTGACCTGCACGCCGGTGGCTCGCTCTTCTTTCATTAAGCTTTGTCTCACTTGCGACTCATCGGCATTTCTCTTTATCACCCGACTGGAATCACTGTCACTGGATGCTCACTCACTGGCACGAGTCGATCTCTCGCCCATTATGATGTATTGCAACCTCGTGCGTGTACTACGTAGGCTACCACCTACTGTCTAACACATTTGACAGAGCTCCGAGCAAACGCGATTTTTCTTGGCCGAGAGCGTGTCAGCTGGGCCGGTGGTCCCTCTAGAAACTGAATCTTGATTTTGCTAGCAACAAAGGGGCCTCGGCCGTTCACGTTCATTTTGCAAGTCGGAGGTCGATAGATCCGGAGTGCCGATGAACCACGATCGCGTCATCCAATTCTGAGTCGCAGTCTTACCCGCCAGTCAGGCTTTGCTCTGCACCTTTTCAGTTGTCTCTCACTAACTTTGAGCTGTTTCGTTCCTTTGAAGCCCAAGAGCCTCTCAGCTCGCCTCCGGATCACTTCAAACAAGTACCATAGACATTTGATCAGACAGATCAACATCATGTCAGCACGCAAAGTTTTGATGTTACACGGGTAAGCCACGGAGATCCATGGATAGGCAACCTACTGAGCGTTGACCACGCCATCGGTTGCGTACATGCGCCAGGTATGCGCAGAGCGGGACCATCTTCAGCAAGCGGGTGAGAATCACACTGACGTCCGTGCGCCCCAACTGATCTCTCTCGCAGATGGGTGCTTTCCGCAAGACATGCAACAAAGAGTTTGACTTAGGTGCGTCGATGCATTGATTGACAGCCCTGCTACCTGATCCCCAGTATCATGGCAGTCTTCGTGGACGCCCCTCACGTACTGACGCCGGTCGATATGGCGTACCTCACGTCGCAGTCGCCCGAGTCGTCCCTTGATAATCTCGGCGCTGCAGAGGCGACCACTGAGACGGACCCCGTCCTCGCCCCGCGTGGTTGGTGGCGAGTGAACGAGGATCGGACGCAAACGAACGGGCTCGAAGAATCCCTCGCCGTGCTACGAGACGTGCTTGCGAAGGACCACTATGATGTATGAGGGTTTCTTCAATTAGCCGGCAGCAATGTATGACGTGAATTTGTTGTTCCAGGGAGTATTTGGGTTTAGGTTTGAACTGTCTTCCAGGGATGACTGCGTACAGTGACAACATCTGTCTATCAGCCAGGGCGCCGCCATGGCAGCTATCCTCGCGGCCTTGGTGCGCACATCTTCCGAGACATTGAACCAATCGCTGACTTCATCATGGACCCTGGCAGCTCGAGAAGCCGGCGGTGCATCCGCCATTCTTGATCAATGGGGAGCCGCCCCATCCACCTTTGTGAGTGTCGAGTACCAATGCGTTTGCCTTGTCTCTCAGTACAGTTGCCGTGCTCCGACGTGTCCGAGATTAATGAATCTGTTATCCCACAGGCAGTTCTGCGTTGCCGTAGCAGGCTTCAGGCCGGTTAGTCCGCTCTGCGACGTCATCTTGTTACCTTCGTATCCCACGCGAAGCCTGCACATCCTGGGAAGGACGGATGTCATCGTCGTCGAAGAACGGTCCAGGACGATACTGGATATTTCGAGTAACAAGCGGGTCGAGTACCACGATGGAGGTGCGTGCCTCCGTCTCGCACGTGTGAATGACGGGGTTCTGACGATTCGGTGGCCATGCATTCCACGCCCGCAGGTCATTTCGTCCCCTCCAAGGCGCCGTGGCGGAACTTCATGCGCAGCTACCTTCGAGATCCTGCGGGAGACGTGCCTTCCCCGGGCTCTGCAGCACCGTCACAGGACGCTTCGGGAGCCTCGACCCCCAAAGCGTCCGGTAGCGCTACCCCTAGCGCTTTATGACCGAAGAGAATCCTTCCGGAAAGAAGGCGTGGCACAGGCCATTCGGCCGGCGTAGATCGTGCGGGAACTCAGCAGGCCGATATTCGACCTTTACATGGTCCGTGCATGGCTTATCGCGATAGAACATGTAGATGCGACCTATCCCATACGCTTGGACGCGTGCTGCAGTCGTAGAACTGTCGTTCAATGTCCACGCCATGCTTTGATCGATATCATGTCCGCCTCCGAGAAGGCTGTCCAGCACACTATGATGATCATTAGGAGGCCGAACAAGACATGTCCATATCCCTTTGCATAACCCCATGGCAAAGCCTGTTCGGGGCCCGGAAACTGGCTGAGAATTAGGCAGAACATGTGGAAAGCTGGGTGGACATGCTCCAAATATGCCAAGATTCACCGATGACTGTCACGGAGGGCGAAGCCCTCTGTGCTCCTCCTTCCTTTCCTCTCGTCTCCCTCTCCGTCGCTGCGCAATGCGCATGTCCAATGATAGTCCACTTAGTGTGAAGGTTATTCCTTGAATAGTATTGCTGCAGCTATGCCTGTTCGGTAGGCATCATTATGATGACCGAGAGCAGTATTGAATTGGCCATTCATGGCTCTCGAGTGGGAGTCTATCAAAGTTCTGTTCTTAGCTGCAGCTGGCTGCTGTCAAGGCTTCGAATCCGGGGTAAAAACGCGTGGTGTTAATGTACCTGGGTCGCTTATCCCAATTAGGAAGGCTAAGCTATATTATGGCGGAATTATCTGGGGTTATAGATCTCAACATCAGCCACGCGGTTTGTCGTCGACCCCAACTCTTCTTGCTTTTACGCGTCCACCATCGTCCATCGCTGCGTTGGTTACGCGTCGCTCCCCTCAACATGACCTCCTGGGCTCCCACGCCGACCGGATTGCAAGAAATCCTGCAAACGATCCATGAATCCACCGATACTCAGAACGCCGCAGTCCAGAGGGACATTACCCATGTCAGTTCATTTGCGCTGTTCATCGCGTCAAGATGGCCATTAATGAACGAGCATCGCTAGAAACTCAACAATTTCACGCGCGCACCAGACTACATCGCGTATCTGGGGCACATCCTGGCGGCCATGCCCCAGGAAGAAGACCGTATCCGAACCATCGCTGGATACTTGCTCAAGAACAATGCGCGACTCATCTTGCGCTCCGCTCCCGATGTCATGGAATACGTGAAGAAGGCGGTATTACTAGCCTTCGACTCCTCCTCAATCATGATTCGCAATGTGGCGGGCCAGGCGGTCGTTGCATTCTTGGGCACGCTCGAGCCTAGGAACTGGCCAGAGTGTTTGTCTCACCTAGTTGGTGCGCTCGATGACCAGGACTTCGACAAACAAGAAGTGAGTTTGCTAGTCCCTCCCGTGGCGTCCCCATTGTGTGGACTGAACGCCCCGCTCTCCGGCGGCATGCTTCGACATCATCCATCTGATGACGGGCGGGAAGATGTGTAAGCCGGACCCGGCTGCGCTACTTGTATAGCTTCCCCTCAGCCCTTCGTTCGCCGCTGCAGGCGTCCGCAGGACTGCAGTGCATCGACTGGTCTCCGTTGATCCTAGCCGAGAACATGTATCTGATGTTACTTCTATCATCAGGCTGCCTTCAACGTCCTCGAGAAGGCCTGCGAAGACTACCCTCGAAAACTCGACGTCGAGATCAATGGTACATGGCCGCTGGAGTTCATGATTCCCAAATTCCTAGTGCTGTCGGAGCATCCTCGCGCGAAGATGCGCTCACATGCCATCGCTGTCTCTCGTACTTCGTCCCATCAACTGCCAGGCGCTCTTGCGCATATCGACACGTTCATCGCCTGTCTCTTCAAGCGCGCGTCGGACGAGGACCCGTCCGTGCGTCGGCATGTCTGCCAGGCGCTCGTTCTCCTCCTGGCGTCGCGCCCCGAGAAGCTGATGCCCGAGATGAACAACGTGGCCGAATATATGTTGTATTCAACGAAGGACAAGAACGAGAACGTCGCGCTGGAGGCGTGCGAGTTCTGGCTCACGTTCGCCGAGGATCCCGACCTCGCGCCATACTTGCATCCTCTGCTGGGTAAGGTCGCGCCAGTGCTACTGGACTGCATGGTCTACGGCGAGGACGACTTGCTGTGGCTCGATGCGGATGCCGAAGATGCAGCCGTACCGGACAAAGAGACCGATATCAAGCCTAGGCATTACAGCGGCAAGGCTCATGGGTTCGAACACGAGGGCGATGTCGAAGGCGCTGCCAAGCCTCGCGTAGGCGCGTATGGGGAGGAGCTTGAAGATGAAGATGACGAGGGTTTCGACGATCTTGACGATGACGAATTCGCAGAGGAGATGTCGACGGAGTGGAACCTGCGCAAGTGCGCAGCTGCTGCTCTTGATGTCCTTGCTGTGAGATTTGGCGCAGATTTGCTCAACGTATTACTCGAATCGTTGAAGCTCAAGCTGTGGAGCGAGGACTGGCTCCAGAGAGAAAGCGGTATCCTGGCCCTGGGTGCAATGGCTGAGGGTGAGAGTGTTCCTCTGAACGTCGTGGATTAAATCTGACTCTTCTGCAGGATGTATCGACGCGGTTGAACCGCACTTGCCCACACTTGTTCCCTACCTGATCAGTATGCTGAATGACTCAAAGGTACATTAATAATTCAATTATCGGTGCATATACTGATTACTTCATAGCCACTCGTTCGCTCAATTGCCTGCTGGACTTTGGGACGATACGCGAGCTGGTGTACTCAGCCAATCTCAGAGGAGCACCGCAACCAGTTCTTTGTTCCCATGCTTGAGGGTGTAAGTGTCTCTGCAATCCGCCATGTCGCTCGCATGGCATCTTCTGACACTTAATTCGGCAGCTTCTCCGTATGGTCCTTGATAATAACAAGCGTGTGCAAGAAGCCGGATGTAGTGCGTTCGCTACGTTCGAGGAAGATGCGGGCCCAGAGATTGCCCCTTACCTCGAGCCCGTGTTGCGCAACCTCGTGGTTGCGTTCGATAAGTACCAGCATAAGAACATGCTCATCTTGTACGACGCGGTTGGTACATTGGCCGATGCGGTCGGACCCGCCCTTGCGAACTCGACCTACGTCGAAATTCTCATGCCACCATTGATAAAGCGGTGGGGCCGATTGAAAGACGATGATGAAGATCTTATCCCTCTCCTCGAGGTCGGTGCATACTTGCCACTTTGTTTCGTTGCTGATCAGCTGACGTTGTGGCAATAACCTTCCAGTGCTTGGCTTCCGTTACTATCGGCATGAGCGCTGCCTTCGCTCCGTATGCTCCGCCCGTATTCGAGCGGTGCACGAGCATTGTCCACAAGGCTCTCTTGCAATACCAAGCCTATCAACAAAATCCTGAAACGGATGAGCCGGACAAGTCGTTCCTCGTCGTCGCGCTGGACCTGTTGTCGGGCTTGACGCAGGGCTTGGGCATGGCCCTCGAACATCTTGTCAACAACACTCAGCCGAACTTAGTTTCGCTGTTGACCATTTGCTTGAAGCATCCTCAAGCGCCGGTACGGCAGTCGGCGTATGCGCTTGTTGGCGACATGGCGATGCATTGCTTCCCCTTGCTCAAGCCGCACACCGCTAATATCATGCACGAGCTCATTGAGCAACTCGACCCGGAGCCGAAGGTCGAGTTTGTAAGCGCTTGCAACAACGCTGCGTGGTCTGTTGGAGAGATTGCATTGCGATATGGCCGTGGTGAGTACCTCACTCGCTGATGTAACCTCCTTTGTCTGACATTCCTGCAGACGATCCTGAGTTTAGACAATGGATACAAACTCTGATCTCGCGATTGGTGCCTATCCTCCTTCACCCGAAGGCGCCTCGCAGCCTCCACGAGAATGCTGCTGTCTCGATCGGCCGCATCGGGCTCATGCACCCTACCGTCGTCGCCCCCGTTCTTCCCGAGTTTGCGCAGATGTGGTGCCAAGCCCTCTACGAGATCCGTGACAACGAAGAGAAGGACTCCGCCTTCCGCGGTCTTTGTACACTCGTGCAGCACAACCCCGCTGGAATCACGAAGGTACGCAGCTGTTCATGTATCCCGAGTGCGTTTTGACTAAGGTCGTCTTGCAGAGCCTCCTCTGGTTCTGCAATGCCATCGTCCGATGGAATCACCCATCGGCGGAGCTGAACAGCATGTTCCAGCAGCTCCTCAATGGTTTCAAGCAGCACGACCCGCAAGGCTGGGCAGCCCAGGTCGCGACGTTCCCACCAGCAATCCAGGAGCGGCTGGCGCAACGTTACGGCGTCTAATCGCATGACTGCTTGCATACGCGGCTGGGGTTTCTGTCTTGAACATATCGCATCTTGTACGCATAGTCCTCGTCCTGTCCTTCCGTTGTGCGCTGTCCCGAGTACCCGTGTCAATCGTATCCCTCGCATTGAATTTTTACGTAGTGTAGTCTTTCGCATATCGTCCATCACTTGGCTTGTTTAGGTAGCACATCGTAGGTACACATCCTTAGGTAGCATTAGTAGTTAGCATCTTCTCGTAGCAATAGCATTCAGTAGATAGCATCGTAGGTAGCATTAGTAGGTAGCATAGTAGGTAGCATTACAACTCTTCATCGTCCGCGCGCTCAACAACCATCATCGTCGACTTGCTGTTCATTACTGTATTTCTAGACAGATTCCCTAACACGAAGCGTACGTGCATCCGCTCTTTGGGGTGCTCGGGCTGTCCTCGCAGTATTTTAGTACTTATTGTGCGGGAGAAATTGAGAATGTCTGTATGCCTCAGCGCTTCAGCGCTTCAGCCTTCAGGCAACGGGCAACACGCGGTCACGTGATTCCAACCTGTTCACCTTCATTGGAACGTTTCTTGAAGCTGACACTTACAACTTCGTTCAATGACCTGCTACTACCTCATTCCAGTTCTAGATATGTGGTAGGCTCTCAACATTCAACGTGCAAAAAACTTCGGTGCTGAGGCTAGTCAGCCTGTGTTATGATCGAGCAACAACTATCAATCCTCGAGGCCGCGGCGCGCATATAGCCATCCCTCTGATCCTATGTACGCATACACACAGAGGGGCAATTTCCAAAGCTTTGACGCACGCCTGACAAGTCACGTATATCGGGTCTACAATAGATGTGGTCAGCGCTATGTATCAACCGCGGCGCATAACTGCAGAGAGTTTCCTACAGATGTGCTTCGTAGATGTCTGTGGTTTGCTGAAATCATGGTCAGAATTGCATTACAAGATCACCTTGACGACGTCTTGGGCTCACACATAGTAGCTTGCAATTCCAACGCCATTGCAACAAGGGCGCTAGCCGGCGCAGGACCATCCGGGATCGTACAGGCGAGGTTCAATATTGTCACCTGTAAGTCCACTTTGGATGTCGTCGGTCATACAACCTTTGCAGGAATATGGTCAGTACAATTTGATATTCTACTGACAGGAACGGACCACACTGACCGTAACACGCGGCGGTGCAAACCGCACAAGCCGCTTAAAGGCGTGCCGACTTGTATGCAGACATAGGCGTGACCCACCCATCCCAGGTCTACCGGTGGGCAGTGCGGCGCGGGCTGCGGTCGCCTGAGTGGGAACCGAGCCCAAGAGGTCAGTCCTTCACATGCTTCTTGCTGTTTCTTAAGAGCAGCCTTCACGCTCTTGATTGCGTTTTCCCTCGCAGTGACCAGCCGCTTCGCTCTGCCGATGTCCAGAGACTCTTTCAGGGAATCGTAGTTCGGTGCCTTCTTCGTCGTGGGTGCCGCGTCCGAAGTGCTCGCCGTGGATTTCGCTAGATCTGCCCGTAGAGACGCAAGGATATCGTCGAGTGACATCAGCGTAGCGATCAGGCTATCCATGTCGTCGTTCACCTAAAGGTCGGCAGACCTCCCGTGCGCAGGTCTCGAAGTGTGCGAAGCGAATAGGCCCTAGCATAACGCCTCCATACCTGCGACGGTGGATTCACGACACAACGTGAGTGCTCGGAGCAGAAAGCTCACCATCTGCTCACGATAACCACAGCGTCGATCGTACTCTCTTCCTGCATGACCTTCAGCCCTTGCTCCCGCATGCTGCTCTGCGTCGTCCACGCTGCCGGTCCGCAACTCGAAGTCGTCGGGACCGCCCAGCCCGCTCTTCCCGGTTTCAAGACCATACACCGCCATGCAGCAACCTCGTGTGTAGCTGGCTTCGACCCGTGTACTACGTTCTTGACATGCGCATGAACTGCGTGGGCCTCTTCACACTCGCGGCGGCGTAAATGTTGGCGACGAAGATGGACCCGCGGTCTCGAACGTCCTGCGAGGTGGCGATGCATTCAAAATCGACTGCGATGGAGGCAGCCCCAGAAAAGATCGAGGGTTGTGTCTTTTTGGCCAGACATGGATGCTGCGCGAGGGCATTGTTGTCGGGTCAACCGATGCGTTGTTGTTCATTTGTCCACCGTTGCTGACGTAAGCAGCCCCTGGCGGGCCGGCGCGGCAGTCTGAGACTGCTAGCGCTGGGCGTGGGCCGCGACCGCCACACGGCCATTGTTCCCCAGGGGCTCCCAGGAGCTCCTCTTGTTGTTCCACAGCTTTTCGACAGCTACGACCACGACGTCCTACACCACCCAGTCTCTCCTCCCCTTTCCTCTCCTGGACTGGGCTCCGTTCTTTCCCTTCAACCACGCCGACATGGCTGCAAATATCACTCAAGTCATCAACGAGGATGCCTCGCAGCGGACGCTGGCGCCCGTAGCTGTGGGCTCCCAGGTTGCGCTAATGAGCATAATCTCGGTGCGTAGATTCCGCAGTACCACGTAATATGTCATGCAAACGGCCGTTCAGTTTGCTACCATCATCTTCTTCAATGTCTTACGACCCAGAAACAAGGTGCGTCGAGGGGATAGCTTCTGGCCTGCACGGTGCTCACCGCAAACAGATCGTCTACGAGCCAAAGGTCAAGTATCATGTTGGTGACAAGCGACCACCGCGGATGTCGGATTCCATGCTCGGATGGCTGCCCCCCGTGCTGCACACGAAAGAGCCTGAGCTCGTCAACAAGATTGGGCTCGACGCCGCAATCTACCTTCGATTCCTCCGCATGCTGCGTTGGCTGTTCACCGCGCTCACCTTCATCTGCTGCGCCGTCCTCATGCCTCTAGACATCGTCTACAACCTGCAGAACATCCCGACCAAGTCGCGCGACGTGCTCTCAATCCTGACAATCCGAGACCTCTCCGGATGGCGGCTCTGGATCCACGTCGCTATCATGTACATCGTGACGGGCATTGTCACGGCGTTTGTCTGGTATCACTGGCGCGAAGTCGTGCGCCTGCGACGCGAGTGGTTCCGCTCGCCGGAGTACATCCAATCGTTCTACGCGCGCACCCTCATGATCACGAAGGTCCCGAAGAAACTGCAGTCAGACGAGGGCATACGCGCAGTCTTCCAGTCGGTACAGGTTCCGTATCCGACGACGTCCGTTTCCATCGGTCGCAGGGTGGGTCAGCTCCCGGAGCTGATCGAGTTTCACAACAACACCGTGCGCGAGCTCGAGGCCGTTCTCGTGACGTATCTCAAGGACGGCAAATTGAACAAGGAGCGTCCGCAGAAGCGACTGGGCGGCTTCATGTGCTTTGGTGGACAAAAGGTGGATGCCATCAACTACTACATGTACGTGTTCCTGTTGGCCCTTGAGCTTGGATGTTGACGCCTCGCAGGGCGAAGCTCAAACGGACGGAAGACGCTGTGGAGCGCTACCGCGAGCAGATTGACTTACGCCAGCCAGAGACGTATGGTTTTGCGTCCATGGCTGCAGTCCCGTACGCGCACATCGTGGCGAACTTGCTGCGGGACAAGCATCCTAAGGGCACCACCGTTGCACTTGCTCCCAACCCTAAGGACATTGTGAGTGCTTTGTGCCATCAAGTTGCATCGCACCCACGCTTATTTCCGTGCAGGTCTGGACGAACTTGAACAAGTCGTCCGCGGAGGTTGCGCGCAACCGGACCATTGGCTGGGCCTTCCTCGTCTTGGTGTGTTTTGTCAACACTGTTCCGCTCTCCATCATCTCCATCTTGGCAAATTTGGCTTCTGTACGTCGCTCCTCGCAACGCAAGGCCTCCTATATACTGATGCATTTGATGCGCACAGCTGACGGCATATGTACCGTTCCTGGAGGCGTGGGCAGTGAACTCCAAGGCAACGTTCACGGTGATTTCTGGTGTACTGCCTCCCGCGGTGTCGGCACTGTTCGGATACGTGTTGCCTATCATCATGCGCCGGCTCACGAAGTACATGGGAGCTTACACGCACTCTCAACTCGACCGAGCAGTCGTTGCGCGGTACTACGCGTTCCTGGTCATCTCACAGCTGATCATTTTCACCTTGATTGGAGTCATGTTCAGTACGTTGTGCTTCCACTCGCCTCGTGTGTTCATCCTCACGTCTATATAGACTCTGTGACACAGATTGTTGACGAGATCGGCCGTCACAAGAGCTTCAAGGAAATCATTGAGAACCTAAACAGTACGCGCCGATGGTCTTCCTGCACGACCAGGAACTGATGGATTTGGCAATCAGGTCTTCCCGGTCTCATCACCAACACTTACATTGACCAAGCATCATACTGGCTCACCTACTTCCCGTATGTACCACACTAAAGTCGACCAGGCCGTAGCTCAACGCACCCGTGCTGCAGGTTGCGCGGCTTCCTATGTGTCTTTGACTTGGCACAGATTATCAACCTTGTCGTCGTGTTCATCAAGAAAAGTATGTCGCGCGACCACTATCTGCTTGTGTAGGCACTGACTTGCATGCAGCCTTTTTGGTCGGACACCTCGCGAAATTCGGGAGTGGACACAGCCACCAGAATTTCAATACTCGATCTACTAGTGCGTTAATCATATACCATCTGGTGAGGCACTGACTGACCGTTCCTCTGATGCTAGTTCAAACCTAGTGTGTAGTTTTGACACATGTTTTCACGATGGTCTTGTTGACTTCGGATGTAGCTTTTCATGGCGACCGTCGGCTTGTTCTTTGCGCCTATCGCGCCGCTTGTCACCGTTGCGGCGATGGTGGTCTTCTGGATCTCGTCTTGGGTGTACAAGTATCAGCTCATGTTCGTCTTTATCTCGCAAGTCGAGACTGGTGGGGTAAGTCGTCTCAAGATGCAGTCGCGTCAAACTGAAACCAATACCACATTGCTCTTGCCAGCGTTTGTGGAACGTCGTCGTGAACCGGCTGCTCGCTTCCGTCATCCTTATGCATCTCATCATGATGCTCAGTGCGTGTTCCCAGCACCTAAAATCTTGTGGGCAAGACTGACGATTGGCACTGTCCGCAGCTATCGGCTTCAAGTTCGGATTCGGCACCTTCAGGTGGATAGCCGCTATCCCTCCTATGCTCATCACCATCGGGTTCAAAATCTACTTGACTCGGACGTTCCTCCCCGCATTCCAGTACTACATCCCGACCGAAGAAGAGCTCCGGCAGGCGGCCGTGCACTCGAAGCGCTCCGACAACCTGAACAACAAGCTCGAGAAGCGATTCGGACACCCGGCGCTCCACCAGGACCTGTTCACGCCCATGGTGCACGCGAACATGACGCACCTGTTGCCGGAGGTGTTCGACGGCAAGATCGGGAGCACGAAGACGGCACTGGACGACATGGGCGGGAACAAGGTCGATGCCGCCGTCGTGGGAGGCGTCAGGATTGCTGGTATCGAAGAGGTTAGTGCTGGTGCGATTCATGCTTCACATCTTCCTGCTGACATGCGATCCGTAGCACGACCTGGAGTACGATCCTTCGCTCTACCGGCGCGACCGTGGGGAGCTTGACTGGGACCAGCGTTCGATGGCGTCCACAACGATGCTAAACGACAACAATTCCATGGCACAGCTCAACCTTGCAGGCCGCGGCTCACCCGCGCCGTCCAAGATGGGCGGCCACGACCGCTATCTCGCCAGCGGGCCCCAGCCCGAGATTGAGATGGCACGCCTGGATTACGACCAGCAGCCTTTGCTGCACGCTGCGGTGAGTGCCCCTGGCAATCCCCTCTGCTCTGCTTGCTGATGGATGTCGCGGAACAGCAGACGCCTGGCTACTACCAAGCAGAGGCTGCAAACAGAAGCATGGCGAGCTTTTCGCAGCACGGTTCGCCGTACGGCACACCGCAAATGGAGCACCCACCGCCGATGCCGCCGATGGCCGTGTCATACGACAACCGTGTAGATCAGGGCTACCGGCAGGCACCTGTATATCGGCCAAACCCATCGCATAGCGATTCGTGGCGACCGTGAGCGTGCGATTCGTCGCCGCCGCCGCCACTGTCTCCCTGCTGTACCCCTTGCCATGCTTCTCTGCCGCGCGGCCTCCACGCTCATTGTACACTACGCGCTTCTCATTGTCTTAGGTAGGGACCACGGATGTTGTACAGATTTGGGGACTTTTGCTTGGACAGTGCTTGAGATTATGGACGGTAGTATATATATACATAGACGGGCTACCGTAGCTCTTACAACGCAATACGGTGATATACTAACATCGGGCTCACTCATAATGGAGATCGTCTGCAAGTCTGACAGTCATCGGTACCACTCAAATACAACGGGTTGCGGACTTCCGGTCGTTGTGTGGACGTTGATGTACAAACCTTTACTTTTCTCCCCTTGGCTTCCGATATCAGCTGGGTCAACAACTCGGACGGAAGGACCGGGAGCAAATCATAAAGCGCGAGATCAAATAAGATAGTTGCTCTACTGTACATCAAGCTCTGAATAACGACGGATGCGGTGTGAGATCAACAGAGTAGGCTAAGGTCAAACAGACGGATCGGACATGACAGACACGGTGGTTTCACGACGGTTCGGGGCTCGGAGGCGTTGCACTGTGGCTGCTGCACTCCAGAAACGCATCCGCAAACGTCTGCCGGGTGTCCCGCCACACGTCGACCCATTCCTGCATCTCCTCCCTGAACAGCCCGCCGTACTGGCCCATCTTGTTCTGCGCGTTCGCCTCGATCTTGCGCATCTCGACGACGGCCTTGCCCGAGTTGTCCTCCTCCGCGAGGAACGGCTTCACGAGCGTGTAGTGCACGATGCGCGCCTCGCGCTTGACGTCCGCCCACACCTCCGGCTTGCGGCTCTTGATCGCGAGGTTCGCGTTGTACGCGTAGGGCAGGCGCACCGCCTCCGCGCCGTAGTAGTGGTTGAGGAAGGACTGCTCCGCCTCGTGCATGTTGTACGACGCGGTGGCGATCTTCGCGAGCATGTCCTCGAAGACGTCGCGCGAGGGCCGGAGGTAGAGCACGCCCGCGTTGAAGCTGAGCGACCAGCCCTGGCCGTCGACGTAGACGTCCGGGACGGCCGCGAAGTTGTACGGGAGGCTGAAGAGCTCATCGAAGTTGCGGAGCACGAGCGTGTCCGCGTCGAGGTAGACGGCGGCCTTGACGCCCGAGTCGGAGAGCGTCCAGATGTTGAGTTTGGAGTACTGGTCCATGAACTTCCAAAAGACGCCCTTTCCGCCGCGCGGTGGCGGGATGCGCGAGATGGGGTGTGGGATGAAGCCGGTCGTGGTGGCTATGCAGAGTGCGCGGGGGGATATCTTCTCGGGGAGATAGAATAGAAGGCGGCCCGCCGTGCTGTTTACTCTGTTGAGGGAATGGCCGAGCGTAGCGATTGCGGTGGCGTAGGAGTCGGTGTACAGGCTCGTGACAATGACGTTCTCCTTGGGATTAGGTTGGCTCAACGAGTCGGTGACTCTTGAGTCTAAGATTGGTTGTACATTTCTATTTTGAACATCGTCAGCCTTCATGGGTTCCGGAGGAATTAGGGCTTCGGGGCGGGGTAGGGTTAAGTATTGTTCGGACATACGCCTTGATGAATAGTCTGGACGTCCGAACAATGCAACATATGTTTGCCCGACGGGTGAGAGCATCCGGCCCATATGCTCTCGTGTGCAGTTAGTGCAACAACCAGCCCTTATATAAGAAGACGATGTCTCATATAAACGACTGACCCGCCAGTACAACCTCAAGTCCGGCCAATCACACAAAATCTCGGGACATGCCAGATGTGTTCCGGACTTTGCTTGCGATTCTCGTCCAGACATGAAGAAATTGGAACCATATGGCGTGCCAATACCACAGCGAACTGGTATTTTGTAAAACCGTGGCCAACACTTGCGAGGCTCGAGCTCGGTCTGGGCCGCGATGGGTTAGCCCTGGGGATCTTGCCGGACCACATGCATGCCGTGGGCATCCGCTCCAGCCTGCTGCTATCATTCCAGCCTGCTGCTAATACCCATCCCAGCCAGAACTTCTCACCCGGCCGACCATTATCTCTGCAGTGAGGCACTGCCATCTTACTGCCGCCACCAGTCCGCCACATCCACCCCAGCTTCACTGTCCCCGTTGCTCCGAGCCTCCGACAGAACCCCGGGCACAAAGTAGACCACTCACATTTCCTGATAATTATCGAGCGGCACTTGCCACCTGTGCGAAAGCTTGTTGTACAATACGACATTGAGAACCGCGGAGCCCGCGAGAAGCGCAAGCGCTATGAAAATATACCGGCGCGGGGTCGGTTTTGACGTGTCTGACCAGAGAGGCGTGTACTCTCTGTACCGCGAGAAGTAGGACATGAAGAGCTCGTCAAAGACAGTCTAGTGGAGGGGGAACATGGAGGTCTTGGAGATGTATGGTACGTTTTGCGCAGCATCAACCTACGCTGGGCAGGCGCGCTGTTGCGGTGATGGCGCGGGGTCAAGTATCCGCTCGGCTACTGCACCGCCTGCGCTTAACTCATCTCTTACTGGCATGCTTACTGTCGTAACAGTCGCATTACTGACTCCACTTACCGAGCTCAGTGATCCATAATTCAGCGAGTTAATAGTCACTATCAATGGAGAGGTATTACGTGCGATGAGAAACACGGACGTTTGCATCACTGTACTAAATTGCATCACCGTCAGGTTGGCAGCCGCATTAGAAGATAGGTCCTATTACTAGTTGCCCATGCATACAATATCTACCCACTGAGTACTACCGTGAGGCCCGTAGCCTACAGTACAATGTCGTAGATCTAGCCAGCCTATCTATCGCCCACTCCAATCGTATGTACAAAACATTCTGACAGTCAAGCACCACCGGAGCTTAAACTCGTCCCGCGGTCACCGCACGCTCTCCGGGGAACTCCATGTACCGATAAGTTCATGCAGCCCCAGGTCTCGTTCAATCTGCGCCCATGTCAACCACCCAGAGAAAGGCGATCGATACCCGGTGAGAAACGCACCTGCGCTTTGAGCTGGACGTCCTCCCGGCCGGCTGAGGACCCAAAAACGGCGTCGATCTCCTCGAGGGACACGTTCGCCGTCTCGGGGACGACATAGGTCGACCAGAGGTAGCCCACGAAGCACGCGGAAGAGAAGACGAGGAAGGTCCCGCTGCCAAAACGCGAGTCAGCGATACGGCAGTGATGAGCCAGAGGAGTGTCGTACGAGGCGGAGGATTCCATGAGCTCCGGAGTCACTAACCCGATGAGAACTGACGGTAGAGTGAATCAACCTAAACAGTCATCAGAGGACAAACGTGCCGACGCACAGTTGTTGAACCAGTTCGACGCGGTGGACAGAGACACGCCCTTGCTGCGGACCGAGAGCGGGAAGACCTCGCTAGGCAGCACCCAGCCGATCGGTCCGTAGCTCATCCCGTAAGCCGCAGTGAACGTGTACACGCAGCTAGCGAGGAGACAGAAGGTAAGGCTGATGACTACGTGGGTGGGAAGGCACACGCACCCGACCGAGACCCACGCAGCGAGCCAGTGCGCCTGCCAGTCGTCCTCGAACAGCCACACCAGAGTCGCGATGCAGAAGTGGGAGAGCGCCATGACGGCGCTGCCGCCTGTGTCTCGTCAGCACCCGGTGACTGTGATGCGTATGGTCTATTACCCCTCAGCAGCGGCTTGCGGCCTGCAGGTAGGTAAGTCAATGCTACTGCCTGCGGAGACCCATATAAACACATACCTAATCGGTCGATGAAGACAATGGCGGGGAACACCGCAAAGAACTGCACGATCCCAATCCCGCCCGAGACCATCAGCGTCACGCTCTCGCCCTGCAGACCCAGCTCGCGCATCAGCGTCGGGCCGTAATACAGCAGCGCGTTGATGCCGCTCCACTCTGTCCAGGGTGACGAACATCAGCATCTCTCCTCATTGCGCAGCTCACGAGCGAGACGTCGCACGCACGCTGGAAGAACATCATCATGATCCCGATGAAGGTGCGCCGACGGTACTTGCGCCCGAAGAGCCGCGCCCACGCACGCGCCTCCGCGTGCAGCGTGCCGGCCTTGACGTCGTCGTCGGGGCCGATGGTCTGCGCAACGAGCTGCGCCTCGACCTGCATCTCGAGCAGCTCGACCTGGGCACCCTCGTGTCAGAGTGGCTATCGGTCGGCGAGAACGGTGGAGACCGACCTTCAGCAGGAGGTCCGCTGGGATCTCGGCCGGCGTCCGGAGGCGCAGCTTCGCCAACGCTCGGAGCGCCTCCTCTGTGCGGCCCTGCATGATGAGCAGTCTCGGAGACGGGGGGAGGAACAGACACCCTAGCGCGAGTAGGATGCCTGGGCCGAGTTGGATGCCCAGGGGAACGCGCCATGAGGACGAACCCGGGACTGTCGCGTTGGCGGGATGAGCACGGGCAGTGACGAAATTATGAAGAGGCTGGCGCACCGTTGCGCGTGAAGAAACCCGTCCAGAAGCCCAGCACGGCCCCGAGCACGATGGAGAATTGCTCAAGAGCCATCAGGGAGCCCCGGACTTCGGGCGGACTGATCTCGGCCATGTACAGGGGAGCAAGCATGCTGAACAACACGACGGGGGAAGTCAACGTCTGCTACTAAACCAATCCGACAGAGGACTCCCTACCTTAGCGCACCGACTCCTAGCCCTCCGATGGCGCGGCCCACGACGAGATGAGCCAGACTGTCCGCCCCGCACTGAAAGGCAGACCCGACACAGAACACGACTAGCAGCACACTGCAATATTCGTGATGAGGCAACTTATGAGGGAACCGGAGTGCTGCATACCACATGCGAGTACGATCGCCATCCGTCGCGAAACCCGGTCTGCGAGTACGCCTGCCGCCAGCGCGCCGACTAACGAGCCGAGCTCGAGGACAGCAGCTGTGCATTGTTGGTGTCAGTGCTGCAGGGGAGGGGTAAGCTGGACGCTGGACGCACTCATGACGCCCTTCTCCCAAGCCCCGATCGGCCACCTCTCCGTAAAATCCTTCATGACCAGCACGTTCGCGATGACGCCCTGGTCATAACCAAATAGCAGCCCGCCTATTGACACGAATGTTGCGCATCCGAGGGCGTAAGAATTGTGCAGCAGGCCAGTGAGGCCCTTCGGTCCGTAGGCGTAGGTATAGCTGTGCCCGTCTGGGTGGACGATGAGCGTCCCTCCGCGCAGGCTAGCCTCTCGTGGAATCAATGCTTGGGAGGAAGCACTAGCGTCGACGCTGTCGGTATCATCTGCGGGGACGGCAGCGTATCCGCCGGCGCGGTGGGCCTGTGTGGAGAGCCCTCAGCAAGGTTGATGAAGCCCCCAACAAGCAATAATGCTTGACTGACCATAGCTTGTGCTTTTCAGACCTATTCAAGTTTACAGTATTGTAAGCGCAACCGTTCGCGGACGGTGCGTAACCCGATGGAAACTGGGAATATTGTTGAGGTTGAAGACTTGGATGCCTGGACACTGCCAGTGCCAGTCCTGAGACAGCCGCTCCTCGTCTAGTATCGTGACGTACGCCCTCTGTGGACCGCAAGTGTGTCTTTGTCGGAATCGAAGAGGGGTTAGAGGTTGAATATTGATGTCGTGAATAGACTGCTCGCCGTCTTGGACTTGGACGAGCAGGTTGCAAACACTAACTCGAGCAGGACATGTCGGCGCTTGCACTGCGCTTGCGGGCTGCGGCGCGCTCACGTGTCTACGTGTTTCTCTAGCGCGTCAGTAGCGCCGCACTGGCAGCGCTCGAGAATCCTACCATTCGAATATTCAAAGCCTGAGTGGAGGACAGCATCTGAATTCACTGCGTACACCCCCTCAAAGCATTCAGACTCTTCAGAGCAAAGTGCCGCGGACGCGCAGGTCGGTAGTCTAGGTGAGTTACCGACTATCAGCGCTCTCTGTCAGAACGACGACGCAACAAGTAATGCAGTTGTCGATTCGTGAATGATACAAGGGCCCGTCAGAATGATATTGTCGCTAAGTAGATGGCAAAGATGGTCGGGGACTGGCTGTACTGGCCTACAAAGCGCGAGAGCACCCTAATGTGGTACTGTTCCGAATAGTCACCTCGAGCATTGTCATACTTACGTTCAACGCGCCGGTCAGGACCATCACATCTGCCACATGTCCACATAGGGCCTTATCCTCAGTGGCGATAAAGAGAGCCAACAACATCTGCCACTTACAGGCATCCGAGGTTATGGACTTGTGAGTGAGTACCATCACTCCATGAGTCCACCGCAATGACTGTCTGTGTGGCATTGCTGGCCACTTTCTATAACCGTCCAGCAGACACCCAATTCACTTTGACAGGTGTCCTGGTCACCGGTGCATAGCCGATCTACTCCATGTGAAGGACGTGCCGGCGGCAGGGTATTCTCTGCCAGTGGGACATGATTAAGTAGTACGGGGACCAGGGGACTTCACGCGCGCTGGCAGGAACCCGCTCCCAATTCGCAGTCTATTGCGACCCTTCCCTTTACATACCACTTGATATAGGACGCCTCCGGCGCTCCGAGTCGACTTCTCCATGGCCACCTCTGCCTCGCTAGATTATGCGAACAAGCCCCTGATACCATTCTTCGTCGGTTAGTGGCAGCCCTCGTATTGTCCTCACCGGCACCCCTTGATTGAAGCTCACGCTCATAACTTTGCGCAGGTGGCATATGTGTTGCATTGTAAGACCAACCGTCATATGTGACGGCGAGCACACGCTCACTGATGATATGTAGTCTCTACGGGATAACGACCGGGCAGATGGCCTTCTACTGGAGTCGCAGTCGCGAGGACAGGATGACCATGAGGCTCCTCGTACGTACCTCCACCGGCCTCCCGTCCTCTTCGATGACATTGAGCGCTACTTCGTCGGGCAGGTACTGTTCCTTTGGTGAGTTGCCTATGCGTATATTGCCGATAAGCGGGAAGAGGTTGACAGATGCGGCGTTAATTGCAGGATACTGGATGGGGCACATTATGTGCTGGTGCCATGCTCCTTCTACGTTCTTCTCGTGGATAGCTTCCACGAAAGCGAGGCATTACTCGGCGGGCGGGTACTGACCTCTGCTGTCAACACTTGGTACGTTAGTCACTCCCTGGATGCTAACCATCCGCTGACTCTGAACATCGACAGGAGCTATCAGGTGTGTCTTGACCACTCGTCCTATCGCATGCGCATCTGAGCTTGGAGGGACAAGGGCGTGTTTGTCATCACAGCAAGTATCCGTGCGTTTCCGCAGTACAGAACGATGCTGACACGATCGTGTAGGGTCTGACCGATATCGGAGTCAAAAGGTGAGCGACATTTCGACCGCAGAGAACCTGGTACTCATTGAGACATGGAAGCATCTTCACGTATCGCATATGGAGATGTATTTATCTCCATTTCCTCTCGGGGTGATGATCCTTCTGCTAACGGAGCTGGCGCAGTGAGCGAGAGCAGGTTGATAGGCGCAGTCTTGGTGAGCGAATTTACACAGATTGGGCTCGTCCGCGCAGCTCATGTCGTAGATTTTGTTCAGCTTGACAGTGTTCGGTGAGATTTGCTCCTGAAAACCGAGGTAGCGCAACACTGAATAGTAGGTGATCTGCAGTGTTGTCATGCGGTACGCTACATGTGCTTCCCGGGATCATGGTTCTCATTCTCCTCCCTGTAGTCTCCGCGTTCATTGGTAATTGGTGCGCCTTTGCTTGACCTGCGTGTATGAGCCGGTGGTTGAATCTCGTCATCAGCCTCGGCGCGAATGCACTCAGTTGTTTCCACGACGTACCTGGGCATGGCCCCATCAACGTTCGTATTCCACCTGCCATTTGTTGCTCCCCCTGCACTGATATTCTATCCCAGCCCTCCACAGCCACAGCCATAGCGATGCTCACTTGTGTGGCAGCCTCGGACATCGCCACCTCTGTCTTGCTCTGTGTCTTCCTGTGGAGACGCCGGACAGGTTTCGCAACGTATGCCGTGTGCTGTCGCGTCTACTTGGTACTGACGTGTGAATCGTAGGAATGACAGGCTGATACGTCTGTTAATTCTGTACAGTGTGGAGGTCGGAATGCTGACGAGGTAAGGAGCAGTAGCCGTCCGGACAACGTCTTACTCACGTCCTGCAGCCTAGCATCCGTCGGGAGCTTGTCGACGGTGGGCGGCCGGCGTCTCGCACATACCTGCCCAACTGCTGATGTCCTCAATCCTAGTTCATAGCGGTAGGCTACGACAGCGCGATCTTCGTCTCGATCTTCTGGGTCGTTCCCAAACGTGAGCCCCTCATCGCCCCTTGTTCTTAGCGCTGGGATGACACCCCGTATGATAGTCAGCATAAACTCTCTCCTGGCGTTGCTCAACGCACGGCATCATCTCCGAGAGGAGGCGGGACTCGTCTCGACCTCGATCGCCCACGACCCCTCCGTGCCTGCTAGCGATAGCCTGCGCTTCGAGGTGTCTCGGAGTCAGATTTGGAGAAGGAGCCGTCGGGTACGTGTATCACAGAATAAGTCCTGTTGAAGTTAGAAGACGTGCTGAGTGACGTTGCTATAGACACAGCTATTCGTCACTGTCGAGACAGAGATCGAATTGGACCGTGGCAGCGACACGAGTCGTCGTGGTGGCAGCCTTATCGAGATGCTACCCGTCACCCTCGCACGGCAAGATGGGGCGGACTTCGTGGAGGACAAGAGTAGCGGACACGTCAAGGGCGCACGTACGTACCTGGCGCGAGACGTCGAAGCGAACATCCGTGTCAGTCGAATGTAGTCAGGCCTTCTCGGATCACGATACGTATCATGCTGGTGACTTGCAGTCGGTGTGCTACTGCCAGTGTGCTCTCTAGATACCCCGGGCCCCTCCGAGTCTTTTCGAACTGGGGGGCGCAAAGACTTCAGACTCCGGAGTCCGGAGCGATCTGCTAAAATGTCGCTGTCTAGTCTAGGGCTTCGGTCATCGAAAGTGGTGTACAATGCATGAGTAGCATGGTACGCATTGTATACAATGTACGTTAGGGCGTTAGGGCCCGTATCCAAACTTCTTGGTGAGAGTCAGACTGAGCGTTCAACCAATGTTCAAAACGTTCAACGTTGTCAATGTCAACGTTCAACGCGCACCGGCAGACACGGTCACATGCTCGTGACATTGACTCCGAAACCGCGATCGACGGCATCCTCCGCTGCGCGTCTCCGCTGACAGTCGTCCACGCTCTCACTTCAAGACTCTTCGCAATTGACAAAAAGCTACTCAGCCAGGGTTCAACCATGTTTTTGGATATTCTGTCGAGCTCTCTCCGCCCTGCGTCGTGGACACTCAGGCCAACTATGCCGGATACTGAGCGACGTGATCTATAGCCTATGACTCCACTCTGGACGGCAAGGTTACTTGTATATCCTCAGCTTAGTGAATGTCAGTGATCACCGCCATTCTCCATCGGTCTGTGGCAGGATAAGATGGTAGCTAGATGGTCATGGCTACTCCCTCTCTCTCGTTGCGCCACGTCCGTCTCCTACACGCAATGCCCGCCTGGTCGAAGGAACACCCCCAGCCGCCATGGTCCAAGGCGCATGAGGTCAAGCTCGCACCCTCGCACGTCTACGACGGCGTGCGCAAGGATGACAAGGGAACAGACACGGTGGCGAGGCATGCTCCCCTCCGCCTGGTCGAGCAGCATGGCGAGGTCGGACGACGCGCGGGCACGTATGGCGTGCATATAGAAGACGACGAGACTGGTGTCGAGTTTTTGGGCGAGGTCGATGGAGACTGGGATGCATCCCTAGCTGGAGACAGGAAGGTCATCACCGTGCGCGACGTGAAGAAAGCGTCGAAGAAGTGAGTTCAGCATTCAATGTCACCTAGCTCGCACGCCTACGTTTGCGCTCCCTTGCCCGTCCCCTCCGACGCCCCCGCTTGTATATTGAGGCATAGGGCATTGCCCTGCGGCGGACTCAAAATATCTCTGAGACGAAATAAGAAGTATTAGAATCACAACACTTCGTAGTTGGACAGATGGCAAGGGGGTCTAAAGAGATAAATTGTATGGCTCCTGCTTTTCCATATTTGATATTGAACTGTTTCGTCCACACGGGTCAGATCTGTCTGGTCATGTATATGCGCGGTCAGGACCATTTGCGACGGCCACGCATATAGTCTTCGACTATCCCGAATCAGAGACGAAAGACCTTTGTTTACACCCCATGTTGCATCCTGAGTCGCTGCCCCTCGTATTTTATGACTGTATGCGCGTCCAATGGTCTAACCAGGCCCGTGTCTCCCTTCCAGCTACAAGGTCGCGCATCCCAGGGTATGTACTTCAAATATCCTTTCGTGTCCTAGTACTGACCCAATGTTCCAATTAGGCACACGCCTTCGCGCGCTACGTCCTCCCTGTCACCGAGTCTGAGATCAAAGAGCAAGACTGGCCGGGAAAGAAGAAGGAAGATGAGAAACCACCTTCGCCATCTGGGTCTGCGTCTTCCATCTCGTCCGGAACGATGTCTTCCGAGTCGGGCTCGGGCTCGGGCTCCTCGTCTGACCACAGCTCAGGCAAGGAAGACAAGAACCGCAAGAACGGGGCGAAGGATGATAAAGATGAGTCGAAGAACGTCGACGAGTCGGGCGATGGGGAGGACAAGCCCAAGGAACCTGAGCTGACGGACGAGCAGCAGAGGTTCCTCGAGCGGCTCATCGAGGAGATGCGCACCATAGACTCGTTCAAGAACAACCCAGGCCAGCCGAAGGGCGAACTGAAGCTCCTCGATGGTGACGCTCTCGAGCAGCTCGAGAGTCGGCTGAGCATCGATGACCAGTACGTCTGCGTCTCCTATACGCGCCCTGTCGACCTGATGGTCCCCTTACTCCTCTATTCATCAGTGATTGACATGTGGTGCGCTAGGTTGCACTACGTTCGCAGCCACGGCGCAGTCCCGCAGCTCAGCTGGGAAACACACGAGCTCGATGTGTACGCGGACCCGCCCGAGCTGATGTTGAAGCCGAGGAAGTGGACGATGGACGAGCTCGCGGATGGCGACTTCAGGGTCATCGAGATACCCGTAACATTTGGGTGCGACGGGAGTGAGTCGGTCAACAGTCTGTTTGCGTTACAGGGAAGGACTGACGCGGACGGTCGCGCGCGTCAGATCGGAGGAAGGAGATGAACATGATGAAGCGCACGACGGGGTTCAACTTCACCACTGCCGGCGTGTCGACCTGTCTCTGGCGGGGTGTACTGGTGCGCGACGTGCTCCTGGCAAGCGGCCTGCAGGACCAGCCGGAGCATGAGAGATGGTCTGTCTCTTCATCCCATAGCACTTGCGTACTTGTACTCATAACTGAGATTTGTTCATTGCGTTGGGGCTGGCCAGGTACCTGAACTTCGAAGGGGCTGACGAGCCGTCCGAGGGGCCGTATGCGACGTCGATCCCGCTTCTGCACGCGATGAACCCTGCGCACGACGTCATACTGGTGTTCGGGCAGAACGGGAGGGTGTTGCATCCAGATCATGGCTATGTAAGTCCCTCGGCGCATGCAGTGATGGATCGTCCTACTCATATTGTCGAAGCCGCTACGGACAATTATACCAGTAAGCGTCGTTGTTCTTTTACAAGACGCCGCATATATTCAGGTGGATGTGCGGGCACCAGGGCTTTGTGGGCGGTCGGCAGGTGAAGTGGCTCAAGAAGGTCGGTGTGTTCATCATGGTCTGTGACTGTCGGGCCTCACTGATAACCTGCGCTACAGATGTGGGTGACAAAAGAGTCGAACAGATCGTACTATCGTAAGTCTTGTAACATCTTGTGCTGTGTGCATGAAGCCGACTAGTTCCAGACATTTGGGACAATCGCGTGGTGCCGACTTTCATCGACTCGAAGGAACACCCGCTCGCGACGGCTTTCTTTCACCACGAGGACACTGCATGCTACGAACAGGTGCGTCTATCTCTTTCTTTGCTATCAGCACCGTATCGAACAATTCTCTCTCTAGTGCCTGCAATCGGCAATCTTCAAACCCGCACATGACGAGCGCATCCCACTGTCGGACAAGGACGCCCTGTTGGGTACGTACACCGTCGAGGGCTACGCGTTCAGCAGCGGCGACCGTATCGAGCGTGTTGAGCTCAGCCTGGACGGTGGGAAGACCTGGAAGTGGTGCTTCAAGCATTTTCTCGAGGAGCCGCTCAGGCATGGCGAGAAGTTTTGGGCTTGGATCTTCTGGTATGTCATCGCTGGCGACTTCTGTGAGCAGTGGTTGCGGAGAGCCCGAGGTTGATGGGATGCGGTGGGACAGGTCGTGCGAGCTTAAGCTACAGGAAATGGTAAATGCGCAGGAGATCATCGTAAGGGCGCAGGATAGTAGAAAGAATTACCAACCAGCGGAGATTTCATGGTACGTGTGTCTCAGGGTGTCGCGAGCATGATCTCACACACCGACGATGTCATGTTGTACAGGAACTTGATGGTATGTACCACCAGCTGCTCCGTCGCTGCTATCTAGAGCCCCATACGTCCCGCTCACATAGGGCATGATGAAGTGAGTCTTGTTGGCTCGAAAACTTCGCCTCATGCTCAAGGTATCAGTAACGCCTGGTATCGCATCCGCCCAACTCTCGAAGAAGACCCCAAAAGCGGTCTTCCTACCGTCCGGTTCTTGCACCCCGTCGCCCCTGGCAACAGTGACGGTGGATGGATGAAGCCCGCTGAGGAAGCGAAGAGCGACGACAAGGGCAAGCCCGAGAAGGCGTTCTCGCTCGAGGAGATTGCGAAGCATAACAACAAGGCGTGTAATTTTCGGTGAGTGTCGAGTGGTTGGGAGCTGAAGGGTTCTGGATAGGACGATGCGTGGATCATTCTGGATAACAAGGTGTATGATGTGACGTCGGTTCTGTCATGGCATCCTGGTGAGCGTTCGATGAATGCTTGAGGTCTTCGGGGTATGCTGACTTTCAGAATAGGTGGAGCCAACGCGATCTTGGCTTACGCCGGGAAGGCCACCGTGGATGTGACGAACGAGGTGGGCATGATATCGCATGTCGGGTTGCAGCACAATTGTCATTGACCTCTTCCCACCAGTACAAAGGCATACACGACTCTTGTGAGTACCCTGTCACACGAGTGATCTCGTAGTAATTGAGTCGCGCCCCGCAGACGCGAACAGCAAGAAGGATGAATGCTTAATCGGCGCTCTGTCCGAGGAGGGCATCAAGGCGATGGAAGAGGATGCAAGGCGCGCGGCAAAGGAACTGGCGAAGGTGAAGGAGGAGCGTAAAGGGCTCGCCCTCCAACCTGACGTCTTCACTCGCGCAAAACTTGTGGAGCGCAAGGAAGTCTCCTCGGATACGCGGTACGTCGATAGCTATATGTGCACACCGTCAAGCCGACGTCGAGTGTGGTCTATTCCAGACTGTACGTATTCGAACTGCCTCGCAAGGAGGACGGGAGCCCCGGCGTGCTCGGTTTGCCTGTCGGACAGCATGTCCAAATTGCAGTGCACTTCAAGGACCAAGCCGTGATGCGTAGCTACACCCCGGTCCACCCGGTCCTCCCACATGAAGAGGATGGCACAATCCACTTGCTCGTGAAGACTTACATGCCTTCGGAGGGAGGCTCGTTCCCTCCTGGTGGTACTGTGTCCAATTACTTGGACTGCATGGAGGATGGTAAGTGCTTCCTGATATCCTTCGTCGCTGAAGCTGATTTTGACGGCATTGCAGACGAGGAGATTGATATACGAGGGCCGACTGGCGGCATCAAATATCTTGGACACGGCAAATTCGATATTGATGGAGAGGAGTATCGTTTCGACAAGGCAGGCGTTGTTTCTCGGTCGCTCAGACGTATACGTTTAAGCTTAATTGGCCATTGCAGATTAATCTCGTCGGGGGTGGAAGCGGATTGACGCCCCATTGGCAGCTCATCCACGCCATCATGTTTGACGACTCCGACAAGACCGTCGTCTCGTTTATTGACAGGTATGCTTCTGCGACTCCGCTCCGGTGATAGATGAAATCGCTGACTCGGAACGCAGCAACAGGACGTACGACGACATTTTAATGCGGGACGAGCTCCAGAAATACGCCGATGGAAAGCCTGAGAAGTTCAAGCTCTGGCACGTCTTGTCCAGCCCACCCAAAGATAAGGAATGGAAGGTCTGTTTCGTCACGACGCCGTCTCCTTGACTTCGTTCCCGCTGACGTCGTTACTATGCAGTATTCCGAAGGCAGACTGGATCGGAAGATGATGTACGTCTTGCGTGGCACAGTCATGTCGGGGCATGGCTGACCTTTGACTGCGTGGATAGGGAGGAACATTTCTATGCTGCCGGGGAAGGCGTAGCCACGTTCCTGTGCGGGCCGCCTGCGATGATTGAGAAGGCTGCGTTGCCCGGACTGAAAGAGATGGGTTTTGAAGATGGGAAGACCGTATTTGGCTATTGAGATCCTGAGCGTGGGCTGTATTGATATATGGTTCGGTTTGTACTAGACTCACTTGTATATATTACAAGTGGTAGCGGAATTCAAGAAATGCGAAATCTTCATACATGTCTTAGGCAAGTGCGATACCAAGCTCGGCGGGATGGAGTGAGACAACTCTGAAATGTGATGTTTCATCTTGTATATTGGTCCTTCCCCCCTGACCGGTACCGTATTGAAGACGCTATATCTCGTTCGTCGTAGTGGCAGGACGTCGTGATCATGGGTGTTTGTCAGTACACCATATCTTTAATCTCGCTTCCGGCCTGTCCTTCATGCTTGCACGAGCCACCGAGATGGCGAGCTCGTAGTCTGTCTGATCCTGTAAACGAACCTGTGATACACCCGGTCAGCTCGCGCAACTTGGCACGTCTATGGATGCTACTGTGCGACTCACCCGCTCGTTATTGTCTTCCTCATCCTCGAATTCCATGCATAGTCCAGCGAGTGGATGACCGAACTTTGCCAGGACGGCATTGAGGAACGCGTCCCAGGACAGATCCGAGGCAATTGGCATTCCGCGTACAGCGCCTTGGTAGTAGAGCTACCATCTAAGAGTTAGCATGCATGAATAAGCCCAACTGAATCCTGCACAGAGCGGCAGGGCCTGTTGCTCCTTCTGCTATGCCGACGCTGGGCAACAAACAGAAAAGACAGGCTATTCGCTCACCTTCACGAGCACCATGAAGTTCTCCATCTGCGCTGGAGACTTCGGAATAACTGGGGCTCCGAGAGTTTCCGGAAGCGTAAGTAGGGGAGGCGGTAAAGGAAGAGGTCGCAGGCTGGCCGGATGATAGAGGTTGAGGTTGTCCGATTTCGTCGCCAGCTTAGGCTGTAGCTTTAGTTGCTGGCTCTGCGCAGTGACCATCGCTGGCATGCCTCTGGCAGTATGGTGAATCATACCAGGTAGAGAATCTGGGGCGTGTGATTGCGGCGCGATCGTGTCCGCGCCAGTGCTTGCCGAAGATCTGACGCCGAAGGATGGTGTCGGTATGAGAGCCCGGGCTGCAGCACCTGCCATGTCCACAAGTCCAACGGAAGACCTACACGGAATGATGAGAGCGGCGAAGTCAGATGCGTTGGTCGAAGCCGAGAAGGTTGGAGGAACTTACGACTTTACACATGGTCTGGCAATCCAGTAAACATGACTCGGACGACGGTCGCGTCCCTCATCCTCTCCTTCTGCTTCAGCATCGGCGCTATACCGGCTGAGACTGCTAAGACAGTCCGGATTTTGGCGGGCCCCCACCGTTCCAACGGGGGAGCTCTTAACTCGCTTTGCACGATTCCTGGGGCTGTTGGGCGAGTTGTTTACCATTAGATGTCTTTGTGACAGAGGCGCCGCTACTGGAAACCGTACGCACCGCCATGACAGGGACTCGTCCGAGTTGTAAGAGTGATTGGCCGGGTGAGGGTCCGAGGTTTCTTCCGACTCAAGGTCGCGCACGCGTTTACGACCCCGGCCGGTCTCCTCGACATCGTCCATCGTAACACGGAGTCTGAATGGAAAGCCGAGCTACAGCGGCAGTGCACACGGGGGCGCTGTGAAGGCCACGGAGGGTAGGGAATAGAGGTCCTGGAAACCACTGAACGGCGTGAGATCCTTCGATTATGTAGCTATAAGCCGATCACTCGTTCTCGACAGATCCTGTGCAAACTCTCGCAGGTATGGCACCAAACCATGAGTATCTCGAGCTCATGTGCTGGGTTACACAAATGTGACATTGCCCATGTAGACGTGGACAGATGGTCTCCAACGAGACTCCGATGTGGACCTGATACGAACCCCACGAAGGATGAAGCGCCAACTGTGAAAAGATGCCGATGCATACATAGCTTCCGTCGCAGACGGCCGAGCGAACGAAAACCCGGCAGTTACTCACAATCGGCCAGCTGAGACTATCAAGGCCTCCCTGCAACGCGTCGAGCTTCTTCACTTCCGTCGACATGACTGTTCCACCCGTAGCCATTGGCGATATCAGTCACCCAGTAGCAACTGTCGTATAACACAACGCTGCACAGAACACAGTCATCGGTCATCCCAATCCAAAGCCAAGAGGGTATAAAAGGAACGTTGACGCACCGTCAATCCCCAGTCCACGACTACCACAACTCACCACCCACCTCTCACACCACACCACATCGAATCGACATGTCTGTGAGTTGCCGTCTCCTAGCATTGACCTTCATGCGCGGACAGTAACTAACGGCGGACGGCATGACAGGACAAGGCTACCTGCGCAAACGTCCAGGCCAACGGCGGCTCCTGCACCTACCCCGCGTGCGGTTGTGCTGAGCCCCCGAAGAGCAAGTAAACGGCTCGAGGCTGTCGTGGCGTTCGAGTATCTGGTACGTCTTGAGTCTCCACCGGATCCGGAAGCAACATCCTGACTAGTTCTTCGTTCGCAGCCACAGTGACGCAGACAGAGCACCCTCTTCGTCGAGTTGTTTCGGAGCACGTCACTATGTGTATTGTGACGCCGTATTAGGGTATACAAGGGATTGCGCTTCTCGATATATACGTCTGGTTGCCGCATCGCGACACCTTTTGGCCTGGAAAAGGATGTGAGCGGTGAGCGAGAGCGCATGCAACTCAGACCTACAAAGAAACACCCCGGACTTGAGGGACGGTATACAGGTTTGCTGAGTGGTGGTCCCGAATATGTTACATACATAATCTTCACCTTGTGAGACATCGACGCGAGAAACAGAACGATGCACTTACAATCTACAACAACATCCCTACTCCGGCACCTCCAGGTCAAAATGCTTAGGCAGGTCCTCCCAAATCTTCGCGCACTCCGCGCGGTGCTGGGACTCCAACAACGCCATACAATGCGCACACAGCGGTGGCTCGCCATAGCCCTTCTCCGACGAGCAGCCCTTCAGCCACACATACGGCAGCCACGGCCCCGCGACGTTCCACCCTGCCGTCCCGTCCGTGACGCGCTTCTTGTATATCGCCATGCGGTACTCGAGCCGTTCCTTGCATGCGCTGAGGTCCGCGCAGTCCTTCGACAGGGAGAGGTCGAATATTCGCTCCAGTGCGCCGTCCTTCGCGCGGGTGAGGAACACGCGTGCGTCGACGCACCGTCGGAGGTCGTCGAGGGAGAGCTGCTGTGTGCTCCCGTCAGGGTGCGTCGTCCCGCGCAGCAGGTCCTCTGTCCGGAGCTGGCAGCAGAGGTACATCGCGATGGGGAGAACGGACGATGTGTCGGTGAGCCGGGCGAGGTTCACGGCGGCGATGGGGTCGAGGCCGTAGCGGCTCCATTCGAGGTAGCGCGGCTTCTCGTACCAGCTCGCATATTGGTTGTCAAGGAACGTCTTGAGCACGCCGAGCGCGTCATTGTACAGGTTGTCTATTTGGTACTTGCGCCCGAGGCGAACGAGCGCATCTGTCGTCGCGAAGTCGATGCGCGTGCCGTCCAGCAGTCGGCTGTCAGGGCTTGAGCATTATCAACTCTGCGCACACGACCTTGCCAAGCACAAAGCCAGACTTACCGGCCGCTGCCCAGCTGCACGCGCAGGAGTATGCGCAGGTCCTCATGGAAATCGGTGAGGTGGACGATCGGGCAGCCGTCGAGGACCTCGGCGTGGTTTGGCTGGGGGAGGGAGAACAAGTCCGCGAAGAACGGAGAGTCGCGCGCGAGTAGGCCCTGGTAGACGCGGAAACCAAATCCGGACGCCACGAGGACCACGTTCCCGTCTGGGAACCAGAACTCTCCGTCTCGCTGGATGCACGGCGGAGGCGACATTGTGAAGGAACGACGATGTGAACAGGCTATGTCAATGGCAGCTATATGATACGAGGGACAATACAGTAGAGGACAATGTGGCGGGAAGGATCGGCGTGGCAGCGACGCTGATCATCAAAACTTATCGCCAAAAGAGCAGGTGGCTGATCTGTAGTAGTCCCTGATTATCATCCAAGTATGAGCATTGTATGAGCATTCAATACTTATCGCAACGATGTGCATTCATTCTGCGACCACTTGGCGACGCGGCGTCCCCACATTTCATAGTCGGCGGAGCAACTGACACCCTATGTCATGAGGCTATGGCATAATGTCGAAAGGTCAGACGATTGTCAGTGTCGACTTAGTTTCGGTAAGACGTACCAAAGTTAATCACTTGACAGTAGGTCGTAAGCATGTCGTCTCAGAAACTTGCTTATTTTCGTACTAAGGCCATCTGTTAGGCATTGTGCATAATCATATTGCGTCGGTGTGACATATCTTACTCGGGTATACCCATCACGTATGATACATGCGAGGAAGATGCAGAGCAGGAACAAAGTCTAGTACTCAGCCTGGAGATCAAGGCGTGAACTTGAAGATGGCGATTGGAGAGCAACAGCGACCTCGAACCAGGGGAACAAGCAGACGGCAGAGCGATGACAGTCGGCACATCAAGCGAGGCAGAGATGGCAATAAGAGTGAAGCAGCACAGCATCAGAGTCCGTGGCACAGTTCGACCGAGCCAGAGAGTCGAAGCTGCCAGAGGATCAAGTGGTTGAGTTCGCGTGATGCGGTGTGTCCCAAGATCGTGAAAGAGGACAGTGGAGCAAACATGAGTGCCGGTGAGTTACTCAGCAGCTCATCGGAGTCATTGATACCAATGATTACTGGAAGATGTCCACCATCAGTAACTTGAAGGATTTGAATAGTTCGGAATACGCCTTGCTACTTGCGTGCATCAATCGGTCAATGCACTAGCGACAGACCTTCACTCATTTCCCGCCGCAGCGGGTACGGGGTTTGCGCGGATGAAGGCGAAAGGGTGTGTGCACGAAGGAGCGCTGGCGTATGGGCAGGCTTGTACAGGGCTTGTAAGACCAGGCAAATAGGAAGGCGAGCGAGCCGGGAAGAGGGCGAGTGTGCGGGCAGGCAAGACGGAGAGGACGAGGGCGGACGACAAAAACGGGTGGTCGAGCGAGGCAATGAGACGGCGAGTGCGGCCGGACAAGAGCGGGAAATTAAATGGATGCGCGAGCAGAAACACGCGTGAACTAGCAAGAGGACAAGAGCGAGCAGGAAAAAATGAGCAATGACTACTCACCTGCTCCTCGGACTTATGTAGTGTCGTAGTTCGCTCTCCCCACTGTCTTAGCACATCTGAGAGTAGTAGCAAGATATCACGGATGACTACACAGACATGGAGTGCGTATATGCGGATTGACACGCATATACCCACTCCATGATGCAGTGTATTCGCGTGGGGACTACAATTACTGAGCTCTAAACCGTGCACAGGTCGGCCCTCACCGTCGGCAATGTAGGTTGTGATGGCTGCTTGGAACATATATAAAGACCTGAACCTCGACTCGAGTTTGATTTTGGATGTGACTTTGAGCAGGGGGGACAAAGCTGTGGTGAGGGTAAGAGGTACGAAAGTTAAAGCTAGTGTACGGTGTAAAACTCAAACGATGTTTCTTACGGTATGTAAGTAAGTCGGGCCTTGAGCAGGCTCCTAAAACCAGCCGTCCATGGCGTTCTCGCTCCTACATGACGATAGCCCACCATATGCTGAATCCGAAAAAGGCAATTGTGTTTAGTGTTATGTAATGTCCGAAGTTTATGCGACTAAGAGGAGGAGAACGCCATAGGACGGCTGGCCAATTTCGTCCCCGAGGCCACCCCGAGGCATGCGCGCTTCGCCCTCAGGCCAGCAGTGCGGTCACAGTAAGTGACTGAGCGCCTTTCAGCGAGTTTCGGGGTCCCGCTTGGCTCGCTTGCCCCGAGTCATCCAAATCAGGACATCGCTCGACGCTCGTGCGTCGAGGCGCGATTCATGATGGTTTTCGGTCTCGTATCCATCCAATGGGAGGATGTGGGACTGACAACACATTTGGGAAACTCAGTGAGCATTTCTTTGGTGCCTCGCGTCGCTGCCCCAAAATTTGACAAAATAAATGAGCAGGGACTCGAACCCGTGCACCCAAAAAGGTGACCGGCGGCCATGACCACTGCACCAAAGTACCAACACTGCTTCATCGATGGCACTACATAAGAGTACCAGCCAGCTCGTGGGACCCATTGCCTGTCAACTCCGAAGTACACGCCCACCCTTGTATAAATGACGGGATAATCATTGTCAGTGCCCCATGTGGCAGATGCGCTGCCCGGCACGTCAGCGAAGCACACGGTCACTGCAGTATGCACGTCGTGATGTGCTACATAGGGGTGGCCATAAATGGGTCCCACGAGCTGGCTGGTAGTCTTATGTAGTGCCGTCGATGAAGCAGTGTTGGTACTTTGGTGCAGTGGTCATGGCCGCCGGTCACCTTTTTGGGTGCACGGGTTCGAGTCCCTGCTCATTTATTTTGTCAAATCTTGGGGCAGCGACGCGAGGCACCAAAGAAATGCTCACTGAGTTTCCCAAATGTGTTGTCAGTCCCACATCCTCCCATTGGATGGATACGAGACCGAAAACCATCATGAATCGCGCCTCGACGCACGAGCGTCGAGCGATGTCCTGATTTGGATGACTCGGGGCAAGCGAGCCAAGCGGGACCCCGAAACTCGCTGAAAGGCGCTCAGTCACTTACTGTGACCGCACTGCTGGCCTGAGGGCGAAGCGCGCATGCCTCGGGGTGGCCTCGGGGACGAAATTGGCCAGCCGTCCTATGGCGTTCTCCTCCTCTTAGTCGCATAAACTTCGGACATTACATAACACTAAACACAATTGCCTTTTTCGGATTCAGCATATGGTGGGCTATCGTCATGTAGGAGCGAGAACGCCATGGACGGCTGGTTTTAGGAGCCTGGGCCTTGAGGTAAGTTTTTGACATGGGGTTTTAAACGTTAAAAACGTGACCAAGTAATGTGTCACGTGATAATTTTCGCCTGCCTGTACAGCTCCTGATGGGCCCCTCGTCTCCTCATGTATGGTAAATGGTAGAGTGTGCAAATGATGACGGGGACTGAAGTGGGATGGACATCACAAATAAAATCACTGGCGGGCGGAACTGCTCGCTGCTCGCTCAGTGTAAGGGATGCGTAAGCGCCGGAATACATCGCACGAGCGCCCGACGCTCATACTTACGAGTAATATATTCGTTTTCCGTTTTCCGTTTTCCGTTTCTTTCCTGACTCACCGTAGAGTCATCCTAGACTCGTTCTCGTTTTGTATATGCTGTACTCAGAGTGGAATCGGAGTGAATACCTGTGCCACCGCCACCACTCATTCACTTTGTCCCTTTATAGTAGTAATCTCGCTTACATTTTGTCTACGCCCCTCGGGGTGACTCACCGTTCCATAGGGTATAGGTACTGTACGTATTTCGGGCTGTAGGCCCAAGTTTCGATACGAGGATGCTTACCTACTCACCTTCGCGTCCGACCATCAACTTCCCATGTGTTTCTGACCTCGCCGACACTACTTACGCTCACCCGCGCCAACAAGCCAGATTCCTCACACTGAGCTGGACACTCATTTGAGCCTCGCGAACTCTGCTGACACTCACATTTCTCAGCCATCTCACTCTTCCACACTGTGTATGGTAGCGTGAGTTGCTTGGTTCTCGATGAAATGCATTCACTGTTCGCAGGTAATACCATATATGGCAAGTGATTCTATATACGGAAGATCTCGAACTGCCAGTGGGACAGCATGTGCAGTACCGTTGACATAATACAGTAACATATCCATAGCAAGATTATATAGGCTAACAATGGTGCAATGTGCCTGATCAAACGAGCAAAAATGTCATGAAAAGCAATAAGAGACTCACAACTTACAAGCCACCGGCGATGCTCCCGGGCGCTTAGTGAAGCGCGAGAGCGAGCATTAGCGCTCATCTGTCTGATTTTGGCACCGAGTTGATATCAGTGCAAACAAGTCTGCCCCAGACACGGCTAGCTGCAGTGTAACTGGAACCAATGTTACAAGATTAGAGGTGTCAGTTCAGTCCATGACTGCACAAACAATACATTGAACTTGCATCGAACACACCACCGAGTATGTCACGTGTCAATAGTTACTGACATTATATACATCCCTTTTCTGAACCGGAGTTTCTTACATGTTAAAAACACGTTTGAAACATGTCAAAAACTGACATGTTTCTTACATCGGGTTATACACCGAACACTAGTTAAAGCTGACGCGACGCAACAGTCGCGACTTGACTTCATGTCATGTGACCGAGGCACTGCGAGCCTCATCCATTCGTCGACGAAACGTCGTGCCTTCACACAAAGATTGGCCCTGCACTTTTGCTGATTTGAACCTGTTTTCCTCCTCATGGCTATCCAATCATCGCACGCCATCGTTGAACCCGTTCACCTCGCGTCGGTCGAAGCGAGGTATATTAAATATCCCAGATACATATCCCCATAAATGCCTCAGAAGCGTTTCGCATCGCCGTAGAACGCACTCAAACCCCCGCCGTTTCGGCCCATGAATGCGTCCCCAAAGCCCCGGCCCACCGACTGCTTGAGCACATACGTCTTGTACGCGTAAAACAGCCCCGCAAGCACGCCAAGCACCCCCGCGATCTTCAGGACCGTCCAGAGGAAGGTCGACGCCACGGCGGACTTGGCACCCACGATCGTGTTCCGCTGCTTGTCCGGGCTGGAGAGGATGGCGGAGTACGTGGTGACGCTAATGATGCTGTTGGGCGGTGTGAACGTCTGTGGGGGTAGGACGCGCAAGGGCAGACTCACTCGTGATTGTCTGAAACGTCACCCGTCATGGCGGAGAAGCCAAGGTAGGGCGCGTTGGGCAGGCTGATGTCACGAATGGTGAAGCATTCTACCCAATCATCCCATGCCCTGTACTGTGCCTTGACCTGTCAGCGCAACATGATAAGTACGGAAGGCGCGGCGTTCGATGGCGATGCCTTACGCTGAGCAGCTTGTCCTTTACATATGACACCCGCAGCTTCGTAGCTACGTTCGTGCGACGGAGGTTTGCCTTGCCACGCTCGTTAGAGACCAGCAAGAGCCTGCGATGGACGGACTCACTGAGCAGCCACCCAGACTGTCTTTTTGACCATCACCCCCCAGGTCGTACTCCGTCTTGCCATCACCCAACATGCCAACGATGCGCGGGAACGAGTACGAGTGTCGTGTGTTGGCGTATCTGAATGCACAAAGTCAGCCTATCCCTTGACAAGTCTTCAGAAGTCTCCGATATACTCACGTATCAAGGAATATTCCAAGACCCTCGAAGTTGTCTAAGGGCGCGTACTGTGAGCACAGCGAATGGGTATGCGTACAACGGGATACATACCGATGCTACCAAAGACGGGTCCAGGCTGTGCCCTCGCGGTCGTCAACCACATCGCGAGACCGTCTCCATACAAGTGTGTTGAATCGCCGTGAATCTAGTATGTGTGGTCAGACGACCGGACACCGTTTTCTTGAATCGAGCGCACCTTGAACTCGACTTCGATGATCCAGTTCTGTGCTGTGAGCGGTACACGCGACCACAGCCAACCCTGCGCTTTGTCAGTCTCATATAGCGCTACGCCGCATGGGAACGAAAAGTACCATCTGCGACGGTCGATTCCGGGTGAGGCGGACGTGCTTGTTCGTGTTCTGCGTCGCACGACACCATCAGCTCTTGACAAAGAAGAGCATACGATACGACTCACGACGTATGCGTCTGCACCGAAGTCCCACCATCTTAAGGAGCGAACGATGTCAGCATGTCGAACGGCCTGCGAGGTGTGTGGAGACGTACCGGTTCTGTAGGTCTTGGTCGATGTAGGGGGCGTATATCGAATGTGTTCGAAGTGATATTGTCTAGCACATCCGAGTGTTAGTTCAAGGGTATGAAATGTTCCATGTCATGCGGGCAGCAGTCTTCTTGGGCGTCGCAGCTAGTCTCCCTTTCACCGTTGCTGACCAGCCCTTCCCACCATTGACTAGACAACACCACACCCTTCTTCCAAAAGACATTGAAATCATCGGAACATATTACTCACTCTTTCGATCGTCTGGTTCCCCAGATTCGTATCCAGCACCGCCAGTGCACTGAGGGGCAACAAGCCCAGCCAAAACAACAGCCCGCCCAGCATGACGGCTCAGCTCAAGTCCAAGCAAGAGAGTGATTCAAAACGAAAGCGAGCGGCAAGAAATAGTATACAGACAGCTCAGTCCGGGGCCGAAAACGACAGTGACGAGAGCTTGTTCGCGGTGGCGAGCACTGGCAAGTCGCGGTCGCTGAGACCGAGGGAAGGGCGCTACACTGACGAGCGCTTGTTTGTGTACGCGTTCCAGACGCGTCGGTGCGCTCATATTTTTTCAACAACTCACGGTTCGCGATTGTAATGTTGGGCGAGGGTGGGAGCCAGCCTATGAGCTGGAAAGCGGTCCATATACACTACGCTTTAGGATACAATTATGCAGGTAGCTCAAACCGCTGCCCTTGTAACACTCTGTACAAAGTTCGAGTAAAAACGGTACGAACACGCGCGCAGTGACACGTCAGCGTTTGTCCAGTGGGGGCGCGTGCGACAACACTTACTTTGTGAAGTAGACGTAGAAGAAGTCGAGGTACAGCGCCGTCTGCACAATGCCCGCAGTGACCGCAATTGGGTCGACCACGTCCTCTGTCCAGTACCTAGACCGAGCGTCAAGTCCGCGTTCAGCCGAAAAGGCCGGCAGTGAACGTACCTGTATATCCAATTTGGGATGTACAACGCCCTGTATGCACCTAGTGCGGCCAAGTAGTGTGTCGTAATCGTCTCCGCCTCTCCCGTGCGTTGCAGCATGAACAGTTGCGGGAGGATGGCGACCGACTCCAGGAAGATGGAGAATGCCCAGAGGATCTCTGACACGAGCCAGCGGTAGTGGAATATCAGCGCCAGAACGACGCAGGGCCCGAGGAGGTATTCTACGCGGAATGTGTCGATCGACGGGTCGTTCGTTGGTCTTGATGCGCAGGCTGTTGAGTAGACGAAGGGCAAGGCGGGGCCAACATGACGCACCGGTATTTCACTTTCATCATGTAGAGGACGTAACAACTGCTCGAGATGAAGAAAATCTTCATGAGACTGTTGTATAGCGACACATAGTCGGTGAAGAGGTCAAGGTAACGCGTCACGAAGACAGCGACGTAGAGGGCCTGTGTTTTGAAGGAGAGACCTGCGACCGTTCGTTAGTACGCTATCCTAGGCGCGTACAAAGCGAGTCGGAGAAAAAGGGCTCAACGGTGTTGTCACATTGTGCAGAACACGTACCTCGAACCGACCGCGTCGCATTGATCTTGTACAACAGGATTAAGATGGACGCCAAGTGGGACATGTCCCCTGGTAACAACGGTCGTCAGTCGTTCGTCGTTCTCGGACAGAGTCTTGCGCGCATACCGAACAACCGGAAGAGATTCATGGTGGTGCAGACAGAAGGACGAAGTGGACGTGAACGTGGAAGCCTGCACTGAAGTCGGTTTGCGTCTATCCTGAGTGACGACGTGTAGGTAACGTGAGACCCAATATGCACACAATTCATCGTCTTGCATACAAAGTTATCTATGCTGTACGGCCTGTTTAAATATTATACATAATGCACAGAAGGCTATCAGATGCGCGTTAGGACTTATCCCCCTCAGCCGCGACCGCGCGCCAGACACGCTCTTCACCGTCACCAACGATGACCGACTTCCTCGCCCGCGAGAGTGAGCTCCTCGGCGACGAATTCACCGGAACGCCCACCGGCGGTAGCTACGCGACAGCGGGCGGCGACATCGACTTTGACCTCGCCGCCTCCGCCTTCCCCGACATCTCGCTCGATGGCACGGGCGACATCCCCACACCTGCTCTCCCCGCAGCCCCCGCAGTCTCCTCTGGCTTCTCCTTCGACGACTTTGCGAGCCCGCCAAGGGAGCGGCAGACGGAGGTGAAGGTCACCGGCGACGATGAGATCGAGAAATTCGAGGACCAGTTCCCGGACATTGAGGTCCCAGTGCGTTGTCTGCTGGCTTGCGTGTGTCGTTGGGGTGGCGCTCACGAGCGCGCATATAGTCGTCTGAGCCGCTGAGGCAACCGAGCTTCGGTGCAGCACCCACCTTCGCACCCCAGCCCCAACCATCAGCATTCACGTCAACACCCATATTCAACCGACCGCCCGAGGAGGACGAGCCAGAGGTCATCAAGTGCGTTGCGTTTTTCACTACCGTTTTCGTCTACTTACATCGCACGCTACAGACAATGGCGAGAGCGGCAGGCAGAGGAGATCAAGGCGCGCGACGAGGCCTCGAAGCTGAAGCGCGAGGAGACCGTCTCCAAGGCCGAGCGTGCCATCGACCAGTTCTATGAGGAGTACTCCGCGAAGAAGGAGCGCAACATCCGCGAGAACAAGTACGTCGTCTGCCCTGCCTTCCCCCTCCCGCTCTCACCTGACGTTCCGCAGGGATCACGAGGAGGAGTTCGTCGCGAAGATAACCGACTCTCTTTCGAACGGCACGACGTGGGAGCGAATCTGCGAACTTCTAGAGCTCCAGAACTCGCAGAGCAAGACGATTGCGCGCGCGGGCCCCGGCACGACCGACCTCACGCGTTTCAAGCAGGTCTTGCTCCGGTTGAAAAGGGAGGGCGATGCAGCCCCGGGTGCTGCAGGTTACTGAGTGGTGTACATGGTACGGACTATTTAATGACAAGACGTCTCTACAGTACACAGTTCTCGTCAATATTGCTATTCTGCCTCAGCGACGCGAGATGCTGCGCTAGGGCAGATCATCGGACACTGCCAGGCAGCCAGTCCAGCCTCAAGCTCAAGGCAGGCACGCAAAGTGGTGACCGGTGACCGGGACCAGCTGCAGTGCTACTGAGTGCTTCCGAAAGGAATAATTGACCACTTGCGACTGCAAGCTGACAAGCCGTTCCCGGTCGTACTCACAGTGTAGGCCAACACTCGTGCTCGAGGGTGTCAGGGCATTTTATCCGGTCATAAAGTCCATTAAGCCTCGAGGCGAGCGCGCAATACGTATACAAGTCCGAAAGACATAACTACGTCCGAAAATCATGCTACGGCTACACTACAGTCCGAACCATTCAAAACTCAAAGTCCACAGTTCATCGCAGTCCGAATGTTCACGAAAACTCACACACCCCGCAGCTGCCTGCAGCCTTCAAGCCCGTGCCCGTCGCATCGCACTGCTGGAGCGCGCCCAGCGCGCAGAAGGACCCGTCCACGGACCCGCTGAGGCCCGTGTTGTTGGCGAGGTTGAGGATCTGGAGTGTGGAGGGGAACGAGGTCGGCAGGGGGTTCGTGAGGTCGTTGTGGTCGAGATGTAGCTCGACGAGCGCGGTGAGCGAGGAGACGGAGGAGGGGATCGATCCGGTCATGTTTGTCGTGGAGACATCCCTGGAGGGCGGATTAGTGCAAGGTAAAGGGAGATAAGGGCGGGGCTCACAGGAGCTTCAACGACGACTGGACGGAAGTGCTATTGAAGAGAGTCGAGAGCGGATTGGTGAGTGCTTGGTTCGTGATCACCCTGATGAGCGGGAGGTTAGCGAGGCGATGACGAAGTACGACTACTGAGCGGACTCACAGATCTTGAATCGGGAGACGGGCTACACTCGACGGCAGTGTCGGCGACATTTGTGCGTTCTTCTCCAGCGTGAGGGAAGACACATTCTTCAGCGAGTCGAACAGGCCGTCCGGGATGCTCGTGATGCCCGTCGCTTGGAACTCGAGCGTCGTCAGGGCAGTCAGGTTCGTGAAGGACGAGGGCAGCGAGCCGGCTAGTCGAACGTCAGCCTACATTCGCAGAGAGCACTGGGGATACTGACCTGGGAGCTTATTGTCACCGATCACCTGGAGCGTCTGCAGACTCGTGAGTGCACCGAGCTGGTCGGGGATGACGGTGGGTATGCTTGGCGTGCTCAACTCCCTGGCGCGCGCGTCAGTTATATCAACGACCGAGGACAAGACGGGAACGTACAGCGAAGTCACCCTCCCATCGCCGTCACACTCGACTCCGGTCCACCCGCAGACGTCCGTGTTCTGCATCCACCCGCCGTTCCCCAGGCTGCTCTGCCCCTGGCCGTTCGCCTCGACGAAGACGCTCCGCAGCGCGCAGAACTGGATGGCGTTCTGGACCTGCGCGGCATCCTGGGCGTGCGCCTTCAGGAAGTCGGACGAGACGCCCTGGAGCGTGGAGAGGCAGGTCGAGCACGGGTACAGCGACGCGTTCGCAGGTGCGTTGATCTCGAACTCTGAGAGGCACAGCTGTTGGTTCGCCGACAAAGAGGGCGAGCTCGACGCAGACGCAGACGCGGACGACCCGCCGGTGGTGACGTCGAGTGCGATCATGTTGCCCAGCAGGTAGAGAAGCAGGATTATGAGAACGACGAACAGGATCGTGTTTCGCCGCTTCCGCTTCCTCCGCTTGACGCAGTGCTCGCAGCAGGGCGCTGCACGCTTCTCGATGTGCAAGGGCGACCAAGGCTCCAGCTTCGGTTGGTGGACGGGCAGCACGTCAGGCTCGCGCCGCCGTCCGAGCGTCCGGAGGTCGAAACAGAACTTCGCGAAGCGTGTGAGCAGCCCCGGACGGGGAGCTTCAGTCTTGGTGACTTCGGGATCCTGGTGCAGTTTTGGCGTTATATCAAGCATCGTCCAACTCGACTGAGGACGAGAAGAGGTGTGTGCGGGTGGCGTGTCGTATAAAGATTGATGATGGTGAGAGGAAGCAGGTTCAACTTGCTCCGTTGAGGTCATGGCGATCGAGAGAATCGTGAAGTCGTTACTGATGGTATGAGTTCAAGATGAAGATGCGTTTCCATTTACCAGCTCTGACAAGACATATTAGGACAATGGCAACGAGAACAAAAGCGAAACATTGCTGCGGGCGCTTCTCAGACGCGACCTTTTGTTTTGAGTGGCTAACACGTGACCGCGAGAGCGCGCATTGCTGCCCTTTCCGTCCGAGCTCACGGCTCGGACTGGACCCACTCCTCCTCCTCTTCCTCCACATCCACAACCCCCATCCAGTCACCACTCATCCGCAACTCTTCTTCGCATCCAGTACGCTGCGCTTCTTGTGCGACTACCCGCTACTTGCATCCGACGATGCTGCAAGACATACAATTCCTTCCGTGCCGCACTCATTGCCCTCCCGCGCCACGCCGCGTTCGTCCTTTGCGCCCGCCGACATCGCACACCATGTTTATTGGCTGGCAGCTGCGCACGACGCATGGGTGACCGGTTGCCTCCTTATCCTGCCCGTGCTCTCCCTCCATAATCACACCCATCCTGGGGCACTGTCCACGACTTCGACGTGACTGTCGCGCCCACCTTCCATCGCATACACGCGGCCTCTGCGTTGTGCTCGCCGTCCAAGCCGCTCAGCGCTCAGCACCCCGCATCCGTGTGCCCCCTTTGATTGGCCTCTGGTTAGTCGCTGCCTGACGCTCGCCCACCTTCCCGATGCTTCGTTCTCAATTTCTGTACCGCGTCTGTCTTGCGTCCGTCCGCTATTTCGCCCGGGATTTGCCAAGTATTGCCACTGGCCGCCACTTGGACATGCATCAATCGTCCTGCGTCGCGCTGACGTCACCTGCACGCCCCTCCCCACTCGTCGTCCCGGCTGCCTCGCTACCATGACCTGTGTCACTGTCATCTCATCCGACAAGTACGATGCTATGGCGATCGTCCCAAAAGGCAGCGACCGTAACGAGCTCTTTAGGGACTTTCAGGCACCCTTCGCTGCGGCCTGCACGTACGAGCATTCTGCATCCATCAGCCTCTGTCCTCGCAAGTGGGGACCAGTACCATTCACTGTCTCCCTCCGCCTTCTTTGACGCCACTCACAAAGTGATACAGGACGGCAGCGGTGATGCCAACTGTGAGATGACAAGTATGCGTCCACGCCAGAGCGGCACCCCACGACTACCTCAGTGGCCCGACGGCCCCCTTGCCCGCCGAGCGTCCCAGGGTTTTGCGTACGCATTCCGTACGCGAACTGGTCGCCTGCGGCCAAATGCGTCCGAGCCTTCGTCGACTCACTGCTAATGTGGATTACATACCAACTATGCATCCCAATACACTCGGCCTCAACGGACCCGCATCTTACCACACTAGCCCCACGTCAGCAGACAGTTGATGACCGCACCGAACTAGAACTCCCGTGTGCATGATGGTCGCGCGAGGCTATGGGTGCGACCATGTCGACTTTTGAACACCATCCCGAGATCTCTTACCCATAGGGTCCGAAAGACGAGGTACAAGTGAACGCGCAGTACCTCGGTGCTTGCGCGACGTCTCTGGCATGCAACATTGGTTCTAACCGAACCGTCGTAGATTTTTCATCATACAGACACTACTGTTGTCAATGAACATTGTCATGGGCGACATACGATGCAAACTCGGTCACTGGCGAATTAACCTCGACAAGCCGGCCCTTCGTCAAACAGTACATGGGCGGATCTACCCATATGCAGGCATGAACATCGTCAGGTTAATTCGGCAACGTTCGAGGACTGGTCACCCACCGCATCATGTCAAGCAACCGACAGAAGAGTGTTTACTTGCTCTTCGAGGGCTCAGCGCAGCCGCATGCGGGGTAGGTGCAGGAGCCGCCGTTGGCCTGGACGTTCGCGCAGGTGGCCTTCTCCTGTCAACGTCTCTGCGTCAGGTCCTATGCGAGCATCAGAATCGGACCTTCGAGATACTCACAGACATCGTGGATGATAATGCGGTCGGGTGGTGTATTGGTGAGTGGCTGTACTCGAGGACGTCTTTTATACGTGCAGATCCATGCGCGACTGGAAGGTATGCTGTGCGGTATGTTGTATGTCTGGCTTGCCATTGGCGCGTTGTGGTCCAATGACGGCGGGTGCGTTTGACACTCACGACTTCGTTTTGATCTGGTGAGCAAGAAGCAGTCTTTCGTGTTACATACTCAGCACTGTTGGAGTGACCAGCAGGTACCGTACATCGCAATCAAGTCCCCCTGATTAGTCGACGCTGTAAGTAGAAGTGGGTTGTGCAAGACCCGTACGAAGCGGCGGGCTTCACGGTTTGTCAGCCATCCAATGAATCGAATTCTACATGATCCCAGCTACGACCTTACTGAAATCGCGTGCAGAGATGATCAACTGGTATGTGTTTATAGCGACTTACAACAGTCAGTCAAGCTTGAAACGAGCCAGACGCCGCCCATCACTTTGGGTGGCATGCACTGGCAGCTGCCAGTGCCTCCAGGAACTCCGTGATGAGGCAAGACAGGGCTATCTCTGCCTCTTTCGGCCTCTGGAAAATCATCCTACAACTCAATTGGAGTGCTGGATATCCTTAAGTATCTTGGTCTAAATAGGAGCTGAGACCCGGGCCCAGGCATCGTTTTGAGACAGGAGCTAGGTGGGGCAAACATAAGTAGAGTACTAATACTAATAGTATATCATATATACAATGTAGACGAGACCAAGACGGGAATCACACTTGTAGTCAAGCTCGGTGCTGGAGATTGAAGTCACAGGAGGAGGTCCAGGAGGAGGTCCAGGAGGAGGTCCAGGAGGAGGTCCAAGAGGCGGTCCATTTAGCCACCGACCGACAACACGCACGGGCGCCATCGGCATCTCGACGATGGCCAGTTATGCGGAAGCGCGGATTAGACAACTGACGTCGTTTGACGGGCCGGTGTCTCGTTCTCATGATCATGACCACTGGGTGAAACATATGTACGCTGGGAATTGGCTGTCGTGTCAGGCACCCTCCTCCTATCCTCCTCTCCTCCACCTCTTGGTCCAGTCCAAGTGGGATACTTGCGAATTGGCTGCACAGATTTCTTTCGGTGAAGAATGGCGTCTAGTAGCTCAATAGCGTACGCTGAAGCATGGCTACCCGGTCCCGGAGAACACCAATTCTACACCCGTACGTACCAGGCGACCGGGACGGCTCGCGCGACGGTTGTCTTCGTGCACGGCTTTGCGGAACACGTTGGCCGGCACGAGCACGCACACCGGTACTGGCAAACCAAAGACATCACCGTCTTCACCTTCGACCAGCGGGGCTTTGGGAGGACGGCGCTCGACGCGGAGCACAAGAGCAGGGATGCTGCGTACGGGAAGGAGACGTTTGAGGACCAGATGCGCGACATCGAGTTCTGGGTGCAACACATGAAGAAGGAGCATCCTGACCTGCCGCTGTTCCTAGTCGGCCAGTCCATGGTACGTGTCCGGGTCTGTCGTTCCGTTGCGATCAATGACTCAATCTCACTGCAGGGCGGGGGTCTCGTGCTGTCGTTCCCCACCCAGTCAAAGCCTCCGCCGGCGAAGGAGTCGGTTGAACTGCTCACAGGGGTCATAGGCATGAGCCCTTTGATCTCCCAGACCGCGCCTGTCTCTAGGCTGCTGCGCAAGGCTGGCGCAGCAATGGCATTACTCACGCCGTGGCTCCCTTTCCCGGCGGAGGTTCCTCCCGAGGTGAGCCGCACTTTTTTCTGCCGCTGAAACACAGCCCGTGTCATGTTGTGTAATGAGGCTGTCGCTCGTGCGTCATTGAGTAGGCTGTCTGGTGACGTGCGACAGCGCTACACGGAGGATTGAGTTCGATACGGATAGTATCAACGGTCGTACCTTGACAGCAGACGAAATGTCGATAGGCACTTTCGCTCGGTGTGCGCGCAGCGGTGGTCATCACGAGGTTCAGCTGAGAGAGGACTCTACTCTGAGGCGCCGACGAGGAAACATAGTACTACCTTGCCGACTGCCTCTATCCCAGTACTGTGGGGAGGTGGGTGCTCGTGCGGCGAGTCGTGCCGCTCGAGCCGACTCCGATTCCCATGTCTGCACCAAGTCTGCACTTCGCAAGGACGCCCATTGATATTTTGGTTTGCTGGAATGCCAGATATACATAGTGTGGATACACACTTGCGCGCAACAAACATATTTGCAACGTGTCGTGTTTGCCTTTCCAGCCCGATACCAGTACTTAGAGCACGCCGGGCGCAATATCACGTTGGCCATGTACTGGGTCTCTTCTGCCGATCGTCTGCGCCACACTTGGACAGTTCTGTTCGCTACGGAATATGGATGCTCACGGGTTGGACAGGATCTATCCCACGACCCTGCTGTTTGCAACGCGATCGACCCAGACCCCCTCATCAAGAAGCACGGTACATTTAGGGGCCTCGCCGACATGCTAAGCATGGTCAGTTCGTACATGATGGAATTGGCGTTAGCAATCCTGACCTTTAGATTTAGGGCGAGCACCTCCTGTACGATACGTACAAGAACTGGCCAAAGAAGTTGCCGGTACGCCCATCAGTAAATGAACGCACGATCAGTAATTATATACGACGCACAGGTTCTCTTGTTACATGGCACTCAAGACAAGGTAGATTGCTCGATTTCCGCGACCCGTGTCGGCTGCTGACCGCTCTCCGCCAGGTTACGTCACACAAAGCGTCTGAGGAACTGTATGGCAAGCTCGATGCGGAAGACAAGAAGCTGTCGTTATACGAGGTGCGTCTCTTCTCCCGTCGTTGGGCTGAATCGATGTGTCGGACGGGGCTTTGCTTCCACAACATGGATGCGCCAGCCAACTGTGCAGTTGCCAGGTGCACAGCGCTTCGAAGATGGACGTCCCCTTATATAGGGCCTCTCTACGATATGGCCGTTTCCCGGGGCCGAGAGTGGCGGTATGCCTTGATGAGGCAGCCGTGATCCAAGCTCACCTTGAGTAATATGTTGCGATTGCCCTTGGCCTCGGCGGTGAGGTGTTTGGGCAGACATTCCACGATGCGGAGTCTGCGCATAGAAGCCTTCCCTCCTCCGGTCATGAAGTACGGGACCGTTGGCTGGGTCTTGGTACATTGACGTCCATGTGCCACTCCTGCATCTTGAAGTGACTCATTCATTATAAGCACGAAATACTGACGCACTGCGTTACCAGGACGCGTACCACGAGTTAACGAACGAGCCCGACGGCGTCAAGGAGAGGTTCTGGGACGAATGCATTGCGTGGATCCATGCTCATGTCCTAGAGGCGCACGCCGAGACGGCAAGATTGTAGTGACTGCACACTGCTCTTGGATCAGCCTCTGAAGCACCTATTAATTGCGATTAAACGGTCGATCCGAGCTGTTAAGCCAGTCTTGTGCGTTTTGGCTATTCGAGTGGTGACACGTACTTCCGAGGGGCCGTGCGTGCCCGTGTGCTTCATCTAAGGTACGGCAGCAGTAAAAACATGGAAGATCAGGACGCTGTTGCTCCCTAAGGTATCGCTGGGTCGAGCTGTCTTGTAGTTGCATGCTGGTGAGCAGTAAGTATGACTGTGATGACAGTTGGTTAGGTACTTACTGGGCCAGTCACGAATCATCGGTTTGTTGACGGTTCCTGCTTGGGTTCCTGCGATCAGTTGCGACGACTGACATGCTTGATCATAGACCTCCGGAAGATCCCCATTACCGGGGAGACTGGGTTTTGTCTAAGACAGAAAGAGGTCTGCCAATTAGTGCGTCGACATTGCTGTCCACTGTGATGCGTCCAGCGGTATTGGAAGGTATTTTGATTCTTGATATGTAGCACGCCCAAAACACGCCAATATTTCGTGATCGACAGCGAGTGCGAGATCAATCGCAAGATGTCTCCGTGTGCCAATGTAAGTCCGATTTTCCGGATGCGAGGCTCAGTTCCGTCTGTTGATGACTGCTACGGCTTTCGTTTGCCAGGGATTCGGAGACATACCTGGGTCCCATGTGATACATTGATACCCCACCGGATCGCCTGCAGAAGGGCGCGACTCCCTACGGCCCATACCAGCGCTTAGTCACTCGGAATCGAGCAACATCCTCACACGGACGGTCGCACTTCGCCTTGGGACTTCACTCTATCCGGTTTGCGTCAGAACAGCATCTCAAGTATCATGACATTGGGAGGCTTACGCTGTGTATCGCCCAGCGACGCCGCCATGAGCAGTGGGTCCTCTCCTGACCCCACAGTCCGGCCCGGGTTATATACCCAGGAGCTCCGAGGGTGATCTACTCAGAGTACCAAGCACTACTGGTGAAGAATGGCGTCTAACAGTTCTACGCTGTATACCGAAGCCTGGCTACCAGGCCCCCGAGGACATCAATTTTACACCCGCACATATGCCGCGACGGGTGTGGCTCGCGCGGCGGTCATATTCGTCCATGGCTTCCTGGACCACGTCGGACGACACGAGCATGCCCACCGCTACGCACAAACGAAGGGCATCACCATCTTCACCTTTGACCAGCGCGGGTTCGGGCGCACAGCACTTGACGTGGAGCACAGGAGCAAGGATGCTGCTTACGGCAAGGAGACGTTTGGCGACCAGATGCGTGACATCGAGTTCTGGGTCCAGCACGTCAAGAAGGAGCACCCGGACCTGCCGCTATTTCTCACAGGGTACTCCATGGTAAGCAGGTCCCACTTCGAGTCACGAAGCGAGCACTCACAATCCGCAGGGCGGTGGGCTCGTGCTCTCATTCCCTACTCAGGCGAGGCCCCCACCATCCGAGGAGTCGGCCGGCTTGCTCGCAGGAGTCATAGGCATAAGCCCGCTCATCCTGCCACCATCGCCTGCCCCCAAGCTCCTGCGTAAGATTGGCGCAGCACTCGCCGCAATTGTTCCTTGGCTTCCATTCCCGGTGGATATCCCTCTAGAGGTGTGTATCTAACCGCGACGTGAATGAATGCTGGCGCTCACAAACATGACAGCATCTGTCCCATGACCCCGCTGTCTACAACCCAAGCGAAGTGGATAATTTCTGGAGAAGTCACGGCACGGCCAGAGGCGTCGTCGACATGCTGAACATGGTCAGTTCCTTTCAGAGCTCCGAGTCAGCCACACGAACCTGATCGTCCGCCGCAGGGCGAGCGCCTCCTGTACGACTCCTACAAGAACTGGCCACAGAAGCTGCCTGTGAGTCCGTGACGATCAAGATACCGAGGCTGCACTGACCATCGTACGATGCGTAGGTCCTCATCTTCCACGGCACACAAGACAAGGTGCGTCCGCCGACGAGTGCTTGATTTGCGCGACTCGCGGCCGGTGGTTGGGCGCTGATCATTCCGCCGGACCTCCAGGTTACGTCGCACAAAGCGTCCGAGGAGCTGTATGGCAAACTTGATGCAGAAGACAAGAAGCTGTCCCTGTACGAGGTAAGTCTTTGTTGGTTCCGCTCGGATATCTGCGTTCAGCCGTTTCGATTGGCCTTCGCTCCCGTGACGCGGTCGCGCTAGTCCTCTATGAAGCTGCTGGCGGACTGTTCCCTTATCGGGGGATGTTAAGTTGGAATCATCGTCTGCTCGACCAGGACAGTTAGTAGAGGGTCCGTTGCCTTTGAGGCCTTCTCGTCCCAGCGTTCGTGACCACGAACGCTCTACAATCGCGTCGGCGGTATCGAACGGATGTCAACGGCATCTGTCGTTGCGCGGCACTGGTATCTAGCGAAGTCCGATCTTCGCTGGATGCTGAGGATCGCCTGAGCCAGACAGTGCTGAACGTGCATACTAGATGAGACAGTGGGTGATGTTCGCTATTGCGCCGTTTACTGTCGCGTCTGTGACGATCAAGCCCGTCCTGTGGCCGTGTTCTCTGGGCGGGGTTTAGCCTCCGAGTCCTTTTTGAGGACAATGTCTGGACATCAGCTGGGGCTACAATAACTTGGAATGGCGGCGGGCCTTTGTCAGGCAGCCGCGATCTGCCAGTTCGCCGCTCGTCGAACAACTTGAGTGTGCCGTGCCGCCCTTAACCTCGGCGGCGAGGTCTTTGGGCGGACGTTTCACGAGACAGGGTCTGTGCAGAAGCCTTCTCTGCGCCGGCTCCGAAAATTAAGTACGCGGCCGTTGGCTGGGTCTCGAGGATATAAACGCGAATGCGCGGGCGGGTGACGGGCGATCTGAAATTGGTTCATTTGTGGACGAAAAACTGACGCCTATGTCGTAGGACGGATACCACGAGCTCTCGAACGAGCCTGACGGCGTGAAGGAGAGGTTTTGGGACGAGTGTATCGCGTGGATTCACGGACACGTCCAGTAGCCTGGAGGCTTGAGCGCTAGTGATAGAAGTACATTTTGGGCGTAGTACGATTGCGTACCTTTTATGGAAGGTTCCTTGGTGCGAATCTGTTGCGATAGGAAGGAAGAAGAGATGAGCCGCGTTTCAGGCGATGGACGGAAATGGGGGGTGGTCCGTGCGCTGATAGCCGAGGGTGGGAGCGTGAGGTGGCGGGGCAGTCGAGCGTCGGCCGGTCGCCCATCTTGTTCGTCTCTTCTTCGATTCTCGTTTCGCTGTCGCCCTGCCCGTTGTCCCTCGTCTTCGTTTTCGTGGCTTGGGCAGCGTGAATTCAAGAGCTTTCATTTAAATAATCCTATATATCGCCCCCACCCGCGCCGCGCTCCTTTCTGTGCGTGTCCTTTTTCTGAACCCACCCTCTCCATCCACGCTCCTTTGCCAGAGTCACCCCCCACACATTCTCTAACCTGCTCTCCTTTTCGTCCGTTGTAACCCTCCTCTCCACCCTCGCTTCACTCCTCTGCCTCTCCCGACGCCGCCATGGATGATTCGCAGACAGCCTTCATTGCGCAATACCCCGGTTACAATTTCGATCTCGATATGATGAAGGTGAGCATCCGTGTTCGTTTTCCGGACATCTCGTGCAGGTTGTGGGCTGTTTTCTGGACATTTATCGACAAGAGAGAGGGGGCTAGAGTCATGGTTGGGTTGTGTGCAGGTTGGGCGCGGTATCGGTGGGTGCAGACAGCCGGGTGGCTTCTACACAGCACAGACGCACACTCCGAGTGGTCCCCTTCTGTTCACGAGCACCACCAACTTGCTCTGGCCGCAGTGCCACAATTTACATCCATCTGCCGCCCTGACTTTCACCTATCGCAAAACCTATGAGGATCGCCCAGATACCAGTATGGCACTTGACGACGGGTGATTTTCTCGTGTCGCCTTGGATCCCGGACGCCTCTGTCGGGTCATGATTTGTGGAGCGGCTGCCGTCAAGCACCGCTTAGCCAAGAGTAGCAGGTCCCTGCACCGATTCTCTGGCGCCGAGCTGATACACTCGTATTGTGGTGATGGTGTTTGCATCGGCGAGACGTGCATCAGCAATGACCTCTATTGCACTGCCCAGTCACAAACCTTCGGTGCGGGTTGGGGTGACAGGTCCTGATGGACGTTCGTTGCCGGCTCGGAGAAGCACCGTCTGACCAGCGCAGAAGAACGTCCTTAGCGCCGTTTCATGAGTTACTTTTGTCTCGAACGGCGCTCCTGCAAGTGACCGCTCTGCGTTTCTCGTGTCTGTATCCCCCACCTCCTGGACATATGATCTGATTTGCTCTCTCATTACAGAGATCCATGGACGCTGTAGGTGGTCCCGACGCTAAAAAGCCCGCTGGTCGCCGACTCGTTCGGTTCGAACGGTACTAACGGTCTCTCTGGTAACCGCGACGCTTTGCAAATTATGGCTATGGCCCGAACGCGAACATGCAGTCCGGCTACAACGGTTCGCCCACGAACGGCTTCAATGGCAACGCGCTGTACTCGACGCCGCAGCTGAGCATCACACGAACACGTCCCCGAACGGCATGCCGTCGCAGATGAGCCCGAACACCGCTGGCCCGTACACGCCTTCCAGCAACAGCCGTCGGCGAATGGCCAGAACAGCCCGTACCCTGGTTTCGGCGGGTACAATATGCTCGGATGGGCTTGCCGATGAACATGTTGAACGGCTTTCAGTACGGTAACCCCATGGCCAACTTCGCACAGGTGCGTACTTTCGGCTGGGCGTCGTCCCCGTCTGAGTGATGCTCCAGAACCTAAATCAGCAGCGGCTTCCTCAGCTGCAGATTCCTGGTACACCGACTGCGGGCCCGTACTCCCTGCAGCCATTAGCGCGGCACTCTCCGCGCAGAACAATGCGACGGGCCGCACGGTGTACGTCGGAAACCTGCCTGCGACAGCGTCCGTCGACGAGCTACTCAACCTGGTCCACTTTGGGCCGCTCGAGTCGATCCGCGTGCTGCCCGAGAAGTCTTGCGTGTTCCTGTCTTTCCTCGACGGCGCAACGGCAGCGGCGTTCCACGCGGACGCGCTGATCAAGAAGCTGGCGCTCCACGGTCAGGAGCTCAAGATCGGCTGGGGTAAGCCGTCTGCGGTGCCCAGCCAGGTCGCGCTTGCCATCCAGCAGAGCAATGCGAGCAGGAATGTCTACCTTGGAGGGTTGGACGAGAACATGACGGAGGAGCAATTGAGGGACGACTTGAGCCGCTTTGGTTTAATCGACCAGGTGAAGATCGTGAGGGACAAGAATATTGGGTTTGTTCACTTTTTGAGCATGCTGTTGCGACTAAGGCAAGTCACGATGATCGATTGGCGTTGCATGGTACTTATCATCTTTGTGCTTTAGGTCGTGAACACGCTGCCGACAGAGCCGGCGTGGGCTGGCAAACGAGTCACTACGGCAAGGACCGCTGCGCCTACATCCCCAAGTCGCAGCAAGCCGCAGCGCAGGCGCGCAGGCTGCTGCTGCTCAGTCGCTCGTGGCGCAGTCCGCCGCCGCGTCGCTCTCGCCCTGCAGACGAATGGCCCGAGCTTCGCGTCGCCGTTGACGCCGTACATGCCTTTCTCGCCGGATGGTCTCGGCGGACTTGCCTCCCCGCAGGCCCTGAACCGTACAGTCTACTTGGGAAACATTCACCCCGAGACGACCACGGAGGACCTGTGCAACGCCATTCGAGGTGGTGTCTTGCAGAGCATTAGGTACATGCAGGATAGCATATCGCTGTCAGTGTTGATCTTTCTCCGTGATGTTTGATATGCTGATGACTGTTTCGGCATGGCAGTTCGTGACATTCATCGACCCTGCTGCGTCCCTTACCTTTTTCCAAGTCGCGTCTTACCAAGGTCTGACGTTGAACAACCGCCGCTTGAAGATCGGCTGGGGCAAGAACTCGGGCCTCTGCCTCCTGCTCTCGCCCTTGCTGTGCACGGCGGTGCCACTCGCAACGTCTACGTTGGTAACATCGAAGACTTCGACTCCTTCAATGACGAGAAGCTGAAGAGGACTTCGGCGAGTACGGTGACATCGAACTCGTGAACTTCCTTAAGGAGAGTAAGTCATGACACGTTTCGTCCTGGAATATGTCTGATCATCATGGCAGGAACTGCGCGTTCGTGAACTTCACTAACATCTCTAACGCCATCAAGGCCATCGATGGTGTGAGAACAAGCCGGACTATGCCAACCTCCGCATCGCCCACGGCAAGGATCGCTGCGCTAACCCGCCCGGTCTGGTCCTCAGGGCGGTGGTGCCCGGCGGTCTGCCAGTGGCCATAATGGTCCTGCTTCCGCGGGTCCTGTTAGCGCCATCGAGCCGCCCGCCGAGGGTATGGATGCCGTTTTCCTTGCCCAGGATCTCAAGGAGGAACCGGCCGACATTGTTGTCACGCCGATTGACGCTCCGCAGGGCGTCCCGGTCGCCGCGAACTAGCCTCTGTACACCCATCCGCGCATGCTCCCTGTCAGCAGCGTTGTTTGTCTTGCTCTCTGGATACCCGTGTTTCCTCGACTTCCTGTGAAATAACGATCGCTGTCCCTGTATGCACACCTGCTCTCTCCTTTCATTAATCGGATCAAGGCCTGCGCAATGTCCCTCAAAATCATTCTCAAATAGTGGTGGAGTACGGTTGGTTTCGGATCCGCACACCGAGGTGGTTGGCCGTCACTGTCGTGCGTTCGTTCACGCCCGAGTTCGGCTGGGCGGGGTGTCGCCGACTTGTCATGGTTGGGTGCGCCAACATACTACCTGTACATTCGCGGACCTTGGGCTATTGGTTGTTCCTTCTTTATCCACTTGATCTTCGTCCCACTATTTGCTTCCTTTCGCCCGGAAATGGTACCCTATGCTGATCTTTCCCTTTTCTGCGTTCGCCGACGAGCTTTGTTTTGGCTTGCTGCGACCGTTGGAGTTGAATGATCCCCCGCTTGCACTCGATACCGGTACGATAGTCGACTGACGTAAAGATGGTTAATACTCCCTGTATCTCTCAGACTCAATCTCAATCTGCAACGGGGCTCTCCCCATTGTTTTCTCTCTCTCTCACCTTGATTCTGGCGTGGAATCGCCTTCGACGTGATCCGTTCATTTGTTCAAGAACACGACTGTCAGCTAATACTTACAGTGAAAGCGTAGCGAAGTTACGCCGACGCGAACATATGCACGTCGATCGCGGTAGCGTCATTCTGTCAATTGCGGTTGTCCAAATTACACTGTGTATGGTACGTCTGTCCCAACACTGCGTGTCTTCGCAATGGACGCTAATGTAAGTTCATAGAACATGGGATCCCCGGTGACTGCAGTTCTTTGAATGCCTCCCTTCTCGGCGCTCGCACGCGAGAACGGAGCTCACAGCTCATGCTGTAGGTGTATGGCGAGCGCCTAGGAACTGACACATGCGGTTCCTTTGGCACAGTGTCATCAGGGCCGCGCAACGCGGTGTGCATTGAGGTTGACATGTCTTCCGGTCCGTGTGTATTTCAGGATATCACCTGGGAACATCATGATATCCGACAGTGAGGTATAAAAGAGTGGGCATCTCCATACCAATTACCTCGCGTACTCAGCCAACTGAAGAGCGATGCAGTGGATGTACCTCCTCGCGGCTGCTGGACTGGTGGCCGTCGGTCCCATTGGTGCCTCTGGTGCCAACGGATACTATCAGGAGCCTTCTGCCAGCGCGTCCTTCACGCAATACTCTGGCTGCGGCTCCCCTGGTATGTAGAATGCCTTATCTTCATGTACAACGAGACTCAACGAGACTCGTGCCCTAGCGTGCGGCATACCAGCGACCGGATACACCGCCGCGATGAACCAGCTGTCCTTCGGCTCCGCGCCTGGATCAGGCCCTGGCGACGCCTGCGGACGTTGCTTTCAGCTCACGGGCAGCGCAGATCCATACAGCCCGGATTACTCTGGGCCGTGAGTGTTGATTGGCTAGGGTACCGGCTTTCGCAGTGCTCAGACTCGCCCGCAGATTCAATTCCATTGTCGTCAAGGTTACCGGTGAGAACATGCGGATACTACACGGTGGGAGGCCCATGCTGAAGGTGCTCGCCACAAGATTTGTGCCCTGCGTCGGGGAACGAGGTGTGGTGCGGCCAGACTACGTCGGACAGCGAGAACCAGTATGGGATGCCAGTGCAGTATGTATCGCGTATACGACGTGATGGAACGGCGGCGAGTATCGACTCGGCGCGACGCAGGTGCTTGAGGGTCGGGGCGCAGACCGGAGAGCTCGGGAGGAAAACTCTAAGGTAAGCATTGGCTTTGTCTATCTACTTATACACGTACAGGTACTGATCTGATACGACGGCGTCGGACGGCGCACGTCGCACACGGTAGCCTCGAGGCTACCGTCTAAGGCGGGCGATGTACAGCCGGCGATAAGCGCCGGCGCGAGCATACGACGAGGACCGCATATCGGCCTCGAGTCTAAGGTGAGTTCTGTTAGTACAATTCTATCTACACGGATCTAACATTCCGACACTCCCCCTCAAACCTTCGCCAGTCCCATCGCGGCTGCGAAGTGTTTGCACTTCATCGAAGGCAAGGCCTTCGTAAGGATGTCGGCAGTCATCTCCTCCGTAGGGCAGTAGGATAGCTCGATCTTGCCCTCCGAGATCATGTACCGAATGAAATGGTACCGTATGTCAATGTGCTTCGTTCGCGCATGAAAGCGGTCGTCCTTCGCGAGTGCGATTGCCGACTGGTTGTCAGAAAGGAGAGGGATAGGTCGCTCGGGTCCACCAAAGAGTTCATGCATGAAGGAGCGAAGCCAGATGGCTTCCTTGCTCGCGTGCGTGAGCGCGACGTATTCAGCCTCGGTCGTCGAGAGCGTGACAAGCTCCTGGCGTTTCGAGGACCACGAAACCACGCCACCGTTGAGCATAAAGACGTACCCCGAAATTGCATGCCTGCCCTCCGTGCTCCCACCATCTGCATCCGAATAACCCACTACCTCGTCGTCTCCAGTCCCTCCGAGAACCAACCAGAGGTCCTTCGTACCCTTGAGGTACTGGTAAGCCCGTTTGAGAGCATTCCAGTGTGCGAGTCCCGGGTTCTGCAAGTACTGGCAGATTTGCCCGACTGTCGCAGCGAGATCGGGTCGAGTCGCGACGACGAGCCACATAAGCGCACCGGCGGCTTCGCGGTAGGGTTTGTTTCGCATGAGTGCGAAATCTTCGGGAGTGACGGGCGACTGGTCCTTCGACAGGCGTGTGTGTGTGTCCATCGGCTGAGAGAGCGGCTTCGCGTCAGCGAACCCATATCGGTCAAGTATGGACTCGATGTATGCGCGCTGGGATAAGGCGATCGTGCGACGTGCCCAGTCACGCTTGATCTCGATGCCGAGTAGCCAGTGAAGTTCGCCGTTGTCGGTGATGTCGAGTTTCGAGCTGATTTCAGCCTTGAGACGGACCAGATTCGCAAGCAGTGAGCATACAAGTGTCATGTCGTCGACGTGAACGAAGATGATGTCGATGTTGCCGTCTGGATGGCGGCGGACGAAAACGGCGTGATCATGCTCGATGCGGACGAACTTGAAGCCTAAGAGAGTTGCTTTGAGGACTTCATACCAGCGACGACCGGCTTGCTTCAGTCCGTAGATTGGGACACGTGCTCGGATCAGCTGGCCAGGCTTCAGGCCATCGAGCTTGATGAAGGGCGGTGGACGGAGGTAGATGCGCTCATCGTCATTGAGCTTGCCATAGAGGTATGCACTCTTGACGTCGATCTGGTGGGTGTGCCAACCCTTGCGAGCAGCCATGGTGAGGATCGCGCGGACAGAGGTCAGCTTACAGACAGCTGCGAAGGTCTCGTCGGAGTAATAGTCGATGCCGTCGACCTGGGTGTAACCCTGAGCCACGAGACGAGCACGGTAGGAGTTGATGCGATTCTGCGCGTCTCGCTTCGTGCGGTAGACCCACTTCGTGCCGACTTCATTGATATCTGTCATGTCGTCTGGCGGATCCTCAAAGACCCAGCTGTTGCGAGAGATGAGTCGACGAATCTCGTCGTACATGGCCTCGAGCCACTTCGGCCAATCAGGCCGGCGTCTCGCTTCAGCGACAGTGCGCGGATCGAATCCGAGAGCTTCAGACGTAGCAGCCTCGACGAAGTATGCGATGAACTCCTCAGAAGGGAAACTTCCAGGTTCAGGAAAGGGTGGTGCATCAGCGACAGAGCTTACAGCTCGTCCTTCTAAGATGTCGCGAGCCTTCGCACTCGGTGTGCGCTTGCGCTTTCCAGTGACAATGTCGGGATGAACTGGCTCGTAGATTTCGCCAGGCTCAAGAGAAGGTTCTGGCTCGAAGATGTCTGTGTCGTGCTCAGGACTCGGAGAAGGGTCCCGGTGAGCACGCTTCGCAGGAGGCTCTGCCGCGTCGTCATCATTGATAGGTCCAATATCAACATCCAGCTCCCCCTCGACGCGCGGAGACTCTGAGCTGAAAACAACATCGCGCTCGACACTGATCTTGCGCTCCTCAGGCCAATAGACACGGTGACCGTTGGACGTGGGATCGAGCCCGAGCCAACGAGCAGGTTGACCGCGTGCGTCGAGCTTCGAGGGTGCATCAACACGGACATAGACGATGCAACCCCATGGGTGCATGTTGGAGACGTCAGGTGGATGCCCGTAACGAACTTCATAAGGCGACTTTCCACTGAGAGCACGCCGAGGCGTCCGGTTGTAGACGTAGGTGCAGTATCGTAAGGCTTCACCCCAGAGCCATTTCGGCAGGCCTGACGAGATGAGACAGGCTCGTATGCCATTCAGGATAGTCCCATGAACGCGCTCGGCAACACCATTGTGCTGTGGTGTGTCATGGACAGTGAGCTTCCGCATTGTGCCATTTCGCTCGAGGTAGACAGAGAAGTCGTTGGATAAGAATTCGCCACCGCGGTCGGATTGGGCGACCTTTCGGGAGTAGCCGAGCTGAGTGGTGAGGCGAGAGTCGTAGGCAACATACTTCGCAAAAGCTTCACTCTTCATACGCAGCAAGGGTGTGTCTAGCCAGCGGCCATGGTCATCAACGAGGGTGAGGAAATAGCGACAGCGGTCAATCGTCATGACGGACGCAGGCCCCCAAGTGTCCATATGGACGTGGTCGCCGAAACGTTCAGCTCGCGGCGACTCGCGCAAAGGCGCAATCACAGCACGACGAGCCTTCGCTTGCAGGCAAGTCGGGCACTCGGGCTTGTTATAGTCCGTGACGACAATCCCATTGATACGACCCGACTTCGCCATCTGCTCAAGATATCCGTAATTTACGTGGGCCAGCGACTGGTGAAGATCGGCAAGGGACATGCGTCGAAGCGGGGTGGAGGCAGCGTTGGCGTCGGCGGGTGGGGGGTGATAAACACGGTAGAGGTTGTTCTCGCGGGGGATGACACCGATGATATCGTAGTTCTTATTGCATATGGTGAGTTCGCCCTTTTCGCCTGACCAATAGTAACCTTCGCTGTCGAGACAGCCCAGCGAGATCAAGGTCGCATGCATCCCAGGAGCATACAAGACGTTTCGCAGCTTCATATGCACAGCGCGAGTGAGACTCTCGTCCTCCGTGTACTTCCAGGTCTGGCGAATCAGCATGTCGCCTTCGCCTGTCGCATGGAAGACTTGCGAGTTCGCAGCACGGATAGGGTGCGGGGTGATGGAGCGGAAGTTGACAAGGCGGTCTCGGTGTGGGGTCATATGGCGAGAGGCTCCAGAGTCGTAGATGTCAACGCGGAGACCCGAGTCAACAGCACCCGAGTCGTCAGCAGCAGCAGCGACGGCAGGAATGGGCGAGAAAGCAGAAAGCTCGCACTGCTCCGCCAATTCGGAACAGTCTATCTCGACTCGCTCAAACGCGCCAGGGGCAACCTCATCCGAGATTGCGCTCCACACCTCCTCGATGAAGGCGGACTGAGCCTCCGAGGCCATTGCAACATTCGGCGTAGCAGCCTTGTCGGCCGAGGACCCAGAAGCCTGCGCTGTCGACGCGCTCTCCTTTGGCTTCGCAGGTCGACGCTGGCTCGACGCGCTCGGACAGACATTCGCGCGGTGGCCCTTGCCTCCGCACTTGAAGCACGTCACGTCCTTGTCCGAGGACGCTGACGACGTATCCTGCGACTTCCCGGAGGCTCCCCCACGCCCACGTCCTCGACCACGACCTCCGGATCTACCACGTCCGGATCCGCGGTTCCCTCCACCACGGCTCGTTGACGCAGTCATCGCGGTCTCGGATCGCTCGCCAGCCTTCGGCTTTTGAAGGTTGCGGGTATCCGCCTCGGAGCGTAACGCGGCAATGATCTCGCTCGCAGTCACGACGCGCGGGGTCTGGCCAGTGGAGAGGGTCGAGTTGAAAAGGGTCACAGCTGTGTTGAGCGCAGTGACGATGTGAGAAAAGGAACGGGGAATGGAGGTGGTAATGGCATTGATGTACGTCTTCTCCTCAATTGTCGTGCCCATCTCGCCGAGCTCCTTCCGAAGCTGAGCGAGCTTGTCTAGGTGCTGCCGGACCTTTCGCTCGTCCGTGCACTTCAACGAGAAAAGACGCGCCTCGGTCCAGGCCTCGTGGGCAGCAGTGTACTGCCCAAACTCCTTGTCGAGGTCGGTGAGTATCGAAGCGACAGTGGTGTTGTCGTCGTATTTGACGAAGATCGCGTCCGGTAGCTTCTGCGTAATCGCGTTGCGCATCTGCGCGTGAAGCTTCGTGCTGTCGTCATCAGGCGCCGCGGTCAAGAGGTCGTCGCCATCGCAAGCACTCGCAGCAACACGTACACGCCGAATCCACAGGCGGTAGTTCTGTCCATCAGCAGCAAGCTTCGGGACCTCCGAGAACTCTTTCGCAACGGTCGTAGACATCGCGCGACACTGGACTCGGATGGATGGTGGGGGGCTGGGTGGTGGCGAGGGCGAAGCCGAGGGTTCGGAAGGTTGAGGTTGGACAGGGGCAGGGGATGGCTCGCGGATAGAGGATGGAGAGCTCGGAGACGAACCAGAGGTGAGTTCTTCGTCCGAGTCGTCGTCGTCTGGGAAGGGTAGATCGCGGCGATCGTACGGAGGGAGGTCGTCGAGCTCGGAAACGGTGTGTCCGGTTTGCTGAAGGTAGGCGCGAGTGGCTCGACGAACGGTGGTGACTAATGGAACGGTCTGCGGGTAGGCGAGGAACTTTGCTGGCATACAGGGGTCCGAAAATGGGACAAAAAGCGCACGAAGATAGACCCTAAGCTCGAAGAGCGGGGCTCATAACCTATCGCGTATACGACGTGATGGAACGGCGGCGAGTATCGACTCGGCGCGACGCAGGTGCTTGAGGGTCGGGGCGCAGACCGGAGAGCTCGGGAGGAAAACTCTAAGGTAAGCATTGGCTTTGTCTATCTACTTATACACGTACAGGTACTGATCTGATACGACGGCGTCGGACGGCGCACGTCGCACACGGTAGCCTCGAGGCTACCGTCTAAGGCGGGCGATGTACAGCCGGCGATAAGCGCCGGCGCGAGCATACGACGAGGACCGCATATCGGCCTCGAGTCTAAGGTGAGTTCTGTTAGTACAATTCTATCTACACGGATCTAACATTCCGACAGTATGTGCCAGGAGCTGGAAAATGTCAAACCACTCATCGCGGCCTTGGTACCCCGTAGCTTCGACATTTGCGAAGACACAGGAGGCGCTGGCGTGTTCTTCCCGTCAGGTGAGTGGCAGACAGCACGGTTGAATTATGTACTGATTACAATCTTTCCACTGTAGGTCACACTGCGCTCACTGGATCCTACACCGAAGTGAGTTGCAGCGAATGGACTGGGTCTGACGAGAGCCAGCTCTGGTCGGGCGCATGCCTGAGCGGCGAGTCTGCTTCCTTCTGGCCGAGTGGCACTGGATGTGGCAATGAAGGTGATCTAGGTTCACACTCCATGGTATTTGCGTTCTCTCTAACTGTAATTGACAGGGACTGCTCCGTCATGAGAGCACCTTCATGCCTCAATCGCACAATCTAACTTATTATATGAGGTTGAAAACTGGTAGCAATGTGTATCCGTGACAATTGTTGACAGATTGTGTGGTTGCCGTACGACTTGTCAAACTTGACACAGAAGACGATTTATGAGTCGTTTCACCCAAGACAATCTAGACTACGTATGAATTACCTGCATACACTTAATGGACATCAGTGAGACGATTCACAGATGTGTCTTCGACCGCGAGATTGAACGCCGCGGCATCGACCCTGGTGCAACAGGCGGTCCGCATAAGTATGCTAGGCAGATTGCTGAAACAACCAGGTCTTCACACGATGTTAAAGAGCACGCCAAGATACTACCATACTGTACATGTTGTCGCGAACCCACTCAGTTCCAGTATTCTTGGGCGTACAAGCCGAGCACGGCGCTGGCAAGGATCGGCGAGTAGGACAGTACTTCCGACTGAGTGTACGTCTTGTCGCTCTGGACGTTGTTCAGTATGTCAATCACGTCCTCCTCGATGAAATCGATGAAGACGAGGTCGACGAGGGTGTCGTTCAACACGCTGGGCGCGTCGGACGAGATGTAGTCCGGGCTCGAATGGTAAGGCTGCAGGCAGCCGAGTTAGATCAGGTTACACTGCGGTGCCGATATGCGACACTCACAAGGGCGGTGTGGGGAGTGTCGTCGCCGACGCCGGGGCATTGCTAGGTGTTCCATCAGCGAGCGCAGAGTGGGGGATGAAGCAGCACTCACATCAGACGTGACATATCCCAGAGTGAGGTTGTCATCGTCAGCCCTCGACCGAATCCTCCTCGCGCTCATCTCCTCCAGCCACGCGTTGTATCGCACACTTACGTCGCCCCGTGCATAGCGCTCTGTCTCGCGCTCAAGCAGGTCGAGCGAGCGCCGCCGGTCGTTCTCGCCGCCCTTGTTGAGCCCTGGCAGGATCTGCTCCGCGACGGACAGGGTGCATCAGGAAAATCCCTCCTTGGGAATTACAACGAACAGACAGATATTCTCCATAATACGTAGAGTTTTGAAATTTCTGACGCTGTTCGCAATAACACTCTGTATTGTTGACCATTCGACACGTCGTTCGAGTGCAGTCGTTAATAAAGCACCAATACAAGAAAGTATTGATGGAATCTTCCGTACAGAGGTCATGATGCTGCCACAGTGATTCATTCACGAAGGTGAAAACAACAGTAATATATTGATGTGTCTCCTAAATGATTCTATGTATAGTACACATGACCCAAATATCACTTTGATTTAGTCCTCCACCACGTATGCATAGTCAACTATGATAGCCACATCTCAGTCGTCCACGAACGGCCCGCGGGCAATTGGGTGCGTGGACGAATGAGCGATCGCGCGATTGAGTGGCAGGCGGCCGAGCAGACAAGAGCGCGGACAGGAGAGCGCATGCGAGAGGGACGTTGAGCGAGACAGTGCGAGCGTTTGGGTGTAGTGCGAGACGGTGTGGGTCCACGAGTGGGTACGCGGGTCAAGAAGTCGACAGCGAGCGGGTGTGAAAGCGAGCACGGGAGGACAGGCGCAGGCGGGCGGGCGGTCGATTGAGCTAGCAAGAAAGCGAGCGTGGGCAGACAAGAACACGTGGGCGGGCGGGCAAGAACGGGCGAGCGGACAAGTGGTGATGAGCCAAGGGCGAACCGGCGAGAAGCCAAGGGAGATTGGCGAGTGGGCAAACACGAGTGGGCGATGGCAAGTAAACGAGCGAGAACGACTAGGCGAGCGAGGAAGATCGAGGGGTGCACCACCGGGGGCAGAGAGGGTGTCTGCTCGCTGTTCGGTAGTCGCAGAGACTTACATGGTGTAACTGTGTGGCGTGCCCGTAGAGAAGCGCGTCTAGCTTGCGAGAGGACGGGTGTGCGCGAGAGAATGGCTGCGAGCTTGCTGCTCGTCAACGCACTTGCCCGAGCATTGCGACTAGTAACAGATACACTACGAATGACTCACTTTGGATTTCTTGCCTTCGCTTTCCTTCCGGGCCCTTTCGTTCACCACTCCTGCCCGTCATCTATTCTGCTGTCCCTTCCTTCGACCGTGCTCGTTTGTTGTGCTCAGGCTTGCGGCTTTGCGTGCTCGGGCTTGTCGCATTCGGAGTTTGGGATGGCATGTCGCATGATGAGTGCTTCGCGCATGGTCACGGTAGTGTTTGTCCGAACGCAGACCGTCCGGTGCTTTCGCGAGCGGCGCCGACGGTCGCGCCACGGCGGGACTGTGCTTGGTGAGACGGGACAGGTTGAAGATGGGCGACGCCGCATGCGAGTGACGAGCGACAAGCGGGTGGCGGAGAGAAGGAGGCGAGTGGGTGATGACGCAAGTGGGAGCGCTGCTTGCCCTAAACAATATCTCGATCGAATCTGACACCGCCGCCACAGCGCCACGCAAGCGCCACGTCAGTCTCGCTCTAAGCCTCTCGCCTACCCTCTCGCCTACCCTCTCGCCTGCCCGCCCGCGTCCGCTGTCTCAATTGCCCACCCTGTCTTGCTTGCTCGCCCGTGTGTCCTCTTCCCTGCCATTCGCTTCTTGCCCGTTGACTCACACGCCCACTCGCCTGTCCTTGTTCGTGCCCTCTCTTACTTGCAGCCGCTTACTCGTCTGTAGACTCACCACCGCCTGTCGCTCCGACTCGCTCATCAAGTGATTTGCTCACATGGCTTTTGCAGGACCTGTATGACTCGCGTGTACCCACACACGATACGTACCCATTTTAGCGGATGCAGACCCTTCATGGGTAAGGGCCGACTCCGATATAGTCAACGTCGACCTAGTGCCCCAAAATAGTCCAAGACACTTAGCAGCCCACAGACTGTCCTCGGTGAGTCGCGTGCGATCACCCAGCCTGTGTCGTCTCTGACCTTGCAAGAACGCGCACGGATAGCGATATGGCTATAGGCATCAGCAATCGTGACTCCTTCGACGGCGGCGACCTCGACATCCTCGTCACGCAAGTCGTGCTCTTCGGCGGGCCTGAGAACGAGGCTTTGGGGCCGTCCGCCTCCGCCGTCCTCCACTGGCGCATGCTCCTCCGCCTCGACGGCGGCGGCCCTGTCACACTCACCATGATCCTCCAGGGCCGGCCCTCCCTCGACAGCGTCCTTTTCGTCCGCAGCAACAAGTTCGACACCTCCAGATGTGATCGACGCGTGCGTCTACAACACCGCCCGACCGATCACTGCCGACGCCGTTCTCGCTTCATCCAGCGCAACAAGCTCCACCGGTACAGCCTGTACCGGTGGCCTTGCGTCCCTCCCCACGAGCGTCGAGTCCGCTGAGCTTAAGGCCAAGCACATCAGCATGTTCGCGTTCAGCAGTGATCTCGTGAGCAGCTTCTTCACGATTCGCATGAAGGGCGACACGAAGACGATCCGCGAGAAGTTGGACCTCATTAACAGATTGGAGAGTATGAAGGTCGTGCCATGCCAGACATACATCGACGCGCTCACTCTCCGGGAGAAGAACCACAACGCAGGGTCATACATCCCTGAGGGCTCGCTCGACAACCTCTGGCCGGGCGACTTCTACCTTGAGCATTGACGGCAAGTACAGGTGCAAGTACGCGCGCAAGCCTAAGGTATAATCGTGCCTGTCACTTGTCTCCATCTTGCTGTCTCGTGCGCCTGTTGTCTGCCCGCTGTCCTGCTCGCCGACTGTCTCGCTCGCTGACCGTCTCGCTTGCCCACTGACTGACTCGCCCACCATCCTTGGATCAGACTTTGTTATGTCCAAACTCACATCTTGCCCACGCGCTCTCTCGCCCACGCGCCCTCTCGCATGCGCTCCCTTGTACGTGCTCTCGTCTACTCGGCCAGCTTGCCACCGATTCACCCACGTGATTGCCCGTGTAGCCGTTCATGTGTCCATTTGCCGCGGACCCGTGGTGGACCTACCTGGACCCGTGCAGAACCCGTACCCGCCGTCGCGGGTCAGTACCCGGGCCGGGTACGGATCCAGGTCAAGCTCAGGGCACCTGCGGGTAGACCCCTGCTCTGCCTAGTACTACTACTACTACGGTACAGGTACGATGCGTGCGGCTCTGGCTGCAGGTGGTGTTGCTACTGCGTCACTGGGGGCGCCCACTGTCACTCTAGTACAGCTAGCTGGTATGCGATCCTTACATTATATTGTGGACATCATTACTGATGATTGTCGTGTTTTCTTCAGGTGATTGATGTATCATGGCAGTTAGACGTAGACAGTAGTTACTTCTGCATGTTCGCTTGACCCAGTGTTGTGTAGAATACATAGTATGCATTAATGTTTGCTCTTCAACAAAATGCGGCGAGATATCCAACCGTAAAATGCCCACGAATAACTTCTATGTGCTGTGGAATACGTACAAAATACTCAATAATTCCGTAGTAATATTGAGCATCCAGACCTGGGACCCATGGACCTTAGCTAGCGTAGCGTATTACTGGAAGCGACCGAATGCATATGATTATTCTTAATTATGTGGAATCCAGAGTAATTACTGCTCATTCACAGGAGAGTTTTTCCTGATGTGATGTTCGGGATGTACAGGAAGGAGTCAGCGAAGGGCAGCGCCGTGAGCTGGTCGTTCTTGTTGAAGGTGCCCTCGAAGATGTCGTAGCGCAGCTCGCCGGAGTTGGTCAGGATGATGTTCGGGACGTTCATGCGTGTGTTGTTGATGGTGAGCACGTACGGCAGGGCCTACAGTGGTGTGAGCGGGTGTAAATCAGGAATACCAGAGGCCTACCTCGGAAACCAGAAGAGAAAGGACAGAGCCGTTTGACGGGTAGGGATCGCTGGAAGGTATAACGTCGGCTGAGATGCATAGAATTGCGGCACTGTCCGAGGGAGCTCACCGAGAGAGGGTGTAGTCCTGAGGGGCCGTGCCGTACAGGAAGCCTAGATCATACGTATTCCACAGCTGCTGAAGGCCCGATGTGATGTTTTGACCGGCAGTAGTGTCGTAGGTACTGTTGCTCGTGTTCGTGTGGTACTACGTGAACGTGAGCCTGCCGATTGAATACGCTGACGACCTCTAACATACCTCGTATGTAACACGGTTGGCATCGAGGTAGCGCCGAGTGAATGTGATGTTCTCCTTCTCCGTGCCGCTGAGGTTCGCGCCTTCCGAGGCAAGTCAGCGACTATCTTGCGCTGCGCATAATCGATAGTGTGCGTACTCAACCAGCCAACAGTCTCCATGTAGCGACCACTCTCGAGGGCCATAGAACGACCGTCGAATTGAGCTTTGGCGCTGTGAATCACTTGCTGTTGGTCAAGACGGTGAAGAACTTACTGCAGTCACGAATGTGAGTGTGGCCTGCGATGGCTTCATGTCAATGCTTCTGCGCTGCAAGTCTTTGTAGAGATACGTACCACCGAATATCAGGATGGGCGTGTACTTGTGCACCTTGCGGATGGCGTCGTACACGGTCGGCCCTGAATTCCGCTCAGTAACGCGTCTTATGCCAGGAATGAAGTCTGCGTACAGTTGTCGTAGCGGACGGGCATGTGTCTGATATCCCAGGTTCAGCAAAACAAACCACAGAGCGAACACCGAACTACGCACCCTAGGAGCAGGAAGAAATCGGGTTCATCCTTGATGGCTTCAGTGAACTATTGAAGTATCAGAGGATATTAACAATCACGGCGCATGTTCATAACTAAGACGGACACACCCAGTCTTCTTTGACCATCTTGGAAACAGTCTGCACAGTCGTGTTGACGTCGTTGCCCGTGAAGTCGTACAGGACACCGAGGGAGGTCACGGAGCGACCCCTTCGACTTGATTAGCGCGCAGCGCTATACGTAAGTGTGATGCGATGCTCACTTCCTTGTCTTGAACTTGACGTATCTCTCTGCGACAGACGCACCCTGTCAATCATAGTTGGATGTAAGGTTGACCTTTGAGTCGGCACTCACCACCAACCGGAACACTCTTCGTCTCGTTACCGCTACCCGCGTAGACGGTGATATTCACGTTCGAAGAGAGGTACCGGCCGTTCCAGTACGGTGCGAAGTTCGTGTACATGTCGTACGTGTTTGCGTAGTCGTACAACTCGTGACTAGGATTGTCTTCAGAACATCACACATACGGCCTCAGCGAAGATACGCACTTGCCGATAGTGAGGACGTCGTACGGAAGGTCCATGATGAACTTGTTCGTCTCGCGGCCATCGACCTGGCCCAGAGGGAACCCATCCGACAGACCTGTGCCATCGTGCAGGTCACCGGTGTCGATCAGCAGAAGGTCGACGTCCTTTTCCTGTGGGGACCGTCAAGTGTCAACAAGCTAATCATGGATACGCGATAACAGTAAAGTCCATATCGCCGACGGCCCCGCGACTTCCAAACATACATTCGCGGGCCGCGGAGTCCAGCGAGGTTGATATGGAAAACGCCGGACGCAACGCACTTCGACTCGGACGGTCAGGCTGAGCCAGGCAGCCGCAACCTTAGCTACGGCGACCCGGGTCGAGCGGCGGCGCAGTGTCCGAATCACTGAATACCAACGTCTGAGGACCTTCGCTCCTATACGCACTTTTTGTATGGGGCCCAACGATGTGGACTGAACTGCGAGCGACACAGTGTCCAAATCACTGACAGCTAAGTCCGTTGGGCCCCACGCCTTCAAACATACATAGGCGGAGTCATATAAGATCACGCCGGACGCAGCGGATTTTGACAGCCAGGCAGCCGCAACCTTGCTACAGCGGCTCATATTGGGCCGTGCAGTATCCGGATCACTGGTTGCCAATGTCCGACGACGTCCGCTCCTATACACACTTTTCGCGCGGGGCCCAACGATGACAGCCAATTCCACGATGCTAGACCCCTCGTCGAGATGTGTGTACAGGAGGCGTTCGTCGGCCTTGGTATTTCCTGTGATGGGGACAGAGGAATACCATGACGAGCAATGTCGAACGCGAATCAGACCGAAATTTGAAGCCGCAGTCGACCGGCAGAGCGTGCGGATCACCTGCGAACAAGGCCAGACGAAGGCCCTCCGCCCTCCGCCTGTGCACGCATTCTCGGGAGGGTGTCTAGCAACATGGAAATAGCTGGAAACAGTCAGTTGCGATCAAGCAAACAAGATTCCAATCATGATGATAATGTAAATTGATCAACCACAGCGAGATATACCGTGCAAATGGCTGGATGATCTCACCTCAGCGATCGCTTTCATGTGCGTCACGAACGATGCGAAGTCACCGAAGTCCCCACTACAGCACCATACAGTCAGACCTCGTCTGGCTATGTACAGTATGCTTGGACGGACCTGTAGTTGGGCTCCGGGAACGAAAGATGCTGGTGACCCAAGAGCCATCCATGGCTGTCCGTTGTATGAATGACGCTGCCCACAACTTCTGGTCAACCCATATAACGTCTCCTAAGATATTCCCGCTACTCACTTGACATCCGACCACACCAAAGGCCGCGTCGGAGGCGTCAGAGGGACCTGTGGATACTCACGCTTCCTGTGCTCGTGGATATGGTTGTGTTCCTCGCCCGGACACGCGAGGACCGCCGCAGCGGCAGCGAGTGCGCTGAGGATCGCGAACTTGAAGGAGCGCTGCATGTCGACGAGCGATGCACATCATCTTCGGCATAAGAGGGTATATATATACCTCCGAGGCTATTAGAACCAGTTAGAACCACAGTCGCACGCGCACGTTTCAGGAAGATTGAGAACGTTATCGTGGGGGAACAGCGCTGCCCGCCGCATGGGCACCGCGGCACGTACCCACGGCATCGCTCTGGAGCCGCATGGTACGAGGTACATACACGGTGTGCTCAAAGTATGATGATACAAAGGTAGTAAACGAGACGCGTTCTCTTCTCTGTTGTTGACAGTCGTTCTGACTTTTGACATGGCCGGGCCATGCGTAGGGGCGATCCCCCTCAAACGTGCGCACTGCCGACGCGCACGCCTCGATGCCTCAGACGGTCGGATGTGAAGGATTCCGTGGGGCACGTCAGACGGTGAGAGCATGGTAAGGAGAATTCGTCGCCGGCAGAATGAGGTAACTTGGCGGGTATGGGTCCTCGCTCGATTGCGAAGGCTCGTCACCGCGTGGTTGTGCGTCGCCACAGCATGCTCTCACCAGATATATGGATACACCGCCAAAATTTCGACGGGTGGTGGCGAGGTAGTCACCGGCTTGGGGATACTACCTCAAGGCTATGTGTCGCCGGCATCGCCACCATGTGGACGCCAGACTTCATCGGGGATGGCTCCGGACCGGACCCAGTCGATGTGGTCACCATATATTACGGCCTGGTGTCGCCTACGTTGTAACCCATGTACGATACATGTAGTCAGAGTCCTTTCCCTTACCTGCATTGCCAGATGGTCACTGCCTGGCAATTTTGCTGATCCCCATGCAGCGAGTTCGCCGACTGTCACCTGTATTATTATATACAATATAGCAATTCATACAGCAGGCATACACACGACTGTTATGGTGGTGTACACGAAACCAGCAACCTCCTGACTGGCTTGCTTGCCACGAGCACGTCAGATAGGTTTCCATATTATTTGTTTCAGTGCTCCCTCGTAGCAATGGCCTGGTACAATAGGTGCCATTGTATCAGGATCTATTATGAATACCATGCGCAATTGGCTAATACATCGACGGCGACAGAACATGAAGCTATCCGCCCTCCGACTCGGAGTCAGGCCGGAGCACTATCTATGACAGCAGCACTCGCATTGCTGATAGCATGCGAGCGACCTTCTAAGATATCGTCGACCTCCTGCTGCAGTTCATCCACCTCATCCTCAAGGTCGTCAACCTCATGATCGTCCTGTCCATGCTTCTTGCGATCCTTGTCGAGAACGTGGCGCAAGCCCCTGAAGAGATACATGAGGTGTGAGGCGTGAACAGTGGTGAGCAATGAGACTCAAGTACGCACTTGATCCACTTGCGTTCATTGCCAGCAGCCTTTTTGCGCAGCGCCGCGAGCTCATCATCGATTCGGTCCCAGAAATGCGGACCACGATTCTCACGGACCATGTACACCGCACGCTAGTAGAGATGAAATGAGATCACCGAGCTATCAGCCATGATTTGAGTACTTACCATGAGAGCAACACGGGCACATAGCGGAACGCTGGCCTCGCACTTAGTATTCTTGATCAATACCATCGTGAGCTTATAGATGGTCTGGTGGTTTGAGGGGGTAATGCCTATGGTGCTCAAACGAAGCTGGCAGGCGGGACAGTCAGTTACCGCTTTTGCACATTTGTCAGCAGTGAACGTACCAATTTCTTGAATGCAGCTCGAATCGCGGTGAAGGCGTCCGACACCGCCTTAACGATCTTCTTCCAGTTAGCAGCATTACGCTCAATCCCAGTCGGTATGTCGAACCGCAAAATGCGTATGATATCCTGACCGTATTCATTGTGAGACGGTAGATCGTAAGACACGACTCACTTACCAACACATGGTTAACAGGGGTTTGACCTTTATACGCACTGATCTTGCTCGAGAGCATGACGGCGACAGCATAGTGGCTGATGTTGGTCTGCAGCTCCTTCGATGGCGACCAAGGAGGCATCGACATCATGATGCTGTCGAGTTTCTTCTCGAGTTGTAGTCCCTGCGAGTAGAGCTTGACTTGACGCGTGCCCGGGTCGCTCTAAGTGACGTACTGTCAGCTCGTCTTCGGTATCAGAGGAGGATATAATAAGGATTACCAATGCGAACGACTCCAGCTCAGCCTGCTGCTCGCCTCGGAGCCCCTTGCGTTGGCCGTACCTCTTGGCATAAGCCAATTGATTGCCAGAGCTAGTCGTGACAGCTGCTACAGTGGCCTCCACAGTGGCCGCGTTCGCTGACAGTACCGTGGCAGCAGGCTCCGAGCTTGAAGTCAGACCTGGTTCATCCTGAGGACGATCCACGCCCTCGTCATCGAGGCCAGCTTGCATACGTTGTCGTTTGTTGGCGCGACGTGGTGTTGTCGGAGGCGTGTCCTCTTCCATGGCAGCCCTTGCGGAGTCGAACACGTCAGCATGGCCGTCTGCAGGAGAAGAATGGCGTGTCGAAGTCATGGCTCAGTCAGGCAGTGAAGGAGACGATTGAAGATGAAGTTGGTGAGCAAAACGGAGAGAGAACTTGGGCGGATTTATGTTCGGGCGCACCTCGCTGTTGATATATCCACTTCGGTAGTCTCGGGTTTAATTCGTCTTCAAGCAATTCAAATTGGCTTGCCACGCCCGACGAACAATGGCTGAAACGCAAGCTCGAGGTGACAGGTGAAGCTGTCAGCGAAGGTTGCTAAGCAACTGAAACTGAAAGAACCACGGTCACTTCACTTCACGACACACTGCAGACCGTCGTAGCGGACATTCTCCAGGCGCAGAGTCCACTATGCCTTCAGCCCGCAAGGCGGTCGCAGGCTGTAAGCATCTATTGACCGATCAATTGACTGTTTGGACTCACATTGAATTGGAGGTTTCACTGAATCGGAGGATGGCAAGAAGATACATTGCCGGGTATGTCTGGCACATGATCCTCTCCAACGCAACGCATGGATGAAACGCGAGTCTCAGAAGACGCACCTTAATTCTCTGGGTCACCGACGTGCTTGTGAAGCGGAGGATGCGGGGCGTATACAACAAAAGATGTCTGCTGCTCGGGCAGCCGCGGGGACAGCTGAAACGGTGACACTGCGTTCAGTCGATGTTTCCCAGTCTGGGCCCAGCACATATCAGGCTTCGTTACACCGTACCGTGGCAGAGGCTGCAATGTGGGATGGTTTTGAGAGGAACGGTGCTGACTTCGGAATCGATGACTTGGCGCAAGACACGGACACTGCAGCCACAGCCACGCGCGAGAGGCTTGAACGCGAGGCCGAGACATTCGGCCTATGGAATCCACGGCTTGCAGCTGCAGAGACCGGGTTTGGAGAGACGGAAAACGATGAGATGCTTAGAGAGTTGTTGGGCGACGATCCAGAAGGCGATGATATATTGGCTGAGTTGTTGAAAAACGCCGGTAAGCCTCGGCACCCTCGAGTTGGTGTTCACACTTTAACTCGGGCGTATAGCACTGTTGCATGACGAACCTGAGATAAATGGCCATCCTTTGGATCAGCCCGAAAACGCGGAGAACTCATCAACTCGTTGTTGGCTTCCATATGAATCAAAAGTGGTGAGTATTCCGTCAGGAGAGTCATACATACTGTACTCACATTTCTTCTTTGTTCTTGTCCGACCTTGCAGATATTTCTCTTGGACTTGATTGATAATCTTCCCCGCCTACGGATATCAAGCTCATTGATGCGTGTCCTATTGTGGGTTCTGAAGGAGATGGGAGTGCGCGATGTACCATCCTTGGATCGGCTGCGAAAGGTGCAGAAATGGCTTCGAGGCTCGAGCGGTGTCGCGTCGCTTGATTGTGTCTCAGTTCGTGGCAATCGGTTCACAATCAACGACCCTGTCGAATTGGTCGCAAAGGTGAGGTCTATTTGTACTGAGAAATGTTGTCTGAGCACGAGTTGAATTGCTACTATAGGACTATGCAAATCCACTCACCGTTCCGCACCTTGAGCGCTACATTGTCGACCCATGCGGGAAGATCAGTGAAGTCTATCATGCCCAGAAATGGCATCACGACGTACCATCACACATCCTGAGTCCTATGTACAATGACCGGCAGCGAAATCAACACTTCTATGTCAACGAGTTGGCTTGTATGCAAGATGGGACCTTTGTTATACCCGTTCGGTGGGTGATGCGAAGCGCAGGCGATCTCCGAGCTGACGCGTATCGCGTGAGCATATCCTTTGTGAGTCGATAACTGAATGTGTCGTACATACCTGTTGATTCAAGTTGGTCATATTGTGTGATTGGACGACTAGGATGGGATTGCATCTGTGCATGATCAAGATTCAACAGAGTCCATCAAAGCATGCGACCTGGCGGAGAATTACCTTTCGCTCGAGGAGAGTCAAAAATTACCCTCGCGCTGGAGCAGTACGTGATTCAAGTATGACCGGAGATCTTGATGACGACTCCGCCTCTTCCAATAGACTCTGTTGATGCCGAATACCCAGCAAAGATGCCAAACCCTCTTCGTGATATTGCCAAGGGACGCCCGCTCTACACCAGCTTCATCGACTATTTCAGCGACGATGTCTCAGGAAATCGCTCAAAATCCTGGAACAAGCACTGGAATGCGTACATGACTCATCGGAACCTTCCGCGCCGTCTACTTCAACAAGAGTTCCATACTCATTTTGTGTCGACCTCGCAGCATGCAAGCATCGCGGAACAGTTCTTCGAAGCTAAGAAGCGAGCGCAAGCCGTTCCAGCTCTTGCGAGGGCTCATGGGCCTCAGGCCTCCATGCGAGGAGGAGTCTTCTAGGTGAGGAGGAGTTCCTCAACAGGAGGAGTCCATCTTCTCGTCTGCACTGTCGCGTCACCCGTTCTCTTTTCCGATCCTTTCATCATTACGATACCTAATGTCTCTGGACTCTTCATGGACTACTTCTGATTCTCCTTTCCCGTTTATGCGATACCTACATTATACGCGATACCTACAATTTCTTATGTTTCCCCCTACGTATTTCACGTTCCCCTCCGTCGTCTCTCTCGTCATTCGCGCCGAGGAGGAGTGTTGAGTTCGCCCCGCGATCTCGATCTCCGCCACCGGGCACGTGACATACCGCCGGGGGTGGTTCGTCCGTCTCGTCCTCTCCCCTTCTCTTTCCTCAGTCGAGTTGTTCGAGACTGAGGTAAGAATCCACATCACTATACTGTAGCACTGATACTGACTACCTACGAAGCGTCTGACCGTATCGTCTAGGTAGATCAATCTTAGTCGAGTTGTTCGAGACTGAGCGTCTGACCGTATCGTCTAGTCTCTACATGTAGAGACTAGACGATACGGTCAGACGCTCAGTCTCGAACAACTCGACTAAGATTGATCTACCTAGACGATACGGTCAGACGCTTCGTAGGTAGTCAGTATCAGTGCTACAGTATAGTGATGTGGATTCTTACCTCAGTCTCGAACAACTCGACTGAGGAAAGAGAAGGGGAGAGGACGAGACGGACGAACCACCCCCGGCGGTATGTCACGTGCCCGGTGGCGGAGATCGAGATCGCGGGGCGAACTCAACACTCCTCCTCGGCGCGAATGACGAGAGAGACGACGGAGGGGAACGTGAAATACGTAGGGGGAAACATAAGAAATTGTAGGTATCGCGTATAATGTAGGTATCGCATAAACGGGAAAGGAGAATCAGAAGTAGTCCATGAAGAGTCCAGAGACATTAGGTATCGTAATGATGAAAGGATCGGAAAAGAGAACGGGTGACGCGACAGTGCAGACGAGAAGATGGACTCCTCCTGTTGAGGAACTCCTCCTCACCTAGAAGACTCCTCCTCGCATGGAGGCCTGAGGCCCATGAGCCCTCGCAAGAGCTGGAACGGCTTGCGCTCGAGCGCCTTCGTGAAAGCGTCGGCGACATTGAGGTGAGACGGGACGTATTGGATAGCGATCCGCTTGGCGAGGACGACTTCGCGCAAGTAGTGCCACTTGATATCGATGTGCTTCACACGAGAGTGGAAGGTGGAGTCGGAAGAGAGGGTGATGGCGCTGGTGCTGTCGACGCGCATGAGGGACGCCGAGTGCTGTGGAAAACCAAGGCCGTCAAGCAAGAAACGCAGCCAGACGCCTTCTTTCGAGGACTCAGCGGCCGCAACGTATTCCGCTTCAGTCGTGGAAGTCGAGACCGTAGGCTGCTTCCGCGCGGACCAAGATATGACGCCCGAGCCGAGATTCCAGCAATAGCCGCCTGTAGAACGACGAGTGTCGATGCAGCTGGCGTGGCTGGCGTCGGCGTAGCCGTTCAGATTAGCCGCATCAGCGCCGCCGAGGTGGAGCCGGAAGAGGCGCGTGCCCTTGAGGTACCGCACGACGCGTTTGGCGGCCTCCCAGTGGACTTCGGCATAGCAGTCGAGAAACTGGCTGAGGTGCTGAATCGCAAGCGCGATGTCCGGGCGAGTGCCGATAGCAAGGTACATAAGACAGCCTATGAGAGAGCGGTAGGGGAGACGCGCTGCACGCTCCTTGGCAGCAGGAGTCTTGGGAGCGTGCTGAGAGCGAGAGAGACGCAGGCCGGCTTCCATGGGCGTAGAGACCGGAGCGCAGTCAGGGCCGTCCAGGCGGAACTGCTTGACAATTTTGTCAATGAGGGCAGTCTGCGAGACGGCAACCGTCCGACGAGTGCGGTCGCGATCGATCTGAATGCCAACACAGAACCGAGCCTCACCAAGGTCAGCGATCTTCCAGACGCGACGCAAATCGTCTTTGAACTCCTCCTTAGCGGCAGCCGAGCTAGCCGTTAGGAGGAAGTCGTCGACGTGCACGCCCGTGAGGACAGTCCCCCGCTCTGTCTTGCGATAGTAAACGCAGTACTCGCAGGGCAGGCGGGTGAAGCCGATGCTCAGCAGGTGCGCGTTCATGGTGTCGTTCCATGTACGACTGCCCTGCTTGGTGCCGTAAATGCCACGTACCAGCTCCCAAACCCAGCTCTCCTTGCCAGGCTCCTCAAAACCCGGAGGCTGCTCCATGTAGCAGTACTCCTCCTCAGGTAGGACGCCGTAAAGGAAGGCAGTTTTCACGTCCAACTGCTCGACTTCCCAGTCCAGAGATGCGGCTAGATGAAGGAGTGCACGAAAGGACTCCATGCGCATTGTGGGTGAGGAGGTCCGATTATAATCCTGCCCGTATACCTGCTGAAAACCCTTAGCGACCCAACGGGCCTTGAAACGCACCGGGTCGCCATTTTCATTCCGCTTCAACCTATAAACGGGCTTGCCCTTCATGACGCGACGCCCCGCCGGAACCTGCGAGCGAGGGATGAGGCGGTACACACCCAGATCCTTGATGGACTGAAGCTCGTCCCGAAGGGCGGCGCGCCATTCATCCCGGAACGGAGACGCCTCGGCTTCCGCAAGAGAGGCGGGATCGCCCGGATACTCGACATTGAGAGGCAAGACATCGTCATTAGCCAACGCCGCAAGCGCAGACGCAAGGTCCGGTGCGGCGTCAGCAGACGGCTCGCCTACGTCGAGGTCGGAAGTGACCACAGGAGGCGGAGCAGGGGCAGCGGCCGGGGCGCTAGGGGGAATAGGCACAGGGATACCGGAAGGGGAAGAGGGACGCGGAGAGGCCACGCGCATCTGCTCCAGAGTGCGATCCAGGCGAGAGACAAACGGCACGCCGACGGCGGCCGCCTGCTTCTGCGAAGGCATTGGTAAGCGCGAGGAGCGACGTACCGGCGGCGGGGCAGGCGCGAGGGCGGGAGCAAGGACAGGAGCGGGCCGCGCAGGCGCAGGAGGGACGGCCGGAGCTGAACGCATCGGAGGCGCGTCAGCCGGCACAGGAGCGATGAAGGGCGGAGGCGGATCAGCAGCCACTGGATCATCGTCAATCACGGTGTCGGACGCCGACGCAGACGCAGACGCAGGCGAAGCTGGTGCGGGCGGGGCAGCCGAGGACGATGGCAGAACACCGGAGACCGGAGGAACCGAGGGAGCCTCGTGCGACTCGATGAACGAGACGTGAAACGACTCGACCACCTTATGGGTCCCTCTGTGGTACAGCCGATATGTCTTCGAGTGCTGACCGTACCCAATTAGCACGCACTCCACGGACCTCTCATATATCTTGGGATTGTGGCGGTTTTGAATGAGCACAAACGCCCTACAACCTATTTCCCGTAAGTGTGAGAGATCCGGCTTCTTGCCGTGCCACATCTCGTACGGCGTGACGCCAGGCGGGAGGGAGCGAGATGGCGTGCGGACGGACAGATAGTTCGCAGTGACGAGAAATTCGTCCCAGCGATTTGGCGGAGCATTGGCGGCAAGCCGCATGGCGCGAGCGCGGTCCATGAGCGTACGATGGAAACGTTCGATGCGACCATTCTGCGCGGATGTATGCGGCGCGGTCGTACGCCATTGAGAGCCACGGCCCTCGATCCACGCTTTGAAGTCGTTGGAGAGCAGCTCGCCGTTGTCCACCTGCACGATGCCTAGGTGTTCCCCGGTCTCGACCTCACGAGCGAGGACCCACGCTTTGAAACGTTCAAGGATGACCTTCGAGGGCACCGGAATAGCCCACGTATGCGACGTGTAATCATCAAGAATGTTCATAGAATACAAATTGCCCAGAGCCGAGCGCACGTCCTGCTGCCCCTGCACGTCCACAAAAACGGTGCCCAGAATCCGCTTCGCCTTCTCCCCCACCCGTACTTTAGGAACTGCGCTTCTCGTCTGCTTGCCGAGAATGCAATGTTCACACTTTGACGGTGGGGAGAGAATGATAGGCATACCTGAAACGGACCCGAAGCGAGCCATGTCGTGGATCGTGCGGTGGTTGACGTGCCCGAGACGACGGTGCCAAACATCGAGTGTCGGCACACGGCCAGAGTACAGGGCGTGCTCGGTGGAGGGAGGCGTCCCATCGAGGGAATAGAGACGCTTGGAAGTCAACGTGCCGGAGGCCAGAACAGCCCCGCCCGGCTTGAGAATGCGGACTCCAGTGTCCGTGAAGAGCACGGAGTAGCGAGACGCCGAGGCACAGAGGGCCGAGATACTGACAAGGCGGACAGTGGCCTGAGGCACGTAGAGGACGTTCTCGAGGATGATAGAGGCGCCGCGACCAATGTGAAGGCGTACCTTGCCCACACCGCAGGCGTAGATGACGGAGCCACTTACCCCCCTAATGCCACGAGGAGAGATGGGTCGGAGGTCATGGAAATCGGCTTTACGAGGGGAGAGGTGCGTGGACGCGCCGGAATCGAACACAAAGGGTTCAGTCCCCTCAGTAGAGATGCGACGAGCCGAAGCAGGCAGCGGCGCCACCGAGAAAGCAGCAGGGTCGTCAGGAGCACGGCTGTGGGCCGTCCAGTTGAGAGAGACTGACTCTTCATCCTCGACGGACACCAAGGTCTCATATTCGAAGAGATCTGCCGGGACCGCCACCGTGGCGAGCCACTCAGGGGACGTGTCAGTGGCAAGACCGGCGAAGTCGGTTTCGGAAGTGGCGTCGCCCGAAGAAGCGGACTCGGCGGTCGACGGTGGAACCGTGCTCAGTAAGTACGCATGGCCGGTCTTGCCGTCAACGATGTATGCACGGCCCTGCTTGTCGCGGTCAGTACCAGAGGAAGAGGCCGCCGGCTTAGCGGAACGCTTCCCGGTCTTCTTGTTCGCGAGCACCTCCTCGCGACGACCTTCCATGCCGCCCCCGGGAGCCCAGCATTCCGGAGCTGTGTGGCCGTTCGGACGTGGGCACTTGGTGTTAGTGCACGTCTTCTGCGACGACGTCGGCTTCCCGGGCTTTGAATAGGCTGCGAGAGCGATGGCAGACGAGGACGCCTTGCTGTCGGAGAGGAGTCGTTGCTCAAGATCGAGGCGAGCAGCGATGTCGATGGACGTGTAAGGGATGCCCGAAGTGGCCGAAGCCGTGAGCGACGAACCAACCTGCGACTGCAGATGGGTGAGGTAGCCGTTCATGGAATTGAGCATGCCGATGGTCATGAAGACCTCGAGGTTCGGGATGCCGATGTGGAAGATACGTTCGGCCAGTTCTTGGAGGCGTGTAGTCGTCTCCGAGAAGTGTTCTTCGGCAGTGTAACGACAGGCAAGGAAATCCTGAAGAAGGCGGACCTGAGCGTATGCGCCAGGCTGCTTCTCGTGTCGAGCGCAGAGAGCGACCCAGAGAGCGCGTGCGTCCGTGAACCCAGCGATGAAGCGTTGCTCCTCTTTCACCGCCTTCGAGCTGAGCAAGGCGATGATCACCTGCTCGTTGCGTCGGAAGTTCACGACGGAGCTGGGGTCGTCGTCGACAGAGGGAGCGATCTCCTCACCGGATAGGTACCCCCAGGCGAAGCAAATCTTGAGAGAGTTCGCGATGTACGTCTTCCAATCGTACCAGTTGTCCTTCTTGCGGTCGAGGATGACTCCGCCGCTGAGCAGGGACGACGGGACGTGGAGGAGCGAGATCTTCTCTCTGGAGGTCGCCTTGAGATCCATCTTTATCGCCGGAGATAGTTCCGATTGCTTCCTTGGCGTTTTGGGTACCGATACCCTGGGACTCGAAGTCGGGGTGATCGTCATTGGCCGGTAGAGTGACTATATGCGGGGTAAAGGCGGGGTTAGCACACGTTGATGGGTGCCTCGAGGTTGTTCCGGGTCTGAAAAGCCGAAACGAAGTCTCAGGTAAGCGGGCGGGATCAAAATTACCGCCCGGGGCTCATAACCTGTAGAGACTAGACGATACGGTCAGACGCTCAGTCTCGAACAACTCGACTAAGATTGATCTACCTAGACGATACGGTCAGACGCTTCGTAGGTAGTCAGTATCAGTGCTACAGTATAGTGATGTGGATTCTTACCTCAGTCTCGAACAACTCGACTGAGGAAAGAGAAGGGGAGAGGACGAGACGGACGAACCACCCCCGGCGGTATGTCACGTGCCCGGTGGCGGAGATCGAGATCGCGGGGCGAACTCAACAAGTCATTGTTGCAGTTACCAGCTCACCGGGTGCATCCCAAGTCCATGTCACTGATGCAAGAAGCAGATCGACGCACACCAACCCCGTCATTGTCTTTGATGCCACAACGCAAGAGGAGGCTGCCCTTCGCATCTACGCAAATGCAGAGGCGTCAGACAATCCCGTGTCCAGTGAGGTCGCGTCGCACATAGGCGGGCAGGGGAATCTTCTCTGTCGGAAGTGTGATGCTGGCGGGACTGACAGAGAAAAGGAAAGTAATGATGGATTCGAAAAGCTTTTCTCCGTGCGTCATTTATCTCGGTTTTGCTGGGAATACACTTTGTGTCAGAGGTTGATTCGCATGATGTGCTATAGCCCGGCAACTTACGGAACAAGGATGCGATCATAGAGCAACTCATACACCAGATATTTGAGGCCTGTTCTGGAGTCGCAAAACGTGTTCAGACATCGCAGACGGAGACTGGAGTCAAGGACACTTACACGCAATACTTCATTGAGAAGATCATTGACGAAGCCCGCACCCTTCGGGATATGCAACCTGAGATGACTCTCGATGAAGTCCAGCAGTTCCTATGGGCGAAGCATGAGCCGAACATGAAGGAGATGCTCAGTCCGTTTCTCACCCTGGAAGGTCGGTCTGATAGAGTTCACGTCATGTGCGCTTCAAAGTCACTGACTGCGAGGTCGTAGGTTTCGACCCGTCGCAGGATACCCCTATCGAGCTTCTACACACAATCCTGCTTGGTCTAGTCAAATACGCCTGGCATCCGACGCACACGAAGTGGAACACCAAACAGAAACAGACATATGCTTTACGCCTCCAGGCAACAAACCGGGATGGTTTGTCCGTCCACCCTATTCGCGCTAACTATGTCATGCAGTACGCAAACTCCTTGATTGGTCGCCAGCTGAAGACAATCATCCAGACCGCTGTCTTCCATGTCCATGACCTCGTAGATCCAACAGAATTTCAGCTATGGAAGGTCGTCGGAGAACTCGCTGTGCTTTGTGGTTTACGGAGATATCAGAGACGAACCTCGAGCAATATCTGGTATGTAATACTTCTCCGTATGTCGCATTTCTGCTGCTATGACTGATCAGTCTGTATCAGGCTGATGTGCAGGTTGCGATTGCCAACGTCCTCGACGTCTTTGCAGGAATGGACCCGAGCAAACTGTTAGAGAAGATCAAGTTACATCTACTCAATCACATTTGCAAGGATATCCGTCGATTTGGTCCTCTGCTGAACGAGATGACAGAGTCCTTCGAGTGCTTCAACGCCATCTTCCGTGCGTGTTCTGTTCTATCAAACCATCTCGCTCCAAGCCGTGATATCGCGAACCAATTTGGCGACCTCGAGGGCTTCAAGCACCGCTTGACTGGTGGGTGGTGGGCCGACGATGAAGGCGGATGGATCCGTGCTGGGACTGGAGTACGGGACTTCATGCAGACGCGCCCCATGCTCCAGACACTACTCGGGTGGTCTGATCCTGAGGGGCTCGCACCAGGTACGTTGATTCTAAGCTGTGATTATGTCATTGAGTCGGGTTCGACAGCTGCGCTCATACTCTATCACAGGCACTATCAAGCTCGCGCCTCTTCCTGCTGGTTGTCGCCACCGCCCGGAAGTCAACCTCCTCGAGACTGACGCCGCGCATGCGTTGAATCTCGGAACGTATGAAGACACAACTCGCTGGCTTCGTTGCACATCTGCCGTCTCACAGAGCAGTGACGAATGCTTCCTACAGTCGTGGATATATGCTGACTCCCCAATCGATGTACGTGTTATGTCATTTTGCGATCATGGTCCTTATCCGAGATGATCATCAGGGACAACCAATAACTGGGCGCATTGCTGGCATCTTCGCGCGTGGTATGCCGAACGCCGAGGAAGCAATTGCTGTCCTTGACGTATACCATGTCTCGTCTCAGCGTCATGATGTCTATGGCATGCCTGTCCTAATCCGGCGGCAAGGAGAGGCTCAATCGGTGATTGTACTCGTCAAGGTGTGTCACCATATCTGTCGCTCTAACACTATAGAGACTGCATAGTACTCATAACTCGACGTAGAACCTCAAGTTCAAGTACAACGTTCAGCACGACTGCGCAAATGGGAGATGTTCTCCCAGTGGCGCACGGCCGCGTATGCAAGAACGACGGGCCACAACAATCATGGAAGACTTCATTGAACACGGTGAACTCGATCATTGGATCATCAACACCCTCAGCTTCCATAATGCGCACTTGATACGGGACATGTTACCGCGCTCGCTCTGGGCGCCCATTGCACTCCACGAAGACCGAGAGGTCAAGCATATCGAATTTGCGACAGCCTTACGAGAGCAACGACACACGAAACGCGCAGCGCAGAAAGCGAAGGCTGAAGCGAAGAAAGCAGCAAACCAAGCCGAGCGTGATAATGGGATGGCAAACGGCGAGCCGAGTCGTCCGAGAAAACGCAAGCGACAGTCCGGGGTTGATATAGGAATGGACATAGATACTTGACTGATATCACTACGCTTACGTGCATGTAGTCTACACCGGGATTCAATGATAACCTGCAAGGTGTTTGCGTCACGGTATCGGGCTGTTTCGCACCCAGTTCACCTTCGAGCTGCAGGCACTAGCATATGCCTGGATAAAGCAAGGTCAGTAGCTGGCTCTGAGGAGAATTTTCGAACGGCTGAGATCCGCATCGCTACATAGTCAGAATGTATTCCTCATATGGGTACTGGCTCGATTAACTGCTGTCAGGCGTCCGATCCTCAAGCTCACGGAGACATGTTTCCCGGCTGGCATCCATATAGCAGCACAGCCGGTCACTATATTTCCAAAAACGGTATCTACAACGTGACGGCTGTGCTGTCTCCGCCCGACAGTCTACGTGGCCCTGGGCTGTCATCACGATATTTTGACTACGTATGGGAAATTTGGCGGTGTAGCCTTCAGTCCCAATGGGACTTGCATCCAATTCGTGGCTAGGTAGAGCTCACAGCAGACGGATGCACCGACATGTTGCACAAACGCAGCGGCAGCCACTTCTGCGACACGCATCGTGCGCGAGGTGCTGCTGGGCCAGTACCGTTACGGCGCAGAGATGCAATCCGACTCAGAAGCCTGATGCCCTGAGAACAGGCCATTTTTTCGAAGTCAAACCTGCAGCAATGTTGCGTGGTGCCTACCAGTATACGGAAGGTCAACGCACATCGAATGTCACAACTTGGGATGAACCTACCACTCTCTTTGCATGACAAGCAAGTCTATCTGGAATATCACAGGTCGTTAGTTACCTGCCGATCTGCGGAGGTTCGCGCCAATCGCTTCGTGTAGTTGAAGGTCGCTTTCTAGTGTATCCTCGCGAGAGGCTTGCATCATCAGCAGCCAAGGTGGCAGCTGGATAGTCGAGTCGAATGAGTATAAATATCCCTAGTCCGTCAGGCATTACAGCGTCGCTATCCTCTGCTGCATCTTCTCCTTCACCGTCATGTACGCGTTCATGATCGTCTGCTCGTTGATCACGATGTCCGTGCTGTCCGCCTTTGGCCGGCTTACGCGCGACGCGATGGCGGCGGAGTCGGTCTCGACAATGACGCTGGGACGCGACGCACGTCATTGCATCGAACGAGAAACTAGGGCGAAGCAGGACGCACCCGTCGTCAATCGTCTCGTCTAGACAGAGCAGGACAAGGTCGAGGTTCTCCAGCACTCCCCGCTTCTCGACCTGGTTCCGCAGGAGCATGTACACCGCGTCCGAGAACGCGACCAGTGCCGAGTGGAGCATAAGCTCGTTCTCGGCGGGGTCGCTGATGAGGTAGAAGATGAGGTCGAGCGAGTGCTTGTACACTGCGAGATGTGAGTCGTAGAGGATGATGTCGCCTACGCGCAGCGCAGTCAGCAGGGCATCTTACGGACATCGAGATCTAACGACATACCTCCCGCCTTCTTCGTTTTCTGCCAGAGCCCCTTCTCAAATGCTCGCTGCTCCTTCAACGTACGGAGCTTTTGTGACTCGCCCTGCGGGTGGTTCTTTGGGTGGTAGTACTTTGCGAGGACGCGGTGTCCGTCCGTGTCCATGATGATGAAGGCAGAGACGGTGTATAATGTCAAATTCATCGTGAGTTCTCCGCTGAGACGTTTCCTTGAGTAACTGCAATATTTGGAATGAATTGAGAACGCTATGAAGCAGAGTCTCAGAGTAAGTCGGTGGTGGCAGCGGACAAGAGCGGGCAGTGGACACGACCGGGCGCTTGACACTGGTTCATGCTCGACCACATCATCCACACTCTTTCCTCCGACGCATTTCTTGCTTGTCTTATCCCTGCTCTGCTGTTCTTATCCAGTCTGTGCTTCACTGGGTTCTCATCATTCTCGGATTTACGCCGGAATGTCACAGAAATCGTCACCGGGCGTCGACGAACGACATTCGGGCACTTCTCCGTCGAACGGGCTGCGCTATCCTACCAACATTATGGAAAGCTGTCGCGCGGTGAACTTGCAACGATGCGAGCGTCGTATGCCAAGATAGGACGCGCGCACAAACACATAGGATACGACCTAGGATACCCCGCCAAGCTCAACCGACTGCAAGAGGCCATAACGGTGAATACTAGGGTCACGGAAAGCATTGCGCAGCTTGCGAAGGAACAGTTCTCGGACAGACTGTCGCGCGTGGACTGGCAAGGTCATGATGCGCATGGCGACATCTCTCGAATACGAGAGTCGCTGAAGCATTTCGTACGCGATTGGAGCGAAGAAGGCCGGGGCGAGCGAGCGAGGATATTCGGACCAATTCTGGACGTTTTACAGGAAGCCAAATCTGCAGCTCGTCAGGAAATGAGAGTGCTAGTTCCTGGGTCGGGGCTGGGTAGACTTGCTTGGGAGATATCGCAGATGGGTGAGATCCCGATACTTGTTACGGTGTCTACGAAAGTGACTGTTGTGATGCATGTATCAGAGTGCTGATAGATGAATTCATGCGCAGGCTACGTTGTCACCGCGAATGAGCTTTCATTCTTCATGAACCTCGCGTTCCGCTTCCTGCTCTCTGAGACAACCACTCAGCACGTGAACCAACACACCCTACAGCCATACGCCAGTTGGTTCTCACATCAACGCAGTGTCGACACGCTCTTCCGAGATGTTGCGTTCCCAGATGCTCTACCGCGACTGTCCAAGAACCTAGAGCTCGCGGAATGCGACTTCCTCCGCCTCGATCGGCCTGCAGCGCCACCCATCGGTAGCTCACCTGGCTACGACTTCGTTGTCACGCTGTTCTTCATTGACACCTCGCTGAACATCATCGAGACGCTAGAGCACATCCATCGGCTACTCAAGCCAGGCGGGACGTGGATCAACCTCGGACCGCTCCTCTGGACTGGTGGAGGGCAAGCCACACTGGAGCTGAGCCTGGAGGAGGTGCTGAGACTCGCAAACACGATAGGCTTCGACGTAGCCTCGGACGCGGACGGCCCACGACGCAGCCGCACGATCGAGTGCGAATACACAGCAGACCGCGAGGCAATGATGCGATGGCTGTACCAGGCGGAGTTCTGGGTCGCAACCAAGATGCGATAAGAGGTGACTGTTCTTTGTGTGGACTGCATGGCCTTGTGGCTGATTGTTGCATAGCTGAGGTCCGAGCGGCGAAGACAAGACTCGTCAGTGGCACAGGGCACGTGAGCGTTACATTGTGTGGGCCCAAGCGTATAAGGCTACGCTTTAGCCCCTCTCTACTGTCGACCCGCTATCTAAAGACTGCCGCAGACCTGTAACGTAGAGCCTCCCCAGCCATGTTCGCCACTTACTACTCCCACTCTATGCTGCCCGTCAACGACCCGCCCGCTGAGGCGTTGTTCTCCGGCTACGCCACACCCGACGGAGTGCACAACGAACGTCTGTCGATCAAGATACCATCGAGGCAAACACTAGTGCAAGCGCGCCCGAAGATCGGATTGCGTAGGTCCACGTTTACGCCTTCGCCCGAGCAGACGATGGAGGACATGCCGGCGCAGCGCGTTGAGCCGGAGAGCCCGCCTCCTGCGCCGACAGCCAGTGCACCCGCGTCGCCAAATCGTGTATATGGCCGCCCTCGTCGTCCGGGGGCGTCTCCCCGTCAGGGCCGACGGTCGGGTCCAGGTTCCCCAAGTGCTAAGTCTGGTTCATCGATGGTGAAGCGTGTGGAAGTGTTCGAGAGCATAACATGTATGCCGCAGCTCGTTGCAACGAGCTTTGAGGTACGCATCCGATTCACGACGATTTTGACTCGACCCTTACAATCAGGGTGTCGTAGGAACTCCGTCTGGAATGCTATCGACTCGGTTTTGTTACGACCGGGCATGCACCGATGCCTGTGACGCCCGAGTCGGCGCAATGGGACACTATCCCGCCGTTCTACTCCCCGTTCTCGCAAGAGGCCTTGGACTCTGGTTTCGTACCAGAGCAAACAGATGTCACGATGACTGATGAGGTCAGTGGCTGTCCTCCAGCAAGTTTCGTCAGGGCTCACTTGTGTATCAACTCTGCAGTCAACTGGTCCGTGGACATTCACTTTCGGTGTGCCAGACACTAGCTCAGAAATCGGTGCGAACATGGAGTTCTAGCTATTTTGGTGCGTTTCGCGCTTCATTGGTTGGTGTTGCCGGACGTCGTGGCCCGGGGCACTATGGTCTGTAGCTGGTTATGATATATAATTTTCTTGTTCGATCTCATTGCGTGAACTGAAATGGCGGTTCGATGCCGTTGTTGTCACAGCGAGGGCAACTCGTTGTCAGTTGTGATTTATGTCACTCGCACTGCTTGCTATTGGTAACCCTCACCGTGCACACGCAGCGATGATTTCGTGGGGCACTCGCCATTCCTGTGTTCCTGTGCAAGGTACCCTTCTTCAGAGCCCAAGCGTGGCATGAACAGTTCGAGAAGTCCCCATTGACATGCTTCATTCCTGCGGGCTGTGGTCGTGCATAGTAGAATGCGCTAAGCTATTTGGTAGTCTAAGATGGGGAACATGGATGTGGTCGCTAATAAGTGATCGCATCGCAGTCACATCGGCTGATCATGCACCTCTTTCGTGCTCTCTGCGGCTTGTTCCCTTTCCTGAGCTGATGCACGGATGCCGGTTTGCTCTCTGGTATGTGCGTTTGTCAAACCTTGTCGTTACTTTCTGTCTTTGTCAGTAGGTTGCGCTCGCCGTGACCTGCGCTTCCACACAAGTTTGCGCTCATCCAGCCTCAGCGCGCGTGTACGAGGTGTTGGGCCATTTTGGCCAAACCTCCCGCGTTCGACGCGCGCCGAACGTCAGGGGATGTGTAGCACAAGAAGTAATATTGAGGACATGTTGACTCGGTCTCCCCCATCCCTCCACATTCAATGCTGCGTCGATGACTCGGAAAATATTGCAGCATCATTGCAGTGTACTGATGCAGCAACGACAGCAAAGCCTGGAGCTTGAGGCAAAAGAGGAAGACAACCTTAGCCTAAGGTGCTACCAGGGCTCGAACCTGGGTTCCGGGAAATTTATCTGCCTGGTTCGAGCCCTGGCACATTGACATCAAAATCCCGAGTGATAACCACTACACTATAGCACCGATATTACGATTTGTTTATGAGGACACATCAGCCTGTTCTCGCTCCGAGAACTCTTCACTGCAATTGATCGCGGGCAACTTGACTTGACTTGACTCGAACCATGCCCCGCTTCAAACTTGTCTTCTTCGTGCCCGTAGCGTCTACACAGCACGTCCTCGGACGCCTCTTTGAACGATTCCCGCGGAACGTCGGGCGGATCGGCGCGTACGGCGGGTGCGCATTCGTCAGTCGGGGCACCGGTCGGTAGCCGCATCATCTACACAGCAGGTCTCGAAGGACGCTGAATGACCTGTTCGATGCTTGACCGATAACCACTATACGAAAACGGACGACGAACCCCCGCCGTGGCTTCTCTCCTATCAGGGCAATTCACACCGCTCGACGGCGCGCACCCGGCGATCGGGGAGGTAGGCAGGCCGGAGCGGGTGGAGGAGGACCGCGTCGAGGTGGTCGTGCAAGCCGACTCCGAGGCGGATCTGTCAGATGCAGGTCTGCGGGAGGGGCAGCGCGTTGAGCTGCGGCGTGTGCTGGAGGAGCTCGAGAAGGTGCGTGCGGACTCTATAACTGCGCATGGTTGTTGAGCTGACGACGGTCATCCTGGAACAGGTACATCCGTATGAGGAAGTCGCGTACGATGTGTATAGGTTGGAAGACTTCTGAATCTGCCCATTCGGGGGAAGGCAAAGCTGTCTGCGGGGGTCTGCCCACCCCCGATAGCACTGTCTGCGAAACGCGCTGCGATTCATACATTCTCGAATGCATGATGATCAAGTCCACATTCAATTAATCGCCACAAGCAAACCAGTGACGTGCTAAGCAGTCTCGACTGCAGGCTCGATAGGAAGCTCTACGTGTGTAGATCACGGGTGCACAACTCCTGACGCGTCCTTCGACTCCCCGTGCCCGACGAGCTTATTCGACACCTCGGGGATTGCCCTGAAAAGGATGCCTCGTATGTGGGACTGCGAACCACGCCGCGGCACCCCCGTCGCACTGTGTCCAGTACGTCCAGTCTTCTGACACTTGACATGTGACATGCTTGACAGGTGCGCTCGTGAAAGCCGAGCTGTGAAGGCGCGACGCCGCCGGCCACAGCGATGTATGACTCTACAGGCGATATCGTAGGTATCGACCAAACGCGTTGCGTACGGGCAGATAGCCGCTTGCGATCACGATTCGGACGTTGTGGCAATCCGGTGGCATGCGCCGCGATCGAGAGACCGCTCGTGCGGACGGCCGTACGACAGACCGGTGGCTCAGTCACATCAGCAGGGTTCGGCTTCCTGATAGGCATCCCAGAGAATGCTATGGAGTAACAGGTCAGAACCTCTCGGGTTCGGAACTTGGGGTGGAAGTTGGGACGCAGCACTCGCGCTCGAATGAATACGCGACGAGCGCTGCCAGTGCCGGTGCCTCCGCCCAGGTCAGGCGCGTGCTCGTACTTGAACTTGACGGACCGATGTTCAATACAATCCTCGGCGGTTCATTCTCAGCAGACGGTGCATGATTGCTGCTTCTCGCGGCGTGCTGCCTCTCGTGATTGAAGAGACAGCAACATCATGACGGGTGTGTGATTTGATCGCTATTCCTCGTGGTACACAGTATCTGTACAGTACAATCCAGGCAGTCCTACACTTGTTTCCAGGTCGATGCTATAAATAACCCCATTGATACAGCTGGTGGCGGGAGGCGGACGGTGGCGAGAGCGTAACGGTATGTCGTGTCTGAGTGGCGGCGGAACGTCGAAGTCAAGGCGATGAGGGGGACAGGGGCGGTGGATGGGGAGTGCGGGCGCTGCGCCTGGAGTCAGTCCGCTCGGGCGCGGAGAACATACACAGGGGCGTTCGGGCGGTCCGACACGTTCGGTGTGGTACTCAGCTGCGACCCGGACCATAAGCCTGTGCGCGGGATGCAGCAAATCACAGCCCACTCACCACTCAGTGCTGCGTGTAGTTGCCCAGCAGGGTGCACAGGCTGCCTAGTGGGTTTGGACAAAGCTAGCGCGACATGAGTCAGGCTCGAGGGGAGGGGAGAACATGTACGGACGTACGCATCGATGACGGCCGCGATGGGCGTGCCGGTCGCACGGAGGGCGACGACGGTGGTCGCTGCGGCGATGGTCGCTGCTGCACTCGCGATGCCGAAGACGGCGAAGTAGTCTTTGCGCGAGGCGGCCTCGCCGCCGAGCGTCGGGTGCTCGATGATGTTGAAGGCGCGCATGGTGCAGCGTGAAGCGATGTTAGGAGTACAGTGCAGACGGGGCTAGAATACAAGGACGGAGAGCGGGGATGTCGCAAGGCGAGTGAGGAGGGCAAGGCCGACTGGGCGGGATTATATACTGCAGACCGCTGCGCCCGCGTACTATTGTGTTGGCCTGGATCATTAGCTGCCTTGTGGCTGGTACACAACAGTTGCGTCCGGGGCTCGTGATTGCGCTAGCGCTGCTAAAAGGGCAGAGACCCCTTGCACCCTCTACGATCAGCTTTCCATCCGGAACACTCGCCCAATCGGGAGGCCACCGCCGCTGGGCAAAGTGTCCTGGATTCTTCGAAGCCCTGTTCAGTTCGTGCGTTCCTTCGGGGACACAAGCTGGTGTCTTGCGGTGGAAGCGCCGAGGGGCTTCCAAGTTTATGACCAGTCCCTGATCTCATTCCCCTGCAGGAGAGGATCGCCGAAGCGGGGAATTGTCCACATCGAGATCAGGCCGGTGCCTCCAGATTGCATCGTGTGCGTCCGGCTAGTCCTGTTTGAACTAATACATTACTTACTACGGCAAATGCAATGGACGTAATACGTAGCCCTGTGTAGGGTGCGTGCACGCTAATGACTTCCGGGGGCTCGCAAATAATAACCGATGCGGCCATTGTAGACATCGGAGCGGGCCTGCGATAAGTCCGTACGATGTTCGCAACTTCTCGTCCACATTCCGAAGGACATTGCGGGGGCCGTGTGCATCCCATGAACCTATGACGTATATAATCAAGCGATTCCGGGACATTCCCGACTTAGCACGGCTCGCGGCAGCGCATCAGACGCGAAACACAATTCTCAGTTCAAGATAAGAGAAGGGCGAGATGCGATGCCGCTCTTCCATCTTCGTCATGCAAACTCATCCATCTGTTAGACCCCGAGCTCAGTAGTCTTTGTGGAAGCGGCCTCGCCGCCGAGCGTCGGGTCGATGATGTTGAAGGCGCGCATGGTGAGGCGTGAAGTGATGCTAGGAGTACAGTGCAGACGGGGCTCTGAGGATACAAGTACGGAGAGGGGGATGGTCGTAGGGGGGCAAAACCGACCGGGTGGGATTATGTAGGATTATATAGGATGATATACACCGCCCGAGTATTACTGTATCAACGGTGCCCAGCCACTTGTAATTCACTAGTCAATATTAAGTATATTCAATCACTGGAATGACTGCTGGGACTTGTAACATGTAACCACTGGATCAATCCACTCATCGTAGACTCGCAAGCCAGTCGATGAGACGCTTGTTCTTTCTTGGACACTCCTCTGTTTGGTAACTTTTTTAGCCAAGAAAGGTAACCGGAGTGCGAAAAGTGCCACGACGGACTTTAAATCTCTTTACGCCAGAACGGCTGGGTACGAGCGTAGAAATACTATGCTTGCTTCGTTCGCCCGCAAATACAGTACATACTATGTAAGTTACAAGCAAACTGTTGTCCCCAGAGCTTCACGTCGTTCGTCTCTTTCTTGTTTCCCCCCGCCCCCATTGAACGTTGAACGTTGAACATCGACGAGCTACAGACACTGCCAGCGCGATGCCTACATCTCACGCCCGGTCGTCATCTATCCGGTCAACATGCACCATTTTGACCTGTACGTCTGCAGACTGGGACGAAGTATACAACGATGAGCACATCAACACCGACGTTCTCTCCAGTGAACTGGTCAAACTGATAGGTCAAAATGGGTGCCATCACGAGGCGCTCGTCTCGGCCAGTCCCGACAGACTCGTTGAGTCATTCGCCTCGACAAACTCCTCAAAGGGATGTTGCAGCATGCTCCCACCGCTGCCGGAAAACGCTATGTCGCCATTGCCCTTCATATCGCTCATCAGAAAGGGGAAGAAGCCGTCGTTAACCTAGCAAGAACTTGGTTGCAGTCACTCTTCCTTCGAAGTGAGTCGTAGTGTAATGTAAGCTCTGCTTAGCGTCGCCAAGTACACCACAATCCCATAGTGATGGCACTCGGTATCAAGGACGCCCACGTCCAACCCAGCAGTAGCCAGACACCAACTCTACACCGCACGGAAGAACAGACCGAGTCCAGCACTCGATCTGACCTGAAAACGTGTGTAGCTGCGCATCGACCGTCTACCTGTCAAGTACTGACTCTTCAATATTTCAATCTTCAATTAGCTCCAACAACGTGAACAACACCGTTGTGCGATAACACGCGCCTTCGACTCCGCGCGAGGTTTTGAGCTCATGCGCAGCCAGGACATACCCCCCGGGTCGTCATTTCAGTACATGGCTGCGGCGCACATCATCCCATTTGTGCTTGATGACTTTCGCGATGACAACAGCCATGAAGTTGTGCGTGACATCGTGATCCTTCGTGTCCTCTTCCGCCGTCTGTTAAACTGCATATCATCAGTACGAAGCCGCGAAGACTTGGGATATGCTACGATCATGTACATCCATCGGCATTGACAGGCTAGCAGGATCAAAGATCACCACGCCTGCAAACGGCGTTTACATGTCGACACACAATCATCACCTCTTTGGCAGGTTCCAATTCTATTTCGACAAAGACGCCGTCAGTCCTCCTCACCTGCAATATTCACCGACACCGACTGAGACCCTTGCCACGCAAGTTCCCGGATGTGCCGAACAAGCACACAACGCGAATGCTCGCGCAAGGCCATCTCTTCAGCAATGGCCAAGGCTCCGCCGACGTCGAGTTTCGGGCACTGCCCGGGATCGAAGCCCCGGATCCTGAGCTCCTCCGAATCCATGCTGCGTTCGCGCAGGTCCTCCACTTGTGTGGTGCTGCCGACTTCATGAATGAACATTACCGATTTGATGAAGGTGACGTGACCTTGTTCATGCATCCAACGGAGGATTTTGGACGACAACTCAGCGCGAGATTGGCCGTACTTGCATTTTGAAGAACTCGCCGTCTCCTGGTAGCTGGTAGTTACTCCGAGTCAGATGTCTAATATGCCGTACTATTAACCGCCGTCTTCTACAGAGATGCGCCCCCTTTCACTGCCACCGAAAGTGCCGATAAATTTGCAGTGCGCGTACTCACTCTGCATGTCTAACAACTCACCTATCTGCAACCGGTTCACTCGGCGATCCAAGCTTGCAAGATAATCGCATAAGGAGGACGAACGTACTGGCGACTGTACACTAAACGGTGACAAACAGATCAGCATGAGTAAGCGAGAGACGCACGAGACACAAACGAGCGACAGTGGGCAGAATCAAAGTTCGAGCGGAAGAACAAAGAATGAATGGAGAGCACACACAGATCCCGAAGAACAGCTGACTCCGATAAATAGATCCCTGCAGATGTGCATGTAGAAGATACGTCATGAGCGCCGTGGTCGACGTCGGCACTGGGAAGGTGGCCCGCACAGCACTTGCACTGAGAACCCTGGCCAGCGTCCGGCATCGAACATCCGTAGTCGTAACAGAAGGGTAAAGGGATGAGTTTTGCGCGGGAGGCGATCAGAAGAGGCACACGAAGTTGCTCGGGAATACATGGCGGCCGGGCTGCCTCCGCTGCTCGTCGAGCAGTTCGCCGGACCACCATCCGTCTTCGGGCGTCGCAGTAACTGCAATGATGTCCCCCGCCTGGAAGTCGAACTCTTCCTCGATCGTCGCCTGGTAGTCGTACATCGCTTTCACTGAATCGGGTATCAGTACTCGTCGCTCCGTCCCACGCGACACACTCACCATAGAACAGGATACCACGCCCATCCTCTGTGTACGCCCCGGTCGGCGGCGGCGGCGCCTGCCCAGGCGGAGGCTGCGGCGACGGGGCCCTCGCCGGACTCGGCGCCCTGTACTGCTGCTGCTGCTGTTGGCCATACGGATCCTGCCCAAAGTACCCCGACGGCGTGCGCTGCTGCGACGGCACCACGCCCGACTGGTACCCGTTCGGCTGCTGGTACGATGGCTGCTGCTGGTGAGGCTGCTGGTACTGCACCGGCGGCGGTGGCTGCTGGCCGTACTGCTGCTGGGGCGGCGGCGGCTGAGGCGGGTAGTAGTTGGGTGCCGCGATTGTCTGCGGCGGTCCCCCGTACGGAACAGGAGGTCCGTGCGACGGCTGCTGGACGTGTCCCGCAACGGGCTGCTGCGGGTAGCCCGGCGTGTTGTACGTCGGCTGCCGTTGCACCTGCGTCGCAGGCGGTTGTTGCTGAGGAGGCCGGCCGTACTGCGGCTGCTGTGGCGGCGGCGGCTGGTACCTGCTCGCCATCTCGTCTAGTGCTACGCGACCTGTGGGGTCCAGCACGATGCCGACGCTATTGGGGCTCGTCGGGCGCTGGTGCTGCGCCGATGGCTGCGGCACCTGGATCGTGCCAGTGCCAGGGCGCACAGAGCTCACAGATGACGTGGCATGGTGCCCCGCGGGGGCACCGTTCATTGAAGGCGGAGGTACCCTACTCGTGCTCAGCCTACGAGCGTTCGGCGGCTGGGGAACAGCAGGGCTCGTGCTGCGCGATGGCGGCGCGAACGGCTGCGGGCTGGGACTGCGTCCTTGTGCACCAATGCCTGCCTGCCCGCTCATAGGCCTCGTCGACTGTATCTGGCTCTGGCTGGGGCTCGGACCCTGCCCTGGCAGCCCAATGACACTCCCAGGACGACTGCCCGGCCGGCTTATAGACTTGCGCTCACCAGGGAACGACTGCTCGTAGTCGTGCAGAATCTCCTGCACGGGCAGATTCCCCGATGGACCTACATTCGACGGCGGGAGCATGTGCTTCGGGTACGGGTTGGGCGACGTCGAACGCCGGTCGGACGCTGGCGGCGCGCCGACAACGATCTCCGCGGAGCGACGGTAGTCGACCGAGTTCCTGCGACCACTCCGGCTCGACCCATCCGGCGGCGGCGACAGCTTGTTCGCCGTGGCGTCCCGTTTCGTTGGCGACGGGGTAGAAGTCGGATACGCGCCCTGTGGCTGGTACTGACTCTGCCGCCGTGTGCTGCCTCCTCCCTTTTGGAGCGCGACCATCTGCTGGGCGAGCGGATCATCATCCTGCCCGACGTTGAGCGGCCGTGGCGCGGCTACTTTGCTGCCGCCCCTCTGTCCTTGCGGGTCGCGTGAGGGATCCACAGGGTAAGCCCGCTCACCGATCTTCAGCATCGTCTCTGCGGTCGGGTCGATAGGGTCCGCCTGAGGTTCTGGGGCGCGCATACCGCCTTGTGAAGGCGGCCCACGCGAGGGTGCGCCGGGTCCCGGGGAGACTGAATGGCCATTGACGTACGCGCTGGCACCGTTTCTGCTGTCCGTACCCTGAGGACCGACATCCGATCCATCTGTCTGCCGTCCACCAGCCCGTCCGACGCCCGTCATGTTGACAGGCGGCTCTTCCTCTTGTGGGGGTGGAGGCGATGGCGGTGCTTGCCGGGAGCGCTGGGTAGAGCGCACAAAGGCGGCAGGGCGAGTCGTAATCTGCTGCCCAGAAGAGGGGATCGTGTTGGGATTGGAGTAGTCCACGAAGACGGGCGGGTCGGGTATCTGGCTTCCTGTACCGTAGTCGCGCACGAAGTTCTCCATGTCTCGGTCGACCTCCATCGATTCCAGTGCAAGTCGCACCTTCTCACACGACTGCGACGCCGTCGGAAACGGCGTAGACACGAAGAGTTACCGCACGCACCTCGTCATCCGCCACACAGACTGTGGAGATCGCATTGGCATAGGCCCATATATTGTCCTTCGTGAATTCCATCCGCTCCTCCTCCATATCCTGGCAACTGTCGCAGAAAGCCTTCCAATCGATCTCCCACTTCCGCACTGTCTCTTGCAACGCGCGCGTGAAGTTGGAAAAGTCTTGTTCGTTTGCACGCACAGTCTGCCGGGCACGCTCAAGGCGCTCGCGCGTCTTCTGCAGTTCCTTGCCTTGCTCCAGCGTGCTCTGCGCAGTAAGCGAGTTGATTTTCATGCAATCCGACTCGTATTTCTCGCGCGCCTTCTGCACGTAAGACTCCTGCGTCTGCTTTGTCTTGAACTCGCGCTCAATTGCAATCTGGATTGTTTTCTTGTGATGCTGTTGCCTGCTCACGAAGGCCGCAGCTTGCGCCTCGAGCTCGTTCTTGATCTGCTGCGCAACTAGTTGGTGGTACCCCGCCTGTTTCTCAGTTTCGCCCTTCAGAGTATCCATCGTCAAGCGCATCTCCCTTTGTGCGAGCCTCAGCTATCGCAGCAGGACGAATGTGTGCGTCACCCACCCGATCTCGTCTCTGCCTAATGTGACCTTGGACAAAGCTGCCAACCGCTTTGCATACTGCTCCTCAATCGCAGCTCTGCATGCCCTTGAAGTCAACATTAGGTGTGTGAGATACAACTACGCACCTCTCCTTCCAGAAACTCCTCAGTTCCTCCATCGTCCGCGATGCGCCGCGCATGCGCGCGAACAATACATCGACGCCGCCATCGCCGAGACCCCAGAAGGCGTTACAGAAGTCTAGTGAACGGTTGGAGAACTCTGGAGAGTTTGCGCGTACAAATTTCGAGAGGGATGTCGTGGACGCCTGGCGTCGTGCGGACATGGTCGACGTTGGGAACCGTGCGGTTGGGCGCGCAACTGATGTCGCCGCCGCCCGTTCGAGGCGATACACGCGCAGACTCCGCCCTGGTCCCCAGCTTCCGCATTTGGCCGATAATGCTAGCGATGATATCCAAATGATATCAGCCTCCAAATGGAGGATGCGCCGAGACGCCCACCTTCACTGCTTGGTTATAACTTGTTGCTTGCGATCCAACTGAGTGGTACCCAAGTTGCCCTTTCGGACTGGTTGCACTGGTTGCCAGTAAGTACACCCGTTTTAAGTGCAGAAATTACTTACTATATCGGGTCGGGATCTCAGCCGGACTTCTCAGTCGGCCACCCAATGCATAGCGCAATAACGGCTGGCACTGCAAAGAAACCATAGTTTCCTGCGCGTACAAGGCTGTGATGAAATGGAAGCCTTTCCTCATACCTTCGCTGGCAGGGAAAGTGGATCACAGGACATCATTCTCGGCCTAGGAAAGGCCTCAAAGTCTGTTGTCCGCCGGGAGACTCGAGTTGAAATGAAAACTCCGAGGAACACACAAGCATATGTAACTTACCAGTGACCCAGGCTTTGACAGGGTCCAAGACCCTGTATGCGTGAAGATTCTGTGTCGAAATAGCCAAATACTAGATACGCCGTCGAAAAGTAGAATGCATGCGCTCGTCAGACTCGAGTACGAAGGACAAACGGGGGATTCGATACGTGAGTTGCACAAAAGGACTGCTTCTTATATACATTTGAGGATGTCATGTTTTGAGCTAATGTAGAAGCCACCCGGACGCAATTACCAAGACAAACTTTTCAGACTCGGAGTACGCAAGTACAGTCTGACGGATCAGGAAAGTGCCCTGCCGTATGAGGAAGGTGTTGTACGTCAAAACCACGTGAGTTCCGGCCATGATGTCATCCGTTCATCATCACTCCGGCCTGTAAGTTAGGCTGTCAGACATAGAGCTTGAGCGGGCGATCGAGGACACCGGGATAGTTGAGCTTCTATTTCCGAGCTTTCTATACTCGATAAAGTTCAGGTATGCAAATGAGTTAAGCTACTGTCCAGAGACTCAAACGGTGTGGTTGTCGAGCTTAATGGAATCGTAGGTACCGTTTTGTAGACTGCTTATGACAAGTTTCTAGGGCCGTCTATTTGTATTCATAGTTTGGTTGAGCAAGCAAACACGAAACATGATGGAGAAACGAAGAAAATGGCTTGAATGTCCTTGTCTTCCCAATTACAGGGACACGAACTCCGACAAACATGCAAAGACTCTGTATTCAGTAAGGCTCGTCGCTCGTCTGTAGTTGTATGTAAAAAGCTCGGAAACCCTTTGTCCCCTTTCCTCCTCCTTCGGAAGTCGGGTCTGAAGGTCTCTTTCGTCGTCCCCGCAGCGGGCGGACTCAGGGTCATGACCGATGCATACGGACGTCCATTCCGTACCAGTAGCATCGATTGGTAAGCCAGAACTCCTTCAGATTCAACGTTCTACTCGTTTTCTGAGTCGACAATAGAGACTTTATGAGTAGTTTACTCACTGCCTCCAACTCGGCTGAGTACGTACACGATCTGATACATCGGACGAGAGACCGATACGGCCCTAACCCTAGTTTCGGAGTTAGTATATGCATCGTTCAGAACAGATGTAAGCTTTGAGACAATCGATAGCAAGTAGCGAAGTCCAGGTGTCTACGGTGCATGTCCCGGCGATCAAAGACAGCGGAACCCCTGACCATAGGTAACAACAGGCCTCCACTATTCCATACACTACGCTGTGAGCGAGGTAAGCAAGCTGCAGCAGTGGCCTTACGTACCAAATCATAATGTCCTGTCAGAACTGGGCTCCTCATGCTGCGTCCTCGCCATCTCTTTCACCACCTTCACCAGCCTCGCCCAACTACCATCGCCTTCCTCGATCTCCTTCTCCAGCTGCACGGCAGTCTTCGTCCCCCACGGCCACACCCTCCTCCGGATCTCGCGCCGGACCCCAGCACCCGCGAGCTTGACCGACCGCTTGATGATCGCATCCGCGTGCAGCCCGCCCCACACCTCGTCGTGTCTCACATGTACGCCGTCCGCGCGCATGGCTTCCACCAACCTGCGCATGTCGTCCGCGAAGAGCTCGCAGTCGCTGTACTGAACCCACACGTCGACCGGCTTGCTCTCCGAGTCGTCGCTCTCCTCGGCACCGCCTGCGACCTTCTCGCCCTCGCTCGGAGAAGAGGGGGACGAGGAGGGAAGGAGGTGCGCGAAGGCGTGCTGCTCCGGTCTCGCGAGGGCGGGGCTGAAGTAGAGCGACTCGTGTAGGTGCTCGAGGTCGAAGTGCCGCGCGAGGGCGGGGACAGTGTGTTTCCTGTAGTACGGCAGTCGGTAGTCGGTCTCGATCTCGGGGTGGTCGAACCGCGAGAGGTTGCAGGCAGGCTGTCAACAATAAGTACTTAATGGCATGACCTGGGGGAACGGACAGATGACAGAAGACATACCGAGACAAGCGCAACAGCGCCGACCATACCCGGGCGCACGGAAGACGAGGCATCCGCGCGCAGCTCCCCGAGGTATCGCATGAGCGCGAGGATCGCGAACGCACCGGCGCTCTCGCCGACAAGGATGACGTCTGATGGACGGAAGCCCAGCGAGATGAGGTGCACATATCCTGCGAGCGCATCGAGCAGTTGGGCGGGGAACGCGGAGGAGGAAGACTTGGCAGAGCGGTAGGTCACCGTTAGCACGCGGAGGTTCGTTGCGAGGGCTAGGCCGTAAGAGACGGGGCTTGTCATGGGCTTTGTGCAATCGATGAGCGAGCGAGGAATACAACGAGGCAAGGTGGAACATATACGTGAATGCCACCTCCGGGAAGATACATGATGACCTTCTCTCCATCCCGCGCCGGACTTTCCGCGGGGACGTCGCTCCCCTCCGAGTCCCGCACGACCCAAAACCCGGGCACGTCCACCGCTCGCACAAACGGAGCACCCACCAAAGCCACGCCGCGCCTCCACTCATCCGCAACGGCCCTCAGCCTCACCGGCTCGACGCGCGTCCCCACGCCAGCGAACTTGTGTGCATACGGCTTCGGCCTCCATGCGTCCTCGTTGAACTGCGGCGTGTCGTCGCCCGGGGTGGGTGGGGCCTGGATGTCATCTTCGAGGATGACCTCCCGCATGTGTCGCTGGGCAAGCGAGAAGTAGAGACGCGCTGAGGAACAGACGAGGTCGAGGAAGAGGCCCCACGCTGGATGCGGTGGGCCGTGCGCATGGTACTTGACGGTGCGCCGGATCACAAGCCAGGGGAGGATGAGGGCGAAGTGGATGTGAGTTAAGACTGGGGCCGCCATCGGGTCGAGGGGCTCTTGAGGTGCTGGTAGTTGCCTTCCATCGAATGCAAGTGGGAGATTCTCGAGGCAGGGTGCACGGTGGAGTCCTGAGAACAACTAGCGCCATGTTCGTCATTGTCACACGGAAGAAATAAGAATACTGTAGAATTTAATTCAATCCGGCGGTCACACGTCACAAGGCCCCTCGCCGCACCGGAAAACGGCCCTTGTCACAGGTCACTGAGGGCCCCGCCGGTCGTGACAAATGCATATATTTTTCGCCGCCTCCGGCGGCGGTCTCCAGCACGCATTTTGGTGATGTTTTGAGCGCATTGACGCGCCGCCGCACCGTCTGCGCGCATGCGTCACACGTCACCATCGCCCGCGCCGCGCCGTCTTCAGGCGGCGCGGCCGTCACACGTCACAACCCGCGCCGGATTGAATTAAATTCTACAGTATCGTGATTAGTGTGGATGGGGTAGTATTGCGCTAAGTATGTAGACGTGAAACTACTTACACATCCGAAGTTACATTCTCAATACAACAACCATTCGGGACTGTAACGTCGTTCGGGGGATGCCGCGGTCTTGAGATGAAGTTACGGTTCGCCCTCTTCAACAATAAGTAATGTCACTTCAATCATTCCCGACCTTGATCTTACCTTCAATACTTGCAGCTGTTGAGCAGCACTGTGAGCGAAGACGTGCCTAGCAAGCAAGCACGTCAAGTCAGGTCAGGCTAGGTCAGGACGGAACGGTTGCGCTTGATGGAAGCGCCGGGAGGGCACTTCCTCAGTCCTGTGGCGACCACGTGGTCGAGTGATCGATAAAGGTCACTCTCGTTCGCACCGTGACTTACCACTTGCATGCACTTGGTCGAAATGGCAAAGTTGTCAATCATTCGCATACGATGCTTTAAGTTGTAAACTTCATCATCAAGAATTAATAGGTGTGTTCCATTTATTTTCGAAGTATGCTGTACCTGGCTGACTCCCGGGATTAAAGCAGTGTGTTGATCATGAGTGCGGTCGCCGGCGGGCCAGACTCGGTGGTTCGGTGGACCGAAAACGTATCGGACGGCTGAGAATCTGATGGAGGCATATGGAGGCTCGGCCACTGTGTGGTGGTAAAGCCTGGTAAAGCTATGTTTCAGCGTGTTGCACAGGTCAACGGACGAACGGATCACGGAACTTGCGCTCTTCGGGACGGTTGACCAGCTACGCAACAACGATTATGTTGTTGACTGCAATCAGGCATTCTCTCAGAGTCCCAAAATTGTCGCAAGCGGAAAGGTACCATGAGGTGCGAAGTACTCGAAGTCTGGGCAGTTACCCGCTCTCGGCGCGTACGGTCAATTAGTTGCACGACCTACATGGCAAGCAGATCAGGAGGCGAGTCGCCTTGCGTACCCTCATCCTGTTCCCACTGAACCAGTGACTTCAGGATCTTGCCCTTGCTCGACGCCCATGCCTGCCCCATGCCTTGACACGAGAACGTTATTCGTCTTGGCCCCGTCTTGCATTCACAAATGCTCGGTTTCAGATTAGCTGTACTATTGGCGGTGTCGCCGGCGGACCAGAATGGGCGTCGTGGCAGTGTATACGCTCACATGCTTTTATCGACAATCCCGCAGGTTTCGTCTGTCCTTTGCCTGATCTTGATGCGTCCTTGCTGATTGTATCCATCCCGGGGCAGATCTGAGGTAAGCAGGCGGTATCGCGCTGTCATTCGCGCAGTGTCTTGGCTTTCCGGCAGTGATCTTGACCGCGTTGTTGTACCATGCGTTCCGTGCTCATCGTCGTTGCAATGCGCACATATAAGAGCACGTACACATATCTCCTTCTCAGTTCTCAGTACCACGTAACATAGTCCCCCGGCGACGGTTGCTACTATCTTCGTCGGTTTGTGATTCTCATGAAGCTTTCGTCTATTTTATTTGGCCTGGCTTCGGCCTTGCCTATTGTTGCACAAGATATATATGACATTGTGAGTGGACCATACCTCTGTCTTTGGTGTACTTGTGCTATGCTTACGCGACGATTATCGAATGTCTGCAGTGGTCGACGACATGGCAGAAGGACAACCTCCTCACGTACAAGAATTTGGGGTCAAAGCATGTCAGCTTTGGCTCGCCTGGATCAACTGGCACGTCAGACATCAAGATCGATGACACGACCTACCACCAGAGCGTCGTTGGATTCGGTGCCGCTATGAGTGAGCTGCCAATGTCATGTTCACGCCACCATGCACCGACGATCTACCTTCAGCTGACTCGTCCGCCAAGCTCCTCAACGATCTGAAGGTTGGGTTTCCTCCGTGCACACAGGATCTACCAACTGATGAATGTTATGCCGTGTAGAACTCGAACTCGGACAAGTATTGGGCATTGCTGAAATACCTCTTTGACCGTGCGTGATCCGCTTAGTTCCGGAATGCATCCCACCAACTCAGATGTGCTCGCCCTGACAGCTACCGATGGCGCGGACGCAGCAGGCTTTACATACCTCCGGGTACCCCTCGGAGCCTCCGACTTCTCTGCGAAAGGTACACAACTCGCACAACGTAGCGCTATCCAGCTGATTCTCGCAAGTAGTCTATTCATTCGATGACACGAGCGGGGACACCTCACTGAACGACTTCAACATCGATGCTGCCCCCTCGTACCTGTTCTCCGTCATCAAGGACGTGATGTCGATCAACGGCGACCTCAAGGTCCACGTCACGCCTTGGTCTCCCGTGAGTGCCGGCCTTTCGTGAGTTTATGAGATACATAGTGAAGCTTTGTCTAGCCCGGGTGGATGAAGGACGGTGGGTCAATGAATGGCGGCAAGTTCTACACCAGCTTGTCAGACGTCTGTGAGCACATATATTGTATCGTTGTTGATAAATGTCCGATCATGATGCACAGTTGCGAACTATCTTTTGAAGTCCCTGCAAGGGTTCAAGAGCAAGGGAATCACCCCGTGGGCCATTGGCATTCAGGTGCGCAAAGCCCTTGATTACTCAAAGGGCAACGGCGAGAAACCCTTCCCCCATATACAGAACGAGCCCCAGAACAGCAACAATGGCTACCCCACCGCACTGATCGACGCGCATTGGGAGGGTGAGATCGGTCAGAAGCTCCGCTCGCTCATGGACGACAACGGATTCAAGGACACGCTCCTCATCGGATACGAGCACAACTGGGATGACGCCGGGGCATACCCCGTTGACCTTGTACGGCATATCCGTTTGTTTTGGGAACGTCTCGCTAACATTGCTTGGCCGCGTGGTATAGATGGGTCAGGCGGCGGACTCATTCGACGGCGTGGCGTTTCACTGCTACGAAGGGCACGTCTCGCAGCAGGAGACGTTCCACGACGCGTACCCCAACAAGAACATCTACTTCACCGAATGCGTGGGTCTCTTCAACGGGGACTGGTGGGGCGACGTGAAGGTAAGATTACGATCCTTGTTGCGTAACTACTTGGTGACGTCTCACATCTGTGCCAGGCTTATCTCAGAAACGAGTGCGTGATAATCGGGTGACACATACTAATGGAGCATAGGTTTACATCCCGGCAGCGTTATTGGCACTGTCAACAACTTCGCAAGGAACGCTGCATTTTGGAACCTCGTCCTTGACGGGAGCGGCGGCCCCAAGCTCCCCGGTACTTCTAGCTGTGGTGGAAAGAACCAGTGCCGTGGTGTCATCACGCTCAATAGCGACGGCTCTTACACCAGGAACCCCGAATGTGAGTACACTGAAGCTCTGCTCCTGCGTCGACCTTACATGGGTCGACCATCCAGTCTACGCCTTGGCTCAGATGTCGAAGGGCACTATCCCGAAGGATAAGGGCGGGCCGAGCGCACAGCGGATCGATGCCTCCGTAGGCGGCAATTCCAACCTCCTTGTCTCCGCATTTGTTACAAAGCGGTCATCGTCCTCCGACCAGTGGCGCTACAGCCTAGTCGTTCTCAACCAGTGTGTACCCAGCCCGCATCCTGCATGGAAAACTGATGTTCGTGACCCTCTTACAGAGACGACGACAGCAATGGTAGTTGGGACCCAACCGCCATCGATGCTACTATCGAGTTCAGGGGAAAGCAGGTGCGTGTTTTCCGGTAGTCGATCATGAAGTATTCTAAGGACGAGCCCGCCAGGCCAAGTACACGTTCCCTGTCGGCGTCACCACCCTCTGGTGGTATGCTGCCCCGCAATAGACGAGCAACTACTTCATTCGTTAACATTCACACTGTTCCAATCACAACGAGGAGTGTCACTGACGATGAAGCGATATTACCTTATCATGCATTCTTGATTGGGCTTGTGTGGTGTACTAAGTTGGCAATACAGAATTAAGTGTTGGTCATACAACGACAGTTACATTCAATGGCATGGCAGAAAGTGTAAGTTCATACAAAGTTCCCAAACACCGTGGACCTCCCGACCATCGTCCGACTACGCCGTCCGAACACTTCGCACCTGTATAGACGCAGAAGCTCCAATTCATCGCATATGCGCCCAATCGAGACATGAGAACGCTAACAAAGGTATGTCACATTGCATTCAGCGAAAGTCGACTAAAGATGAATGTAAGATACACAAGGGTAATAATAGATCAGCTCCACAGTATAGTAAGTCGGAACGAAAGAATGGTTAGTAAGTACATTGGGACATTAGACTCGCTCGTATCATGTCGTAGATTCATCAGGTCGTCAACAGTCGGGCCCTCAAAGAGGAAGAAAGGAGTTTAGAGACTTTCGTGGCAAGACAGCTCGGCCAGTGTTACGCTTGAGGCGCGCCACGCTTCTCCGACGCCCCGTGGTCGACGTACTTGCCGGAGCGAAAGCCGAACGCGTCGTAGTCGACAGCGCGGACTTGCCAGAGGACGACCGCGAGGAACACGGGCGCGGTGACGCAGTCGAGGATGCCGTACCAGATCATCTCCGCGTCGACGGTGATGACGTTCGCGCCCTCCGCGCACGCCCAGCAGATTGGGTAGGTGATCAGCATGAAGGAGAGGTAGCCCGCGGCGAGGTAGTAGCCCCGGCGCACGATGCCGCCATTGGCGAAGGAGGTGGACGGCGCGTGCCAGAGGAGCACGTACCTATCAAGCAGTTGGTGAGCCGATGAGGAGCTGTGAAACAGGAAGAGATAGCCCACCAGATCCAGAGGAGTGCGCTGCAGCCGAAGGTGTAGTAACCCCACTTGTAGGTGCTGTGCACGAGTGCACCGACCAGGCCGCAGATGACGAGGACGATGCTCATGAAGAGGGTCGTGATGATGTCGGAAAGCGGAAGGCCGGTGGCGAGCAGGACCTCAAGGAGCAGCAAGGGGAACGTGATGAACCATTGAATGTACCGGACATACTACGATGTGCTCAGCATCGATCAATGTAGGTTTTACTCAGACTTTTCAGATACTCACCCAAATCTGGCGGGTAGGGTCGCCACCGTCGCCGCGAAACTCGACAGCCACCGGCGTTGCGCCAAGATCAGACGCCATCGAGAAGTAGGCAAGGCTGGAGGTCAAGAGTACAACTGCGGCGATCTCATGGAACAGACGAGTGCCACGGGGTCTCTACATCACACTGGTTGTCAACGACGGGCATCGACTTGTTAAGCTACGCTATTGCTTACCATGACACTCCAACACAAGGTAGCCAAGAAGCAGACCGCCATCAAGGAGAAGGCCGCCCAAAGCCAGTCCGAAGCTTGGGTCGTCAAGTGTTCGATGGCATCCGGGGGGTTAATGCCGACAGCCTGGTTTCCGGCCATTGGTGAGCGGACTACTAGGCACGTATGAAGGGGGTTAGTGCGGGTGAGGGAGGATTGGGGGTCGTTAGCGAGTACTCGTGAGCGAGCTAGGAATGGGGATGAGGAGGAGGCCCCGCCAATGGCGTCTTATATACAACCACGAACTCGGAACAGCGTAGGATGGCCCCGGCGAGCTCAGTCTGGGTCAGTCGCCCGAGCGAACATGCTAGGACCATGCCACTGACGCACTACAGGGACACAACGGTGACATTCGGAGAAGAACTGTCGGACGCACATGTAGGCCGCCCGAGTCCGGTCGATGTATGGACTCGGGTCCGCACCACCGAGGCGGGCGACTACCCTCCTCATCTGACTTCCAGTCCGGACTGCATGTTTCACCTCCGTGTCTGCCTAACAGACATGCGACACGAGACCTGCAAGGAAACTATCAGCTGCCCGAGGGTTTGAAGTACTTAGCTACACGTATACACCGCCTTCGAGGTTGTGTATCCTGGCCAGCCACATAGTTCCGGTGAGCAAGTATGCAATTCGGCCGACGCGGGCGGTCGTGATAGGCCTCGGTGTGCTCTCGTTCCCTGACTGATCCACTACACACCTCACGAAGGTTCTCGGTGCAGCCGTCGCGGGACGGTCCTATGATGTATGTCGGCGAGCGTCTGGACTCGTCGGAACACCCCGGGACCGGGCTTACACTTCATCGACATCTGCAGGCTTTCAGCCAACTTTCAGCCGCTCTAGAGTCTGTACGGATGGCTCGCGCTACACACTTACATCTGTACAGTCTAGACATCAGCGATAATAAGTCAGACGAGACGACTAAGCTGCCGGGCGGGCGGGCGCCCGACCAAGGAGTAATAGAGAGCACAGCGAGTCCGTGAACGAGAGTGCGCGATAGCAGAACGAACGAGAACGAGGCCGACGCCTCCCGGCCGTGCGTGATGATTGAATGGTCAGCGTTTCGGGCGATAGAGCGTGTCCCAGACAGAAGGTTGTCGGCGGTAGGTGGCAAGCATGCGAATGACGTCGACGGGATGCAGCGCGATGCTACGAGCAGAGCTCACGAACCATCGCGCGAAGCATCCGCCGGACCCGTGTTCGCAGGCGTCAGCGTCTCCTGTGACGCCTCCGCGCCCAGCTTTCCATCTTCCCTGCTGCTCCCCACTGCAGTTGCGCTGCCCGACGTGGAATCCACGATAGCCTCCCCGCTCTGCGCCTCCCCCAGCCTCTCACCACCGTCCAGCTCCCCCAGAATGCCGTCCGTCTCAGGGTTCCAGTTCGCCAGCGTCAGCGAGAGCCGCGACGGCCGCCGCTCGCTCCGCGGCCGCAGCACCGGCGAGCGACGAGGGTCCGTAGCATGCCCGTCCTCGGATTGGCTCATCTGCGGCCACGACACGCGGGCTTGCTGCTGCTGCTGCCACTCGTTGTGGTACTGCTGCAGCGGGAACGGATAGCTGGCCGCGACGCCCATGCTCGGGCCAGGCGTCGGCGGGCGCGAGGACGGCGCGAGGCTGGGGCCGGGCGAGATGGGCGTGTTTATGCCTCCGTGTGCGCCCGTCGGGCTCGGCGGCATCATGATGTTCATCGTCATCGACGGCGGGCGGCTATAGGTCAGGACGGACGTCCCTGGCGAGCGAGACCGCGAGCGCGTGGGGTCGGGGGAGTGTGGCGGGCTGGTGGACATGGAGAGCTGCGAGCGGGGCCGCCCGACGACGCCATATTGGTAGGGCTGTGGTGTCGGGGGCTGTGAGGAGAGTGTAGATTGCCTGCGGGAGGAGTGGTCGGGCAGCTTGTACTCGACGTTGGGCGACGTTGGGGCGGTTTGGGACTCGAGGGTGTCTTGCTTGCTGAACAAGCGATGGCGCGCGGTCCTACGAGACGTGCATGAGGTTTAGTAGCCCTTGGACAGGTACATAGGTAGTGCGCTTACCAGATGTACCATATCGCTATCACGATGAGGATCAGCCCACAGAAACCTCCTAAGAGACCGCCTAGCAGAGGCCCAAGTACACTGCCAACGGCTGGGCTGGATGTTGTTGACTCGGCCGCTAGCGTGTGCAGAGTTCGTGAGCCGGCATTGCGCATGGCCAGGCTTTCGAGATCGTTGACGACTGTTGAGGGCTCATCTCGTGCAATGAGGATTTGGCCATGGATACACGCGGGAACCAGGGAAACAGCTTTGCTGGCTGAGAGGTCATACATATACACGCATTCGTGCACTGCGCAGGCGGGGTCTGATGACACGGCCGAAGAGATACCGACGGTTGAGTCGGGAACGAGTCGACTTTGCGAGCCGCCAGGCTCGACCTCAATGTCCAACGTTGTCGTGACAGCAGGGACCGGCGTAATGTGACATGATTCACCTGGTCAGCAAGAAATATGAGCATCATCTTGAGAATAAGGCTCATAGACTCCAGAGAAAATGCAGTGAACCACGAATTATGTGGAAACCATATCTTCTCTTGTTCAAGCGTGGCAGGGCATATGCCGTGACAATTCTTTTGCGATACCAAGGAGAAGTTCCTCACCAGTGGCCTTTTGCTTTTGAACTACAAGCACCGACGGAGAGGTGAATGTGCGCCCACCGCTGTCCTGTACACAGCCGTGCTGCGACATCGCCATCCCGACTTCAACGTCCAGAGACGGTGCCTCATCCACTGCATGCTGCGCTTGACAGAGTCTTCGCTCGTCCTGAGCCTCGTTGTCGATGCGTTCCGAGCCTGGCGAGCCTACCATCAAGTGCACATTTTGGCATAGAGCGTCTAGGTTAAACTGGTTAGCTTGGTCGAATAGTACGCTCACCACTCACTTTGGATTCGGAATGGACGTGGACTGCTCCTGAACACAGTCAAGTCGGCTCCTTGCGGTGCGTCAGAACCGCGACTCTCCCTCGGCGTGCGCAAACAGCATGGCAGGGCTTCTGTCTTCACCGGGTCCTCCCACCGTAGATCGCTCGACCCGGACGGGTCTCGCACCTGGCTTTCCCGCGCGTTCACGGCAACATCTTCCACGTCAGGCCCCGCCAATGCACATGCCATCCACACACGGCCGCAGAAACGAGCAAGGGGGAAAATGAGAAAGGCTGCTGCGCCGCCGACGCTGCCCTGAGCTCGATACGGGGGCGGCGAGTGTGAGAGCACGGATGGCGCCCGGATACTGGGTTTGATGAAGGCGACTTCGCTCAATGAATATTGCGCCTCGTGTGAGCTCGCAGTCAACTCTTCGGTCGGCGAATTTAGAGAAGAGAGAAGAGGGGCGATAAGAGAGCATCTTTGTCGTCGAAATAGCGGTGCCCGGCGCCATGACGGACAGCGATGAGATGAGGGACAGATTGCTCGAGGCGCGTCCAGATGGCATACACGCGCTCAGCCACCGCCGCGAACGCAGCGCAGGACTTGCTTTCGACCGTCATCTTCGAGCTCGCGCATCGTAGCCTATCCTGAACGGAACTTGTTGCGGAAATTGCACGCTGAAGCGTACGAAGTCAGCCAGAACGATATGTGGTCAGTCTCGTGTTCAGCGCGCGGAGGTCTGCTCCAGTTATTCTCCCACTCGGTCCGATCTGTCTCGCACGTCGTTCAAGCTTTGACTGTAGATATGCGAGAAAGCTGGAGCAGACCTCCAGCGACTCCCGGCGATAGGAGCTGAGCGTTGAAAGCCGTCTTGTCGTGCAGCAAGCATATCCTGAACGCCCAAGTCGCTATTCGAGCGCCGTGCTGCAAGCTATGGTTTGATTGCGCGGAATGCCACGCGGAAACGCAGGACCATCGGCTGAGGAAGACGACAGAGATGATATTCATGTGCAAGAAGTGCAAGAAGGCCTTTCGCAAGGACATGTCGAACTACGAGGAGAGCGACGAGTACTGCCCGAACTGCGACAACCATTACGTTTGTGGCGATATTGTCTGCGCTCAGAGCGATCATTGATGGTGTGCATTCTAGGTTATTGAGGCGAAGACGCCAAAACCGGTGCTAGGTGTGGAAGGCGAGGATCTGAGGGTGGACGCTCGGTGAGTCCGTTCGCTCTTCGCAGTTCCCAGATGACTCAGGCTGTCCCTCTTCGTAGCATGATCAAGGACGAGCGGGAGAAACAGAAGCCCGAGCGCACAATCTTCATGCAAGACTTCACAGACAAACTTGGATAGTCGACATTCCCAATCTACAGTGCCCGTGTTTGCCCTGTACACTACCTCACGTTTGTCGGAACCCGCTGCATCGACACGCTTACTCTGTTGAAATTCACTAACACAGAAACCTATCGGTTCCACGCAGCATATGGCGAATACGTACCCAGGTATTTGTTTGGCAACATTTCATATGATATGTCTGCTCGGTGGTCTCGGATGTCAAGGTCAACGTTCAAATTCAAACCCTGTCTGAGTGTTCAGCTCATCTGTATATCAAAATCGCTGCGGTCAGTTTCGGCGTACTCAGCAATCTCACATCTCAGCGTACACTGCACCTGAGTTCCATCCCCACCTGATCGAAAGCTCGTGAAGACGCAATGTATCCGTACGTACCATGCATGTGTAGACGTCAACCCGTCAAGTTACATATGTTCAGTATCCCGATATCAAAGCGGCCAACACACGGCTCTTACCGCGAGCGAGCAACATCAGTGTGACATGTTCCTGTAGATCAAATTACAAACCTTCGAAATGACTAGATCAGACCTCAGTTCAACTGAACTTTGAAGCACCCGACTGAGTACCGCCTTGCTCCAACGCCTGGAGTCGGGCTTGCCAAGGCACAGTGCTGACGAGTTAGTACTCTTCGGGTCAGTTGCTGTGACGTACCGCACTTCTCCCATACAGTAGATGTCTCAGGGGAGCGCGAGCACGCAATGAGCGGTGGGAGAAAGCATACTGTACTGATGAATCCAATTCTGAATTGCGTAGTACATGGTCTCCGGATGCATCCCATCTACCTTCCCTATCGCACGATACCGAGTGCAGTTATGAGGAAACGTATCTCCGCGCATAGCTTGCGATTCCTGATAACTGTCCCCGTGCATCAAATCTGTCAAAGAAAGAGGAGGATGACAGGCATCGTGAGCATATGGACACACGGAGCACGCGAACGCATGGGAAACACTGGCACGCGGGTGCGGGGCCCGCCAGCAGCGGACGCATCGTACCACAGCGCGAGACGGAGAGACTCACCGATGGGCGACGTGAAGTTGTGCACGAATGGGTGCACGTTCGTGCTCTGGAAGTTGTGGCGGGCGATGTTGCCCTCCGAGAGGTCCATGATGCGCACGCCGCCCTCGACGGTTGCGCCCGAGTCGAGGCGGCGGTTCGGCGCGAACGCCTGGAAGGGCACCGGCTTGAGCTGCGCCTCGGGGTCCGCGAGCGTCGACGCCTTGATGAAGTTCGGCTCGCGCAAGAGCTCCAAGGACAGGCCCTTTACGACGGGCGGCGGCGTCGTCGGCGTGTAGTACGAGTCTTTTTCGGAGCGCATGCTCGACCGGAAGGACGCGTTGTGGTGTAGGGATTTCTCGCGCGTGGCCTCTTTGGCTTTGACCTCGGTCGTGACGGACCGCGGGAAGAAGACCTGGGACACGGTGAGAGAAGGCGCTAAGGGCGAGGAGTGGGACGCACCACCAAAGTCATGCCCGCCGAGACCATACATCCAATACCTCCGAGGAAGGCGAGGAACTCGGACGCGAACCTAGGCAGGGATGAGATATGTGTCCGCTTCGTACAATTGCGGGACGAGACGTACATGCTCGTGTTGACCTTCATAGACTCGGTCATGCCGTCCACGCCGAGGATCAGGAGAGGGACGGTGAAGAGGAACCGGAAAAGGACGCGAATATACTGCTCAGCGAGTGAGTTGCTATCCCGAGGTTGGCGATATGTCTCGGTCTTACATTCAATTCGTGGAACGTCGTCAGGCGCACGATGGTGCCAATGTCGACACCCTCCGATTTCTGAGAAGCGATGAGCATTGTTCATGGAAGCAAGCGGTGATCTCACCAATTCACGCAAAAAGGTAGGGAATTTAAATCTGCATGATTGTTGGAGACAAGCCGACAGAAGGCATGGCGTTTGGGGACTCACAGACCGTGATGTTGTTAAGATTAAGGATAAGATCACTGAGGCTACCGGCAAGGAAGGTAGCGGCAATGGTCTGCATGACGAGCGGTGAGCCTTGCGCGTCGACGACCGTAAATCCACGAACGCACCTTGATAGGGTCTGAGCGAGTGACGATCGTGGTGACGGGCATATATACAATGGCCATGATCGAGCCGACGGACCAGACCTTGAAGTAGAAGCTACGGAACCAATCTTGCTGGACTGAGCCCGAGTGAACGAGGAACAGCCAGAAACACAATTCTGGATTGGGCGTCAGCGCCATATCTGGAGCCTGCGAGTACACCGATCGCACCTTCCAAATGCGTGGTGCTGGGCGTGATGTTAGTCAGGTCGCGCTGAGGGAGGTGACTGCCAACTTACATCTCAAATGCCCAAGCGAACGAGAAGACGAGGTTCAAGGGGAAGAAAAACCTGTGGTATTGCTCGGGCCAGAGATCGACGGGGAGGGGCATCACTGCGAAGTGTGGTGTTAGATTGTCTCTTCCATATGCACATACTGTTAATAGCTGCTCACGTCCGAAGCCTGGCAGGTCGATGTATCCCATCTTGTACGAGATGATTGTCATTCCGATTGAATACACCATGAGCAAGGGTATCGTGATGAGGTATGTGTACTGCGCGGAGCATCCGGTCAAATTCAACCGGCCATGGACGATGAGTTGCGAGGACTCACTGTCATGACGCGCTTGAACGCGCCCGAATAAGGTCCCTTATTCCATCTGCATCCAAAGTGTCAGCTAGCGGCAGTGCGCACCCAAGGGTGGCGTACCGCAGCACTTGAACCGATCGAACTTCCAGAGATGGAAAAGAGGAAAGCCCCCGTCTGCGAGAAGCACTTCAGATGATCGCTCGAGGCACGAAGGCGGAGACTGACCAGCGTAGAGAGGATCGCCCACGTGAGGTAGGTCGGCGGAGAGACGCACATGGATTAGAACGGTGTAAAGCAAGAATTATAGCATCCACAAATACGGGAAGGCCGGGAGTAGGAGGAGAAGCACGAAGACTACGCGGCGAGAGAAAGAGCGCGAGCGTTGGTCCGAAGCCTCAATAAGAGGCTAGCGATGGTTGAGCGATTGCGTCCCTGGAACCTGAAATTAGACACCGGTCCCATCAAATGGCGGGCCATCAATTGGCACGACAAGCCGAAGTGATGAAACAGACGAGGGCTCAGTCCGCTGACGCTGGAGAGCCATGGTCCATATGGCTCTGTACCGCGTTTTTCCCTCTGCCATGTAAACTTTGGTTCGCGACAGAGAGTTTGATAGATCCCGTCCGATGGCATTCAGTACTGAATTCGCACGTCGCCGCCCTGCGAGAAGCTTGCTGTGAACGCAACTATGGGCAATGATAATTTACTTGTCCCAAGCGGCCGGATGATGGCCAGCCGTGCGCGCAGTCAGTGACAGCCCCGACGTGTGGAAAGCACACCCGAGCCGTCGCATCAACCACGGGCTGTGTCGCCACCCGCATTGGAAACTCTGAGACCCCGTACATCCCTGATAAGTAACATTGTGAGATGCGATGGACCCAGGAGCGCCGTAACACTCACATGTAAGCCCGATCCAAGCCTACTTACTCCTGAGACTGTTCCTTGTGAGTTAGGTAAGTATTGTGTAGATGCGACTCCAGTCGAAGGCATCCTACCTGGTTCCTCCCGTTGGAAGCGCTCAAGAACAAAACGAGAGGTGGAGTGCGAAGGAGAGGAGGAGGAGGACCGGGAGAAGGAGGAGGAAGAGGAGGAAGAGGAGGGTCCGACTCCCTTTAGCCGAGAGGTAGGAAGATCCTCGCCAGATTAGGTAGAGTGGTTACGGGCCTAGGGATTGGAACTTCTGCTATGCATATTGATTGGTACATAACACACATGTAACATACTCTTTTTCGTGAAAAGGGGCTCGCTACAGTCTGATGGCGACCAGTTAACGCGGTATGTAGTGTCGTAAGCGCGGAGTTGGGCTTTTCTGTCAGTTTGTCAAGAAGAATATCTACAGTTAATATCATCTAAGGCTCACCAGTAGTCGACATTCTCCGGCAGGAAGCTGTTCAGTCTCCTAGCTTTTGGAGGCCACGAGGTGACTCGTAACAAAGCCATCGCAATGTGTTTTGACCCAGGGAAACTGAAAGGCAAACACGACGCGACGCGATGATGTTCAGTTGTGGCCCGTATGACCAGTGCAGTGGGCACAATTTCTAAGTTCTGCCTTATGGGCATCTAGATTGAGGTCAATTGTCAAACGCACCATTTTGACACGCCAACTACTTTATACACTAAGTCTGAACTTGTCAAGAAGCCGTCAAGGAGGAAAGTGACGCGATGTTCGTGGCCGAACGCGCCGCGAACGCTTAGGTTGAAGCTCGTGTTGTTGATCGCAAAACGTAAATGCTCAGGGCAGAATCAAGGATGTGAGTGTATCTAGTACAATGTGTCGTGGCGCAAATTACAGTATCGTGAAATTTCGCGGAATTGCTTGGGCAGAAGCGGATGTAGGACAGGGCAGTTTTCGTGTAGGCGTGTGGAAATAATTGTTGCAATGCATAAATTTGTTGTTGTTTGTGGACTGCACACAATGTATGCTCGCTTCGTTCGCAATAATCGCTTGAGAACGGTGTCTGGCTTCACACAGAGATGGTGAGATTTTCATTACATACCTGCTTGGTTGTTTGAGTACGAGAATGAATTAAGTATCCGGGGTCCCATTGAATCGCGGGTCCCATTGAATCGCGCAACGTGATTGGCCGCGCCGGGAGGTACATATTGAAGCGCCCGTCTCTCTTGTCAGCAGCATGACATAGCGCCCTAAATCAGGCAGGCGCAATTGGGAGAGCGATCTTTTGCGATCGACCCTCAAACATCTACAGCCACCCTCACCAGGTCTCCAAGCCAGACACCCTTTCAAAACTTGTAACATATTGCACTCCGCCGAGCACACGAATGTCTCTCGCGACGCCTACCGCCGACGACATTGAGGACCTGCTGCTATCGTGCCGCTACGGCGACCTCGAGGACGTCCAACAGTTCGTCGATCGCTTCGGCCCCGACCCGCTCAACGACGCACGAGATGAGCGCGGAAATACCGTCTTGCACATGGCGGCGGGAAACGGCCACACAGGTATGTTACTATCTTGCTCAGCGCCCCGACTGTTGCGGGCAAAGCTCACGAAACAAGGCATTATTCAGAAACGCTAGAGTACCTCCTGCGCCACGTCTCGCCTGCACTATTGTCTGCACAGAATGACGCGCGGTCGACAGCGTTGCACTGGGCGGCCCTCAACTCCCATCTTGCAGTTGCTCAGGCACTCGTCAAGTTTCCGAACGGACCGGGCCTGGACCTCATCGATGTCAAGAACGAGGCAGGCCGCACGCCCCTCGGGGAGGCGGAGAACGTCGGATGGGAGGAGGGCGCGAAGTGGTTCGTGGAGGTGATGAACCTCGACGAGAGCGCGAAGGGCGAGGAGCTGCAGGTGGCGGAGGACGCGGAGAAGATCGAGGTGGAAATCCAGGATGCCGAGGGCCAGGTCGCGAAAATGACCATCGGACAACGGCCTGCAGACGCGGCCCCCTCGGACCCTCCGAGTGCGACATAGCATCGTGCCTACGACAGGCTTCTCCCAAAGTCAGTCGGTCTTGTCAGTCGGTCTTCTGTGCCATGTCTAATGATTCGTCAGATGCTCTCGGTGAAGTCGCCGCGACCCCGACCATAGCTGCTTCACCATTTTAGAGTCAGACGTGTTTCGTCCGAAGAGACGCAATGCAAATTTGGTACGCAACATGTATCATTGCACCGGTTTTGCTTGTACCTACCTGTATCAACATATTCCACGAATTACGAGACATCGCACTTGCATCGCACTTGCACCGTCTTGCATAGTCGGCACTCCATGTGAGGGGTTTGTGTCGATTCGCAGCTATGTTTCTGGTGCCACTCACTTTGCACACCTACGGAACCTGCAGATGATACACGGAGGGTGCTGAATGTACGTAGCATCGGGATGGGCATTGGGCGGTCTTGTTGTGTCCCTTGAGATCATCATTCATTCGCTAACTGGACCATCACATGTACCGAGGGCATCAGCATATCGAACTCACTCGTACCAACTGGTGCAGATGAACGCTGCTACCTCTTTCCACAGTTGCGGTCACTGCATCTTCCATTCATCTTCGTCACTTCGCCAGCGCTGGCACTGATACACCGCAACTGTTGTTCTACATTTCAACCTTCGTTGATTATGCGGTACAACACCCAACAAACAAGGGAAGTCGGCTACATCTACAACTAGACACTACATTCCACTGCATAGCAACCCATCCTTGTCCACCACTATCATCTTTAGCTCACAAGTCGAAGACACCGGAGGTGTGAACCAAAACCAAACCATTGATTGATCCACAAGCATTCAAATACATATGCAACCCACAGAAAGACCCCCACTACAAATGCACCACAAATCTCGTATAAGATAATATCCATCAGACATACGCTCCACTCGCTGGCAAGTCCCCATCCGGCCCCGGAGGGCGCGAACGAGCGACGAGCCAAACGTCCTCGCGTCGGCCAGAGGCCAACATGTGCTCTGCATAACGAGTGAGCGCGGTCGTCATCTACTGGACATGAAGGATGTGGCACGAATAAACGTGCGAGACTCGAGTTAGTACCTATAAAATAGATCCTAGCTGAGTATGTTCTGAGGAAACCAGATGGGCGGGTAGAGGTTTATATATGGCGGGGTTCAGGGCAGGTAGAAGGGGTGGTCCGTGCGCGCGATCGGGTCGGGGAAGTTCTGGGCCGGTTGAGTATGTCGAGCCGGATCTTTAGCGCTCTAGTGATGTATAGTGACTGGTACGTAATAAGCCTGTGCGTATTCTATGGGCAGTATTTCGGACGGATTGGTACAGCCCTCACGCACAACTGTAAGACCAATACGCGGACTATCCTGAGAGGCTACATACATGAGGTACAGTATATACATGACTATACTAGTCGTTAGTCATACTCCTGAAGGAGGTAGTCGTGAGGCTGATGGTCGAACCACCGCCGAACGGAAAGCCTATAGATACAGTCGCATTATTCAACCCTATATACGGAGGGACAGTACTTAGTAGATTGCGTTCTTCGGAGTGCTAGGAATAGGTGTCTGAGTCTCGTTGACAAAAGCAAGAAAGCGACGATAGTGATGGTGGTATCTTCGTCAGTTGTTCTTCACAAACCATGATCGGCCATCCACGCATGGCGAACATGCTGCGTCCGCGCCCTCGAGTGCCGAATCTCGTCCTTCAACGTCTCGCGTCGGGCGCGACCCTCCGTCCACATCGCGCGGAAATCGCCTCGTCGCCTGCGCTCGGACTCGGCCTGAACCCGAGCGGCGCGGTGTTCCTTGAGGAATTGCGTGCGCAGACCGACGAGGTGCAGCTTCTGGTGCGAGACAGCGAGCCGCCGGGCAACGTCCGCGAACTTGGCGCGGAAGGCGTGCAGCTTGTCGATGTGCCCGGCGAGGCGGTGGATCCGTGGAGGGCGGGCACGGAGCTCGTCAGCGAAGAGGTAGAAGATGTTCAGGTTCCTTGGAAAAAAATTTAAGTCAGCGTGCTATATTTGAGGTGGATAAGAGAACATACCGCTCGAGAGACGAGATGTGCTGCCAGTGCTTCTGAAACCACGCCTGCATCTCTGTAGTTTCCTCGGTGCTTTTGACGTCGGGCGTGTCGTCGAGCTCCTGCTGGACTGCGTGGAAGGTCTGCTGGAGGGACTTGCAGAGGTCGAAGATCGTCTCCGGCTCTTTGAGCAGGCTGCACGAGCATAACACTGAGAACAACTCGATGGTTAGCACAGATAGGAATGATTGACAGAAACACTGACCATGGCAGCGTCTCCGACGGCCTCCGCACACCGCTCAGCTCGCATGATCAAACCAGGGACAGAGAGTGCAGTACGAAGGTCAGGGATGAGAGGAGACAGGACTGCCTCGCCCTCCCCTGACGAGCACGCGTAGGGTATCGGAGGCAGCGAGATGAGACGGGTGCGACCCGGAGGTGGAGGCGTATGTGCGACCGACGTGGCAGTAGACATCGGGTCCACCGGCGGCTCGTCGAAACGCGTGTAGTGCGACTCTACCGACGACGAGGTATGAGGACTCGATTCCGCTAGGGCCACTGATGCGGGAAACACAAGCGCAGCAGGCGGCGTGTCGATAGTCCCAACAGCCGGCGAGTCGCTTCTTGGCTCGGGCGTGAAGAGCGCCATGGGAGAGTCAAAGACACGAGAGACGCGTCTGCGCCATTGCAGGATCTCGAAGCTCGAGAAGGACGTGCTCAAGTCTTCGGGGATGTCGATCGCGGTTACCGCCGAGCGAAGGGCGCCGCTCGGAGCGCGAAGCGGTGTGGGGCGGACAGCGGACACGAGAGGAATGTCAACGAGGGGCGCGGATAATAACTCGTTATCGCGCACGAACGAACGCCGCCGTTGGATGACTGGGTGTTGGACAGGGGAGAGCTGAAGCGGCGGCGGTGCGAGCTTGCGAAGACGGGCAGAGTATTGACTGGGCGGAAAGATGAGTTCGTTGGCTGACCCACGTCGTCCACCGTGCCCGCGACCCGTATCGCGGTCAACCGTCGACGCGTCGATGTGCACGTTGCATTTCGCAGCCTCGTGATCGCGACTAGTGCGAGATTGGGATAGACGCCTGATCGAGTTCAGGGACTCTGTGGGTGCCATGTCGGGGACATCAGACAAATGAAGTGAGGCAGAGCGTGAAGTGAGCATCGTAGCGGATAGCGGGGAATGACTGGCGAAATAGGTATGCAACAAGGGGGAGTAGTCAAAGACGTGGGCGCAGCTGCTACGGGCACCAGCCTTGAGCTCTATGGGGGAAGCGAGAGCGGGGATCTTGGGCGGGCTGACCGTCTTCAGCGAGGCCTCCAGTTCGAGTATCTCGCTGAGTTGCCGCTGCGATGCGCATAGCGTGCTCTCGCTCGTCGGATAGTCTGTCGTCCGCGTCGAGGCTGGGGACGCGCGGGCGGGATGGCGGAGGAGTGCAAACCCGCGCTCCCAGCCCGGAGACGACCAGATCTTGAGCGGAGGAGAATAGGGGGAGCGTGGGACAAAGGTAGGGCTGAGATGCTGGCGCGGCATATTCGCGTGCGAGAAGGTTAGGTTAGCAGTAGAAAGGCCGAGGGCGACGAAGTAGGAAGGAGACACGGGTAAGCGCACAGCGCGGACGCAGCTTGCCCCTCGTCGCGCGGAGGTGATATACACCCATTGTGGGTCCACGGCGGTCCACAGCGAGCAACCAGGGCTGGCAAAGAACAATAAATGGTCGCGAGGAGAGATGTGCGATCACCACGGCCGAAGCGAGAGTACAATACCGTTGCAACTGGCTGCATGATAGACGCCAGCGCCAGAATAGGCCTTGTTCTCTGTTGTGCTGCGCGTGCCCGAGAGAGATGTGGTTAGTGAATACGACACTCAGTGACCGATGGATTGCGTTACAGTCGCATCAGGATATATTCGCCCTCTGCCACCAAAACAAAGAAGGATTTCCATGGTCACCTACATGTGCATGGCAGGAACACGACCGCAGAAACACAGCCCCTTTGACAATCCGACCGGGAATATGTCAGGACCTGAATGGAACTTCAGTAAATACAAGGATTACGATACAGAGGACGACACGAACATAACCTCGTACCGGTTAGAGCAAATGGCTGCCCTCGTGTTGTCAATAACACGACTTGGGAATTCGAGGGCAGTCGTCTCGCAGATTGTAACGATTAAGCCAGGGCGCACATTGCGCATCAAGATCATGGATAGGCACTCTTACAACATCTAAATGATGCGAAAGGCCCAATGCAATTAAGGATGCGCCTACCCGGCACGGGTATCACTAGCTTGTAAGTTGGTTCGATGGGAGAGTCCAAACAGTACGATGCATCAAAACAGACCCGGAATCATAGCTCCCCGCGTTTCCTGCATGCCCCCCACGTCTACAGCATAGTGAAGAAGGCGATAACCGCCACGCCGAAGACGGCGCTGACCATCTTCGTGTTGACGGCGATGGTCGAAGGTGCACCGCTGAACTCGCCGCTAGAGATCGCACCGGCGGCCTGAGCGGCGCCACCCATGAAGCTGGACCCGCAGGTGCTGATGATGCCCTTGTAGAGCGCGGTCTGGCCGCTCATGAGCGTGCTCGCCGCGATGCCAGGCGCGTAGGGCACGCTGCCCTCAAAGTCGATGTACGCGGTCATGACGTTGCGCGCGCAGTCCGTGCAGAGCTCTGAGGAGGAGAGGTTGGGAGAGAGGAAGAGGAAGAGGATTTGTTTTGGGCGAACGTAGTCGTGTTCGGGACGATGGAGATGGTCGTCTGCGAGCTGTCGCGGCGGGCGACCGAGGGCGAGGCGTCCGAGTAGAGGTATTCGGAGATGGAGCTGAACTTCTCACCCGTGGCGGACGAGGCGGCGTCGTTGGAACCCGAGGATGAAGACGAGTTGCCGCTGGAGGCAGCAAGGACACAGTAGTCGCCGTTGCTGTTCTTGCTGCACATCGCCTGCTGGAGGGGCACGATGGAGTAGAGGACGTCGTACGTGCGGAGAACGTCCTTGTTCGCTGCCGTGAGCTCGGCCGCGCATGAGGAGTACATGTTACTGAGCTTCTCGCGGATCGTCTGAGAAGAGCAGGTTGTGGCTGAGCATAGACTCGAGAGAGCACTGCTGACGGCGGACGACGTCGGGTTGGCGGTGCTGTTCGCGCCCGCGCCGAACTGGGAGGTCGCCTGAATGAGCGGTGAAACGCAGCTTGCAAGCGAGGTGTCCTGGTCAAACGACTCGAAGAAACTGCTGCACGACGACGATATGCCTGTCGGAATGAGCGCAGAGGACTGGAACGAAATCAGCGAGATTCGTTTTCTCCGCTGCAAAGGCTTACCGCGAGCGCCGAAACGGCCAGAATGGGGAAAACTGCAACAGACTTCATCGCAGAAACCGTAAAGATAAACGAGTGGATGCCAACAACGGCGACGAGGGGGTTGGAGGTCGAGGACTGGTCGGGACGCGCAGTACGAGGAGGAGGAAGTGCGAAGGGGCCGCCAAGTCTGAGCCCATGTCGCCGTGACGATGCACGTGATCCACGCGTCTTGGCTCTTCAAGTTCCTGCCAGCCACCGTCCATCAGCCAGAAAGCAAAGCATTAAATACTCAGTGTTGGTCATTATCCGTATGTGATTCATGAAGCCCCATGTAGGTTATACGAACCCCGCTGCATTTCTGTGGTTGTCGAGTTATACCACGAACAAGCCTGGATTTGAAGCTGTTGAAGCCACGGTGAGAGTCGTACATTCCATCTCCTGCCAGCCAACTAATGTGCTTTGCTAGCTAATAATGCATCGATTCGACAAACCCTCCACATGGAGTGCCTTGGTATGAGATTTACGAGACTATGCAGAACATTAATTTGCAGGTGCAATGGTTCGTCTCTCGTTAGCCGCACAGGGACTGAATGAAGGAACGAAGGTGTGCGTACTACAGTCTACAGAACAAGAGTTGACGGTAGTGTATCGGCGAAGGTGAAGAACTTGTGCATAACCTATTGGCTGCAGAACAGCCACAGGTATGTCAGCTGCTGGTACGTATCACACCCACGGGAGCAGATCCACACATTTGATTCTCAGGCCTACCTACCGCTTTGATTTCATTTTCTCAGGTGGGCGAAATCTCTGGTCGTATACAAGCATAGAAAAGATAGTCAATGAGCGTCGTCGGCGATGCTTTGCCAGTAGGAAAGTTAAATAACAAAAATAAAGTAAACGTATGTGTTCCGTCGTGTCGGTCATTATGCCAGTTCAAGGGGTACCCAACGCTCAGTCGGACTGGGCATACCACCAGAGGGTGGTGACTCCGGTGGGGAACTTGTACTCGGCCTGTGGAACTCGGTCAGTCTCATGAATCATCCATCCCGTCGCTCCGGAGACTCGCCTTTTTGCCTAAGAACTCGATCGTGGTAGACTTGTCGCCACCCCTAGAGAATCACTGTCAGACCCTGCAAGGATGATGCGCATATCATTGCACTCACTGGTTGAGCACGACCAGACTATAACGGGGCCAGGCGGTTGACGGGGCGTCGGCAGCCCGCTTGGTGACATAGGCCGTGACCACCAGGTCGTCGCTGCCGCTGACGGAAGAGCTGATGCGCTGGCCGAAGGGCCCGTTCTGGTCCTTGGGGATGACAGCTTTCGACGCTTGGGCGATGGCGTAGACTGCGACGCTGCAGGTGAGTATCGTTGCATGCGTCCAAGGAGAAAGTGACACGCACACTCCTGGTTGGGCACGTAAGAACCGTCGCTTTTGAGCGTCACGACACCACGACAGGGGTCCGAGCCGCGGCAGCTGGTAGTGGTGTTGAGCAGAGGCTCGCCCTTGTCGTCAAGAACGAGGTTCCACATGGCAGCGTTCTTGGCGTGGTGGTTGACGGATCCGATGAAGCTGAAAGATGTCAGTTCTCCGGTATGATCAGGCATATACCCCGCATTTTACTCACATGTTGTTCATGTACCACTGCGGGGAAAAGCCTCAAGTCAGGATTATTGCATCCTATGAAGTGCAGACGATTTACCTGGAGGTCGCTCCAAAAGTCCCCGTTGAACGAGCCAGTACACTCTGTAAAGTAGATGTCCTTCTGCGGGTACTTGTCGTGAAACTGTTCCTGGTTGCCGACGTCGCCCCCGTAGCAGTGGAACGCGGCACCTGCGAACGAGTCAGCCGCCTGGTCCATCTGCGCACCGTATTTCACTGTCAACGAATATGCTCCACGCGAAGAAGGGGGCACCACGCACCACTGTGACAGGGTAGGCGCCAGCATCATCCCAGTTGTGCTCGTACGCGACGATGACGGTGTCCTTGAAGCCAGCACTGTCCATGAGCGGACGCAGCTCACTGCCGATCTTCGCCTCCAAGCTGGGATCGACCAAGGCAGACGCATACGTCGGGTTGCTGTTCTGCGGCTCGTTCTGCAAGGAGCAAAGTTGCCAAACAGTGTAAGTAAATGTCAATCGACTGTACACACCTGAAGGCTGATCGCATGAGCGGTGACACCCATCTTCTGGAAAGCCTGGAGGGACTTCAACAAGTATTGGGCATCTGCAAACCCACGTCAGCGTACACATAGAACAACGCAAATGCCGGTTTACGAACAAACTTTCGTGTACGAGGACGCGAACTTGCCACCCGTGATCGTCTTGCTTTCCTTCATCCAAGCCGGCTGTGATATGCGAGTCAGTAAAATCAAAGAGACGCCGATATTTGTGTAGCTCACCGCAGACCAAGGGCAAAGGTGCACTTTGAGAACGCTGTTGATGGACTGGATGTCCTTGAGCGTGTCGAAAAGGTAGGCCGGGGCATTGTCGATGTCGAAGTGGTCCAGCTGAGAGTCGCCATCAACATCGTCGTACGTGTACGCTGCGGGACATGCGTCAGCTCAGTACAAGAACAATACCCCAGAGCTGCCGACGTACATGTCTGGGAGAAATCAGAGGAGCCAATGGGAATACGAAGGTACGTCATTCCCGCGGACTGGGCACCATCGGTCGCTGAACGATCACGGTCAGTGACATCGCTCACATCGCTTGTCAAGCAGACACTGTATGCACTCACAGTTGAATATATAGTTCAGGAGGGCCCAGTACTTTCCAGAGTCCGACGACTAGCAGAATTAATGCTGTCAAGGTCTCGCAAACTTGAGTTGCAGGACGACCGTACCTTCAGTTGGCTCAAGAGCTGAGCGGTCGAGTCAGCTTCAAGACGGGGCAATGTCAGCTTCCGTCGCCCTGTAAAGGGAGATGCGGCCTACTCAGAGCAGCGCCAAAGCCGATCATTTCCTGGTAGGTCGTATTGGGCTCGACTTTGATATTCGCCGACGCAGAGGCATCGTTTGTGAATTGAATCGCGTCAGAGCCAAGGTTCTGGTACTTGAAGAGGCTATTCTTATCCGAAGTCGTCGTCCACTTTTTGCACAATAAACGGTCAGCTCTGCGTGCACCTGCCCGCCGCCAAATGGAGCTTACAATATCCTGGATCTGCTGAGAAGCAATGGGGAGAACGAGCGCAAGACCGACAATTAAAGAGCGGAACATCATAATGAAGAGATGTATAAATCGAAGGGATATAACGGCCTCTGGAAGTGAGAGTAAAAAAACCGAACGATAATGACCAGCCGCGTCAAGAGAAAGTTAAAGGAAGGACACAGCCCCTCAGAAAGAGAACACAAGGAATGAAGGCAGAACGGAGCCGCGCGCAGAAAGAGATGATGCAAGCCTACCCACACGAAGTCCTTATAAGCATACAGCCTCACTCGGGTGCAGATAGATCTGTCACTGTACGCTCGGCGGTGTGATCGGGACCTGGCTGAACCCGACGCCCCGGTGATCCGGGAGTCGAGGACTGTCGAGCATCGCTTCATCGTGATCGAACATGCCGGTACGCCGAGACGCCGCCCAACGGATTCTGGTACTTCCTGTATCTGAAACAGGTAGGTTGATGGGGAGCGACAGGCCAAGATAACGAATTGAAAGCCCACTTACCTCGAGAATTCTCACGAGCTGAATCAGTAGTACGACATACAGACTGCTTGCAACCCGCACTGGTACGTGATTTTGTCGGCGGTCTATTGACCTTCAGCCGATACGTCATGTCATGTTCGCAGGATACTTGGCCTTGACCGGATGAACAGAAGTTTGTCATACTCCGTACATAGCCTCATTTGCTTCAGCTACATACCCAATGGCAGTCTCTGCGCACCAGCTTGTGAATCTATGAGGATATTCAACCTGCAAACAGTGTCTGAATTCTCAGTGGAACTGGGACACGGCACAGCTGTCTCAACGCCGACTGTCAAACACAATCGCAGTAACTGCAAGATACACTCACAATTGTTGGTGAACCGAAGCTGATTACGCTGCAAGAATTGCTAATGATTCATACGGATACCTGCGTAGACGCACTAGGATGTGTTAGAATCAGTAGGACGCGTGAATGCAGCTGCGGCCTGCAAAAGCCTTGAGCGTTGGCCGTCCACCAGAGTTGCAAGCATGCGACGTCTTGGAGTCGACACCGTATGAACCGCCACAGGTGTGCTGTGCATCGCTCCTAGTACCCTTGTGACTCACCTATTGCGAGACACACCTTCCTGCAACCGTCAGCCTATGGCATGTCGCATCTGGGACAGGAATGCAACTGGTGGCCAAGCACCGTGTCATTATAATGCGTAAGTCTACTAGAGTTACGCAGCCGGCCCTATACCAGACCCTCTGATCGACCAGGACGGGAGGAGTACAACCTTGGCGCGCACGCGCGCAGCCTTATACCCATACAGAGAATTGAAGACGACGAAACCCGAGCTAAAGCGAACTGAAAGCGACCAATAAGGATAATGCGTGGCGTGTATGTGCCCTGCTATGGCAGGGAGCCCCTCCGCGGGGCTGGACAGGGAAAGTCGTAGTCAGGTGCGAGGCAGAGACTTATTGGATCTGCGACTGGAGGGACTTCTGGAGCGCGACCCAGGTCGTAGCGGCCGCAGGGCAGCCGACACCAGTTCCACGCTGGTTCTGTAGTGTCACAAGACACGCGTTGAGCCGCGTGAGTGCGGACTGTGTCGAGTTGTCGAGCGGGAACGAGAGCGCGACAGTGGGGTTGTTGATCACCTTGCCTGCGGCGACATTCGCGCTCAGGTTCTACATAGAAGGGTTAGAGTGAGCGTGCGTAGGGCATGAGATGACTTACGCCAATGAACTCATCACGATCGGGAGGGCAGAAACACGGGATCTTGACGCCGTTAACGCCGTCACAGTCACTGGAACGCGAAGAGTGAGAACAGCCCGCCGTTAGAACGAGTGAAACGTACCCAGTGCCAGTAGGGTTTGAGTTGGCAGTGATACCATAGTCCGGCACCAGAGTCGGGTCGATGGTACCGTTAGAGGAGGTAGTGGCGATGGCAGCAGCAGAGGTCGCAGTTGCTGTGGCGACGGAGCTGCTCGCGATAGCTACCATGCTCGTAGCGGCAGAAGTACCGTTTGCGACGGAAGACGGCGCAGCTGCAGCGGACGTAGATGCGGCAGTAGCGGACCCACCAGCCGCAGAGGTCGAGCCACCAGACTCGATCTCCTTCTGCAAGGCGGCCCAGTTGGTCGCGGCTTGAGGGCAGCCCTTCCCAGTACCGTTCAAGTTCTGCAGAGTCACAGTACACGCCTGCAGGCGGGCAAGTTGCGATGCGATGGAACCATCCTCGGGGAACGTGACGGCGACGCTCGGGTTGTTGAGCACTTTCCCAGCGGCGACGTTCTGGTTAAGTTCCTGTGGAAGGGCGCTCGTTAGCCACGAGGACAACGAAGGCAATGAGTCCCACGAAACGGCGACTAGCCCGATCGATCCTTTGCTTGGGGATGCAACACCTATGCAAGCATCGCGAACATAACCTCACGACAAAAGGGCCACGGCAAGCGCAGGACCGTCGTCTAGTGGTCGCCGACAAAAGCCGCATTCGACGAACAAGGCGCCAAATCGCACTATCACCGGACAAAGGAAACCCGACTTACGGCGATAAAGCTGTCGCGGGGAGGAGGGCACTGGCACGGAATAAGCACGCCAGTGGCCGGGTTGACGCAGCTCCTGAAAGTATCGTTATGATGGTCAGTCACGACCATCTCCGTCAAAAGAAAGCCACTTACGCTGAGCCAGCCGGATCTGGGCTTCCAGCTGTCACTCCGAAATCGGGGACGAGGGTAGAGTCGACATCTCGTCTTAAAGGCATAGACGTGACTGAGAGGAGGACTGCAGCAGCTGAAACGAGGATTGGAAGCGAGAACATCGTGAAGAGTTGGTCAGTCAGTTCAATGACCGTGCAGTTAAAGAGAGTGGAAGTCGGTCACTTGGACGACACTTAAAGAATGGGAGAGACGGTGCTGCGCCTGGCGAGGGAAGGTACGTCCGGCGTAGGATCGTGAGGGAGGTGAACGCTGGTAAGGGCGGAATGGAGGCGACAAGCACGGGCCATGCTTTGTTTTATATGGTGGTGCAAATGAGAACAAAAGATAAACCAACAACACATGCTTGCGCCACCGACGGCCGGGCGCTCATTGGGCGCCTATGCTAGGAACCAAAGGACCTTGTTTGTGTGTGGCGGTAGTCATGGTAACAATGGTTCCTGGTTCTATGCAAAAGGCAAATTTCAATCTCTGATTAGATTAGATTTAAACAGCCCAAGTCAGCTCCAGCGAACAATGAGAAATGGCAAACAGTACTTACACATAGTCAAAGCGATTTCGCGAGGCAGTCTTGTCAGGACGTCGAAAGACAAGACAAGACAACGAACGTGAATCAACGATTTCCAGGTGATTAACCAGCCGAACTCACCACACGGACACAAAACTTCTTCCGTAGATGTCCATACGATGACCGCCTTGCATCCACATGGTCAGCGATGTGGGGTAGCGAACATCCATCCGTCCTAATATCGCCGTTGCATGCTAGGGTCGTCTGCGCAACGCTAAGGATGTGCCGCGCGGAGCGTTTGTGAAATGTCGTCCATACAACGCCCGATCGCGATGTGCGCCCAGCTCCCCGTATCAGCTGGGCAGAAGTTTGCTTGACATATCGCCCAATGATGGCGAGGTTACGGAAGGATGCTCCAAAGGCGTCTGCGAAGATGCTGCGCCGGCCAGTGTTGCAGTGAGAAAACGGAACGGAGTAGGCAATGAGAAGGAACATATCGTTTTCGACTGGCATCCTGCTACACCGTGTTACACCAACGGCCGATCGCGGCATGACGGGGATGCACTGAGAGTTGTAGGGCGACCACATGTTCGAACGGCCAAATCACCAAGAGTTACCATGTCATCCGAGTCCGTCACATCAGACGGAGGGGATGTGGGCGGAAGATGTGGGTCATGCCGGGAGGGATGGTCGCCGACTGAGAAGTCCATCGGACAAGCACTGCGTGAGTAGACATCTCATTGATTCAGCGTGTCTTCACCAATCACACCAATCAGAAAGATTCTGCTGGTCGCGTGGCACAGGGCATCGTGTGTGGCGACAGACAAGTCGACTATATGCGTGCTAAGTGACTTGGATTTAATGTTCCGGAGGCAGAAACCAGACCGTACCAGAGCCGCGGCGTCTTCATTCACAAATGGGGGGTCGTTGTGGCCGAACACATGCAACGCGCGGCACCGCCTAGACATGATGGTACCGCCGTGCCTGCACTTGTGTACCTACGTACCAGGGGCTGGTCGACCACACGGATCGCGACCGGTATCTAGGGCAGCCAGCGACGCGTTGAAGCGGTGATGACTTCAGGCGCATATGGCAAATTGGGAGATACCAACAGCCGAGGCTGAGACTCTGTAATAGTAGCCCTGGGTCTTCCCGCAACTCGGGTTCGGCGGACAGGTCGAGATCAAGTTGGCATCACAGACTCGCGCCTCCGGTTCGCAGAACGAGCCCATACGGAGCCATCAAAGTGACAAGAGCATTCCAGCCACGAGTTGGTAGGTAGCCGAGCAGCGCATGCGATTCTGAACACACGTCCACCGACGCAGACGACGAGCAAGAGCGAAAGCCTGGCGAAAGCAGGCCATGGAGACGGCCGCGGCAAAGGAGACTAGCGCTTAGCCCTACCGCGGCTCTGCTACGGCGCATGCTCACGTGTTAGTTCTCACGCTTATAATCGGCGACTCGTGCAACCTCGTTCTCGCTGAAAATCATTAAGTATTCAAGCTTCCAAGCCTAAGTTTCTTTGGTTTGTGCATGACACACGAAATAGCTATTAGAGCCCGAGGAGGAGGAGGAGGAGGGGATTCGATACCAGTTTGGACAGCTGCCTTTTTTACTCCTCGGTGCTCTTGCTGAACGCGATCACGTGTGCTTTCCTGTCGCGAGTAAGTACTTAGCTAAGACGCAGCAGCGATTGAGTGAATACAGCGCCGTCGCCAGGTCAATGATAAGGATGGTCATCCACACAGCGTGAATGAATGAGGAATAACCGCAATTACTAGAGGGCAACGATGTTGCCCGCACTCTCCATACACCCTCCTCCACGGTGAGGTCGTGTTTGGGGTCTCGACTCAAGGTAGAGTAACAAAGTACGCCACCAACCTCAACGTTGCTTCCTCTCGTCCTCCCCAAGCGTGCAAACTTCCTCAGGCGTAACCACGTGGCTCTCAAACGAGAACGACCCGCTCGCCTCTAGTCTCCTAATCAGCACATCGCCGAACGCCGTCGCAGGCGTGAGGATCCCGCCCTCCTGCGCCATCCGCGGCAGCTTGTCCTTCTCCAGCGCGATCGCGAGCGCACACTCCGAGATCATCCCTGCGTACCGGTCAGCATGCAGGCCCACGGCCTGACAAACATGTGCGACTTACGAGCGGTGAGGAGGTAGCCAGGGTCGCCGCCCCGCCCGTGCATGACGGTCCTGACGTCCACCTCTGGGATTCCCGGTGCATGCACCGACCTGGATTGGTTTGTGATCTCGAAGAAGCCCATCTTCATCTTCCTGCAGCGGACGGGCCGCTTCAGCAATGACAATCAACGCACATGTGCAATGAACGACGCACTCCTCTGATGGGCCCTGCCCCGGCGGGGTCCCCAATTCCTTCAAGAGCCATCTTACCTGCAGAGGAATGTAAGGCGGCTGCTATGTCTAACCTAAGCAACTGGCACCCTACCGGAGGAGCCAACACGAACAGCGCCATTAGCATTGCGAACGCTAAGCTCGCGCCTGTGACGCTCAGCCAGCCCAGCACACCCCGCGCGGGCCACTGCTCCAGACACTCGTCGTACGTGAACTCCTGACCATATAGGGACCGCGCGAGTTCGTCTTCTTCTTCGGCTGACGAGACCTTCGACGCCTTCGCCGCGGCAGCGGTGACATTCAGTGCCCAGGAGCGCTGCACGATCGCGCGGTTGCTCGGAGCCATGAAGAAGTCCATCGCAAAGCGGTTCGGCTCTGAGAACGGCACCTCGTACCACAGCCTGCCCTTCGCGCCCGACTTCCCGACCGCTGCGCCCCGGCACCAGCCCGGTATCAGCGCGTTCGTTGTGGCACGGGTGAGCAAGCAGACGCACCGGGTCCGAGAGCATAGTCGGCCTGCGCCTCTTGCAGTTTCTCGATCGGCACGTTCTCTGCGATCGCCATCATGGTAGCTAGTGTGCCGCCGGAGACTCCGGCGTTCGCGCGGTAGACTGCAAGCGACGGTCCGAGCGATGCGCGCGGGCCCAAGGCGGCCTTGAGGGTTTTGTTGGCGAGGTAGACGACGATGTCCGCGGGCACTGAGTCAAACCCGCAGGAGGGAACGAGAAGTACGCCAGCTTTGCTTGCGACGTAGTCGTATCTGTACGAGGGGCGATAGAATTGGTTAGGGATGCTGCAAGGCCATGTGCCGCGGCACCCACTTGAGGATCATGTCGCGTATCCATGTTGTCTCCCCACACAGGTCCACATATTGTGTTCGGTGCTTCACACACGCCCTGCGCACGGCCTTGCGTCAGTATTCGAACTCTCCGATCTCGCGCTGGCGCCTCCTGAATTACCCGCCCTTGGACGCACGGATACACACTACCAATCGTACTCACCTCAAGACGGTCTCACCCCAGTAAAGAAACGGCCCAACCGTGTTGATGACCACCTGCGCACTCTTGACCGCCTCCTCCACTTGCTCCTCGCTCGTCACATCCAGTCGGACGAGGTTTATACTGTCGTCCAGATCCAAATCCTTCTTCAGCGCCTCAAGCTTGGCTCGAGAACGTCCCGCAACACCGAAAGTGAAAGACGCGCGTTGGGGGTGGTGGGCTAGGTAGTCGGTGATCAAGCGGCCGGTGAAACCTGTCGTACCAGTACATACATAGTATTAGCGTGTGAGCAGTGACGATAATATGCTGCAGGCGTACCGGTAGCACCGAAGACAATGATGTCGGTTGTCGGCATGACTATATTATTGTCTATGAACTGTCCTGTCTATATTGATTCTGGCTGCCAGGTTTTCAGTCGGCGAGAAGCAGCAGCAAGGGGAGGAGATGGGTGGGTCGGAGACTATGTGGTGGAAGTGCTGTACAAAACGGACTGGCAGTCGGGATTGATTCAAGTTGCGCATGCGTATAAACCACCATATATAAACGCATATATGTAGTTATATCAGGACCTGATTGTCGCACGTCAATATGGTCAATCACCGGACAAATTCGTTGCCAACCTGCAATGGATGTGTTGCACAGTGTTACACTTACAGTCCACGACGGGACTTCCCGAAGAATGCTCTACATAACCAGTCGGTTTGTGTTCAGGTTTTTGTGTGAGCTAAGTTTGTAACTTACACTGTTTCAGATTTCTCTGCGATCTATCCAGCAGTGGACGCATAAATCATGTGACTGTCCCGGGTCTTCCTCCTCCGCCTCCTCCGCCTCCTCCTCCTTCGCCTCCTCCCCCCACCACTATCACCATCACCTCTACTTACTCGTCGGTTCCGTAGATATCTGTTCGTTTCGGCATCGGAGTGCATGAAGGAAATGCGTGAACGCAGTCGCAGCAGAGACAGACCTCCCGCGGACGACTCGCGGGGCAGTCCGAGCCGCCGGCCACACAGCAGGTCGAGGTCCGGCGAGCGGCACCGCGATACAGGCAAAGGAAAAGGACGTGAAGAAGAAGACAGACACTACGGAAGACATCACAGGCGACGGTCGCGTTCGCGAAGCCCACGGCGGCAACGGGGACATGCCCGTTCGCATTCACGGCATAGGCGACATACCCGCTCTTTGTCGGGCTCACGATCACGCTCGAGATCCCGCTCACCGAGGGAGAAACACAGGCACCGCTCGAAGGAGAGACGGAAACGGTCGCGCTCGCGGTCGAGCTCGAGCTCAAGCAGCAGTTCCTCGAGCGACTCGGATGACAGTCGGCGCAGGCGGAGGAAAGAGAGAAAGCGCAAGCACAAAGAGAAAAAGGAGCGAAAGAAGGAGAAGAAGGTGCGCCCATTACCTCTCGCATCTCACAGGACCGTATTCACTCCTACCCTTGCCAGAGAAGAAAGGCCGGAGCCGTGGGCCACCAGTGGGGCAAGTACGGCATCATCTCCGAGACCGAGTACGTACTGCGTCCTGGTATGCCGATGCACTTACTGACATCAGTAGTCTCTACAATAAGGAGCAGGAATTTCGCGCATGGCTCGTCGAGGAACGCAAGATCAACCCCGAGACGATATCCAAGGAGCAGACCAAGAAGGAATTTGCGCGTTTCGTGGAGGATTATAACACTGGTTCGTCCTCCCAGCCTGCTCCGTTCTCCTTCGACACATCATCAGTCGGCTGATATCGTTCTGCTTACCCACCCAGCGACGCTCCCGCACGAAAAGTTCTACCACATGGAGGCCTACGAGCGGCGCATGACCGCCCTACGCTCGGGCGAGTACGTTCCCCCAGCGGACGACTCATACGATCCGAACGCGGACCTGCGCGCGCTGCAGAGTGCACACAAGCGCAAGGCCATCGAGCGCGATACATACATGAGCAAGGAGCAGCTCGAGGAGCTGCGCCAGGTGCAGGCGGAGCGAATCCAGGTGAGTGCTTTGCGGAGGTGCTGTTCGGTGTGGAACGGGGCTGACGCTCGGCCAGGCTGGCAAAATGAAGCTGCTCGGGATGGACGTCAAGCAGAACATGGGCGTCCGTATGGATGGGACCATGTTCGACGGCTGACGATACCCGCACCATTTCTGCCAATTCTCGTCGTAACGCACCATCGCATCTGCATTTGTACTTGTATCGTCCCGTCTGCTATGCCCAAAAACTTTTGCCGTGCGCGCACTCAGCCCTATCCCCAAGTCCATGCTTGCTTAGACAAGTCCCGAATATACAGCTGTCCCAGTCCTAGTTAGATTACTCTTCGTCGTCGTCATCATCTGCCTCGTCCTCTGAAACATCCATGCCCGCCTCCCGCATCCGTTGCTTGTCCCTCCTCCGCTTGCTGTTCAGCTCGTCGAGGAGCACGAGCAAGTCCTCTTGCTCCTTCTCCACCTCACCCCGCTTCTCGTCCGATGCGCGGAGCTCCTCCGTGAGCCGTGTGGCTTCTTCACGCAGGGCGTCGCTCTGTCCGCCGGTCAATGTATTTAATACAAAGAACGAAGAGGCAGCACGTACGTCGTCGGGCTTCTGGGCGGCGGCGGTGAGCCTTGTATCTGACCCCGGAGGGTGTCGATCTCCTTCGCCTGGTTGCGGATGACGTCTTTCAGGGAGGCGACGAGCATGGCCGTCTCGCCCATCCCTATTCTGCACTCAGTGGACAGCCGGTGCGCAGTAGCGAGCGACTTACCGGGTGAAGACGACAGCGAGTTCGGGTCGGCATGCAGCCCCTTCTGCACCGTATCTTCCGGGAAAGCCAGTGTCAGTCCGACTTGTGTGTGAGGCGGGGAGACTCACAATAGTTCGACTTCCAGAAGTCAGCGAACGCCCAGTCGAACCACATCTCTCCCTCCTCTCCCTCGGGCTTGGCTGCTGGCCCCGCCGGGAGATGTGACGGCGCGCTGGGCGGCGAGAGCACGAGGGTGTCGGGCCCGATGGCCTTGAAGCGGTCGTCATCCCGCAGGCGGATGACGCGCCCGACGAGCATGTCGACGCCTAGACGTGTCAGGATCGGGTGGATCGTCGACCTGTCAAAGGGACGCTCAGTGCAATCCGGTACGAGCGTGCATGGATGACGCACCGAGTGATCTCGCCAGGCTCCCTGTTGAACTCGTAGCAGGTGCCAAGCAGGAATACGCACAGGGCCGGTACGAGCGTGTCCGTCTCGGACATCTGGTTGATAGGCTCGACGAGCTGCACACCGCATCAGCACAAACGTCGCCCACACCATTGCGCTCCCGGTACCACTCACGATGCCCAACGCGCCCGCTTCCAAGAACTGCTTCGTCGCCTGGGGGTCCTCCCACAGCCACTGCGACAGCAGCGTCAGATACCCAACGAGCAACCGATCCCACTCCCTCGCCTCGCGATCCGACGTGTCCGCCCGCCCCCTCGCGAGGAACGCCAACGACAAGTGCTCGCTCAAGATCTGCAACAGCGTCTGCGGCTCCTCCTGCTCGGGCTCTTCCTCTGGCGGGGGCGGGGGCGCGCTGCCGTCTGCAGGCACGAAGAAGCTGCCGCCTGCGCGCGCAGAGGGGAGAGCGCTCGGGGCACGATCGGCCGCGCGAGGGCCTTGGCGTGCGTGGACGCGCGCAGGAGGTGCGAGAAGAGGAGGCAAGCCATGTGCGTGGCCGTCACGGCACTTGTGCGGAGCGGCGCGGTGTGTGCCGCGGTGAGCGCGTCCAGGAGGGGTGTAGCGGGTGCGGATTCTGCGGGGCGGTGATTAGTGGAGGGGTTCCTGCGAGGGTCGGACAATCGCGACGTACCGGCGGGCGGTGAGGCCATTGCCTGCACGATCGCTTCTGCAATCTCCTCCCGCTGGACAAAGTTCTACAGGGTCGGTTAGTGGTGTAGCGAACACATCTGTCGGTTACATACCTGGAACACGCCCAGTGCCGCGGCCCTCAGCTCCATCCCTTCTTTGGACCTACGCTCACTGTCAAGGACGCCGTTGTACTCTCCATGCAAGATGAGCTCGACCAAGATGTCCAGGGCAGACGCGGGCTCTAATCGGTCCCACTCTTCACCATTGGTTCCGGTACGGGCACATATGGCGTCATCATCATCTGCGCGAATGGGAAACTTGTTAGGTTGTTAGGTAGCAATCGTAATGCCTTGGACCGACGTGAGCACTCGAGTACCCCTGCGTTACTGAAACTGTGCACCTGTGTTTTGATTGACGTCGGCGTGTTCGATGCGAGGCCCAACTCGATGAGACATCGCGTGAAAGCGAACGTTAGAGGATCAGTCATCTGCGTAACACCAATCAGCTTCGCAATTACGCTGAAGGGCCGTAGCTCGCTCACATTGCCCCCACCGCTTCTAGCAAGTAGCCCGACGATGCCTACCACCACAGCAGTATTCGTCCGTTTCTGCGGAACATCCCATAACTGCAGAGCGAACCCCTGCGGTGGCGACTGATCATGGGGAAGTGCTGGCGGAAAGCCGAGGATCGACAGCAGAATAGGCGGTAACGGGCTATTACGCAAATAGCTCTGGACATCATCAGCTGGGATGACGGTCTGCGTGATGACTGCACTGAACATACCTGATTTGACTGGTTATACCTGAGCAGCCCGTCGATGCAAGCGAGCGCGTCATGTACGACGATACCGCCCTCGATGCCGCCCTCGGATGTCACAATCGTGAACAGTCGCTCGAATGCGCCCTCGAACGCGAGTATCTTCTGGATCTCGGGACTCTGCGAGATGAGCGACTGCACGACGAAGATGGCCTCTGCCGAGCAAAATGTCAGGGTAGTTCAAACACGGCCGCTCGATAGACACGAAGGGAACGAACGCCAGTGGACGCAATCCGTCAAGTGGGCTGGGAGTTGGCTGAACGAAGACAGGATTGACAGCTCGTTCCAATCGCCCCTGGGCTGGCACTTCTACTCGCCAGACGAGTACGCTATACCCGCGTACCAGCCAAGCATGTCGGAAGACACACAAACAGGGAATGGAAGGCTGGGCTAGCCGAGTGGATGAATGCACATAGCCATCCGGGGCTAGTGCTTTCTCTCATGCAGCAAACGATCGCGCGGACACACGTTCAGAATGTATGTTCTGTGCTGACACGCGAATGTGTGAGGTCCTGTCCTCGATGGAAGTGCAGCTTCTGAGACACATTTCCCGAGCGGTGCATGTCTCAGAACGACGTATTCGGCTGGAAGGTATTGGTCTGATGCAGTAGAGCAGCATGGACGGCGCCCAGGAGCAGGCCGCACTACGACAAATACGCGAATAGACATACCGTGTCGGATTATCTCTCGCTTCTCTTCGAGAACGGCGACAAACTGGTCGGGCCCACGGGAGCTTTCAAGAATAGCCCTGCACGACCTGACGTCGGTTCTGCAACAGAGTCGACAGGAATTGAAGGATGGACACGCGAAGGTAGAATGAATGGTCCGCAAGGAGCGCAAAGAGCTTGTGGGCGACCTTCTCGTCCTTTAGGACTTGGTCTGTGTGCCGGAAGCCTAGCTCGCGTGCGTGAGGGCTCGCGGTATCGTCTGCTTCACAGAGGGTGTTCAGTGTCTCGAGAACCGCTCTACCTATGTCCGCATCAATCTCGGCGTCGTTCAGAAGGACGTCTATGAGGCCAGAGAGCGCGTGAGTGCCAATATCCGCCCTATGGTCGCGCGAAAGCCCCTTGAGCGAAAGAACTGCTGCACGGCGGTCGGCGAGAAGTGTAGAGGGTGAGAGTCGGTCGGCCAGACGAGCTATGGTCTCGGGTGCAGACTGCGGTGCACCTTGGGGGCCACGCAGCGCAAAGTAGGTCTGGTTGATGAATTCCATCGCGTCCACCAGATCGCGTGTGTTCGGCGGCTCAGCAGCTCTGACGCGTCCTCCCAAGTCTGTGCAGCGGTGAGCCTCTACCACAACCTACTGTCCGCGAATAACTCACATCCAGCCCAATCTCACAGCAATATACTCCTATCTATTTCTCTCCGCGGTGTTCACAAGCGGATCACCAAGGCCGCAGGTAGACGGTGTAGCAGACCCAGAGCAGACCCGAGGCGACCTCAACGCGCTCGCGCACGCAGCGAAGCGAAGCAGGAATAGCCACCGGCAATCGCCGGCTGCACGCTCACGTGACATGCCACATTCCTTTCCGCACTTGAGACTCGAGATGATCTTCAAACAACCTGTCTTCTACCTTCATCAACCTGCCGTCGTCGCGTCGCGTCGCTGCTACGTCTTCCCGGAAATTACTGGCAGCCGCGATCTTCAGCTGCCTAGTGCCAGCTTCTGTCAGTGTCGAAAACGCTACGCCAGTCGTACCTTCTCCCGACGGCTGGCCACGTTTTCGCTGATCATTGCGTCGAACCTAGCATGACTTTGGACACGCACTTGTCCTCGTATATGCTATTTTCCTCATATATGCTATGGTCCGTGATCAGCCTCTGTGATGGTGAGTTCATAACAAGTCTTCTATGTCGGGGCATTCAAATCTGCGCTTCTCTTTCCAAAAGATGCGATACAACGCTCATACGTGCCAAATCGCGCTTCCCTGCGGGGCCAGTCTACTTTCCGTCATTTGTCAGTTTGACATTCCGTGGTGACATGGAGCAGACACAGCAAAGCGGTTGACTGTTTCAGTCAAGCGGCGCGTGGACGACGCATTCATGGAGAATGTCATCGAGCTACAGTGCAAACGTCCTTATCCCTTCCACATCCATAGGATACGGGAATAGCTACCCTCCATGCCTAAGTATCAATGAGATCTCGTCCTGCTCCAAGATTTGTCGAGAAAGCTGGCTGAATCTCGGTTTAGGGTCGTGGCGTGTTCCTGTCCCTGGTTTTTCGGTCCAATCACTGGAGATGTCACGGATGCCCTTGGTAAGCATCCGCATAGTATTGAGAACACGGCCGATAGCTCGAGTACTCCGAATCCCACAGATTGCATCATGAACCGTGCATAAAAGCTGCATTCAACGCGCCTGACACATCACGACTAACGCGGCCTCCTGCGCGAGAACCCTCACAAACGACGTCTTACCCACGTCAGCCGTGGGCTTCCCGTGCAACTTCGTCATCATAGATGCGCTCTCCGGGGCGTTGCTTCCACGGTTGTTCATCCAGTTCCTGGCCCTGGTCTGGCTTCTATATCCTCGTCATCAGGCCGTCTCCTTCGCCAGTCACCTGTCGAATTGACGAGCAAGGCCGCACTCAGTTTGGACTATCCCCTCCGGCGCCTTTGCTTTCCAACAGTAGTCGCTCTTCCTCCCTCAACCTCCGCGTCGTAACGGATCTGTGTGCCGACTGCGGACGACTACGAGGATGGTCTCTGATGTTCTTGCGACGTTTCCTGCTTCCAGGAGCATCATCCACCACAGCGCCGCTATCTCTCTTAAACCTATTTCGCGGACCATCTTAGCTCATGGCATCAACGCTCAACCACCACACCTTCCTTCGGCGTTGCGCCCGCGTCAGTAAAGCCATATCCGGTTTGTTCTGTCTGAGTACTTTGTGTATGGTCCTGGCGGGGTATCGATAGGAAGTGAATAGGCCCCGCGTTTCACCATAAGATTGGCGCTGCCGTCAGTCCGCTCACACTTCAAAGTTTTGCAAGCTATACATTCATGCGGATCCTAGTCATTCATGCGTCACATACGTCCATATGGTGCCTCTAGACCCCAGCGGTGCGGAGTAACTGCGACTCTCGACGGTCGTAACTTGCGCTGGACTATCACCGATTGGAAATGCTGCCATACCTCCCTTGGAATCTCCCGAACCCGGACCCTAGAGCTCGACTTTCACCGCGGTCCAACTTGCTCCAATACGACAACACCGAATCCCCGACTGCAGGCACAAGTGTTGCGTTCGCAAGTCAAACCTGCCACAAAACCCAGGGTTTGCCGAGCATCCCGCACTAAACTAGCGAGGCGTACATACGACGCCCATACGCAGGGTCTTCTCGAGCGGCCACTTCTCGACCAGAAGCGTGTCGTAGCCTCGAGGCTCGCACCGTCCCTATTCGGTCCATCACGTGGGATCGCCTTTCAAGCAGCAGCACCTGGCAGTATGGCAAGCCATGGCACCGATGGTTCTATGGGTAACCATCGACGCATCCCATCGCCAATCAAAATTTGACTCGCGCCGTAGACTTCAAAGGCTGCGTTCTGGCGAGGATTCGCGTGGTGCCACAGGCGCAGGCTCCGCGCCGCCCGCAAGCCGCAGTGCGATCGCGCCGAGCATGCTAGCGCGCGAGACGTCTGGATCTCGCAGCGGGCTACTGTGTTGCAGGAATGATGCGGCCCGTGTAACTCTAACGCATCGTGAGTCGTGCTCCATGCCATCGGTCTTCTATTCGCGGCGCAGCTACCATTCCTGCTTGCCAGCTTCGCTGCCTTCCTTCCTGGGGCCCAGCATACGCGCTGCTCAATGTCCGCAGGACCAACAGTTCATGCCAGGTGGAGTCGTGCTAAAATCGGCCCTAGCTAGGATGCTATTCAGCATTGCTCGGTCGGCGTCGTGCATTTCAAGCGGTTCATGGAACAACGCGGCGTTAGTCCTCCCGTTCCGGAACTGCAAGACTGCTGATGCAACAACCAGAACGCATCTCACTGCAAGGCGGGATGAAACGAGGCCGAGCGTTACAAGGCCTTCGGTCCCGCACCTTCCATCGATCCTTTCCACTCCGGCGCAGATGACGCTTCGAAATGACCGGCGCGCGAAGCAGCACCCATTGGCAATTGCCCGTTCTGAACGCATACGAGAGCCCAAGCCGGCGACGAGGTTGCTTGTTCTGCCAGTCTGTTCTGCTGATCCAGTGTCCTGACGTGCGCGACCCCGGTGCACGGCGGCCGTTGCCCATCGCAGCGTCCTTCCCTTCGTTTTCTGGCTCTTTGTGCGGTATGCCTGGATCGCGAGTACAAGGCTTCAACGGGCGTGCATGCTTCTGTGTGCCGTAATTACGTGCTAGCCGTTGTCGCGTTCGTCGGGGCAAGTACTGCCCTTGTTGAGCTAGAGCTTAACGCGGTCCGCTGTCACCCCTGACCGTCTCGTGGCCACACGACAGAATGTGTACTCCTCGTACATGCTGCGGATGGTGTGCGCGCAATACTGTACATGGCGCGGCTGACGAGCAGTATAGATAGCATCGCCTTCTCTTCCTTCCAGCACAAGGGCAGAGCATCAAGCACGCCATGCTGACAGTACAAGGCCACGCCGTACTGGCGCCGCATCTTTGGCTGGAACATAGCTACAGAGGTGGAGTCGGCGCACGCACCACGGTTACGGTGTGAACGCGCGAGCCCGCGGAAGCCACGAGCCATTGTGGCAGGCTCGCCAGCAATCAGGCTGCTTGCGGCCCGCGACGCTCTCTTGTTCGGGCGTGGCTCGCTCCTTCGTGCGCTCCCATGCGTATGAGAAGAAGTTGCGAGATCCGTCAACGAGTGATGGGCTGAGCCGTCTCCGAGAGCAGCAGCCGTTGTGTTGTACAGCATCCGTCCGCTAGGACGTGGTAAGGCAGCTAGTGGCTTTGGGGCGCCCTGCTCCGCTCCGCTCAAAGAGCGCACACCACGGCGCCGGCAGGCCAGCACGGGCAACTGGGAAGGACCAATGCGACAAACGAAGAGCTGGGCGACTGCAGACACTCGAACGCGGTGAATGTTGTGAGATCCCGGCGCACGGGCGCTCGCATCATAATTAAAATTCGCAGACTCGGAGGCGTCGATCTGCCCTCGGAAAGCGATCGCGCTAACGGACTGTTGACGGATTGATTCCGCGAAGGCATCGTTGTGGACTACTATATCCGGTAACCATTCAACTTCCCGGCGGTCAACCACCACATCGGAGACATGTCGTTCAGTCCGAAATCCCAGGTCCTCTCCCCGCCTGATCCTCCTTCAAACCTTGCCATTTTTTGCCCAGAATCTCCTGATGGGCGCTGGATAGTCTCCTTCCTATTGCGTACAACCTCCGGAGACCTACTTGGAATATATAAACCGGCCAACGCGACCTGCAGGCTCCCCAGTACACCCCGAGCCGTACGCAAAAGCTCCTCTTCCTCCGCCGAGCAACCCTCCCCTTCGACAACATGGGCAACCACCACTCCTCCTCTCTCGACGCCCACCACCACCACAGCGTCGCAAACATGCTCCTCCGCCCCCAGAGCCATCTCTCGCAAGCGATCGACCGCGAAGCTCCTGGGCTGCACCTCGGCTGACGCGTTCGAGATCCACCTCGACGTGCCACACGACCACGACCACGAGTCGACGACAGCGGCGAGCGACCACGACGAGAAGCGCAGCTTTGATCCGCCGCCGCTGTACGCTTACTCCGCCTCCGCCGTCGACATCCTCGAGGACTCCGCCGCCGACGCGTACAAGGCTTCCTCAAAGAGTTCCCCGAGTACCAGCTCACCTGGATCCTCGACGCCCTCCGGCGCAGCGACTTCTCGCGCCTCGACCGTTCCGGCGAGACGTATGTCGACTACATGGGCGGCTCTCTCTACCCCGAGAGCTTGATCCGGTCCACACCGGCTTTCTCCATCGCAACATCCTCGGAAACACCCATTCCGTCAGCAACTCGTACGTACACTCCTCTGCTTGTCCTGTCTTCGTTCTTTCTCTCGTCTTCCTTGTCTTGTCTCGCCCGGTTCGGCGTCGTTTGTCTGCGATCACTGTGCTATGAAGCACGTGACATCAGACCTGCGACTGGAAACACACGATGCGGCGGGTGTGCGCGGCTCGAAACCCGAGGCTGCGACAGCGAGTAGACGGTTCGCGCCGCAGGGGTCATTATCACGCGTTGGCGGCGTCCAGTGACATGCGTCTCACAAGCTGAGACGAAATGGATTGCAATGACAGTGGATACGGAGAGCCGCCTGCGCGCGTACCTGTGTGGTATGTCGGTTCAGATTCGCAATACTTCCAGATCTGGCTACAACAGGGCAACGTCTGTGGCACTGATGCCTACGTCCGTATGGAGTACTGGCACATTTTGCATTACTCACAGCTGTCCTAGTCTGCCATGCACAGCTGTGCTGACAGGACAGCTCGCATCCCTGCTGCCGCTCGTCACGCATCCTCGTAATACTCGTTGACCGTTGCCACTCACCGTGCACCTCCAATCACCGACGACGACGCTGACCGTCCTTCCCCTACAGGTCAAAACTATCTTCCGCGTGCGCAAACGAGGCACGCGAGGCAGTGCTCTCCTTTTTCCGCGCGCCACCCGGCTACACCGTCGTGTTCACCGCAAACGCCACCGGCGCCCTCAAACTCGTCGGCGAGTCTTTCCCTTTTAGCGAACCAGTTGCTACGTGCTTGGTGCGGACTCGCACAACAGCGTGCATGGCATCCGGCAATTCGCGCTCCACCGCGGCGCGTCAATACACTACATCGACTGCACTGATCATGGCGGCATGGACGTCGACGAGGCCAAGGTCAGCACTCAGCACCAATCACGCGAGTCCGATCACTGACCGCCTTTGTGTGCTAGGCCATCCTGCACCGCAACCGACCAAAGAACAGGCACGCCTCGCCGAGCCTCTTCGCGCTCACGGGCCAGTCCAACATCTCCAACTCGAAGAACTCGCTCTCGCTCATCAAGTACGCGGCTTCCCAGGGCTTCCACACGGTGCTCGACGCGGCGGCGGTCGCTCCGACGTCCGTGTTCTCTCTCTCAGAAACGCCTGTAGACGCGATGGCGATCAGCTTCTACAAGATGTTCGGTTTCCGACGGGCGTGGGTGCGCTTGTCGTGCGGGAAGATTTCCTCGCGAAACTCGAGCGGCCGTGGTTCGCAGGAGGGACGGTCGACGTCGTGCAGGCGCCCGGGAACATTGTCACGATGACGTCCGAGATGCACGAGCGGTTCGAGGTGAGTACGGTCCAGCGAGATTGGTACGACGACTGACGCGGACTGCAGGACGGCACCATCAACTACCTGAACCTCCCCGCGATCACCGACGGACTCCGCTTCCTGTCGGCGTACCTTCCATTCCTTCCGCTCCGTCTCTCCTGCCTCATGCACCATCTCCTTGGCTCCTTGACCGCGCTGCAACACGACACAACAGGGACACCCATCGTGCGCATACTTTCGCGGACACCACTACGGCGCCTCCGGGCCGTCGGGGAGCAGTCCGACACGGGCTCCGTCGTCTCCCTCATCTTCCTCTTCGTAAGTTTCTCTCCCCTTCCCCGCGTCGCTCGCGCTGACACGCCCGCCGCAGCCCTCCGGCGAGATGGTGCCGAACACGTTCATCGAGTATGCGGCCGCACGGTCGAGCATCTCGCTCCGGACGGGGTGCATGTGCAACCCGGGCGGGGCGGCGTCGATCCTGGGCCTGCGGGACGCGATGGCGGCGCTGCCGAGCGACGTGACGCTGGCGGCGTTCGAGAAGCACATGGGGCACGAGCTCGGCGTCGTGCGCATCAGCCTCGGGCTCGCGAGCGACTTCCGGGACGTGTACCGCGTCGTGCGCTTCGCGGAGACGATCGGGTGCAAGGGGGCCCGGGACGCGCTGTGGGAGCAGTGGCTCGGGAGCAAGGCCGGCGAGGCGATGTGATGTGAGGCCGGGCTCCCTCCGGGTGGGATAGGCGTGCTAGGATGCAGAGTGCGCTGGTCGGGCCCCTGGACCGGCGTGGACTCGGCTCGCGATCGGACATGGACGGCGACCCTCTCTGTATCTGGATTTG